GACTTGGCCAACACCCACATGGACGGAGTTGCTCCTTTCGGAGGCCCTGGTTCCACTGCTCAGTCAGATGTGGAGCAGCTGATCAAAAAGATCCAGTACAACATGGCTGAGATGGGTCGCCTCAAGGAGATGCACACTTTGGTGATCCAGTTGATCCTCTTTCGACGTGAGGAAATCGGCAAGCAGTTGGAGCAGCTGAAAGTCTTGGCTGACAGCTGGAAGGAACCCAATCTCGATATGGACGATGATCGTACCAATGGTTGAGACAGCACAGCCAGCAGTGTTGTGACTATCTTTTGTGCAAAGTATGCCATCTACGTTTTTTGAACATCCATGCGCGGGACAAAATGCAGGCTTCCAAGCAGTTGTGTTTTGTGAAGTTGGTACATGTGACTGCACTGTTTAGGATTCCATGTGAGTGAATATTCACTTACTTAAATTTTGTTTGCATCTGTCCTGGTAAAAATACATGGACTTTCAAAAGGTTACTTGGGCATGTCCACTTTCAAAAGCATGTTGGATGTCAAGAGTTTACTTGAGCATGTTCAGTGCCAAGAATTTACTTGAGCATGTTCAGTTTCTGTAATCTTACTTGAGCATGTTCAGTTTCTGTAATCTTACTTGAGCATGTTCGTTTTCAACAACTGTTTTGAACACGTTTATGTTTCACGAGTTTACTTGAGCATATTCCTTCTCAACAGTGTACTTGAGCATTGGTACTCTCTAAGCTTTACTTGAGCATGTTGATGTTTACCTATGTATTTAGGGAAAGTATTCCTGGTCAACCTTTGCACTTCTTACATGAGTATGTGTCAAGAGCCACTAGTTGTGTGTGTCAGGTGGATGTGGCTTCAAGGTTTCATCAAGCCCGAAACCATTTTTTCTTTGGAGCCCCATGCAAAAATATAAGCAATAACAATTCAAAATGTGGTACCTTGTTGTTGTGCCAAAGTTCCAAATAGTATCATACGCCTCCAAGAAATTCACCATAGCAATGTCGAGAGTGCTGCTGAGAAATGTGGACATCAATGCAAGAAAATATGATGCTGGCTTTTGATTAGCCAAACAATTGTTTTGTGTGATATATTGTTTATTCAATGGTATCATGGTTTTCAATGTTTTTTTGACATGTTCATTTGTTGATTTTAACACTGCTGAGGAAATTAGATGGGCTTTAGAAGGAATGGGCTTTTGGTACACAGGCGAGATCAAGATCACCAGGGAACCATTTGGGAATCAGAGGGCTATAGCCAGGCACTGCTCAGTGTTTCTTTCGGTGGATGATGATCAGATGGCAAGGGACTATGTGCAGGCACTGCATGGCAACATAGTGACTGGAATTTCTGCACCAGGAGAAACACGAGGTTGCATGGTTATTTGTGTTGTCATAAATGGTCAAGGTGCAATATTTTTTAAGCTGTGATACTTTGCCTTGTGGGTCTTGTGGGTATATATAACTATATATATATAATCACAAAATAATATCTTTATGTAAGTTATATATATGTATAAAAACATGCATTTTTTTGGTATATATATATATGTGTATATATATATAAATATATATATTCGGTTTATTAATGCTGAATTATATCTTGTGACTAGGTTTGCATGCACTGGTCGCTGATCCTCCTCCTGCGCGTCATCCTGCACCTCCTGGGACATCGATGCCTGCAAGGCCTGCAATGCCCAGTGCTCCAGTTCCACATGTGCCACCGCAGCCATCGATGACAAGGCCTGCCATGCCCAGTGCTCCAGTTCTACATGTGCCACCTCAGCCATCGATGCCTGCAAGGCCTGCTATGCCAATGGCTCCAGGGTTTCCAATGGCTGCCCCTTCAGGTCCTGTAAGGCCTGTGGCATCTGCAAGTCCAAACTCAGTGCCTACAAATCCTTGGAATGTTTCTTGTATTTTTTCAAGTTTTCATGCATTTTAAGGCCCAGATGTTTGATGGTAAACATGAGAGTGTATTAAAATACTATGGATTGAGTTACTCCTTGGCCAGTGAGGTTGCGCATCCTCCAGCACCTTCTGTGGCAACCGTGCCACATGCCTTTGGCAGCCCACATGGCTTGCAAACTATTAGGCCAACACGTCCCACTGGATCTCAGTCTGGCCACCCAGTGAAGACACAGGCGACGCCTCTACCACCTGAGTTTTGTCATTACTTATGATTGTCTTTTTCATATGGATGCTTATGATTGTTTTTTCATGTGCATGCTGAATTTCTTCATAGTTGTTGCATGTTACAGCCACTGTGGTGCTACTACAACATGGGGATATCTCAAAATATTAGTGCCCCAAAGTTCTGCCCTGTACTTTAAAATCAAAGGGCTTGTTTTTACATTTGCATGATGTATTACATTTGCATGTTTTTACCTGTGATTGCTTTGATGTTTCCTAATAGTGTATGTAGTGTGTATTAGAAATTTACTTGAGCTGTTTTTTGTTAATTCAACATGTCATGATCCACAGCCCAGGAAGCTGCAATACCACCGGCAATGCCATCTAGTTCCCATGCATCAGCAGAACCTGACCCAGAAGTTGACACAGCATTGCTGTTAAGTGCTTTGACTCAGATTGCAGAGCAAGAATGGTACGAGCAACATCAGGAAATCAAAACAGAGGTAAAGGATGAGGAGTGGGATGACCAGGAACAATGGGAATATGTGGAAGAGGAAGATTATCCTCCAGCTGAACCAGCCACTGATGTCGGTGACGATGGATACAAGACCCCGTCCATTCAGGGTGGTTCTTCAACTGAGCAGGAGCTAGAAGATGATGAAACCCTACTACAAGGCCTACAAGAAGAAGTACCTACAGGTGAAGTACTACAAGAAGAAGCATCTGCACCTGGAGATGGAGAACCTGACAAGGCATCAGAAGAAAAAGAACCTGGTGATGATGATGGACAGCCAGAAGATTCGAATGTTGTGACAGAACAATCACCTGCTAAAGTTGAGGATGATCACAGGCCTGGGGAAAGACCCAAAAGGTCAAGGAGCCGACGCAGGAGATCCAGGAGGAGAAGAAGATGCAGCAGCAGCAACAGCTCATCACAGAGGAGAAAGCTCAGGTGTCTGATATCGATTCATTTGTTTTTTTTCATTTGGTTTTATTCCCTGAAGTTGTGAACAAGTTGAAATGTTGTGCAACACATATATATATTTCCAGTCTGGAAGCCATCAGGTTTATTTCTATGGCATACTCAGCCACTCAGAAGGACAAGAAGAAGAAGCGCCATTGATCATTAGCTGCGCACTTTTGAAAAGGATCCAGTGGCAAGTCTCTGGTTGAGGGCATCTTCACTTGAGAATTGATTTGTTTGTACATAGATATTTGTTGATGTCTTTACCTGAGCATGTCAGTCTTACCTATGCATTCATATGTTTGTGGTACTGTTACTTGAGATAAAAATGTCCTTATGTTTTGTGAGTGTGAACATATTTGCAAACAGCAATCATTGATTTTTTTTATACAAATCTTATGTATTTTCATGTATTTCTTATACATTTCTTATACACTTTTTATGCATTTTTATGCACTTTTTATGCACTTTTAAAAAGTGCATAAAAAGTGCATACACTTTTTTAAAAAGTGTATACACTTTTTATGCACTTTTTAAAAGTGCATAAAAAGTGCATAAAAAGTGTATAAGAAATGTCTAAAAAATGAATAAAAATTGCATAAAAAATGCAAAAAAACAAAACAAACATCAGTTTTTTCTTGAAAAAAGAACAAAAATATCAAACAGATTCACCAAGACCAGCAAGACCACATGTATTATTTCAAAACCTATTTGGATATCACCAAGTTTGTTTTTCATTGAACTATGGTTGAACCATATATATAGATATTCCAGGAACATTCCAACCTAATATACTGTTTATATTGATTGTTTGGAAATGTCTCATTTGCTAATTCAAATAGAAGGGCTTGGGGCACCAATGGAAACCACTATGTTGAAACATCTCTATTTTCCTTCCAGGAGATCTGTGAAGTATCTTCCAAATGTTTCATACAATATAGGTAACAGAAAGAAAAAAATGATCTGGCAAATCCTCAAGTAATAAAATGTCACCTGCAAACAAAACAAAATCCCAAATAGCAACACAAGTAAAATAAAGAATGCAAGATCTAGCACCTTCTCAATCAAGACATGCACCATAAAATTAAAAAAATGTTCTCAAGTAACACAAGTAACATGTGAGGTTCTCAAGCAACACAAGTAATCTGCCAGGTTCTCAAGTAACACAAGTAGCCTGCCATGTCATGAGAAAAAATAGTACAAACATAATGTATACCTATATTCAATGGCAATTGGGGCATTAGTGTTCACAAGAACCAGATTGATAATATGTTGTCTCTACTTGTGCATGTCAAACCACTTCTGAATTATTTGGTTGTGCCATATTTCCTATTTATGATTTATTTGAGGGTTACTTGTGACTTACTCATGGGTTACTTGTGATTTTCTTGTAGGCTACTTGTGGCTTACTCATGGGTTATTTGTGATTTTCTTGTAGGCTATTTGTGGCTTACTTATGGGTTACTTGAGACGTACTTATGGGTTGCTAGCTCTATATATAGGATTACCTGGGACTTACTTGTGAAGTACTAGTGTTTTACTTGGGACTCACTTGGGACTGCTTGGGGTTTCCTTGGAAGTTACTTGTGAAACAGTTCTGTCTTACTATAGGGACTCTTTTGAGACTTACTTGGGATTCACTTCTGACTTTATTAGGGATGAAAGTGGCACTTACCTGGGACACAGTTGTGAGTTATTTGTGGGTTAGTAGTGTGCTTTCATGAGGTTTACTTGTGTTTCTTGTGGCTTACTTAGGATCTAGAAAAATAAATCAACCCTTCAAGTTCTTAGTCTAAATTCAGCCTTTGCAACCAACAGGCCATTTGTATAGAACCACTAGTATGCAACCAGTATCTTCCAAGTCTTTACTTGAGTATCACAATCCACCTGGGAGAAGACATGTTTGTGCAGGGATCAAGCTGTGGTTCAAAGTGAAATTTTTGCTTCCCTACTGCGGCATAGGTGACATGGATGCAGTTGAGGTGCAACCTTCTACACCCTCAGGTGCTGTGCCCTCAGCTGATGCTCCAGCCACTCCCAAGAAGAAGCCTTCTTCGAAGGTGGCTAAGGCCAAAGCTAAGGCCAGTCCTAAGGTGCCTCCTACCCCTATGAAGGCCATGAAGGTCAAGAAGACGATCAAGCAGGCTCCAAAGGCAAAGCCGGTTGCCGCGCCTGCTACGAAGGCCAAAGCTTCAGCCAAGAAAGGCATGAAGAGGCCTGCAGCTGCAGCTGTGGTTGTGCCAGTGATGAAGAAGCCAGCTTCTGCCAGTGCTGTTGCTTCCTCCAGGTCCCAGGGCGGTGCACCTTCTTGGGCCCAAGGGTTTGAAGATGAAGCTGCACTTGATCATGAAGGAGGTGAAGAAGAAACTCCTGAGGTCGACGACGAGGAGTCCGTTGACAGGTTCGAGATTTGCAACGAGAACAGGGACCGCGTGAAGGCCAACAAGTTCAAGCAGCTCTTGGCACAGGGATCCCTCCCTGCATGGTGCAAGAAAGCGTGGCAGGCGACGTTGGAGATGAGAGTTGGCAAAGTGGCTGCCCAAACCAAGCTGATCAACAATGTCTTGTCCCGCGAAGGTGGAGCCCTCAAGCTGCAGTTGGACGCGCCAGCTCTGTCTGAGTTGAAGGCATGTATGGGTGGAAATTACTTTGTTACATGAGAATGTTTCTGTGTGAAAAAAGAACTTGAGCACTTTGTCACATGAGAATGATTATGTGTGAAAAAATAACTTGAACACTTTATTACATGAGAATGTTTCTGTCTGTGAAAAGACCTTGAGCACTTTGTTACATGAGAATGTTTCTGTGAAAAAGGACTTGAGCACTTCTTTGTCCATTACATGTGCATGATTACTTATGTATGTTTATGCTTGATCCTACTTCATCTTCTCATTGACCTTGTAACCATCTTCTCTTTCAAGACACAAAAGACACCTGTTCAATTCCTGAGTTCACCCCTGGTTCAGGAGCAGTACACCGAGCACAAGAGCACCGTTTCTGAGAACTCTCTTCCGAAGTTGCTATTCATGGGTCGCTTTGGACTGACTCAAGCCATGTTCGAGGAAGGCCTGCAGACAGGCGAATTCTATGAGATTGATGCCGATGATGGCAAGAAGCGCTATGCGTGGACAGAAAGTACAAAAAAGACAACCCATGCAACCTCCAGTGGCCACAAAATGGAGGCTTCCAAGCAGCTCACCAGGAGCCAAGCAGCAGTGGAGAATGCCAAGTTTGCGACCTGGAGCAGCAACCTGTTCCATGCAGCCTTTGTGTCAGGCTGCCAGCAGAAGGCTTTGCCTCCAGGCCCATCTGGACCACTGGCAATTTGTGATATGGAAAGGACGTTGGATCGGGAGCAATGGGAGCAGGCCAAGGGCAACCTGGCCGAAGCCATGGCTGCCTTCGACAAAATCGAGAAAGACGCCAAAAAGTTGCTGTCGGAAGTGAACTCCGATGGCGACGAATTGTTCGACACTTTGTGACTTGGCTTTTGTTTACTTGTGTGCTTGTACCTTGAGTCTACACACATCACCTGTTTTGCGACAGAGTTACATATGCATTCAATCACCACAGGAAAAATTGTACAATATATTTACACAAGTTTGTCCTTTCAAACAAAAGTAACAGTACAACATTCAATATTGTCATGGGCAAGTACCAAAAAAAAATCAGAACTCCAATGCTCACAGTTAGCTACCAAAAGAATGTGAATCACATGCAAAAAGAGTCCTGCCGAATAGTAACAGTCAAAACGCACCAGTAAGAACCCAAAGGTAATAGGTTTCCCATCTCCCCAACACAGGAAAGCCATGATTCAGTCCTTGCTCGCTGAGAAGAACACCCTGAACAATGCTTACATGTGGAAAGAGTCGCCTGACAAGCAGCCTTTAACCATCAAAAGCTATAGCAGTTTGGTTGGGCATGCAGGAGTCATGTGCAAGAAGCTCAGCGAGCAGGTGGCAGGTGTGAAAGGATCATTGGGGCAGCGGGCCAAGGCTGCCAAATGCACTTCCTGAGTTTGGAGATCCTTCCTGGCCATGGTCATATCGAGAGTCAAGTAAAGAAAGGATGCTGACGGTTTTTGAAGCTGCTGTCTGTAGAGAAAGGATCTCTTGGCGACCACATCCAGTTCTGAAGAAAAGCTAGCTTGACTTCTGCAGCTTACTTATGCTTATACTTGAGCACATTTTTTGAAACAGATGTGAACATCTCACTTTGTAATGTATCAGAGTCAACAACACTTTCTGTCCAACATTATTGCTTCATGTGAATGGAAAACAAAGGTAATATACATGAGCATTCATTACTTGATTTGTTACATGTGAATGGAAAGCACAAATCATACATGAGCATTCCTGACTTATTTTGTTACATGTGAATGGAAAACACTAGTGATACATGAGCATGTCTTACTTAAGTTGTTACATGTGAATTGGAAGAAAAGTGATACATGAGCATTCCTTTTACTTGTGGACTTTTGGAAAAATTGCCTCTCCAATTCATCCATGCTACTTGTCCAAGTTACTCTTCGAGATTTTGCTGCTCAGTGCCCAGTAAAGAAACATTTTTTAAAATTGTCGTTCATGTGCTGATCTATGGACAAAGCATCCATGAGAGGCACACCAGGCAGAGGTAAGAAGCGTAAAGGAGGTGGCCTACACCAAAGGCGTGCGAGAGTGGATGAGGATGCAGCGGACGCGCCCAGTGCACTGCATGTCTTGCTGATGACTTGGCTTGCACAAGGAATCATGAGTGGTGTGCAGGTTCACAAGATCGCGCAGGCAGCAAAGCATGACATTGACATGGCCAAGAATGGCAGCAGATTCCCAGACTTGGATCAACTCGCTAACTTGCAGCATGGAAAGCATGTCATCAGAAGTGTGCATTCAATGCTTGCCAAAAGTAGCCCATTGCCATCACCATTTCGCGCACCAATGCCATACACGGATGGTGTTCAAGATTCCCTTTTGCTTTTGCCTCACGAGCTCTTTGCATACATGTACGAGAAGCAACATGTTTGGGAACAAAAAATTTTGGCGGACCCCAGCAAATTACCTGAGTTTTGGGATGGTATGAGGAATCACCCAGGTTTGGCAGGTCATCCTCTCTGGAATCGCGAAGATCACCGCAATCGCTGCATTCCCATCAGCATTCATGGAGATGAAGTCCCATGCTTTGGGATTGGGAAAATCTGGTCCAGAAGCGTATTGAGTTTTTCGTGGTGCAGCATGATTCAGAATGCTTTGGGTGGGTCATGCGAAACCATCATGCTCTATATTTTTGGCTTATTTGAAAAATTTGCCCGGAGCTCTGGCGAGACAGCAGCAGGTACAAAAGATATTTTCTTTCGAATTTTGTCTTGGTCATTGCTTGCTCTGTGGGAAGGGGTTTGGCCCTCCAGGGACTGGAGAGGTGTGCCTTACACTCGTGACAGTGCAGAAGCGAAACTTGACTAATATTTAGTTATTTTGAACATTTCCCAAAATCATGTGTCATATAGTTCTTTTCTCTTCCAAAAATCAAGGAAAAAAGTGGACAACATCTCGCGGGTGGCTATTTATGTTCCCTAATTGCCTTGATAGGTGACTTGGATTACTTTTCCAAGTGGCTAGGCACCCCTGTGTCCACCAATCACCACGCACCCTGTGTGCAGTGCCGAACACAATTTGCTGGACCATTAAGTTGGCAAGACAACAGAAAGAATTCCCCATGGCAGCATGCCCTGCTGCATGCAAGCACTTGGAGAAACCACTGGACTACACCATGTTCCTTGCTTCGACTTCCAGGTTGCAATGCTTGGACTATAGCCTTGGACTTGATGCATAATTTCTGGCTTGGGTGGCTGCAGTTTGCGTATGGAAGCATTTTCTATCATCTTTGCTTTGATATACTTCCTGGAGAACCTCTCGCTAATTTGCGCACTGTAGAAAAATATATCAAAAATTTTCAGAGGAAGGATCATGAACATCATCGCTACAGGCAAAGACTTGAAAAACTATCCATGTTCACTAGAGAGAAAGGATATCCTAAGCTCAAGGGAAAGGCAGCTGATATAAAGGGCCTATGCTATGCATTGCTTTCGTGCTGGCGTACTTACATGCGACCAAATTGTGAACAAGATCAACAAGTGGCTGCCTTCTTGACTCTCAATCTTGAAGTACATGACCTTTTGGATGCTTACTCTCCAAAATTTGGCTTCATGCGTGTGCCTTCTCCTCACTGCGATGCTCTCTATGAAAAGGGATTGCAGATGGCACAGCTCCATGGTTGCCTGTCAGATCATTTTGCATCTGTAGAAATGCAACTTTGGAACCTCACATCGAAAACGCACTTCTGCATGCACACTTTCTACTTGTCGCGCTACATTCACCCAAGCCTCACATGGGCATTTAAAGGAGAAAGCATGATGAAAGCGGTTCAAACAGTGTGGCGCTCTTGCTTGTCAGGAAATAAGCATCATGGAGCCAGCAAAGTAGCAGCCATCAAACTGAGGCATTTGCTGCACATCCAGGACGACAGCGCATAGAAGAAAAGCTGCTGCAAAACATTGCCTTAAAGCCACCTACTTGAGTCTTCTTACTTAAGCCCTTATACTTGAGCATTGTCTTGGAGTCCTTTCCCTTAATAACATCTTCTATGAATATACAAGTTACTTGGGCATGGTGAGCTACTTTCTTACATGAGCATTTTACTTTTACCTCAAACTTGTACCAAAGAAGAACAAATCATAAATCTAAGTGCATTGATTCCATCTGAAAAATATATATTCCCAAACATTTGCTAACTATTTTTAAAAGTTTTCCCACAAAACATATAGAAAAAAACAGCTTCCAAAAAGTGAAGAAAAATTTAGGTATAAACCTAAATTGATTTAGGTATATACCTAAATTGATTTAGGTATATACCTAAATATACCTAAATCAATTTACTAATCTTGACTTTTTCAACTTTTTTTTAACCTAAATTCTTCGATTTACGTAAATTTTAAAAATTAGTAAATTTACTATTTTTGGAGACTCAGGGTTCATGAGTTTCCTGTTCCACCGCCCTCACTTTTTCAAGGAGGTCAAAATTGTCCAAGTATATCCTCCAAGAAGGATTTGCCGCTGTCAGAGGTCTGTCTTTCCGCACTTCCGCTTCAGGGGCTGCCACACTAGTGGCTGCCTCCGGGATATGCTCATGGCTCCAAAGCGTCAGATTGCGGTGCACATGCTGTGCCAGGCTCACTGAGTTAGCAAATCCCATGGGGAGTACTCGTGAGGCCATGTAGACCAAGCGCCCCTGCAATTCCACGGGCAGACATTGGTCAGGGACCCTCTTGTTGAAGGCTAGGTACTTATACCAGGCCGGTGGAACTGACATGGTATAAAAGAAGCAGCGGACGTCTTCGCTGCTAACCAGCAGGCTTTCCTCTGGCTGCAAAAAGAAGGGGGACATCTGACTCCACATAGGGAGAGTCTCGACGTCGCCTTTCAGGGGCTCTGCCAACCCGTTAAAAGGCGTGAGGTTCATTATCAATCTGTAAACCTCGTATTCGCCGGACCACTCGTCTTTCGTCACCCCAAAGAGGCCGTTGAGCAACGGCTGCTGCTCAATGTGAAAAACCTCTTCCACCGGCAGCAGCACACAGATGCCCGCTGTGAGGAGGCCACTACAGACCTCCGCCCATGCGCCCTCAGGTACCATGACCCGCGGGGGCTTCACCAGTTCCCAGCGATCACGCGGCTTGATGTACAAGTCGAGGTTTTCCACATAGTGACGGGCGCCGAGGGTGCACACTTGTTCCAATGGCACTCGCCCTACCTCAGCCGGGAGCGCAGGAGCAATATTGCCCCAGGTGAACTCCCTGGCCGTCTTGACTTCATCTCCGCGATAGTCTATACCTCGAGTACTGAAGAACTGATCCCAATCAAACAGCTCGACTTTCCCTTCCAGGAGACAGATGCGTTCGACATCCTTAGACAGCCACTCCAAGCACTCAAGTGCCACTGCAGACACCTCTCCATCATACATGACCTCATCCCCCCACAGGGAGTTCAAGCCCATAGCAATACTGGCCAGCCACGCAATACCTTGGGGACCTAAATGGGGGAAGGCAGACAACCTAGACATTCATTTTGACAGGTTTATCTGGTCCAAATGGTTATCCGAACCAGTTAGGCCCCAGGGTAGTACAAATGCAATTTTTTCACGCACTTTCACGCTACATTGGCTTAATAAACCTTGCGGCCTTTGTACACAAGCCACTGGTCTATGTTAACAGCTGTGTCACATGGTCAAATTGGCTCGTGCCCTTGCTTCACAGAGTGGGCCCATGCAACTTGAGCTCTTAATCGTGTCTGGTCACTGGACCAAAACTCTCACACTCCCGGACTCTTACTGTGATCTAATGCTTCCACTGCCTGCTGTATCAATCTTCCCAGCTACTGTTGCTACCTCTGCGGTGAGATGAAAACTCACCATGGGCATGTTGGTCCATAACTCGGAAGTTTGCTGCCTAAACAACATACTTATATATTTACTATATATGTTTATTTCCTATTTGTCCAAGATATGGATAGACATATATATATATACTATACATATATATATATAGTGTTGTTTCTAGAAAGGTTACCCATCCTTCAGGGGACCTAAGGACATAGCCAAAACCATTTTTGAAATTCCAGAGTTTAAGGGGTTCCTTTCGGTTCCAACATTCCCAAGAAAAAATGAACAGGTACCACGCGTGACCAAGGATTTGACACATTTCGGGGAACTTATCCCGTGGAAACTGGCTGGTGAAAACCAAAATGAAAGATCGATGAAAATAAACCACAACTGGTGTTTTCTTGGCAGTTCACCCAGGTAAACCATCACAAAAGGTGTGGATCAAAATCACCGGCTCTCAGAACTCCATCAACCCTTTTTTACTGGCTCGACCGGACCATGTTCAATCCCCGGTCAAGATTGGCCCGGAGTCCCAGCAGGAAGCGCCGGAGGACGTTTTCTGTTGCAGTGCGCTTATGCACCTGCCGCTTTACACGCATCCATCTCTTTACACTGTCCTCATCCATCCATGTTGCATGGATATTACAATTCAATTTTGATCGCCTCACATCAAAGGTTAGGTGGTGCCAAAGGTGGTACTTTGGACGGAGTCTAAAAAGAAATTGTTTTTCCTCTACAGCTTTGGCAGCCAAAGCTGCATAGCTTACAGTGCTCAACTTCCCAAGGGCCAATCGGTTCTGTTCCTCCAGCTCTGTCAGAAACATACCGGATTTGTTCAGTAGGTTCAGCCAGCAGTCGGCACTCCAAAGGGCCTCAGCTACATCACACCACTGAAAAACAAGTGTTTTTTTCGCTCAGATCATCCTATGGTTTGTAAATGATGCAGAAAAAAATCTGTTAAGAATCAATTTACTCCTAGTGTCGGTGGAAAGGACGTCATTGCCAATGTCTTTGTTCCCAATTTCCCAAACAAGCCATCTCAATACCACAAAGCAATCGTAGCCCTTCGCTTTCAGTTCTGGGAAGGTATCTGATTTCCAGTTGAGGTTTTGTTTACTGAGCTTTGACATTGCCAAAGAATAGCCATGCTGCCGGGCGTACCATTTTAATCGTTGGGTGGCAGTTTTGAGTCGGGCTTCCTGGGTGCGCCCCCTCCAATAGTTCCGTTTAGAAGCCATGATGCGTATAGCTGAAGCACAAAGGTCACGTCCGACCCCCAAATGCCAGATGTGTAAAAGGTCAACACCAAGCATTAAAATATGGAAGCCCAAAAGCCCTGCCAGTGAAGGGACCACATTCTCATCCCACGGGTTTTCAGCAAACAAGGTTCCTCTCCATGGGGCACTTTCGCTAACATTGCTATATGCCCAAGTCGCATCACGTGTGCCTTTGGTGGCTTTGCACCGAAAGCAAACCTTCAGGGGACCAAGATTCTCAAGTTAAAATAGTCTGCACGCCCAGGCCTATCCTACATGTATGCCGCAGACCGAAAGAGCTGTGAAGTATTTGGCCCAGGCGCCTCTTCTTTGGTGGCATAGCGTTCCATGCAGAAGAGCTGATATAGATATTTCCAATCACCCTTGAAATTCACCACAAAACAGCGGAGATCCAGGACCTTAAGGGGTGGATTGAAATGACATGGTTTGGAAAAGCTCATATTTATACATATATATATATATCTCTCTCTCTTCTCTCTCTCTCAGTCCCTCTCTCTCTCTCTCTCGGTATCGGTATGGATCCAAACTATATATAATTGATATACCCAACATACTTATTGTAAGGTTTGCCCCAAAAAATGTAGACCCCAAAAACTTTGCTTGGGTATACAAAGAAGGTGCAATATCACCAGATCGGTCAAGGATTTGGCATCCAGTGTTCCCCAAATCATTGAAAGAGTCGCGGATAACAGCACCAGCTGCCTGCAGAGTGAGATTGATCCCGTTCTCGTCATAGACATACCTGGGCAGCAGCAACGATGCTTGAAAAATGAGATTTAAGGCATCCCCTTCTGAACAAAAGAGTTTTCATACCAACATGACCGAATCTTTCCTATAGAAATCAGAAAATATATGTGCATTTATGTGTGACCAGGGGCATGCTGGATGGCACAGTTGTGATGATGAATCGGCTGCAGGCACTATTCTGGAGCAGGGGGCTCAAATCAGGTTGCCAATGGAACGTCATCCAACTGCCACGGAAGGCATTCCCCTCATCACCTGAGATTATACATTTCAGGGGAAAACAATCAAACAGGCATCTAACCAGAGTCTTGGGGGGATTCAATATACCATCAAAATTCCCGGAATCTAACAAAACAAATTTGTAAACAGGTCGCCATATAAAGTCAAAGGGATGGACCGTGCTTCTTGTCCATGTGCTGGGTGACCATCAAAGTCTAGAAGCAATTGGTTCCAATACCCCTGCAACTCACCCAGTTCACCAACGAGTAGGGACAGATAACCTTGATCTATCATCGCCCGTACCTGGGCCACTGGGAGCAGACCATCTGAAAGTATAAGATCAGTACCAGAAACAATTTTAGTGGATAGTCGCGCAAAAATTGAGCGAGTTAAGGATTCCCCCTGTTGCAGCAGAGATACCAAGACACTGGGTAAAAGAAAGGGCCATGGGATTAGTTCCACTTTACCAGAATCCGGGTCGGTGCAAAGAGGGAGCTCGAAGTAGGACAGGTCAACATCCATGTTCAAACCACGTTTCTGGGCAGCTTTGTGAACACGGCGCTCTGCTTGACCAACCCTGCAGGGTGATTTTTTCCAATTGAAATTGATAGAAACTTTCAGGGTTCTCAGCTAGCTACTACCATAACCTTTAAACACATTTTTTGGGGAGCCATTAAAAAGGTTCAGCATTGGCACCTTTGAAAGACTTCTGACCCGAAAATTTCCCCAACTCGGCATGCATGAGTCATTGAAGAGCCACCAGATCCAATGCCAGTGGCCAGCCTCACTGATGTTTTGACAAAAACCATTTCGGATTTCCAATCGGTCCCCCGGAGGAAAGCTAATTATGAGTGGCTAGACTCAAAGAATGTTAACAGCGATGTGTTCCCTCAAGGATGTAATCATTTGTTTTTTGATGATGGCATGGTTTGAACTTAAATGGGGACCAGCTTTCCATGACTTGTAGGATAGGCTTCTACATAATTTTGAGGATAAAAATATATGTACGAATAACTGTATACTAAAGAAGCAGCCTATTTAAATATAGCATATGTATATATATGTATAAATATTGGTTACGTATATACCCAAATCGATCTAGAACCTCCCACAAAACTTCGCCGCGCCCAGGCAAGGAACACTTCGTGCAATTGCTGCAATTGCGCATCACGCCGTGGATCACTCCATGCACCTGCGTGGGGGCGCCCAAAGACAAAAGGGGCCTTTTCAATCTTATTGCATGGCAAACCCCTGGTGACTTTGATCTTTCAGGGTTGATGTTGGTTGTCAAAACTGGTGGAATCAGAAATTGAAGTGTTACCTTCAAACCATCATAGCGAGATGTTTTCACTCAACAGCGGTCATCTCAGTATTCCGCAATGGTGATCTCAACCTATCGACCAGTGAGCCAGATAGCTCCCAAATATCAGGGCTCTATTGAACCCCCCTCCCGCAGTCAGTTTGAATTTGAATGCATAAGGTTTGATTTGTTGTCTTACTAATCCCACAAATTTAAAGAGAAGGCTTCTAAATTGAGTGTGGTTTCCATTTCACTGCAGGCTACGGGGGATCAAACAGATTTAGTGATCCTTCGTCCAACCCTGACATGCCCTGCATCTAAGCTCTTGCAAAATCTCTAAGTCACACATTGCCCATCAGCTCTGGGTCCGCTCATTTGGACTGCTTCTTGAGCTCGGCCAGGACTGCTTTGCCCTGCGCTTTCACCATCCTGTAAGCATTGACCTCAACATGGCTGGGAACCCAAGACAAATAAGGCAGTCAATTCCTCAAAACATTGTTGATTTTTTTGTGTTGAAAATAGGCATAGGTCATCCAGAATTTGAAGGGCCAGTTTTTCCTGTAGAAAATAGGCATTGGCCATCCGGAATTTAAAGGGCCAAGGAACACTTTCGGCAACTTCATCCGCCAAACTCTCGAGATTCTCATTGGTGTTGGTGGTTTTCAACCTGGATGGCTTGAGCTTGGGTTTTACCACATGCATGAAGGCATATGCCTTTAAAGGGCTATATATAAGATAGTTTATAAAGTATCCCTAGATCAGGATTCATGTGCACTGGGAATCAACTGAAGGTTTCTGAACAGAAACTACAGCTCCATGGCGTAGGGAAGTGTGTCTATGTGTATTTGTGTGTGAATATGTACATATATATATATATATGATATCTTTGTATATGTGTATCTATCTATACAGTTATGTATATGTATGTTTGTATGTATGTATATGTGTTTGTAAGTCAGGATGTAAGTATGCGTGTATGTATGTTTGTATACTGCATATATGTTTTTTAAAAATATGTCTGTCTGTAATGTATGTAAAGTATGTCGATCTGCATGTGCATATATGCAAGACGTGATTCAAATTGAAACTGTGCTGAGAAAACCGGATTGGGAGTGATATCACAGTATTGAATCAAAAAGGTTCTGAATTTTCCAGATAGCTCATCGGAGTAGTCTTCAAAGCGCTTCTTGTACTGTTCAATTGTTGTGCGGAGAGCATGGTCCTTCGGTAGATCCAAAGCAACTGACATCGTTGCAAGCTCTTTCTTGATGCTAGCACCTTGGAACATCATGGTGTTACTTCCACCAAAAAACACCCATGGAAAAAAACACATCTTTTGGTGAAAACAATGTAGGCAATCCCCAAAAAGTTTTATTTGAAACCGGTGCAGGCTGCCAATTGCAGACTTGCGCTCACTCGCAGTCATCGGTTCCACGGAAGTCACTCCAGTGGCAGCCGAGGCTTTCGGACCTCCCTTCGGCTTCGCCTTGGCCTTCGCACGGGTCTTAGCTGCTGCAGGAGTACCTGGGGACACCGATGCAAAAGACCCCAAAACTATTCGGGGTACATGTATCATGGGATAAAAAATATTTTATCATGCATATATAAATATATATATATATATATCATCACCCCATCACATCACATCATCATAATATCATCACATACCATCGTCATCACCATCATCATCGTCATCATCATCTTAATCATCACCATCATCATCAACATCATCATCATCATCATCATCACAATCCCACCTACATATATATATATATTATTATTTGTATCTATGTATATATATATATATATTATTATTTGTATCTATGTATATCGGAAGTCATTTGGAAGGAAAATATGTTTCCAATCTAAATATACTCCAATGGAGTTTGGTTATCCTGAAGAAGTTGCAAATATAAATGCAGTGGCCCAATTGAATGAATGGGGTTCAACATTAAACGGAAATCAAAACATATGTTTGACAACCACCCGCACCTTGGGGCGCGACAGATCCGGTTGCCTGGGCGATCTCATCCAGCTGTTGCTGACTCACACCTGCTGCATGTCCCAAGTTGGGTAAAGCAGATCCCAAAATGCCACCAATCCCTTCCGCACTGGTCTCTGCTGCGATCTGTGTCTCTGCTGTTTGTCTCACAGATTCCTCCTCCGTTTGAGTTCTTGAAACGTAGCACCAGTATTGGGTGAGAGCTGGTACTGAGGGTGCATCGGCATCTGGGATCCCTCCACCTCTCGACACGATTCCCCGTATTTTCTCCATAGGCCAATTCTTCACCAAGATCATATCCCGGATGGAAACCAATTCCCGCTGACCACGGTAGATGTTCGCAGACTCCTTGGTAAGGATCACCCTGGACTCACAGGATTGTCGGTTCTCACCCTCGGCCACCCACGTCTGCAAAAGCTTTCGTTTGTCCTGAAGTGGCTCTTAACCCCGAAAATAAATAGAAAAATAGCACATAATAATATATATATATATATGTATTTATATATTCGTGATATCCCCCAGATACTCGATTTTAGATATATGTATATGTATTTGTTTATGGTGTTATATTTATATATATATATGAATAAATAAATAAATAAATAAATATATATATATATATGTACGTGTGTGTGTTCTATATAGCTCGAGTGCTTGATGAGTAAGCAGCTAGCAGGCTCCATTCCCAGATGATAAGGAAAATATGCCAATTTTGGATTTGACCCAAAGCACCTGGGGGTACAAACAAAAAGGGTCCCAAATGAAACAAGCTTCATCATTGTTGGAGTTGAAGAGCTTCAACATGTGTGGAAACTTTTGCCCTTCTGCAGATTCCATGAAGCGGTTGAGCCTCATAGACGCTGCCCGGTGGGTGGATGTGTTGATTCTGGGATCAAGTGCTGTCTGGTGAGGCACTCCACCTTGTTGCTGGTTTGGCCCGGAACTGCCTGGGGGTGCTGCTGCAATCATCTGGGCTAGGTCATCGGGAATGGCTGGCGTACCATGGCCTTCACTTCGCACACCTGCCACCATTGCCTCCACAGATGCCAGTGTAGGTTCCGAAGGAGTTGCAGGTGTTGCCACAGCTGGTGCAGGTACTGCAGGTTGCTTGGGCTCCACAGCTGGTGAAGGTGCATCCAGTGCAGGTTGCTTAGGCATCGGTGCAGGTGCAGCTTGCTTGGGCTCCACAGGTGGTGGAGGTGCACTCATGACTGCAGGTTGCTCAGGTGCAACTGCAGGTGCAACTGCAGGTTGCTTGGGCTCAGGTGGTGCTGTGGGCACTGCACATGGTGCTGCAGGTTGCTTGGGCTGCGGTGGTGCTGTGGGCACTGCTTGCTTCGGCTCTGCAGGTGCTGCAGGTGAAGCTACTGCATGTTGCTTGGGCGGTGTCAAAGTTGCACCCACCACAACCGGTTCCTTCTTCAAAGGTTCATGAAAGAAATGGACCTTCTGCTGCTTCTGTTCTGGGCCACTGCTGGATGCACCATGCCCGGGCGAATGGCTTAAAACCTGGGAGTCACCAGGCTCATTGGGCGGATCAACCATCTGCGTGTCCTCATAGGTGTCGGTGGGCGGCTGATGGATGCATCCATCAGGGGATGGGGCAGCAGTGAGGCAGGCACCAGGCTTTGCCATCGGATCATCTGGATCACGATCTGGGGCAATAGGAGTACCATCCTGCATGCGTGCAGCAGGGGTGCATATAAACAACAGGAACATCTTGGAAAATGCACATCTATATATGTGTATATTTATTAAGGTCTAGATCCAGGATACAAATGTATATGTTTATATATATATGTATATCATTTATAACTATGGGTCGATTCTGTCACAAACTGTGCCATTAATTTAGCTACCTGCACATACTCTACAAAAAAGTTTGGACCAAGAGTCCTGCGCTAGGAGCAATTGATCCCAAAGCTCTGCATCCATACGTCGATAAAGTTTATCCCTGTCAATGTCAGTCACTAAACCCAGCTCCTGTTGGTGGCTGACCTGCTTCGCCTTGACAGCATGCAATTCAGCCTGAACAGCAGCAAGTTTTGCCTGCAATTCCAGCTCTAGCGGAGATGCCGCCACTGTAGTCCCAAGAGTGCTCACACTTGCACCCAACCTGAAGACACGGGCTGATAGAAGGATAAAGTTTTCATGTTTGGAAATCAGTTTCAAATGGGACCCCTGGTTGGCAAGCTTTCTATCATTTCCCAACATTCAGTGTAAAGCTAAATTATCCACCTGGTTGCAATCTTGAACAGATATACCCCATATATTAATTGAGCCCAAGCCACGGCAACGTGGATGCCTGGGACCCTGAATCCTCCGGCTGCGTCTCAGGCTCAAGACTTCCAGGAGGCAGCTGGGAATGCTGTGCGGCCACCAATCCGAGACCCTGTTGAAGCGTGTTGCAAGACCTCAGATCCCAAAAAGGCGGGCCCCTTAATGTATGCTGGTTCAATAGGCAATCAGGTTAATGGTGCCTATTTCTATTCAATTGAACCAGGCCCCAAAAAATATCACCAACCTATATAGCTCAGCGATCAAATGCATTTTTTCTCACCAACATCTTAGCCCAGAATAATTCTGCAGTCATTGTGTATACGTTTGAGTCCCTTACCCATAACCCATAAGGGAATAGATCCGATGTCAATATCATAATTTACATACGAAAGGGCAACCAATGGGGATCTACGTATATACATTACTTACGTTACGTGGTGACGTCAACATACCCCACAGAAAGGCTTCATATATATGTATTGGTGTTTTGATGAAACTATAGAGGATATGGGGCTTGTTGACCCAGAGATGTAGAGGAGCACCACCAAAACTGGATGCCAAATATTTTTCAGGGGACCATTGGGTAAGCTGTCCATCAGTGCGCGAGCGCTTCAAAGGTTGAACAGCTTCAAGTGCTGAAACTTCTGCCGCTGGGGTCTCAACCGGGCTGGGGGCAACGGAAGCTTCTTCCGCTGCAGGGGTCTCAACTGGGCGGGCAACAGAACCCTCAGCCGTATCGGGGCCAACGGACCCTTCCTGCTTACTTTCCAAACCAAAGATCACAGGGGCCTCAATTGGTGGTTTTTTTGCCCGGGGAAGCTCCACTGCAGGGGTGTCAGGCTCAGCAACCTTGGCTCCCTTTCCCTTGCCCTTCTTGTTCTGCGGTTTGGCAGCTGGACGTTTCATGATAACAGGGGTTTCTTCTACCTCGTCATCAGATTCTAGGGTTTCCTCCTCTGCCTCTTCCTGCTCAGAAGGTTCCTTCTCCTTGGCTTTCTGTGCAACCTTGGTAACCTTGCCTTTTTTGACAACAGCCTTCGGTTTTGCCTGTTTGCCACCATTCTTAGACTTTGCCTTTGGTTTGGCCTTCCCTTTAGCCTTGCTTTTCGCAGCGCTAGGCTTCGGTTTCGCCTTGCCCTTCACCTTTGGCTTGCTTTTCCCAGCTTGTCCACCAAGGTCCTTGGATGACGCAGAGTGGACGCCGGGGGTCCCGAACAAAACGGGTATGTACAATTTGTATATATATATATTTACATATATATATATATGTATGTGCAATGTAATTTAGATATAGATCATGAATGATACATTATATATATACAATTGTTTCTATATAGTTTTTAAGCACACGTGACTGTACATGAAACATATGTGTGGGCATTACAGGGACCAAATTGCAAACCAAATCCACAAATGTCTGATTAACATTTGGCCCAGGCTGGGTATCAGAACTGTTTCTTACTAACATTTGGGTGGAAAATACTTTGTTCTAAACAATTGATCGAGTCTCCAAACCGGGAGGTGGGTCTCCACACACAAGCTTCATGACGGTGATGCACTCTTCCCGGGAAAGGTTGGCTGCACTCTGAACTTCATCAAATTTATCCCAACCCAACTCTGACACCGGAAAGGGTAAGTTTGGTAAGGCCATGGCCCTGCTCAAGCAGTTTCCCTGAAACCACAAAGTGGCTACGATAAATGATGATTCACGCAAAGCTCCCAGCTTTCAAAGAATTCAGATTCTGTCATGAAGATGTTGAAAAATCCATGTCTGACCTTTCACGGTTTTCACGGCCTTTTCACGTCAAAATGGGGTATTTTCACGTCATTTTCACGCATTTTCACGCTGATATTTTTTAATCACCTCATCGGAATCTTGTAATACCAGCCGTGTTTTCACAACTGGTCATAATTCTTTGCAACCCAGAATTAAGTTGCCAACAGCAGGGTGGGTTGTTAGCCGTAACACCAAATGACACCACGTTTATCGTATATGGTATATTAACTTATTGCCACCAACCCCATCGTTGGAAAATCAGCCATGACCCACTGGATCACGATGGCTTATTGACGGGTCTTTCCACCGGCAGGTGGAAGGACTTGATCGCTTCTTCCTCAGATCATGATCAATGGGCCAGTGCAGGTGACTATAAACGGGGTGCCTTCCTTAAATGCTCAGAATGGCTCATGTTTTTGCAATCACCAGATTTATATGCGAAACTAGGAGTCAAAGGTGGAAAGATACACTTCTCATTAATGAATGGGGGTTCGAGCATCCACCATTTAAGGATCCTTTCAATCGTCCAGCTTTCCCAATTGATGGGGAAAAACAAAACACAACCTGCTTCTTTATCTTTCAGGGGATTTCTGTCTTAAGCCCATTGGAGTTTAGGACCCCTAATCCATAAAACAGGTGGAGATATGCGATCCATAAACCATTGGTTTTAAAACACAATAAAGCAGCATGGTGGATACATACTGTGAGTGTACGTGTGTGTGTGTCTATGCCTGTGATTGGACATAGTATATATAGAATTGCAGGCATATATATATAATTTATAATATGTATTCAAGAAACAATGTACATGCATATATGGGTTCGTCTCCAGGACCACATGGGGATACCCATTTGTCGTAGATATGCAAATCTAATATGTTCAGCATTGAGGGTGTGGCAGCTTTATGCCCACAATTGCCCATACATACATACCACAGGAGTTCTAAGTTTTCAGAAACAGCATTAACAAACCCTTTGGAACTTCCAATTCCACGATGGCGAGATGCCAAGTTTCTGATAGTTTGGATTTTTTGTTTGGGGGATACAGTACCCCGGATTCTGTTTGGACACAAGCTATACCAGGTGCTTCCCATATTCACTGGGGGTGCATTCAATATATGAATACCATGAAGACATTGAATACCCATGGTTAACCAATAATCCTTTGTAAGTTTCCCTTATTTTGGAAATCAATGAAAGATCAAGTTTATCCCACGAGATATCGGCCTTTTGACATGGAAATCAATCATGATATCGAAACCCTCAGTGCGCTCCGCTCTAGGAAAAAGAACTAAATGGGTCCATATTTATATATATATATGTATATAAATATGGACAACCTACCCTTCAGAGATATACACAATATATATATATATATATTAAATACATTCAGCAGAGATTCCCAGCGCCCAGGCGGCTTCAAGTATTTGCACCCAGCCAAGTAGTCGAGGCATTCGGGCAGTTGGGCCTGGGCCACTGGAAGAAGGAATAGCAGTTAATCAGTTAATCCTTTCTTTCCCATGTATCCCAATAAGCTTTAAAATTACAGGGATCACAAGGTTAAACCCACCAAAAAAACTCTATGAAGTTAATGGGGGCCTTCAAATCAAAGAACATATATTGAATTCTGGTCAATCCTAGGGACATCTGTCCACATATCACCAATCCCACACAGGCCACCATTCGGGAGAACATATGGCTGGAAAAGCTCAAAGTCGTCCTTTCTCGCATCAACTTCTTGATGAATTTTTGGAGGTGGTAAGGGCTCCTCAGGGCATACACGATCCAAAATCACTGTTTGAAAATCACAAAAATCATTGAGGTATTTCGATCACACACCATCGAATATAGCTGGTAATCTTTAGGCTATAAGCAATTCTTGAAATGCCTATATAGCGTGGGAATTTCATCAACATCGAATCAATGCGTAAACAAAACCTCAAGATTTCTGGGGATTAACATATACGTTGCCTTCCGAGAAACCCCAACCCTATTTTATAAAGATGGATCTTCGGGTCAACGATTTTCTGTTCCCCATGATGATTCCGTGCTACTTATTAATCACCCACTTCAAATTGCAGTATACAAACGCTTTATGAAGACGGATTGCCCAGCTGAGTGTGGCTGCCATGATGGGTGGGTAGATATTGGGGATGGATTACATTTCGATCAATTGGGCCTGTCATCGACACCGATTGTTTCAGTTCAACCAAAAAGGAATCCTGGATGAATGGGTGTAAACTGGTGTTGAAGCTCCTGATGAGATTGGGACGGTGGGCAAATTCAAACATGGTATAGATGATCATATATAGATACATATATGTGTATCATCACCTGTTGGTTGAATGATATTTATGTTACTATATGGAAATAGTCTCAAGATTAAGTGCAGTTGGATCCAAGCAGAAACAATAAGGGGGCATCATACCTGTTTGTTCGAGTATGGATATCAATACAGGATATGGTTGATAACATTTTGCCCAAAACCATGCCTCACGAAGTTCTTTGGCCAACAATGCCACTCGCTGCCCAAAACAAGGAGTATAGGCCCTGAGCAGAGGGACAAGACAGACCCCGAAAACTTATGTTGATTGGCATTTACAATATCACAATTTTCATGGGCATTTCATCCGATGTATAGTGCCTAGTCACTAGGAAAAAACATGTTTGGACAACAACACCACTGCTAATTTGTTCAAGTAGCTGAGAGGCTTTCAGCTTGTCTTTCAGGCCAACAGTACGGGCAACCCCATTACGGTCAGTGTACTTCCGTACTAATGGGCCACCAGGAAGTGCACGCATTGCTTCCTTGGACATATAGCCACCAACCTGCCAAATACCCCCCAGCAATTTGGAAGAGTTGCTCCAAAGCCTATGCCTTTTGGCCGTAGGTCCTTGGAATGCTCCCATCCAAAAACTTGTCGTGAAAGCCTCAGGACCGATTGGGGTCGGCACAGTCACCGCATTATATAACAGCAACCATCTAGACAGAAAGAGCCAAATCAAGAATGATCGAGCACATATAAAAAGGGACATACATATTCCTTTTGGTTTCTACGTATGCACCCAAATAGCATAACAACAATTTTGATTGTTTGAAAAGAACTCTTGATTTCAATCAAGTGGCAGGGCAATGGGTCACAAATTCTTGCCACCGGGGATGTAAATTGAAAATGCTTCCCTCAGGCTGTTCAACAAGCCAAATCAATCCACGGCTCACGCATATCCAAAGAAGCAGTACTACCCTGCTTGCTAAGAGGTTACCCTCCTGAACAAATCTCCTCGAAGTGTCACCAAGAGGAAACAGAATGCCACGGCCCGATGTGGATCGACTCCTAAGTGGGAAGCATATGGTGGAATTGTTGTATAATGGGGGGTATTCTACACATTTTGGGATACATATATGCTTTAAATAGATGCGTGTATAATATGTAGATATTATGTGACATGCGCATGGCATTGCGCTGAAAAAAGGCAGTGTTGAGATGTAAGTTAAAAGCGGCTACGTATTTATATAGTATATGCACCTGTAGAAACCGTGCTCTTAGCTTTGCATGATGTCAGAAAGCGTTAACTACAAGTAGTTGGATGGCTATAGGTCAGCTATGGATGAATGGTTTGATTGATGAATGGATATGGGTGGATGGATCTGGATGGATGGATGGATGGATGGATGGATGGATGGACGGATGGATGGATGGGTGAATGGGGATGGATGGATGGATGGATTTATGATCGAATTGATATATATATATATAAATATATTATATATATATAAATATATTATATATATATAAATATATTATATATATATTTATTTATTTATTTACGGAGATGTATTCACTGATGTATGTTTGATAAGTTCAATTCTCGGATGAATTCTTTGCCCCCTTGATATTCCAGCCTGGGTGCATTCGGCAGTAGCTGTTGCAGCAAAGTGCAAAGACACAGAGCGAGCCAGGAACTGCACGAAGAAGCTCATTGACAGCCATCCTGCAGGATCATTTGGGTGAGGGTGGCATGGGCTGAGATTGAGAACCATGGAAACTCATGGCGACCCCACCAATTGTTTTTTCACTTCCCATATATCATCATTTTGATAAAACTATATTATATATACTTGATGTTCCATGGTCATCGGTCAACCCCTATCCCAGGGCCGAGGGTTAGACATTCCAATTTTGGACGAAACCCAAGATATGAAACTGGACAAATTGAACGTATGATTGAGATCTCAAAAATTGATATGCACAAAAATCTGATTAAGCCATGGTACAGGAACCCAGTGCGTCCACACAAATCATAGTGTGCAGAATACGTGATATCATGTGAAGATCCCACCAGGCCATGTGCTCTGCAAGCTTTGCTGATTTCAGCAACACCTGCAAAAACCTCCACAAACTCAACGTTCATGGTTCTGTCCACCTTCTCGTTGAAAGTGAGGAGGAGGCATAGTAGCATGAGAACTGCCGGAGCCGACCATCGTCGAAACTCTAAGATCATACTGGCACTGGCAACGGCGTTGCTCAAACCCAACTGAGCTGAAGCGGCTCATGATTGTAACTATTTTTTTTCAGGCAAGACAATTTCCATATCACTTGACTAGTCAACTCTTCACAGAACTCACTCTAAGTTCATGGTTCTTCGCCAATGGGACTCCATGCTATCGGGCAAGGCTGCTCTTTAGAATCTTTTTCCCAGGGCTTCAACACCGCGCAAAGATGTTGATAGGATAGCCTCGCTAAGTCACATGAATTTGTTTGGACTTGAGATGTAAGATGCTGAAACAGCATGCTCCCGAAATAAATGTGATCCTAAATCATGCCCAAGGGTTTGTTTTGGTGCCCTTTGGACAAAACCGTCTTCGAATTAGTTCCCCCACCTCAAGGGTGCTGAGAAGTTCCTTTTTTAAGGTACTTTCATTCCACCTTTGGGTACATTCAGTATGGGAAACGCCTTCATCCTTCAATTTCCGGATGAATTCAACTTTCTTCGCATGGTACTCTTTAGGGGCGTATGCGCTGCCATGATGGGTGGGTAGATATTGGGGATGGATTACATTTCGATCAATTGGGCCTGTCATCGACACCGATTGTTTCAGTTCAACCAAAAAGGAATCCTGGATGAATGGGTGTAAACTGGTGTTGAAGCTCCTGATGAGATTGGGACGGTGGGCAAATTCAAACATGGTATAGATGATCATATATAGATACATATATGTGTATCATCACCTGTTGGTTGAATGATATTTATGTTACTATATGGAAATAGTCTCAAGATTAAGTGCAGTTGGATCCAAGCAGAAACAATAAGGGGGCATCATACCTGTTTGTTCGAGTATGGATATCAATACAGGATATGGTTGATAACATTTTGCCCAAAACCATGCCTCACGAAGTTCTTTGGCCAACAATGCCACTCGCTGCCCAAAACAAGGAGTATAGGCCCTGAGCAGAGGGACAAGACAGACCCCGAAAACTTATGTTGATTGGCATTTACAATATCACAATTTTCATGGGCATTTCATCCGATGTATAGTGCCTAGTCACTAGGAAAAAACATGTTTGGACAACAACACCACTGCTAATTTGTTCAAGTAGCTGAGAGGCTTTCAGCTTGTCTTTCAGGCCAACAGTACGGGCAACCCCATTACGGTCAGTGTACTTCCGTACTAATGGGCCGCCAGGAAGTGCACGCATTGCTTCCTTGGACATATAGCCACCAACCTGCCAAATACCCCCCAGCAATTTGGAAGAGTTGCTCCAAAGCCTATGCCTTTTGGCCGTAGGTCCTTGGAATGCTCACATCCAAAAACTTGTCGTGAAAGCCTCAGGACCGATTGGGGTCGGCACAGTCACCGCATTATATAACAGCAACCATCTAGACAGAAAGAGCCAAATCAAGAATGATCGAGCACATATAAAAAGGGACATACATATTCCTTTTGGTTTCTACGTATGCACCCAAATAGCATAACAACAATTTTGATTGTTTGAAAAGAACTCTTGATTTCAATCAAGGGGCAGGGCAATGGGTCACAAATTCTTGCCACCGGGGATGTAAATTGAAAATGCTTCCCTCAAGCTGTTCAACAAGGCAAATCAATCCACGGCTCACGCATATCCAAAGAAGCAGTACTACCCTGCTTGCTAAGAGGTTACCCTCCTGAACAAATCTCCTCGAAGTGTCACCAAGAGGAAACAGAATGCCACGGCCCGATGTGGATCGACTCCTAAGTGGGAAGCATATGGTGGAATTGTTGTATAATGGGGGGTATTCTACACATTTTGGGATACATATATGCTTTAAATAGATGCGTGTATAATATGTAGATATTATGTGACATGCGCATGGCATTGCGCTGAAAAAAGGCAGTGTTGAGATGTAAGTTAAAAGCGGCTACGTATTTATATAGTATATGCACCTGTAGAAACCGTGCTCTTAGCTTTGCATGATGTCAGAAAGCGTTAACTACAAGTAGTTGGATGGCTATAGGTCAGCTATGGATGAATGGTTTGATTGATGAATGGATATGGGTGGATGGATCTGGATGGATGGATGGATGGATGGATGGATGGATGGATCGATGGACGGATGGATGGATGGGTGAATGGGGATGGATGGATGGATGGATTTATGATCGAATTGATATATATATATATATAAATATATTATATATATATATATAAATATATTATATATATAAATATATTATATATTTATTTATTTATTTACGGAGATGTATTCACTGATGTATGTTTGATAAGTTCAATTCTCGGATGAATTCTTTGCCCCCTTGATATTCCAGCCTGGGTGCATTCGGCAGTAGCTGTTGCAGCAAAGTGCAAAGACACAGAGCGAGCCAGGAACTGCACGAAGAAGCTCATTGACAGCCATCCTGCAGGATCATTTGGGTGAGGGTGGCATGGGCTGAGATTGAGAACCATGGAAACTCATGGCGACCCCACCAATTGTTTTTTCACTTCCCATATATCATCATTTTGATAAAACTATATTATATATACTTGATGTTCCATGGTCATCGGTCAACCCCTATCCCAGGGCCGAGGGTTAGACATTCCAATTTTGGACGAAACCCAAGATATGAAACTGGACAAATTGAACGTATGATTGAGATCCCAAAAATTGATATGCACAAAAATCTGATTAAGCCATGGTACAGGAACCCAGTGCGTCCACACAAATCATAGTGTGCAGAATACGTGATATCATGTGAAGATCCCACCAGGCCATGTGCTCTGCAAGCTTTGCTGATTTCAGCAACACCTGCAAAAACCTCCACAAACTCAACGTTCATGGTTCTGTCCACCTTCTCGTTGAAAGTGAGGAGGAGGCATAGTAGCATGAGAACTGCCGGAGCCGACCATCGTCGAAACTCTAAGATCATACTGGCACTGGCAACGGCGTTGCTCAAACCCAACTGAGCTGAAGCGGCTCATGATTGTAACTATTTTTTTTCAGGCAAGACAATTTCCATATCACTTGACTAGTCAACTCTTCACAGAACTCACTCTAAGTTCATGGTTCTTCGCCAATGGGACTCCATGCTATCGGGCAAGGCTGCTCTTTAGAATCTTTTTCCCAGGGCTTCAACACCGCGCAAAGATGTTGATAGGATAGCCTCGCTAAGTCACATGAATTTGTTTGGACTCGAGATGTAAGATGCTGAAACAGCATGCTCCCGAAATAAATGTGATCCTAAATCATGCCCAAGGGTTTGTTTTGGTGCCCTTTGGACAAAACCGTCTTCGAATTAGTTCCCCCACCTCAAGGGTGCTGAGAAGTTCCTTTTTTAAGGTACTTTCATTCCACCTTTGGGTACATTCAGTATGGGAAACGCCTTCATCCTTCAATTTCCGGATGAATTCAACTTTCTTCGCATGGTACTCTTTAGGGGCGTATGCACTGCCACCAGAGGATTCATCCTTCGATGGGGGTGTTTTTTCTTGGTCCTTAGCTTTGGCACACCTCCTCTTTTTCACAGGGGGCTCAACCGAAGAGGGCTCCTCATGTTCCCCACTCCCCTGAGTAGCTTCAACCATGTTGGCTTTGTACTGTTTGTTGATCGCGAAAGGCTCCGGAGTAGGTGGACATGCCAAAGTTTTCAGCACCTCATCCAGAATAACTCTGCGAGTAGTATGATGGAACGAAGGAGATATATGAATGCATACTGCACAAATAAGATATATATATATATATTCCAACATGATTCTCAACAAATGGGCTATATCAACCAGGTATTCCCATTCTGTGAGCAGCGAGCGTGGAAATGCGCACTTAAAAGCAGACAGATATATATCAGCAGACATCTTTTTTTTAATTATATACACACCGATACATGAATATTTGACAAACAAAATCTGTATATACTTTCGAACAATGGTTTTGCATGATCTCCAAACTCGCCCCCAAAAACATACAGTATGTCTCCATATAATTAACTGTGGTTTGACATTGTCTGTGTGAACTCCCAACTCTTGCATATAAAGGAACATAGGATGGCAGCGCATGCGATTGCTGATCAGGAGACTTCTTCGCACTTGCAACGGCAGCTTTCAGTGCCGTCGCCAAAGATGCCAGATCCTTGGGCTTCTCCGGGCTGATGTCCTGGCGAGTGATATCAAGTCGACAAACCTTGCACCATATAAACCGTTGGAACACTTAAAGAAATCCAGAAAACAGACCAAGATCTAATAACTGTTGGACATGCATGGGCTTCAAAGTTTTAAACGATTGGATCGTGTTGACACCGAATCACCAGATGCTTCAAATACGGCACACATACCTAGAAAATTTGTTTTTTTTTCATTGGTCAATCTATGAAATGCTAACATTATCAGTATACATAATGGGTGATTTTCGGGTACCACGATATATGACGCATCCCATCCTGGATCTTGTTGATCTCTGCTGCATGCTCCTTGGCAGCTTTGAGCTGCTGTGCCAGCAGCACCAATCGGCAATCCGTCTGGGTCTGCCCAGCAAAGTCCGGAAGTGCACCAGTGCTCGACTGCAGGGTTGGGGCATACGACATACACAGCCATTTCAAAAACTTTCCACATGTTTTTGTAGATACAAATATATGTACAAATATATGTAGATGAGACATGGACCCTCAAAATTGATAGCCAATACCCGTGGCCAGAAAAATATGTTTTGACAGAACGACCCCAGGAAACCAGTAATTGAGCAAAGTTGCAGCTGTTGACTCAGAAATCTCCGACAAGGTTTCCAGGCTAGCAGGGCTGAAGTCATCCTCCTCCTCGTCATCATCAGGGTGCGAATCGCTAGGCTTGAAGTCCTAGGGCGCAGAATATATTGCCAATTCTCCTCAGGTCATAATCTTTTGGGGTAGTAACTTATTTTTTCTACATACAAGGGTGGATGTTATAGCATGAAGGGTCAACAGGGTGGTCACTTGGATCCACAAATATGGTTTCAAAATCGTTTTCAATCGATCCAAAACATGCCTTAACCTTCACCGCATGGCAGCTAGGTCCCCTTCTAGAAACACTCAAGGGCTATCAATGTATAATATATATATATATATGATATAAATAAAACGCTATATATATATACATATTATACCTATGATTTGTATAAATGACATGATCTATAATCATGTGTATAAAAAAATATATTTAAATATGTAAATATATAATTATGTACACATAGTATAATATATATATATATATATTTGAGCTTAGCCACCACGATGCCAGCCAAGCTCTTCTTGAGGTCAGAGATCTTCTTGCGCTTGCTGGTGTCAGCCAGGCGGTAGAGCCGGCGGAAGCGACTCACCTGGGCATGCGGGCTATGTCAAAAACTAAGTGATCTACCTAACTGCGAGATTTGTAAAGACACCATGCACTATGGTTCCAAACATTCCCAAAGATAGAGGAAGCTGATGCAGAAATATTTTGAGTGCCTAGATTTGCAGTTTGACCCATGCACTCACCCTGACCACAGCTGTGCGACATCCCCAACATCATCTTTGAGGACCCAAGCCCCATGATCCTAAACGCATATATATTAATATATATATATATATATAGGTGTGTGGGATTTTTGCATATATACATAGATTTTTGTTGTAAATGCATACTGATCAAATTCAAATTTGTAATTGCGAGCCCCATAGGGTTGGAGAACCACCACTCTGGAAAAAACAACATTTTTGGTGACCTCATTGTTTTGACCCTACCAAATTTAAGATTTCACACCATCAGAAATCCAAGTCACCAAACGCTGGAGTGCACGACCTTGACGAAGGGCCCAAGTATCAATGATGGACATATCCTCAGAGATACCTGTAGGAAACAAATGATGCTTTGTGTAGAACCTGAGAATGGCATGCTTGAGGATGAAGGCGCTATAGCGCCCAACCCCTCTTGAAGCCTTCATAACTGCAAAAATTGCTTCCCCATTTCCTTCGATATCACGGAGTGAAGGCTTCTTGGGAAGGGGCTTATACAATTTCCCCGAGCAGTCGAGGAGAAAGCTGAACCCGACCTGAGTGGGATTGAGTTACAAATATCCACATGTTGAAAAAAACATGAAAAAACCATGAGGCCACAGTTTATGATCAAGTACATGGGGGAAATGGGATAAATTCTGACATATTATAAGCTCATCCCAGAAACCTCCTTCAACCGCGGTTGCTCCGCGAAGGCCTCTGCGTAGCTCTCCACCAGCTGAGCAGGCAGTTTCCGCTTCATGGTCTGCTAGCTATGCCTTGAACCCCTAAAAAATTGACCATGCAGTTAACCACACGAAGCGGCCAATGAAGTTCATTGCACGGACTAAAACCACTGAACATAAATGTGGTATATAGCCATATATATGTTTGAATTTTGATCTATGATATAAAGCCACATCTGAACAATTCCTGGTGATTTGTTGGTTTGTTTGATGCCATATTATTGGCATTTTTGGATGCTCCCAATATGGTAGTAAAAATTAGATGTGCAAATTCTCTGTAAGGTTATGCGTATATATTTACATGTGCATATGTTTAGATATATATCTATCTCTATACATATCCGAATTATTTCTACTGGTTATGTCTTAACCATATCTGGATTCTTGCCCGCTTACAATACTGGGATGCTGATATATGTCAGGTACCCATCCATAGTGGTCCCCTTTTTTTTTTAAGAATGAATCCTCACTGAAATATAATATAGGGTGCATTTACTATACTATATTAAATTTTGGAGGGATTGCTCCCCATACAAAGCCCACAGGGGCCCATGCCCGGTGCAAACACCGGCGAAGGCGGATGGGGGCACCTGCTTGCAGATCCAGCAATGTCGCCTAGGCGGCAAATCCGCAGGATGGAAAACAGGGTTCCATGCTGATAGCAACAATCCAATGATATCCATCCTATTCCCCAAAACCTCTATACATCCAATCAAAACAATTAATTACAAGCTTTTCTGCCAATTCCTAAAGAACAAAATACGAGATTTCATAGGGCCTCTGTAGATCCACTATATGATACAGTTTTCATTCAACCCCGTAAACCCTATGATCACATATGTTTTTCCATACGCTCGGATGGCCCCCCGAACACACAGATATTGGTCCGATGGGGAGCCGAACCATAGCAAAGACCAGAAATTGCGCTCGTTGCCATATGGCCTTCCAAGGAACAAACTCCCCAAGACCCATGTACAGTCTCAAAATGGAAAATGCACAAATAGGCTCAATTTTTTTTTGCACTTAGAGTGAAGGAAATATCTCACCTTTCAGCCTGACAACCTGCAGCAGCATGCCAGGCGGATATGCACTGAGATTCTGAGATGGGATCCGTTTGGAAACAGAAAATCGAGCCCTCTAAAAAAAAGGAAACATGGCGTGTGCTAAAAAAGTACAAATATATATATATATAAGTTCCACTTCAAACCAAAATGTCAAGTTGGCTAATTCACTGGACCCTGCAGCCTGGAACATCGGAGACCATCCGCAAAAGGCCGCGCACTTGCTAGCTCTGGAGGGTGATTGGCGTTGTTGAAAAATTTTTTGGGCACGAGATTGCGAATTGGATGAGATTTTTTTTTTTGGGGGGTGGGCCCCGACCCAAAAACTTGTGAGATCGTGATGTTTCTCAATTGTTTTGTTTGAAGTTCCACAGCTTCTTCCTACGATGGGCCACTGGGCGGTGGACTTTCAAAAATCACAAATCTATACATACTACATACACGGTACTTCAACTTGGTGCACTGGAAGAAAAATAAAATGACCCCAGCTAAGAGGATCGACCTAACACAGCCAAATAAATAGGAATGACGCGTCATCCAAACAGGACAAATATCGATTGTTTGGTGTATGTGCAGGTCAGCACGTACGTATATAAAATATGTATACTTAAAATTACAGGGCATGCAAGAAATTGTCCCATCATATGTTGAAAACCACAGAATTTTATACCATCAAGATTGTATACCACGATACCTTAAAATAGTGTTTGTGTGGGAGCCCAAAATGATGAATAAGGATTCAGCTATTGACCATGGGTTGTTTGGGGGAAATCAAATTTCGAAATGTGGGCCATAGGTTGTAATTAAAGGTATACATTCCCCATGAACCTTGCAAACAAAAGAAAAATGCAAAACACACACGTATATATATATATGATAATATATATATATATAATATAGTCTTCAAAGTTCATTATATAATTATATATTTTTCCCCTCAGCGCTAAAGTCGTGCATGGCGCACCCATGTTTTATACATGGGTGCTGAGAATTTCTTTGGTTCCAGCCAAATCTGACCAGGAAGTGATTTTCACGCACTTTCACGTCTATATGCCCTTTCACGTCTATATGGCCAAATGACCTATGTACCAGTTCACGTTGTCAAAATGCATGTCTAGGAACAGGAAACTACTAGAGGTAGGTAGGGGAAGCAAGGTGGTTTTTGTTCGCCTACCCATGGCCTTGCCGCGGAGTGGAACGACCTCTAGTAGCCACTGTTGGACCCTCAACCCAAGTTCCCCTAAAGTGGACCCTGACAACACTCCCAAACTTTTTCCACTTTCGGATACACGAGGTCCCGAAGCGTCCAGGCCGCTGTGGCCCAAATCAAAAGACACGTGGCCCTGGTCATCAAAAAGGACCGGGTCACTCAACGGAACCGGGCAAGGCTCCATCGGAGAAATCATCGCCAAGGGGTCAGGCAGGACGTCCGCCCGTACACCACCCTCAGCGGCATAGGAGGTATTCCCAACCTCCCGGAATACATCAGGTGGTCCAGTGTCTTGGACCTCTATACTCATAGCTTGGTTCATAGCTCCTGCCCCCGCACAAGTCATAGGGGAACCACTCATCACTTCTTCTCGCCTCCCTTGCCTCTGTCCTTCCGGGACTCCTCTCGCCTTTCGTCCTTTCCGCCGTCCTTGTCCGACTTGCCTTTGCCCTTTCCCTTGGGCTGACCCTTGGGGGTAGATGCTAGATTCTGCCACTTTGTCTTCGAATCCAGGTAGCTCTCCCGCTGCGCTGCCTGCAGCTCGCCCCGAGCAATCAGGGCGGTAGCTTCCGCTGAGGCAATTTTCACCTTCTGTGCCACCTGCCAGGGAGTTCCGGCAAGGACCGACTCCTGGGCTTTGAGCCTCTGGCATAAGATGTCGGTGGCGAGGGCTACCCGCCCCCTCAGCAGGGCATCTACCGCGCTCGAGAGTGTCAACAACTCTCGCGCCTGCGCTCCTGTTGCCTTGCGGCCCAGAACATTGCGGTAGTACAAGAGAGCTACCGGTTTGGTCGACTGCAAGTCGCCGTCTTCGCCTGACGTCGCCAACAGGCTCCGGCGCATACTCAAGAGCGTCTCTACCGACAGTGCCCCCGGGAAGCGCTCCGAAAGGCCTCTTGCCTTTGTCTCCTCCGAGAAAACCCCCTCGGTCGCCGGCTCGCCACTCGATGTGCTGGTCGAGGAGCCACTGCTCCCGTGACTGCTGCTGGAGCTGGAGCGCCTGCTCTTTTTCCGCGCCGCGTACTTCTGTGCCCTCCTGAGCACTCTCTTCCTGATCTTCTCCCGCGGGTCGAGGGCCGTGCCCCCGAAAACCTGTGACAACTCCTTCACCGATGCCCTGGCCGCGTGTCTCCCGTTCACCAGTTCCTCTGCGTCCTCCTTTGCTTTTTTCTTCTTCTTTTTCTTCTTCTTTTTCTGGATCTCTTCCTCCTCTGGCTCCTTTGGTGTCTGGCGTCGTTCTCGACGTGATGGGGACGCACGGGCCCTCTCGCCCCTCTCGCGCAGGAGCTCCTGCTCCCGCCTCCTCAACATCGCGAGCTCGTCCTCGCCCTCCATGGCAGGGGGCTCCAGGCTGGTGACCCAGCCTTCCTCTCCTTCTTCCTTGCGGCGCCTGCCTTTCAGACCATGGGCTAGAAAGTCGCCACTCTCCTGGCGGCCGCACTGTGGGGGGCAAATGTGCACCCGGAAGGGCTGATCCTTCATCCCACTGTGTGCTCGCAGGACCCCTTCGTGGTCGGTCCCGCTGAGGCGCACTTGAAGATAACTGGAGTCCTTCTCCACCTCCAGCCTCTGGATTGTTCCGGCTATCTTCGCCGCGCCCCCAAAGTAGTCGGCCACCGCAATGACCAACGACGACCCAGGTTTGAACAGGTCGATGGGGACCTGGTGGAGCTCCGTTTCCAGCCCCTGCTCCCAAAGCGTGCGGCCTTCCTCTCTTGCAGCGGGCCTCCGCCTCCCTTGGCGAGCGCGGTCGGGGGCGTCCAACACCCCCGCTTGTCCGCCAACCCGAGCTGCTGGCCTCCGCCTCACTCCCAGCGGCCTGGCCCGACCCAACGCTTTGGCTTTTGCTTTGCCTTTTGGGGGCATTGTCTCGCCGCCTTCTTTCGGCGCCTCTCCTTGATCTTTTTCCTGGTGAATTCCCTGGCCCGCTCTCGGTGCCTTTCGCCTTTAGTCCCTCTTTCTCGGGTACGTTGTCTCTTCTTGGGCCTCCTGGCAAGGGGGGGGCCGTCCCTCGCTGTCCTCCTCTTGATCTCCCGGTCGGGGTCCTCCGCCCCGCCTCTCAGGAGTGATCGGTCGCCTGGGGGATCCCTCTGCCCGGCGGTACCCTCGATCCGAGTCAGGACCGTTGGGTGCCCGGTCCCGGTTATCTCTGCTTGAAGCTTTTGGGGCTGGCCGCAGTGCCAAGGCCCCTGGATCCTCCAATTCGTCCCCTGAGTGGCCTCCTCCGTCACGAACACCTGTGCCCTCAGGAGCCGCCCCTGCTGTCTCCCGTGGGGTAGTATCTTCCTCGCCGGCCTCCGCTTTGACTGCTGTGGCCTCTGGCTCCACGGCTGCCTCCTCTACAGCCCCTTCCTCTTCACTGGATTCCTCTGTGTAGTCGCTGTCTCCCTTCTCGCCCTTCTTGGCGGCGGGAGCTTCAAGCGGCCCGGAGGTTAGGCCCGATGTTGCCTCCTGTCCAGGGGGAGGAAGGTCTGCCCTACCCTTGGGCAGATTCTCTTCCACGAGATCTGTGAGCTCCCCTGCAGCTCCCCGTATGATCTCAGCCACCCTCCGCTCCTGTTCACCCTTGAGATGTCCGGAGCGCAGAAGGCCGCTGATGCGCTTGAGCGCTCGGCACGCGCCACACACAGGGCTTGTTGCAAAGACCCCGCAGTCGGCGCACACCATAAGCTAAGAGCCAAACACTTCAGGGATAAATCAGGAAGTAAGGACACTCTTTATCCCCGGGGGCGTGGAGACATATAGATAGATAGATAGATCGATCGATCGATAGATAGATCGATCGATAGATAGATAGATATGTATAGAGATATATATATATATAAATACATATATTTTTTTATTATTATATATATATATATCCCAAAGGCTATTGCACTACGGAAAATGATGTTTCACCATCAACTTTTGGTGTATCCCATTTCAAACTTGACACCAACGTCTACGTGGGATGATATTCGATAGCCATAGGCCCGTGGTTAAATATTTGGTCCTAAGAATGATCCACTAATTATTACCAGGGATAATTAACTAATAATTAGTGGAAATTATTAATGATCATTAGGTAATAATCATTAATTATTCCGAAAATTACATCCATTATTATTACCAAGTAATATTTACGTAAAATTATCATTACAAGATGTGGTAAAATATCGTAGATCCGAATCATTAGTCTGAATACAACATCTACGTCGAATCTACGTAGTACGTACGTGTGCATGAAACCAGCAATCATTTTTTCCTGACATCTTTAGACTGCATTTCTCCGGCAACCCTTTTGCAATCTCTAACATTGCCAAAACCGACTGTTGGGTTTCCGGGTTACCCCATGTTACCCTCAATTCGTTTCAATTTCAGACAGATCAGCCAACTAGATCAGTTGCCAATTCTTGTTCAATCCAGATTTCAATGGATTGGTTCAAGGAAGAAAGACTGGAAACCCATGGTTTTTACGTGTTTGGTGGTTGAGCCCTACCCCTCTGAAAAATGATGGACTTCGTCAATTGGGATCATGACATTCCCAACTAAAAATGGGAAGTCATCATCCATTCATGTTCCAGTCACCACCAAGCAGTATATCATCAGTATACCAACCATGGTTCATAGATATTAATGGTGATTAATGGTGATATTAATGGTGATTATTACTGCTTATTAATGGTGATATTACCCTTTGGTAAACGTTTACATAACTATGGAAAATCACCATGCTATTAATGGGAAAACTCACTATTTCAACGGCCATTTTCAACGGCACTTTTTGTTAACGTTTACCAGGCCGGGTATGCCAAGCATGTTTCCTCAGAGCTTCCTGTAGACATGTCCTTTGAAATGACCTCGTGACCTCTGAGGTCCCTGCGACTCTGCTTTCAAAATGGCAGGTTGCCTTGGAATTTGCTGAAGGACACATCCAGACACCCACAAAAAACCCTCCAAAAGAAAAGTTAGTTGATGATGATTCCAACAGCATATTCGCCATCTTAAGCATCCCTTGGAATTTTAACATCACTTCACCATCAACAAATAAGGATTCCATGGGATGTCTTTCACGGAAATTCAACCGTTAAAGCCGTTAAAGTCGTCCGACTGCGCGACACATCGGGGAAGTCCCGCTTAAGCAGCTCTTAAGCTGTGGGCAAAACCGCTTGAGCATCAGAAGTGAACGCCAAAGTGAGTCCAAAGCTGCATATGTATATTTATATATATATATACATACACATTATTATACCCATAGGATCCATGTATGGTATATATGCTAACATTTGGGGAGTATATTGATGGTAAATGTTAGCATATATAGCATACATGGATCCTATGGGATACGTATATTTATACGACATCATATAGTCATAAATATAGAGATGAAGATATGCATTGAAGCAATGGTAGATCCCTGTAGGATAGAAATGGATGGGCAAAACCTTGCCGCCCCAAAAAAAACTCATTACAGTTGTAGCCGCGACGTAGCCCTGAACAGGTCGAAATGCAATTATAATGAAAGATGATATATGATGATATATGATCTGGTTGGTGGTTTCAACCCCTCTGAAAAATATGAAAGTCAGTGGGGGGTACTATTCCCAATATATGGAAAAAAATGTTCCAAACCACCAACCAGTGATATATCTTGCTTACAGGAGTTGTAACAACATACACAACTGTGGTCATAACTGTACTGATTTCGTGAAATATCAATCCCCCAAAACTGTAGCTGAAACCCCCAGCTTTAAGGATGATGTTTATGATTTATGATGTTTTCCCAATGTTTCATCAATGAAACCTCATATTTGGTGCTTACCCTCCGGTAAACATAGCTATGAAAATGACCATTTTTTGTGGATTTACCCATTAAAAATGGTGACTTTCCATACTTATGTTTGTTTACCAGAGGGTAAATCCCCACATCAAATGCCTTAAATCCCCAGGGCAAGTTGCTGTTGTCCAGTCCACTCTTCCACGAACTTGACCCGCCGCTCAGAGGCCCAAAGCTGACGTTCTAAGAGAGGCCTCAAGGGCCAGGACGGAAGTGGGCAACCATGAAACAAACCTTGGTAAATGTGGGGAGGATCATTCTTGGTAATAGTTGGGTAAATAGTTGGATAATTAGTTGGCTTGGTAAATTGGTAAATGTCTATCTATATAATAAAACATCACCCAACTATTGGGGGAGATCATCAAAAAAAATACTTGAAGGTGATGTGTTTCACAAATCCAATACTTGGGACATTTGCCAGGCCCTGTGAAAATATGCCTGCCATGGTGAACACATGGTATATGATGGTATATGATATATGTGGTATGGTCGTCCATCCCATAACTAGAATTCTTATGTTGGCCACTCCAATTCCTATTAACAGTGCTTTGGCACTAATCAAACTCTTCAAGATGGCACATATAAAGATCGACAATAATAACACCCTTAGTAGAAGATAAAGATGAACATACTAAACCTCTAGTGAAAGATGCTCGAAAAACTCGAAAGCCAAACTGTTTGGCCGTTCAAAACTGAAGTTTTTGCCCGAACATGTTGTGGTTTTGTTCCCAAAAAATGATGTGTTTTTCTCCAACAATGGGGTCTCAAACATCATCTGGGTGTGTTCGGTTTTAGTGAGAAAAGGACTGTGACAAAGCAACGGAACAAAGGATTATGCCTCATTCTCAAATATTCAAACAAAGTCCGATGTCTTTAGATTTCTTTGATGGAATATGAAACCAGTGAGGTTGGTAAAACCTATCTTCGCCTTACAAAGATAGCCTTCTCGGACCTTCCACTTACCTTTGAGATAGGTCTCTTGCCAACCACGACTGGTTGGTGGTATACCGACCCCTGTGAAAAGTATGACTTCGTCAATTGGGATTATTATGATTATTATTCCCAAAACAAATGGACAAATAAACATCATCTTCCAAACCACCAACCAGTTATGGTATATACAACTGGTTAGTGGTTTTAACCTCTCTCAAAAATATTAGTCAGTTGGGATGATTATTCCCAATATATGGAAAAAAACAAATGTTCCAAACCACCAACCAATCAACCAGTTATGGTTATATATATATATATTAATAATATAGATATTATATATATACTATCATATATATATATGTTCCAATGATACATTAGGCAGTTGTATAACCTATCGAAAATTGGTGTAAAAAAAAAACCGTTGGCTCCAGTCGGCCGGCCCGTTGCCAGGCAAACGTTGGGCCAAGGAGCCATCCCCATGGATTCATCTCGACCTCAAAAGTGGTGATTCAACCAAAAACAACGTGGATTTAGCATGGATTTTCTGCTTTTATTAATCTCTCAAATCTCGGAGAATCATCCAACATCCAGCAGTTTCCGCACCGAATTTAATGGTTTAACGAGAAAAAAACATGACAAATCTGACAAATGGGCCAGCGGAATCCGGTTATCACCAGTTGATAAGTGGTAAACATCCCATTATCTATAGGGTGTTAACCATCCTTTTGGTGGTGCAGGGTTTCTTTCACCCACCGTATTACTAATATATTAACGAGAAAAAACATCGACGTCTTTTCATGCCCACATTTTTGCAATTGTTGGTGATATCCAGATTACAGTGCACTTAAGAGCCACCACATTTGGTCGGCTGAATACCCTATCAACACTGCTATATTGTCTTTGTCTGGACATAGGACATAGGGCACCCAAAAATTGGATGGAACAATGATTTTACCCGCTGAAAACGGGATACCCACCATGTTTAGACAACCATGTTTTTTTGTTTTGGATAAAATCAATTCAAATGTGTTTTTCTGTTAATTCCCTTTTCGTCTATCACTTGGTCAAAAAATATCAGTAGCTCCTCAGCTACCCATTCAAGAGAGAATATGGATACCCATTGTTCCTTAGCTCCCTCCCAACCGCTGGATAGTTTTAAGCATAAACCCGAAATTTGTACTATCATGACCTATTAATACCTATTATAATCTGGCGATTTGGAAACAGAACCCAAACTAGTCACTGATTTGCCCATGCGCCCCACGATAGCCATGGAGCATCGGGGGGTACAAGATGATGCCCAGTTCTACGTTGCTGTACAAGGGCTATTTCCCAAAGAGATATCTACCATAAACCATCATATTTCATCATAAACCCTAGTTATGGGAGTGGGTTGCAAATCAACTTAGCTAACTTAGCTAACTACCATCTGGTTATGACTAACATAGCCATGGAAAAGCACCACGCTTTTAATAGGTAAACCATCTATTTCTATGGGCCATCTATACCCTGGCTATGTTAGTCATAACCAGAGGGTAAATCTCGTGAAATCGCCCAGGGTTGCTCCATGCCTACAAAATCGGAGGCTTTCACTTGGGACTTTGGAAAATCACCCCGAATCTTTGGCTGATCAAAATCACCCACCAAATTACCCATGGTTAATAATGGTTTATCAAAAATGTTTATGAATAATGTTTATTAATAATGGTTATACCAAAATTACTGTTAATAATGGTCAATATATGGCTATTATATGGTTAATGATCTTGAATAATATGGTTTATCAATGATAATCTAATTGGTGGTTGAGCCAACCTACCCCTCTGAAAAATGATGGACGGAAATCGTCAGTTGGGATGGATTGACATTCTGAACAAAAAATGGAAAGTCATAATGCATTCATGTTCCAAACCAGCAACCAGTAATTGGTGTATCCCATTATTTTTAGGGTTTACTGAACATGGCCATAGAAATTGTTGATTTACCCAGCTATAAAATGGGGATTTTCCATAGTTTACCCATTGAAAATGGTGATTTTCCATAGTTTACCCATTAAAAATGGTGATTTTCCATAGTTTACCCATTAAAAATTGTGATTTTCCATAGTTTACCCATTGAAAATGGTGATTTTCCATAGTTTTCCCATTAAACATAGTGATTTTCCATGGTTCTACCTATCTTTGGGAACTTCCAACCGCTCTTTCCACGCAGCCCTGGCACTTGGCACTGAGACCCGCACGGTACCGAGCTCCAGAATGTGCTGACAGGAACGGAGCTTGTCCTGACATCGAGGGCGGAAAAAAAAACAGACTAGGGGGTACCATCTGGTTATGACTAACATAGCCATGGAAAATCCCTTATAAATGGAGGTTTTAATGGGAAAATAATCTATAAATGTGCCATTTTCCACAATCCATGGATTTACCCTCTGGCATATTCACATAGACCCTGGTAGTCATCGGGGTTGGAAGACTAGTTTCCACTATCAATTTGTCATTTTCAGGGTCAACAAGTTAATTTACCAGAGGGTAACCCCTACATAGCCCCAGGCTTTGGTCACTCCCATATCAGGTTGTTGGTTACGTTGCGAAAAAAAAATGTCCAGATATCTCTACTATGTCCCATTTTTAGATCCATCAATAAGTTGGTGAACATAACTACAAGAAGTAGGACTTATGGTAGATATATCTATAGTTGATGGGGGTTATAAACTAACTTATAACTGGGGGTACCATATTGTATTATTATGGAGGGATTAAGGTGCTAAACCCATCAGAAAAATCAGACACATTAACCACTCACTAGCAACGACATATTTCTGGTTGGTGGTGCAATAACCATCCTGAAACATATGAGTTCATCAATGGGAAGGATGACATCCCATATATGAAATGGAAAATAATCAATGTTTGAACCCACCAACCAGATATGGTTAACCCCTATTATTATGGGTTAATATGGGTTTACACACATTATAAAGACCAAGTATTCATATGTTCTATCGGTTAATATGGGTTGATTCTCAATTTGAACATATGCATCATATTCATCATTTAATTACCCTCTGGTTGTTTAACATTTACACGCATGATAAATTTACACAGATGATAAACATGATCATTTCCCGAACTGAGACATGGTGATTTTCCTTGTTCCTACGTTCAATTACCAGAAGGTATATGCGTTAGCATGAGCTAATATTGGCACAAGTAATGTGAATATGGAATATATTAGCAGAAGTTACTATTGGCACAAGTATGGTGTTTTGTTGATCTTCTGCTAGCCATAAGCTTGGCCAATCTCAAAAGACTGGTTCAGATCTAGGGAATTCATGTCTGATTCGGAGGTGTTGGCCCGGATAAGATCATAGAGCCGAACGAAGTCCAGTGGCGATGCATGTGAGGTATGGGAGGGAGCATCAGCTGACTGGGCGCTACCTTGAGCGGGTAGCATACGTCAGGTAGATTTTTCTGACGCACTCCTAAGAAAGGAAATACGTCTTCTAGGCGAGCTTCTTTGTTATCAATGATTGCAGCCATGGGACCTATTACCCAGCATAATGCGATGAGATGTTAGTCAATAACATATTGGTATAGGTCAACCAAAAAAACATAGTTGATTCATAAGAAAATCCCACATCTGGTTTGAAACCATTGAATTTTGGCAACCATGTGTGAAACTTTGTAGTTTTGCTGTTTGAGGTTGCTCGATATGTCAGGAAGTACAACACAATCAGCCAATCAGCTCTCAGCCCAAAAAAAATCAGTAACAGGGTTTCAGTAACTGGCCCCCATCCGAAAGAAAAAACACATGGAGAAGGTCTGGCAACCCAAAGTAGACAAGGCTGGTTGCCTAACCTTCGTAACTTCTGATACCCCGCAAATACAGGTATATGTCCAAAAGCATCAGCAGAAACCAGTGGATACGATATATTGTCCATATACGGGTCAAAAATAACAATAATGATTGGGAAATAGGGAATCTCACGAATTGAAAAAAAAACATCAACAGCAACACGATGCCTACAATGATTATAATGTGCTGCCCCCTAGTTAGCCAAGTTGGTGAACACTCCAACAACCAGGACCCATGGTAGATATATCGAACTAATGGGTTTCTAAACCCGTTCAACTATAGATATATCTACCATAAAGTCCTATATATATATCACTATATCTTGATAAAAAATATCAACTATATATACAATTATATGATATGTTAGTATTTCTATATATTATCTATAGTTGTTGTTAGATATATCGCATTAGTTGTGGTAGATTTGACACACCCCTTACGTCACGTCCTGCCTTCATCCCTGCGGCGTGAAACGCGAAGCGCGCGTAGCGCGGGTTGTTGCTCTGCGTTCCGCCGGCGTCCAGCACCTGTGACGCGCGACCCGGTGCGGCGCGACTATGCTGCGGCGATGTCTGGCCGTTTTTCAAGGGACAAATGGGATGCAATCCACTGCGGTTTGGGTAAATATATTGATAAATTTAATGATAATTCCCCTTGGTTGATGGGTACCCGGTAACCATTCCATAAACATCTGTTTGATAAATGATAATTCAATTCCCCTTGGTTGATGGGTACCCGGTAATTCCATAAACATCTTTTGTTTGATAAATGATAATTCAATTCCCCTTGGTTGATGGGTACCCGGTAATTCCATAAACATCTTTTGTTTGATAAATGATAATTCAATTCCCCTTGGTTGATGGGTACCCGGTAATTCCATAAACATCTTTTGTTTGATAAATGATAATTCAATTCCCCTTGGTTGATGGGTACGATAAATGATCATTCAATTCCTCTTGGTTGATGGGTACCCGGTAATTCCATAAACATCTGTTTGATAAATGATCATTCAATTCCCCTTGGTTGATGGGTACCCGGTAATTCCATAAACATCTGTTTGATAAATGATCATTCAATTCCCCTTGGTTGATGGGTACCCGGTAATTCCATAAACATCTTTTGTTTGATAAATGATCATTCAATTCCCCTTGGTTGATGGGTACCCGGTAATTCCATAAACATCTTTTGTTTGATAAATGATAATTCAATTCCCCTTGGTTGATGGGTACCCGGTAATTCCATAAACATCTGTTGTTTGATAAATGATCATTCAATTCCCCTTGGTTGATGGGTACCCGGTAATTCCATAAACATCTTCTGTTTGATAAATGATCATTCAATTCCCCTTGGTTGATGGGTACCCGGTAATTCATCATAAACATCTTTTGGTTGATTGTAATTCCATAAACATCTTTTGTTTGATAAATGAATTCAATTCCCCTTGGTTGATGGGTACCCGGTAATTCCATAAACATCTTTTGTTTGATAAATGATAATTCAATTCCCCTTGGTTGATGGGTACCCGGTAATTCCATAAACATCTGTTGTTTGATAAATGATAATTCAATTCCCCTTGGTTGATGGGTACCCGGTAATTCCATAAACATCTTTGTTTGATAAATGATAATTCAATTCCCCTTGGTTGATGGGTACCCGGTAATTCCATAAACATCTTTTGTTTGATAAATGATAATTCAATTCCCCTTGGTTGATGGGTACCCGGTAATTCCATAAACATCTTTTGTTTGATAAATGATAATTCAATTCCCCTTGGTTGATGGGTACGATAAATGATCATTCAATTCCCCGGTAATTCCATAAACATCTGTTTGATAAATGATCATTCAATTCCCCTTGGTTGATGGGTACCCGGTAATTCCATAAACATCTGTTTGATAAATGATCATTCAATTCCCCTTGGTTGATGGGTACCCGGTAATTCCATAAACATCTTTTGTTTGATAAATGATCATTCAATTCCCCTTGGTTGATGGGTACCCGGTAATTCCATAAACATCTTTTGTTTGATAAATGATAATTCAATTCCCCTTGGTTGATGGGTACCCGGTAATTCCATAAACATCTGTTGTTTGATAAATGATCATTCAATTCCCCTTGGTTGATGGGTACCCGGTAATTCCATAAACATCTTCTGTTTGATAAATGATCATTCAATTCCCCTTGGTTGATGGGTACCCGGTAATTCCATAAACATCTTTTGTTTGATAAATGATAATTCAATTCCCCTTGGTTGATGGGTACCCGGTAATTCCATAAACATCTTTTGTTTGATAAATGATAATTCAATTCCCCTTGGTTGATGGGTACCCGGTAATTCCATAAACATCTGTTGTTTGATAAATGCTCATCAATTCCCCCTTGGTGATGGTACACGGTTAATTCCATAAACATATTTTGTTTGATAAATGATAATTCATTCCCCTTGGTTGATGGGTACCGCGTAATTCCATAAACCTCTTTTGTTTGATAAATGATAATTCAATTCCCTAGGTTGATGGGTACCCGGTAATTCCATAAACATCTGTTGTTTGATAAATGATAATTCAATTCCCCTTGGTTGATGGGTACCCGGTAATTCCATAAACATCTTTTGTTTGATAAATGATAATTCAATTCCCCTTGGTTGATGGGTACCCGGTAATTCCATAAACATCTTTTGTTTGATAAATGATAATTCAATTCCCCTTGGTTGATGGGTACCCGGTAATTCCATAAACATCTTTTGTTTGATAAATGATAATTCAATTCCCCTTGGTTGATGGGTACCCGGTAACCATTCCATAAACATCTTTTGTTTGATAAATGATAATTCAATTCCCCTTGGTTGATGGGTACCCGGTAACCATTCCATAAACATCTTTTGTTTGATAAATGATAATTCAATTCCCCTTGGTTGATGGGTACCCGGTAATTCCATAAACATCTTTTGTTTGATAAATGATAATTCAATTCCCCTTGGTTGATGGGTACAGTACTTACCATTCCATAAACATCTTTTGTTTGATAAATGATAATTCAATTCCCCTTGGTTGATGGGTACAGTACTTACCATGCCATAAACATCTTTTGTTTGATAAATGATAATTCAATTCCCCTTGGTTGATGGGTACAGTACTTACCATTCCATAAACATCTTTTGTTTGATAAATGATAATTCAATTCCCCTTGGTTGATGGGTACAGTACTTACCATTCCATAAACATCTTTTGTTTGATAAATGATAATTCAATTCCCCTTGGTTGATGGGTACAGTATTAACCATTCCATAAACATCTTTTGTGTGATAAATGAAATTCATTCCCCTTGGTTGATGGGGTACAGTACTACCATTCCTAAAACATCTTTTGTTTGCATAAATGATAATTCATCCCCTTGGATGATGGGTCAGTACTTACCATTCCATAAACATCTTTTGTTTGATAAATGATCATTCAATTCCCCTTGGTTGATGGGTACAGTACTTACCATTCCATAAACATCTTTTGTTTGATAAATGATAATTCAATTCCCCTTGGTTGATGGGTACAGTACTTACCATTCCATAAACATCTTTTGTTTGATAAATGATAATTCAATTCCCCTTGGTTGATGGGTACAGCACTTACCATTCCATAAACATCTTTTGTTTGATAAATGATAATTCAATTCCCCTTGGTTGATGGGTACCCGGTACCATTCCATAAACATCTTTTGTTTGATAAATGATAATTCAATTCCCCTTGGTTGATGGGTACCCGGTAATTCCATAAACATCTTTTGTTTGATAAATGATAATTCAATTCCCCTTGGTTGATGGGTACTGTACTTACCATTCCATAAACATCTTTTGTTTGATAAATGACAATTCAATTCCCCTTGGTTGATGGGTACTGTACTTACCATTCCATAAACATCTTTTGTTTGATAAATGATAATTCAATTCCCCTTGGTTGATGGGTACCCGGTACCATTCCATAAACATCTTTTGTTTGATAAATGATAATTCAATTCCCCTTGGTTGATGGGTACAGTACTTAACCATTCCATAAACATCTTTTGTTTGATAAATGATAATTCAATTCCCCTTGGTTGATGGGTACAGTACTTACCATTCCATAAACATCTTTTGTTTGATAAATGATAATTCAATTCCCCTTGGTTGATGGGTACAGTACTTACCATTCCATAAACATCTTTTGTTTGATAAATGACAATTCAATTCCCCTTGGTTGATGGGTACAGTACTTACCATTCCATAAACATCTTTTGTTTGATAAATGATAATTCAATTCCCCTTGGTTGATGGGTACAGTACTTACCATTCCATAAACATCTTTTGTTTGATAAATGATAATTCAATTCCCCTTGGTTGATGGGTACAGTACTTACCATTCCATAAACATCTTTTGTTTATGTAATGGTTGGGTTCCATTTTTTATTCACCTGAAACTCGCGGCACATTTTGGGGATGGTTACCCATATATGAACTATCGAATTTCGATTCAAGGTCGTGACGTGAGGTCGGTAGAAACTACCAAAATCTCATGTAAGAATGGTGGAGCCATATGTCAGAAATATATAGAAATATGATGAAATATGTGCAAACAGATGAATGACAACAATACATTCACTATCATATATGATATCATATCTTAACAAATTGACTCAAATTGACTAGGTCATCTTATATTATATCAGACTGTAATATCGCATCAATCTGGCTGAATTCTACTGTCAATTCACCAATCTGAACAATCCTAACTATCATTCCAGTGAGGTCTTTGTGCGTTCCTTGTAATTCACCCAAATAACTTGATTGGACGAAGGAATTATTCTGCTTTTAGACTCCAAACCGTGTGAAGTTTCGAATCAACCCATTCACGCTTCATGATTGAGGCCCACAATCCAAAACACAGGGGCCTTTCAATGCATGCTTTCAAGTAGAAACCCACCAATTTTGGCGCCACAACAAATTTGATATTTGGACCTACAACGAGTTGACTATCGGAAGACTTTAACCCTTACCACCTGTTGGTGCAATTTCATATTATAAAGTTATGACAGTACTAGGGCTAGAATGTCACAAGTAAAAACGTACAATTGCTTTCCTTTGGATGAAAATGACAGCACCCAGAAATTTCAGGTATCTGACTGTTTGAAGATTTCTAAGTATATGCAAACGACGCTTTGAAACAAAACAAAAGAATTCTATTAACCATTCATGTCCATTCGTCATTTGCCATCCATCTCTCATGGGGTTCCATGTCCCCTTCCAGTGGATTCTTCATTATGTTTTTGCTGGGTCTCACACTTCCCCACTAAAAATGCAACATATGACAGCATCTGGATCACCTACCTGAAATAAGCTCATTCTGATGCGGTTTTCCTAACCATCATCCTTGATCCTGGATGAGATGGGGTGACACCGCCGCGATTCACCAGAAAAATGTCAAAGATTGCCATTTTTTAGACGCCCTGCCAAGCGGAAAACCCAAGAAGGTCGGCCATGGGATGGGCAAGTTCTTCAGAGCGAAACAGATCAAGTATAAGTGGATAGATGTCACCATAGTTGTAGGGTTCATATCCCAACTTATGGGGGGTTTCCAAACCATAGTGCCATGTTATACTATACCCATTTGTAACCTTAATCACCCCAGGGAGGATGGCCATTTGGCATCTACACCCAGCCCGGTCACCGAAGGCCCCACCCTGAGGTGTTGCGTCTCGCGCACACGAGGGCCACCCTGCCAACCTCAGGGAAGCTGAACAAAACAGTTGGAGAATATGGAATTGAGAATGAGGGATTTGAGAAAACAACTGGCGAATGCACTGTTTTTGTTTTTTTCTATCCTAGCAAAATCTAGCAAACCCAAGAGAGGTGGGATATTAAATTCAAAACATTGCATTCATTGATAAACTATTTTATGTATAACTTAACTATAAAGTCTCAATCCTGATTTCAAGGACTCCAAAGAACAACTTCATCAGTCGTCGCGCGCCGATGTGTTTGAAGCTGGCTGGTCTTAGACAAACAAAGGTCCCGTGCCTAAATAATGCCAGTCCCCCACATTCAAACATGTCAAATGGAAGAAACTCCGTCATCATGGCCAATCTACAAACCGCCAGAAAGTATCAATTCGCCATGATGACAATGTTAACCATTATGACTAGTTTTAGATCATGTCAGATCATCTGGTTGGTGGTTTCAACCCCTCTGAAAATTATGAAAGTCAGTTGGCAACCATTATTCCCAATCTATGGAAAATAAAATTCATGTTCTAAACCACCAATCAGTTACCATAGTAACTATGATCAGATTTACCATACTCTATTTACTATGATCATGATACCCTCTGGTAAACTAACATAACTATGGAAAATCACCATTTTCTATGGGTTAATCAACTATAAATAGCAATTTTCAATAGCAAACTGTTAGTTTACCAGAGGGTAGATCATGGTTTAGTACTGTAACCCAACCGATAGTCACCCGCCCAAGCGTTTTTTTCTCCGAGGGGCTGAACCAAGGCACTTTTCCTGGAGGAGCCTTCGTCGAATTCCATGGGAATTCCCATGGTATATATGGAACCAACAAAACACAGATCCATGGTTTATATATACTATGGAATTATAGTGATTATCCATGGTTTATCATTGATATATATATATATATTGGGTTTCTTGTCATTGAATATCTGAATCATAGCGTATAGTTTCGGGACAATGATATAACTGGGAAACAATTTGGGAAACAACATATTACAACTTGTCAAAAATAATGTGTAGAGGAGTAGATATCCAGTATTGATAATGATAAAACAGTCGGCACGTGGGTTCTACTACCTCTGCCAAGTAAACAAAGGCGAATTGGGAAACTATATGAACACGTGCCAGTCAATAGTGTTTGGTTAAAGTAGGTTCCCATGTTGAGAAAAAAATCTGGCTATCCATCGCTCGAATCAGCCAGATTCAGCTGGCGTCCCTGCGCCAGCCACTTCAAGTACCCGAGAAATTTCACAAAGACCAACGGTAGTCGCTCAAGAGAGGGGATCAATGAGGGGAAATCCAAGATAATTCTTTAGGAGCTCATGGATCAAATTATAATCCCAAAAAAAGATCGACCAACTTTTTTGGAACCTGCTTATTTCGGAACTGACCCCAAAAAACGCACAAAAGAAACAACTAGAAATGAAAAGTTGCAATGACCCTGAAGATGCACATTGCAAATCCCCACATCGAAATATTGCGGAATACGTTTTGGAGCCGTTTCCGGACTCTCTGCTAGACGAAACCCTGGACGTTTCACTTCACCATTCAAGGCACAAAATACGTGTCAAAATCCTAGAAAGAGGCTCCTACTAGTTATAAAGAACTACAATATATCATAATATATATATATAACTATATTCATAATTACATCATACCCATATGCTCCATGGTGCTGGAATATTTACCAACATTTGCCTGAACAAAATCACCCAGTTTGTGACGGTAAATATACCAGAACCGTGGTTCGCATATGGGATATATTAGATTAGATTACTGGTTGGTGGTATACCTACCCCTCTGAAAAATATGACTTCGTCAGTTGGGATGATTATTCCCAATATATGGAAAGTCATAATCCATTCATGTTCCAAACCACCAACCAGTAATTGGTGTATCCATTATTTATAGGGTTTATTGAACATGGCCATAGAAATAGTTGAGTTACCCAGCATATGGGATATATTAGATTAGATTACCCTTTGGTAAACGTTTACATAACTATGGAAAATCACAATTTTCAATAGCTATGTTTCTGGGTAAATCATAATATTTCACTAACCTGAATAGTTCGGCCATTTGGGGATGATTTCCCTTACTAACCATGATTCCAGTGAGGGAGAACAGTGAGGTCGTTATAATTTACCCAGATGTTTGTTTATCAGCGGGTATATGTTTTTCTGAGGCAACTCTCACTCGAAGCGATCGCCACCCCAGGTGATCCCCAGAGTGCCTCGGTCTTTTTGCCCCCAAGAACCTCCGGACCTTGGGCGACAAAGCGACGGGAAACATGTGGTTGGTTATGAGAAATGGGTTACAAATATTCAATAGTTACACATAGTTACTACCGTAGATGGACGAAATATTCAAACCCCTTCTATCCGGTACAATCCCCTCGCCCCCAAAGTTCAATGTTAATGCAACCTGAAGTGCAATAGCCCCAATGGATGAAAAAATCAATCCCCTAACATCACTTTTGGTAACACGCGCGCTGAAACATTGAGATTGGGGGTGCGGGGGTTCAACATAGTGCGTGTTGCAGGGTTTGAATATTTTGTCCATCTACTGTAGGTAATTGATTTTTAGATATGTTTGTATATCCATATAGTTATTAGGTAATTTTCGCTATCATTTTTGTTATATAGATATAGAAAAGACATGAACAACATATATCCCCCAATCAACCACTTAGATACCATGCTGATAGGGACGATCAAACATGTCCGACCAAACAACACAGCCTGACCCCAGGGTGCCTAGTTCAAGAGTTTGGATCTTTGGATGGCTACAAGGTGGTGCCCCCGTTCGATAGTTAAGTTGGTGAACATAACTCCAATAACTATGGTTTATAGGTGATATAACTATAGTTAATGGTGTTTATAAACCAATAAAAAAAACTAGGGGGGCACCACCTTGTACCATTGGAACTCACCCTCATCCGGGTGGTTTGACGGGCAAATGGCCATGTTCTGTTTTGTCATCTTGTGACTTCACCCGCCCTAAGGCTGGTTGCCCTGATAGACTGCGTGGTGTTTTTTATACTAGAGTTCATTGATCAATGATCAATCAATCATTGTTTAATGTTTAAAGGTATGTACTGACTTTTTTTGATAAGATATGATAATAGTTGTCGTTGGTGAATATCAGACTTCTTTATATAATCAACAAACAAGCAAGCCACAGAGATTGTAAAGAATTGAGTGCAAACAACTTCGGCGTATGGCAACAGTTGAAGCCACTTGTATTCCCATCAACTGTCTCATAGATTCATGAATCACCCAGACATAAATCCACAACACCGATGCGCCTAAAATTATATCATCTGTTCTCCCCAGGATAGGGTTTCATTAATTGAATTCCTATCCTGTGTATGTTACACATAGTTCCTATTCCTATCCTGTATAGTTACACAACCAATGTTCAAATAAGAAAGAGACACCAGGCAACCAACTCCCCAGCCCTTGGTGAAGCCGGCTGAACTCGCCCCACTTCGCCAAACGGCTGCACAGGGCACTCCTGGGAACGATGGAAATCCTTAGATTTGAACATCACCTAACTGGTTGATTCGAAACATCACTTACCATCTGGTTATGGCTATTTAACCACCATAAATGGTGATTTAACCGCTATAAATGGTGATTTAACTACTATAAATGGTGATTTAATGGTGATTTAATGGTTTAACAATGGGTTAACAATGACTAACAGTTTGCCATGGGATAGCTGGCCCATAGAAATAGATGGTTTACCATGGTTTACCTATTAATAGCATGGTGATTTTCCATGGCTATGTAGCAAATAACCAGAGGGTAATTCCAAATATAGACTTATAATAGACATTCAAGGTATAGCCAGTTATTTACTTATAATAATCATAAAATAATATCATATACAGTACATCCCTTCTTTCTGTTACTAAAATTCCCCCAATAAAAAAAAGGGATTGGTGTGGCACTTCCGTTTTTGTTTGGTTGGGCAAAATTGGATTCTTAATTGTGGTAATTGATAATCAGTAGGAGAACAGGATGGTGAAACAGTGGGTTCAACCCCCTATTAATAAACATAGATTGCCACCTGGAGGCTTTTTTTTAGGGTCCCATCTGACAAGTTTTATTTTCTAGTCTTATTATTATAAGGTTTTCATTGGAATATTAGGGGAATGCTTCGAAATCCAGTTTTTGACAATATTTTATAGATTTTAAAAAGGGATTTAATCAAATTTGAAATTGAGTTGTTTTTATTTTTACTATTAAGGTTTTTCATTGGAATATTAGGAGCACCCTAATACAAAATACCCTCTAATAATAAAATAGATCACCGTGTTTACCATTTGGAGAGGGGGGGTGTTTTAGTAATAGGGAGAGAGGATTAATATCTACAATCATCAACTTAAACATTCACAAACTATAGATAACTGAACAGTAACTATAGCCAGTATAGCCATGTATAGCCCTAGAATCATCCACCTTCTCACGGGCACCAACTCTCCACGGGCAGCCGTACTGATCCCAAAACTCTCCCTGGTGGAAGGTCTCTGGAGTTTGCTCCCATACCTGCGGACGAAGCCTAGAGGTGGGGCTGGGGCCGATTTCGTGAAAACTGAGGGGGGTTTAATGGATGAAACCAACCGAACTGGTGATTAATGGTTGATTGATGTTATGTTATCCAATTACAGTCAGTTGGTTTATAACTTGGTTAACGTTTGGGTTTAGGGTAGTTATAACTATGGCTAATGGGCTTTATAAACCAACTTTGAACCAGGGGACCCCACCTTGTACCAGGCCTACCATGGGTCTGCAAGTTCTCAGGGTTCTCTTCCTTTACCCTTCCAGTGAACTCTGATATAAATGTTGATTTTATCAAACATGGTGAATTGGGTTGGTTACCTATCTTATCTGGTTGGTGGTTTCAACCCCTTCTGAAAAATATGAAAGTCAGTTGGGATGATTATTCCCAATATATGGAAAGTCATAATCCATTCATTTTCCAAAGCACCAACCAGTGATTATTAACCATGATTAACCATCATTACCCCATACTAAACCAACGTTCCAAACCACCAACCAGTTATAGGTATCTGGAAGGTGGTATTTGATATTATCGCTATGAATACCTTAATACCATAGTCATTTCACCCCCATAAGTTGGGATATGTTTTGGTGGGTATCACCGAAACCCTCAACAAGTCGGGATATAACCTGGCGACGAGTAGACATTTGTTGAGATGGCCAATCTTAAACCCTAAACCCTAAACCCTAAACCCGAAAACAGTATATACATATTCATATATATATATATACAATTATAGTAAATATATACTTATATTAAATATATATTTATATTAAATATATAATTATATATATATATTATATATGTTTGTAATTATACGTGTATATATATATAGCCAATTCATAACACAAGGTTGGTATGAATTTGGTCAGTACCAGTCAGCCTCTTGCAATAATTGGGCCGACACGCCCTCTCTTTTGGAAAGATCGATGTTCGATTTTTATGCTTGGAAGATAAATGTTTCTTTCTCATAGACTTCCCAAACAGTTCCAGTAAATTACTTGTATACTGTATAATTGAAACGTTAAATACATCATCCAATTTGCTCTGTTGGTGATATTTGGTGGCTCTTTAGTGACTGGAGTTTCGAGGTTCGCTGCACGAGTTTTCATTTCATATTGCCATCCAAGCTATTGAAACACCAAATTGTGAGCAAATGCTTGAACTTGACGCAAATACTTGATCACCAGAGGTCCCAATGCATTCCAATTCTATCATTGCTTCATCAAAACCTCATTCAAAAAAAAATTGGTGTTGCTTCACAAAAAAATATGTAGTCTATACATGTTTCCAGGGTAAAAATGAAGGTCCATATAGTTTGGTCCCTCAACAGCTCGCAGCGCCAGGATCCGCACCTTGTCCCACAGACTTTGGATCCTCGGCGGTGAGTCAGTTTCCCGGAGGCACCGGTCATGGTTCAAGCGAGGCAAAAGTTAGGTCCAAATGGATCATGTTAGTCATTAAACATCATTTTTCATGGGAAAATCACCATTTTTTCATGGGAAATCCACTATTTCTATGGCCATTTTCAATAGCAAACTGTTAGTTTACCAGAGGGTAAACATCATTAAACACATGTTTTCAAAACTGGTTGGTGGTATACCTACCTCTCCGAAAAATATGAAAGTCAGTTGGGATTATTCTTCCCAAAAATAATCCAAATGTTCCAAACCACCAACCAGAACATCATTAAACACATGTTTTCAAAACATCAACCTCTGTTTTTCTGATTTTGAAGCCTGGATTTCTGTACTGACCAGACCTGTTTTTGTTTTGAAAAGACAAAAACCGGTTCCTTGGGCGATTTACATAGACGCATAAAAAGATCAAAGGCAGCCCTCTGCAAGGTGGTGCCCACATACTTAGCTACGTTGGTGCCAGTAACTCCAATTTCACTATGGTTTATAGTAGATATACTACTAGTAGTGCCGCACAAGGCGGCGGCGGAAGTTTCAAAAATGGAAAACCTATAGGAGAGCCCTTGGGGTCGGCAAAGCATCCTCTGCATCAATGTAAACATCATGCTCGTACCAAGTATAATGCTTCGGAATCTGCGGTGCTATCACGAGATCGCACCGACGCAGACGCCGCTTCAAGTCCCTCAGCTCGTTCTTCACAAGTTCGTCAGCGCGATCGTCCAAAGGATCCGCTACCATAAGCAAGTATTCTTCTGAGAAAGCAAGCTCAGAAATGCCATTTGCGGATACTTGCTGCTGCACCCACCACTTATTCCACTCCATCGTCGCAGGCAGCAAAAAGCTCAGCACCTCGGCAGACCAATGCGCAGGGGAGTCGGTCCGGTGCAACCAAATAACGTAACAATACTTGTGCGCGACAGCAAAGAGATCATACGTCTTCTGTGTCCGCAGCGGGATTCCTATCAACCTCAAAAGTGCAGAAGACACGAAGAAGGTGTAATCTTGCGTCACCACGGACCAAACGTGCAGGAACAGGAGAAACTGCACACGACGCAACGGAGACCACCCCCGGGTATCTAGAGGAGGATAAAATTCACAACGATCCACAGTGGCCTCCAACTCAGTTAATTCTTGCTGCAGACCGGCAGTATTTTCAACAAGGGTGTTGGTGAAAGAAGCCAAATCTTCGTCATCGGTCTGCTCCAACCCAATATTCCGAAGCTTCGCTTCTGCGAATCGATTGCGACCAAAAATTCATTACTATCATCAATGTCCAGCTCGCGGCCGTACGACCGCAACAATGCTTTTTGGTTCAGGTCGCAATCTAAAATCACAAAATAAAACCTAGCATCTGGAGACCGCTGCGGTTCGGGCGCAGCATCTTGCGCGGGCTCCTCTTGGAAAGAAACCTTTTTATCACTTTTTTTCTTGGCACGCTTTCCTCTGGTGCAGGAAGAGCATCGTCTTTATCACTCTGTTTCTTGGCGCGCTTTTCCTCTGGTGCACCAGAAGCATCGTCTGCATCGGCCCACGGCGGCCTTTTGGGCACGGCGGCTGCGCGCGCTTTTCTGGCGTCGGCGGCGGTCAGAAGAGACGTCTGTTCATCACATGTTCATAGCGCCTGAAAAGTTACGTGAAGCCAGATCTCTCTGATGCCGTTAACAACGGCTAACCCTATGTGCTAACTCCATTCATGTGTCTCTCTATTTCTGTCGCTATCTATTTCTCTATCTATCTTTCTACCTACCTACCTACCTACCCACCCATCTATCTCTCTATCTTTTTATCTGTCTAGCTACCTACCTACCCATCTATGTCTCTGTCTGTTTTTCGATGTCTCCATCTATGTATCTATCTATCTATCTATCTGTCTATCTATCTGTCCATCTATCTAGTAAACTATCGATCTATCTCCCTATGTGTCTATCTATGCATCTATTCATCCGTCAAGTTCTCTCTCCACCTGTCCTTCGATCTACCTCTTGACCTGTCGATCAATCTGTCTAACCGCCACGTCGACAACAAAACAATGCTGCTAGACTTCTGTTGGCAACATCAAAAACGAAGCAATTCTGCGAGACTTTCTTACTTTTTGCAGTTGAAAACTTCAAAAACGAAGCGATTCTGCGAGACTTCCTTCAAAAATGGGAAGTTGACTGTACAGCTGACGGCCTCGTACCAATGCGTTTTGCGATTTTCCATGCCGTGTCTCTAAAGTACTGCGCCTGCCACGAAAAAGTTAGTCCAGGTCATACGAAATGCTGCACCTGTCACGAAATAGCATCTTGGCATAGCTGATGATTTGATACGCCAAAATGCAACCCCTCTCAGGAAATCAGCTCCTTGAGCTCTGAACATCTCTGCTGAAGATGCCTCTTGTACTGCGCCTGCCACGAAAAATGCATCTGTGCAGATCCTCTTCAAATCTCCCACGCCTGCCATCGTTGGATGCACAATCCACGCCACCTACCGTACGAAACGACATCTGAACGTCCAAAATGTCTCCGAGACCCTCAGCTTTTAACACTTTTGACTTCGAAATGTGCTTCGCGCCACAACGCCGTGGACTTTTTCGACATCTCAACTTCCAAGAGTGCTCCAAGACCGCCAGTTTTTACCACTTTTGACTTCCAAATGTGCTTCGCGCCACAACGGCGTGCACTTTTTCGACATCTCAACTTCCAAAAGTGCTCCGACACCCTCAGTTTTTTAACACTTTTGACTTCGAAATGTGCTTCGCGCCACAACTGCGTGCACTTTTTCGACATCTCAACTTCCAAAAGTGCTCCGAACCCCTCAGTTTTTAACACATTTTACTTCCAAATGTGCTGCCCAACTTTTAGGGATTTGGGGACAATAATTCAATTCCTATGGGAATAATTATTGTCCCCAACTTTTCCCATAGGAATTTAATTAGTGTCCCCAACTTTTTGGTAATTTTTGCCCCCAAAAAAGTTGGGGGACAATAATTCAATTCCTATGGGAATAATTATTGTCCCCAACTTTTTCGGTTGGGAAAAGTTCGGGGCCATAACTTTTCCCATAGGAATTGAATTATTGTCCCCAACTTTTTGGGATTTTTTGTCCCCAACTTTTGGGAATTCTTGTCCACAACTTTTCCCCAAAAGTTGGGAACAAAAAATCCCAAAAGTTGGGGACAAAAAATCCCCAAAGGTTGGGGACAAAAATTCCCAAATCCCCAAAAGTTGGGGACAAAAATTCCCAAATCCCCAAAAGTTGGGGACAAAAATTCCCAAAAGTTGGGGACAAAAAATCCCAAAAGTTGGGGACTAAAATTCCCAAATCCCCAAAAGTTGGGGACAAAAATTTCCAAAAGTTGGGGACAAAAATTACCAAAAGTTGGGTACAATAATTACCAAACTTAGGGCCAATAATTACCCAAACTTGGACAAAATAGCTCTAAAGAAAACGTGGTAGAGCGCCATGCTAATCAATCGCGCACCACCCTTCATAATAGTCAATTCCATATCAAGGTCAATTCTTTTCTGATGTATTGTTATGTAGTGTAACGTCTCACACCACCCTTCATCAAGGTCAAGTCTCAATCGCGCACCACCCTTCATCATAGTCAATTCCATCAAGTAAAAGTCATTCGTAACTCGGAAGTATTGCTTCCCAACTTCCTTTGACTACAAGCTTCCCCCATAGACACGGCGATGTCAGCGCATCAAAACCACCGTTTTTTGGTAGCTTTCCCCAAAGACACGGCGACGCCAGAGGACAAGCAGAGACGAAGGTTTGCAGCTTCCCCCATAGACACGGCGACGCCAGAACGAGGTTTGGCAGCTTCCCCCAAAGACACGGCGACGCCAAAGGAGAAGCAGAGACTGATGTTTTGCAGCTTTCCCCATAGACACGGAATTTACGACGCGAAAACGACACGAAAAACGATGCGAAAACGTCGCGAAAAACGTCGCGACGACCAACTGGAGGCGAACAAGGGTCTAGCCCCCAGACCCCCAGATTATAAACGGGAACCCTTCGTTACACATTCAGGAAAAAGCACCGCATGGCACACGCTCATCCTATATGCTGCCAAGAATCATGGCCTCAAGCCGATTCGACTGCTGGCAAAACATGCTTCGAGGGTACAAACCCTACGCTCTCTGCAGCCGCTGTGGAGCAGCAGCGGTGGTGGCCGCTCGGCCTCGGGGACCATGTCTTTCCAGGGTGGCAAACTCAGTGCTTGAAGTACCGGCGGATGAAGGCTGCATGGTCAGGCTGTACGGCATCCACAGCACGCAAGATGAAGAAAGTTTGACGAACAACATTGGCCAAGGACTCAAGGAACGTCATGTCTTGGGAATTGTCTGCTTTTTCAGAGCACGTGTCTCTCAGATGTATCCCTCTGCGGTCATGGAACCTTCAATGGAAAGCTCATCCATGGCATCCTTCAAGGGGTACGTGTTGCCTTTCAGGGTGAGATGAACCTTGAGGGATCCAACATCAAAGCTGGTGTCTATTGATTACCCCAAAGATTGTGTTTAAATGGCCAAATTGCTATACCAATTAATTGCGGGCCAAAACATGATCTTGCCATCTTCAGCTGGAAAACCATCCCATATCCCATCTTTGAGGCATCTTTAAGGTTTCCTGATGTGTAAGTGTTCCCTGATCCTTGCTGAAATCATCAGCTTTGTTTGTACAAAAACCGTTGGTGAAATGAAGTTCCCAATTTTTTTCGGCTCAAAAACCGACCACTTTTCCGATACCAGGACTGCCTTCCGCACCCTGTCACGGTCTTTTAGGTTCCCAGCCAGGGGCTTGCGATGCGACACAACATGAGGCCGGTATTCAGCCAATCCTGCAGCCCCAACGTTGGATTGCACGAGAAATGATCAAATGATGTCTAACCAAAGCTGACAAACAGTAACCGAGAAACAATGATGATGATTTCAATGGATTTCAAGAAACATTCCTATGAGTAGTGATGAACTCCCATTTAAGGTGGCAACAAACCACGTTTGCTCATTGTAAACCAGTGCCTCTGCTGGCAGGTTATGCATTCCAATCCCCTCACCGGCATCTGGGATGGCAGAACATCCACCGACAACATATCCAATGGTTGATCATTTGTTCAGAGCACTGACTGGGAGTTCCAAAGTACCTGACTGGCTATTGCGATTTTTTCTGCATTTCTGACAGTGATATTCCAACCTTTGATCAATCTCCATTTTAAAATCACAATCCCAAGTGATACCCTCTGGATCCCTCTGGTAATTTAACATAGCTATTGAAAATGACCATAGACATAGTTGATTTACCCATTAAAAATGGTGATGTTCCGTAGTTTTTTGTATGTTTACCAGAGGGCAAAATCTTGTGTTCGATGATTTGATCACAGGTTGGTCGATCCCATGCTACCAGTTTCACTAGTGGGATATATGTTGTGGTTAATCCACCCTCCAAACTCTGGGGGGTTCTTCCTCCCGTTTGTATGAGGCTTATAACTCTCATTGTAATTCGGTTAGTAGTTACATTAGTTCACTTATACTTGAGATGAACTAACCTCTTACATAAGTAATTCGTGGGATGAAGCATCCAGATCGGTTCCAGCTTTGCTCAGAGCTCAGAGATCTGTCCGTTTCTGAAGAAATCCCCCGAATTCTCAAGGTCGGATTGGTTGAAGGGAAAATCTACAGAAAACCAGGGTTTTCCCCAACTATAAAATTGTCCATATAAATATATATATATATATATTATTATATATTATATATATATTATATATATATTATATAGATATATATGGTTGGTGGTTTCAACACCTCTGAAAAATATGAGTTCATCAGTTGGGATGATTATTCCCAATATATGGACAAAAAACATGTTCCAAACCACCAACCAGAAATTGTCTATGGCAACCACCATCCAGCCCATCCCCACCAGATCTGCCATATCTTCACCCAAGACCAGATCCTGTGCGCAGAGGGCAGGGAGATCCATGTTTTCAACAGGGTTATAACCCCGGAATCCCTCTAGGATGCCAAAGTCAGGAAATTTGACTTCATCCTAGAGACTTCGGATGTTATAACCCTAGGGTAAACATCGAAAAATGTTCCAAAGATGTGGGAAAGCCCATGGGGTTTTAGGGGGAAATCCAAAGGAAGACGATCGGTTTTCATCATTTTTCTTCAACGTGTTTGAGCCAAAACATATTTAAAAAAATGGGATCAGTGAAAAATCATCATCAATATGTAGACAAACGGCTGCGTATCCAAATTTGGGGATGCTAAATTACCATTGGACCATTTGAAATAGGGATTTCACCATCAAGACAGTAAGAATCAACCGAGTGTGCCCGCTTTGAATACATCCGACATGGAAGGCTGCGAAATTACCGTTTAAATAGACAAATCAGTTGCAACAAAAAAGGAAAACTATAACTTTCCAGCAAACCATGTTCAATTTCCAGAAAAGGTTCAAACATCGCAATAATGGGTGGTTTATCTTTGTTGGAGACCACTAATTGAAGAATCCTCCAAGTGATAACTGGTTGTTTTCATGGAAAAATGCGGGGGGAAAGAAATGTTTTCATAACACAAATCTGATACGGGTATGGCTAGCTTTTATGGCTCAAAAACCCCAAAAACCCTACCCTGTACCCTTGGTGAACGTTTTAAAAAAGAAACCCATATACTGATGTCACTTTGGGATCCATCATGGATTTGAGGGGAAGACGAAAGGCTATTTTTTGGTGGGTTTCCTAAAATAAGGCTACCCCAAATCATGCAGAAATTTTCAGATTAAGTGATGGATTTTCCATTACAAACCATCCAGGTATTGGTGTACCCCGATTTATGAAACCCCCCGTTTCTTTGTAGATGGTAAGTGTTCATTTGCGGGAGTGTAATAGTATAACTGATTGGAACATGTATACTTTTTTGTGAGGAACATCTCGGGATAGTATGGACATGGGTGATAAAAAGTTAGGCGATTGAAAGGATTCTATGGTGATTAGCTAACAATCATCGGGTCATAAAAGGTTCATTGGCGACAAATTTTGGGACCAAACATGATTGAACCAACAGAAAATTGGATTTCGACAAGTCGCATCCACGGTTGAGTAGGTCATACATGCCATAAATGGAATGTGCCTTGGTGGGTTTGAAATGGTTTGAAAGCGTCACGTGGCGGACGTCGAAATCATGATGCAAGTGGATGTCCATCCAAATATCGTGGGTCCAATCCATCTGCAATTTGGGTTTACCATGTGGAATCCTTCAAAATCATCAGAGCAAACTCCGAAATCTATGGAAAATCAGAGGTTTTAACACCCACCAACTCAGTCGTTTCCACGATTTCGGCTCCTTGGGACAGCCCATGACAAAGTTTGCCAAGGGCCATGTGTGGTTCAATACCTTGGCGAAAAAACTTACTGGTGCTAAACAAACGTAGGGTTGCTGGATGGGTTGCTGGGGGTTGCTGGGATTACTATTGATGGCGATGACATGGATCATTCCCGAAAATTCCCTACGTTCAGCACCAGTGACTATGCCCGGATTGGCAAGAACTTGGGATTTTGATTCAAGTCACAGCGGTTCAACTCCTCGACAAAAACCGTCAACTCTGATCCGAAAAGATGAGTTGATCGTTGATCCAATGATTGGATATACCGTACCCTCTTTTGCGAACTGGGATAGATGGCTATAGAAATAGTTGATTTACCCAGCTATAAAATGGTGATGTTCCATAGTTTACCCATTAAACATGGTGATGTTCCATAGTTTACCCATTAAACATGGTGATTTTCCATAGTTTACCCATTAAACATGGTGATTTTCCATAGTTTACCCATTAAACATGGTGATTTTCCATAGTTTTCCCATTAAAAAATGGTGATTTTCCATAGTTATCCCATTAAACATGGTGATTTTCCATAGTTTTCCCATTAAACATGGTGATTTTCCATAGTTTTCCCATTAAACATGGTGATTTTCCATAGTTTTCCCATTAAACATGGGTATTCCTCGTATGGATGGGGGTTCATGAGAAAGTCATGAAGGAAACCATGGAAAAGTCAGCCACCATTTCGAAGTCAGCCGCCATTTCGAAGTCAGCCACCAAATGAGCAGTATCAATCTAAAACAGCCAGTTTTGGAATATGTTTATATAAATCATTTCATGAATGTGTGCGGTAGTTTGCGCAGAATAAGTAGTGTTAATTGTCTATCTATCTGTCTATCTTTCAACTGTATTTCTACTTTTGTATCTATCTATTTATCTATCTGTTTATCGTTCTATCTCTATCCATATATAATGTATATCTATAATCTATATGTATTTATCTGTCTTTGTCTATCTTTATCTAGCTTTATCTATCGTTATCTATCTTTATCTATCGTTATCTATCTTTATCTATCGTTGTCTATCTTTATCTATATTTATCTATATTTATTTATGTTTATCTATCTTTATCTACCTTTATCTATCTTTATATATCTTTATCTATCTTTATCTATCTTTATCTATCTTTATCTATCTTTCTATCCATCTATCTATCCAGGTAAAGATTATAGCCAACTGCACTGCCAGCCCCATGCTGGGGTCGCAGCCATCAAATCCGCATCAAACCACACGAGCCAATCTGCCTGCAAGTCTTCAGTGAGGAAATTTCCGGGCCATCAGAAAACGTCACAAATCTGCTGCCATGTAACCAATCTGCTGCCATGTCTGCTTTTTGTTAGGTACTTGTTTAGGAACCCCGAACTGGAACTGGTCAGAATGTGTTTGGCTCAAAGCGTTTGGGCATCACCAGTGGAATCGACAGAAGCGCGACTCTTGAGGACCAGCACATTGAGAAAATGAAAGGATATGGGGCGAAACGTTAGGTTTTGTAATGAAACCCTAGGTTTTAAGTGACACCCTACAAATTTTGCAGGTTCGGAGGGTTAGGGCATATATATATATATGCATATATAATAAACATCCTCATCTTGGCAGGTAAAAACAGAATTTCTGGTAGTGAAATCCCGATGTTTAGCCACACAAACCCCTGGCTCCCACCTGCAAAAGCTCATGGCAGTCTTGCTCACCTGACAGTGAAGCAGGGTCATTAGACTGGTGTGAAAAGTTGGGGAACATCCATGTGTGTATAGAGACATCCATGTACACATACAAATGTAAATCTGATTATAGTAATTGTAAATGGGTTGATGGATATTCCTCGCTATAAATGGATACAGAAAAATCATTCATCACTGTGTTTGAACATGTATAGGTTACCTCTTGGGTTGCATGTGTTGTTTAGGTGTACAATATGGGTCAATTTGTGTAATGCACCATCCTTTCCAAGGACGTAAAGGATGATGCGATCTAGCATAAGACAACATATATCAAAATATATGTTTTGTGGATATGCAATATACATTTGATATGTGGTAATCATACCTAGGCACATGACATGTAATGCACGAAATGTTACGTGTGTTCACAACCGCTATCATTATATTTTCAGGTAGTGTATAACTACATATATATATATCATATTATATGTATACATGTAGGTATGGTGGTATTATGTGATATCAAATGATCCAAATTATACCGGTATTACTTATCCATTTTGCTACGAAGCCAGTGTTCTTTTATAGGTTATTTCACCCGTTTTTGTAGATGTTCCTTCCCTTGGTTGCTTCACGATGCCAACAAAACATGTGTATATATATAATGCTACAATTGATAATCCAATACCTTATAATGAATCGTCATCGTACTGATACAATTGATACATGTATACTGTATATTGTCAAATACCTTGTCAAATGGGACTATTCCAAATAATCTTCACGCAGATTTTATCAATACTCCCATTGATATTTCATACATCCTAGATATCTACACAGCTGTTATGGACATCACCAATCTATGAATCTACTACTAAATCCACAAGCATTTACCATCATGTTCCCACTGAAAATGGCCTGAAGCCAAAACCATGATGCCATCAGAATCCATCATGGATCCGTCATCCGATCCGTCTGGGCTACCCTCGCTGATCTTCTTTTCCAACAGCTCATTCCTGCGATGGTGAAGCTCTACCCAAGATTTCCCATAAGATTTCCAAATAATAAGGGCGTGATAGCCATGGATAAAACTGGACTTTCATGGACTTCAACATCAAAACAATGAACTTTGAAAAGACGATTTCAACCATCGAACAAGCTGGATTTTTTCACCATCAAGCCGTGGGACATCAGTGAGTTTTGCGACCTGAAGAAACAAAGAATGGGACGTAACCTGAAACAAATGGATTTAACAATTGATTTGATTTTGATATCAATTGATTTCATCATCAATCGTGGAAGACATGAGGCTTCAAAGTTGCACCAATTTAAATGTTTCGCAGAGCCGCAGAAACGAATGAAACAACCACGTGAAGTTTAGAGGACTGTGCACTGTATACTGTACCCCAATATGTGTCCCACTGAATGTTCGATGATTTAAGCGTATTAAATGGTGATAAAAACCAGTCTCTATGTTTTTTTTCAGATGGTACGCTCTGGTCATGACTAACAGTTTGCTGTTGAAAATGGCTATTTATAGTTGATTTACCCATAAAACATGGTGATTTTCTATAGCTATGTTAGTTTACCAGAGGGTATACCTAATGTCAACCCCGGATAAACACAAAATTCCCTGGGCTGTTCAATCCATTTGGGTGTCGAGGATCAGCTCAAAGTCTGAGCAAATTCTTCTACCTACCTGACAGGTTTGATTTCATCCCCGGATTGATACACCCTGACTATTAATTGGAGGTGACACCTAAAGTTGTGATAAATGATCAATGAAATTGGTACCTACCTATGAATAAACTGGGGTCTGATCCATCCTGGTTTAACATTACATGTTGAAAGGATTTTCGAGAGAAACCACATCCACCATGAATGGAGGCCACCTCTAACGTTGACAGAATTTGTCCCGAACATTGCAATTTAGTGTTTAATCATAAATATGTAAATAGCATTGTCGCAAAACACGTGTAATATAAATACAAACCCCCGAAAATTGATGGATGATGACAACATGGTTCCTGGGAAAATTATACTGGATATGATCAAATTACATCAAATTGGTTGTGAGTAATCCAGGAACCATGCAGAACAATTGTCCGTGTTGAGGAAGGTACAACACCTCGATTTCGCCATCATTGCTATAAAATTAAATAATCATTACTATATATACTATTGTATGAAAATCAAATTATGTTTTGTCAACTGTTGAACATGTATTTTCTGAGTATATCACCATGTTTGTTGGTTTAATCTTCAGCGTTGGCAATGTTTGTTGATTTAATTTAATCTTCAGCGTTGGCACTGGAAAAATCCCATTTTTCAAGGTTTAAATCAACACTTCGTCATGGTGAAAAATCACGGTCCAAACTCAAAAACCAAGTCAAATCCCCATTTCCATGGTTAAACCATGGTTAAATAATCCCATAGGATCTATGTATGGTATATATGCTAACATTTGGGGTATATTGATGGTAAATGTTACCATATATGGCATACATGGATCCTATGGGAATGAACACATGTTATGTTTTGCTGCCAGAATTTGACGTTTTGGAACTTTACTCCGCTGCCTGATGGGTTTGGAAGTGACTTTGGACAGGAGCCAGCGAAGCAAAGCCACCTGCAAGCGCCCCGCAATGCCTTTGGATTTTTTTTAAGGGGGGAACAACCCACCAAAATTGGTACAATGCATTGCCGGGTTGTGCCTACATCTTTACATATTCAAATATTTGCCCATTTGAAGATTTGCACAAGTAGATATTTACTAACTACATATTTACAATTTACATGGATTCATTTAAAAACGTAGCACATACAAATATATACAAAAATACGTACATACAAAAATGCAAATACACAAATGTAAATTTGTATAGGCAAATACGAATCTATCAATTCACAAACATACATCTATACATATATGCAAGTATACAAATTTACATGTTGACATATCTACATATATACATATACGAAAAACACATGCATTTTTTACATATCATGTTTACATATTTTGAAAGACACAGACAACATAAGAACATATACGTATATTGTAAAAACACACATAAATACACGGGTTCATAATTCCTACATAAATAAATGAATGACTTAATTAATATAGATATGATTCGTGCACATATCCATTTATATACACTGTTGACGCATTGTTTTTTCACATATTTTCAATACGGAATCCCAGGTTTTAGATTGTGAGGTTGTCCAAATGAGATTGTAGAAGCAAATATGTTTTATTGGTATACATCCATGACCGAATCATGATAAATCGTTGCTTCTGTGATGGTTGGTGGTTTCACCCCTATTGAAAAAGTAATCTGTCACATGAGATGACCATCCCAGGTGTAAAATGGGAAAATGAAACCGCATATGTACCAACTGAAATATGACGCTTCACAAACCTGAAGTAAGGTCGCTTTGGGATGATGTCCTGCCAGCAATAAACCAACCATGTAGAATATACAAGTGGTTTTTTACAAAAACTAATAGCGCATTTGCTAGCTAGTATGCACATCCAAATGTCATCAACATCCCCGATGGATGGAATTCTTAGGGTCTACAGCCCCCATTCCAGCCAATATGCTGGCTGAAAGGGTAGGTACCAAGACTGAAAGCCATGGGCTGGAAACATGACCCCAACCCCAAAAATTTAGCCAAAGTAGGAAAAGTACTAATATGTTCCCGTGGCTGAAAACTAGGGGATGTGAGGTTACCTTGCATCTTACAACTTACATGTTTCAAGTGGCTGAAATCATAGGCACCTGAGATGCAGGCCAACACACGCACATCCTGTTGAATCTTTCACATCCTGTTTCTGAAGCGTTCAACTTTTTTTTTCGAAAAAAACCTTGCATCTGAAGCTTTCAACTGTTTTTTCGAAAAAACCTTGCATCTGAAGCTTTCAACTGTTTTTTTCGAAAAAAACCTTGCATCTGAAGCTTTCAACTGGTTTTTCGACAAAAACCTTGCATCTGAAGCTTTCAACTTTTTTTTTCGAAAAAAACCTTGCATCTGAAGCTTTCAACTGCTTTTTCGAAAAAAACCCTGCATCTGAAGCTTTCAACTGTTTTTTTCGAGAAAACCTTGCATCTGAAGCTTTTTCGAAAAAAACCTTGCATCTGAAGCTTTCAACTGTTTTTTCGAAAAAACCTTGCATCTGAAGCTTTCAACTGTTTTTTCGAAAAAAAACCTTGCATCTGAAGCTTTCAACTGGTTTTTCGACAAAAACCTTGCATCTGAAGCTTTTTCGAAAAAAAACCTTGCATCTGAAGTTTTCAACTGTTTTTTCGAAAAAACCTTGCATCTGAAGCTTTCAACTGTTTTTTCGAAAAAAAACCTTGCATCTGAAGCTTTCAACTGGTTTTTCGACAAAAACCTTGCATCTGAAGCTTTCAATTTTTTTTCGAAAAAAACCCGCATCTGATGCTTGAAAAGCGCGCGATGGCTGGAAAGCTCGGATTCACCTCTGGAGTGGTTTGTCTCAACAAGTTCATGGTGCAACGGTTTGCTTTCTTGATGGTTTGTCTCAACAAGTTTTTAACTGTGGGCAGCAAGTTCACTTACAGGTTACATGTCAAAACCTCAGACCCCAGGATTTCATCTCAACAATTTCATTGTTGGCAGCAAGTTCACTCGCAAGTTACGTGACAAAACCTTTCCAGTGATTTGCGGCTCCGGAGGGTCGAAAAGTAGGCTCGCTAAAGCGGCAGTTGCGGAGCCAGCTGGCCAGTTGAGAGATGACAAATTGCACGCCGTTGTGGCGCGAAGCACATTTCCAAGCGAAAATGTACAAAACACCTGGGTCTCGGAGCACTTTTGGAAGTTGAGATGTCGAAAAAGTGCACGCCGTTGTGGCGCGAAGCACATTTGCAAGTCAAAATGCACAAAACGCACCAGGTAGGGACCACTTTTGGGAGTTGAGAGGTCGAAAAAGTGTACGCCGTTGTGGCGCGAAGCATATTTCCAGGATTTCAACTCAACAAGTCCATTGTGAAACGATTTGTCTTGTTGATGGTTTGTCTCAACAAGGTCATTGTAAAACAATTATTTTCTCCCACGCTGACTTTTCAGGAATCCAATGACCTGAACACTGCAAAGTCTCAAACCCTAGGCCCTAGGATTTATTGCGCAATGGCTGGAAACTTGGGATTCACCTCTTGGTTGATGTGTCTGTTTTCCCAATGTTGTTGGATGAAAACTATGGATCTGAGGTCAGCATAGAAATATAAGGAATCGAGTAGAGCTGTGGCTGAAAACTGTGGAACCAACATAACATGAACACATGCTCAACTGCATCCTGAAACTCTATTTCTCAGAAATGATGCTATCTGGGGCTTGGCTGAAAACCATGGGTACAAGTGTCAGGTAACAGTTGCAGCTGGCTAATTTTTTGAGGTAGAGCTCCCCCCTTTTCAGCCAGGACCACCAGACGGGGATCATCAACTAACGGGAACATCCACCAACGAACAGTGGGAACTCAACCAACTAGGAATTTTTGAACCCGCAAAATCTAGATGTTTCCAATACATTTTGTTTTGCCAGCTGCAAAATCTAGATGTTTGAGTTACAATACTTGCCAAATTTCAATAAGTCCTATCCGAGGGGGGTTTTGAAGGTGGGGCATCCCCACTTCTAAATGGTTATAAAAATTAATCGCGCATATAGACAGGCCCAAATAGATTCTAGATTTGCTGGAAACAGTTTATATAATTATATATAATCAACAAAGCTCCGGAACAGGATGGTTTCCGAAAAAAATCATCTGGTTGGGAAACTCTTAGTAGCTCCCGAGCTCCCAAGTTAATACCCACAGCTCCGTAGCTTCGGCTCTCCTCCCTCCGTATACCGGTCCGTCACAACCCTCTTGGATCTTCTTATCTGAAAACACACCCTTGCAAATTGCATATTCGTTTTGCAGGTGTGCTTGCTTACGTATAGGTGGTTAAAACGCAAACAAAAGTGCACGAGTGATCGCGAGTGTAAAAAACACAATTTCACTTGCTGAAACAGCCGATGCTTACCAACCAAATCTTGGCTAGTTTGGTTCATGTAAACCACCACTACTTTTTTCGGGGAGTCGGGAAAACTCTATGCGGAAGTAAAACTGTGCTGATTAGTCAAGAAGGGGAGCCCCAACGATCGAGCTACCCAGACTGAAATTGTGTGGGCACCACATGACCAAACCAAAAGGCCCTGAAGAAAAACACTGTGTCTTCGCACTCTTCATTCAAACAAATACTAAAAAAACAACGGGGATGTGTGCTGAGTAAGTTGCATCCGTAAGAGTGGCAATCCAGCGTGCCCTCCCTCCAAGGACACCCTGCTGGTAAGCCCTGAGCAGCCACAATGTGTGGAGTGCCTGCTTTGTGGGAAAACTGCTGGTAGTGACAGCTGGGAAATTGATAATATCGAAGCAGGAAAAAACATATTTTGGAACCGTCCCCAATGATACGACATGATGATTTGCCCAGAAGGGATACCAGAAAAGTTGGGATTTGCCCGCCCGCAATGTATGTGCAGGTTATGGAAACCCCTGATTGAATCGCAATGCCAGTCACAAAATGGCCAAGTTCTGGCTCTTACGTTGGCAACATTGCTTTCCAAGGAGAAGGGAGCCGTTTCTCCAACCTTAACTAGGGCAAAAGCTTGCGTGGTTCACGCCGTTCATGCTATAGAAAGCGCCAGCGTTGTGCCAACAGCCGGAGGTCCGCTGCATTTTGGGCCGCCCAGGTGCTGCAGCAGGCCGAAATTAGTGAAGAGCGTTCAGAACAACGCGGCCGGACGTTTTTTGTTCTATGGCGTGCAGCAAGCAATGCGACATCACTAGGAGTTTCGTGATGGGCCGTACAAGAGTGTCAAATCCAACGCAAACATCGAAGAAAGATTCCCAGCTCATGGTTTTGCCAATCCCCATGGGATAGATAGATTTAGTAGACAAAGTGATGGCCCCGAAGTTATGGTTTAAACTTCGAGCTCTAGATCCCAACAGTTAACCCAAATAATGTGTATATATATATATATGTATAATATAATATATATATATGTATATATAAGTGCATACATATATTTATGTATATTAATATGTATATACACATATGTGTGATTATATGTGTTTATTGGATTAGCTAAGTATGGGGCAACACTTTGAAAATCTTTGAAACCATCCAAAGGGCATCAACAAACCATCATGTCTCACTCAAAACATCTTATCATATATATATATATATACCTTCTGGTAATTTAACATAGTTATTGAAAATGACCATTTATAGTGAGTTTTCCCATTAAAAATGATGATTTTCCATAGTTATGTTAGTTTACCAGATGGTATATCATTATAAACATATCCACATGTTTTCGATTGTTGAACCCCCGAACTCGAACAACCTAAAAACCGTCAACAGGTTTTCGAAACTCCGCATCCCCAATAAAATAATGATTCTGAACGTGATAATCAATGGGAATTATTCCTCTTAGCTCTGAACCATAGGCCTTATGGTATCTCAAATCGATCGGTACCTGAAATAGAGGTTTCCGAGAAAAAGGGGTAACCTAAGCCCTAAATCATCCATGTGTTCCTGGAATTCTCCATGAAATTCTCCAAACATTTATACACCCACGATTTTGGGGAGATAGGCAGCCTTCCCCCAGGCAAAGTGGCGATCTTCGCACAGGACCTCGGTGAAGGGAAATTGATGACTTTTCTCCAGAAATGTGTGGAAAAATTGAGGAAAAAAAACATACACTATTTATATATTACTATGTATATATATATATACAATAGTATATATATATATGATTATTATATATATATATTATAAATTATGGGATTATATAATATGATAATATCATATATTATATATACATGTACTTTGCTCACCCACAGATTCAATCTGATTCTATGATATGCCCCTTAAATGTTTCACCATGGATTGGACGCATCTTGGAAGATCAACTGAGGATCTGATCGAAACACATCCAGAAGCCACCATTGATCAGTTTTTGCCCGGAACACCGTGTTTTTGTTCCCACATGGAAGATGAATCGCTCAACAACGGTCGAAAATGGTCCTTAGTTAATGTTTCTGACATAACAATGATGACATATATGTTGATTGTTTCTAATTATGTGTATTTCCTGGATATATACAGCCCACAATACAACAGTTACTGGATGTGGCCCAGGTCTGGACCACCCTTTAAAAATCGTGAAAAGCAACGACCTGGCAACTCCCAAGATGCGGAAATGTCATGAAATGTCACTGTCCGACCGGTATATTTTGGGGTCAACTGCCAAACCAAAAACGGTAGCCTCTGGGATTTGTTACAGTTTGCTATCCCATAGGATCCATGTATGCTATATATGGTAACATTTACCATCAATTTACCCCCAATGTTAGTATATATACCATACATGGATCCTATGGCTATTGAAGCCATGGCCCAGTCGAAATAGTGAGTTTTCCCATGTTTCACATGCTGGATCTTTCCATCGTCTTTTTTGTAAACGTTTACCAGAGAGGCTATCCTGACCAGAGTCTTACTTCACGACCAACATCATTTGCTGTACCGACATCTTTCCGAACATACACCGACTAAACACTCGGATCAAGCCAAGATAAAAACCATCGAAGTGCCCTGCTCCAGAATCATTGGCGTAATCTTTGGGTTTTGTACCAATGCTTTAATGGGTGAAAGTCAAACAATGGGTAGATCACCCAATGTTTCTATGAAAAAAACGGCGAGTCCGACTGATTTTCCAACTGAAAATATGGAGAACCCCAGTCGGACTTCAGTCGGACTTCCCCTTCGGGTCTCAACCATGTGCATCCATTTGTGATTTTTTTTGACACTAAAACATTGCAGTTTAGTTGGATTTTGATCATTACGAGCTCCATGTTTTGTTGGTGGTTTGAACCCCTCTGTCAGTTGGGATGATTATTCCCAATATATGGAAAGTCATAAAAGCCATGTTCCAGTCACCACCAATCAGTCATTCTTGTTGGATATCTCCTCTCAGAAAACCACCAAGTGATGAAACTTATGTTTGATGCCCAAGGTCACCCGCCCTATGAAAATCACCTAAGTTGGATGCTGACCATCCACTGCCTCCACTTTTTACGTGGCAGTTTCTGGGACAATCATCGAACCTTTCATGGAGAAACTCCTCCCAGGAAAGTCATTGAAATGGTGGATGACTTTCCATGGGGATGGGTTTTCCATATATTTCCCTAGAAATGGTAAAACAAATATGCATTCCCTATACCCTCTGGTCATGACTAACAGTTCGCGACATTGAAGCCATGGCCCATAGAAATAGTGGATTTACCCATTAAAACATGTGATTTTACATAGTTATGTAAACGTTTACCAGAGGGTAAAATCTACTTTTTCCATATGATGTCCATATGTTTTGTCATTTTTTCCCCTATACCCTCTGGTAAACTAACGTAACTATGGAAAATCACCATTTTAAATGGGCAAATCCACTATAAATAGTCATTCTCAATAGCTTTGTTAGTTTACCAGAAGGTAAATACTGGATCTTTCCATCTTCCACGACATCCCCTAGGGGCCCCTAGCCTTCATCTCCTTATCGCTGAAGACCAAGGATTGCATCCTGGCAACAGCGCGGTCCTTGGGAGATGGCACTGAACCCATAAGTTATCTAAGCATAGCTTAGCATCATGGGATTTTTTATGGAATTTCATGGGATTTACTGGGATGAAATGGAGGCTTTATGAACAATGATATGGGTATGGATCAATACCTATTAATACCATTTTTAGTGGGATGAACATCCATTTACCAGCTATTTTGATGTTCACCAGGGGTACAGGGTTTTGACCCATCCCCATATGGAGGTTTCATGGAATTTCATAATGAACAATGATATGGAGGGTTTATGATCATCAAACCATAGGATTCTTCATTATTTTGAGGAGTGTTCATGAAGGATAGCTGGAGGGTCTATGAAGAATCTTATGATCAATGGTAAAAAAACAGGATCCTAAAATGGAGCTACTGTATATAAATGTATATCTACCATATGTTTGGCCATATGTTGTGGGGATATTCCATAACATAGGCCTAACAAAATAGGCCTTATGTATGGTAGGTACCTCCAAATTAGGTTCCTGAAATGGGCATTCATCATTCCAAATGGTACTTCATCATAACTATTAGATGCTTACTATGGTGTACTAAGCTTTGCCATTATACTAAGCATTGCTATTTACTTCGTAATTTGCGCGAATGCAAAGCTATTTATGGCTTAGTTTATTCATGGCTATCTAATGGCAAATGGGTAAATTAACGAACTAAATGGCAATTTGCAATAGCTACATTAGATTACCAGAGTGTATCTAAGCTAGACAACTATCCAGCATAGCCTCTGGTAAACATTTCCATAGCTATGGAAAATCATCATCTTTAAGTTCTGTAAATCAACAAACTAAATGGGCCATGGCTTCAATAGCGAACTGTTAAATTACCAAAGGGTAACATAAATTTAACTTATGGTATACAATTATCTGGATAAGTTCTAAGCTATACAACTATCGAGCTATCTAAGTTTATGTAATCATGGCTATACCTAATCTTTCAGAAGACCATACGTATTCTCAACCATAAGTTAGAATACAACATACAACAGCCATCTAAATTGATATATATATATATATATGTGTATATATATATGGATTTATCCAATGATCTTTTTTCTATATGGTTAATCTAACCATGGAATGCAAACCCCCCAAAATTGGGATTGAACCACTCTCACTGCTTGGGTTATATACGTAACTTAGTAGTCGAGTTGCACCGGCCAAGTACAAATGGCATGGTGCAACACCCCACAAAATGAAGGAAAACCTGCAGGTTATCCCTCCAATCCTGGATGATTTTTAGTGAAATTCAGCTTTTTTTGCAATCCAATGTGGGTGTATGAGAAATGGGCAACAACCCAGCACCAAAATTTGTCAAGTTTAGTATGGGTTTTTATGATGATACCCTCTGGTAAAGATACAACAAACTATGGAAAATCACCATTTTTTATGGCTAAATCCACTATAAATCACCATTTTTTATAGTTTTTTGTATGTTTACCAGGCCGGGTAAACAATGACAAAACTAGAGTTGGATTTGAGGTACCCAAACTCTTTAGACAACCCCCATGTTCAACGGTTAAGTCCACATTTTGGGGACTATACCGGCTAGACATGGTTTGATGACTTTTCTCCCAATCTTGGTTGGTCATTTGGCCAGTTCGAAGAATCCCTGGAAATCCTGACCCATCTTTTTTTCGTGACCCTACAAGGTGGTGCCCCCATAGTGATGTTTGTTGATTTACAATCCCCATGAATACTATAGATATAACCCCCTAATCAACCCTAGTTATTGGACTTAAAAACCAACTTAGCTAACTATGGGGCACCACCTTGTATATATCTTAGTCTAATCTGACTGGATAAAAACTCATTACTGGTTGGTGGTTTCTACCTACCCCTCTGAAAAATGATGGAGTGAAAGTCAGTTGGGATTTTCTGACATTCCCAATATATGGAAAAATGATCCATTCATGTTCCAAACCACCAACCAGTATATCATCAGTATACCAACCATGGTTCATAGATATTAATGGTGATTAATGGTGATATTAAAGTCATAAAAGCCATGTTCCAGTCACCACCAACCAGAGCAAAGATGATCCATTTCTGGGTGACTGCTGAAAACTTACCCAGCCCTGTCTGATCAGCAGGTAACATCCCACACATGAGGATCAAATCAAATTGTCCCGTCTGAGTCGGCATTTTCGGGCCATATCAATCAGCTGTTCATCTGCTGTTCCAACAAAAAGGTGAAAATCGACCAAGATCTGCAATGTCGGCCACAAAAAACATGGCCTCCTTTCTGAGACTTGCATGGCATGGACTGGGTTGAGTTTTCAAAAGACGAAAACAACAGGGACAGACAACACTTGTGGGAAACAAGTGACACATTCACTCTATTGTGTGGGCCACCTTGTGAACACATGTGAATACAAGGTTTCCCCCCGGCCGCGGGTTGCCTGTAGCCATGTCGTCGGCAGTAGGTGGCATTGATCTTGCTACAGAAGTGTCCCACCTATCAGGCATATCAAGGACCATACCATGCCCTGCCGAAAAAGGGGTCATTTTTTGTACCCAAAATGTGGATTCATCCACCGAAACCATGGGATTTTCCACGGGATTTACCCCATCCAAACAGGGATTTTGTCATGGGCATTTACTGGGCATTTAAAACAGGGATTCCGAAACGCGATTTTGTCCTAAGATGGAGCACCACACGTCTGACGATGTTGAAAAACACGTTGAATTCAACTCATCTGGGCGGCCATGGAAAGTCACATGTTTCATAGGTACAGGGGTTCTATTTGCATGGCTATCATTTTTATGCCACTTTGCATAGCTATGTTATTTTTCCAAGAGTAACGTTAAACATGATAAAACAGTTTCACCACGATTCAGAGGGTAGTGTTTGTTTTTCGCACCAACAAAGACGATAACTCATCAACAATGGTGGAGGTGCTTAATCAACATGAACAATCAGGATGAAGCAACAGGCCAGAAAATCCAGAGGTAAGAAACTCAATAGGCTTTGTGCAAGACCTGGGCACCCCAAAATGCTTTTGTTGACCATCATTTTCCACATTCAAAACTGCCATAAACTGAGTGTTAAGACCTTGTTTCTGGAGAATCTCCAGCATCCCAATAATATATAATGGTGATATCGCTGCATTGCACAGCCTCACTTCAGTATCTTCCCATGTAGCATACAATAAATTTTTCATTGCCACAGAGCTGTGACAAAAAGGAACCTCCCACTGACAGGATTTCATTGGGGACTAAGCCCGCGGGTCATTTGAGCACACCGGATATATCGATTTTGTCTTTGGCCAAACAGTCCATTAAAAAATGAGGAAGTTCTAAACAAAAATCACTAAGCTGAAATAAGGCCTATTTCCTCGAGGAAGGGCATGCATCCACCCGATGCCGAGATTAAAGGGCGGATCATCAGGTGCAGAGATATCACATGGCAGCCCAAGTAGACATGCACCTATTTAAAGATAAATCATGATAATTCACTAACCTGAAATAAGGCATGTTTGGGAGATCGTCAAAAAAACCCTTCACTAACCATCATTCCAGTGACGTTGCAGGGACGTGACTATGAAGAAAATGAACCTTCAGAAACATGAACATCTAGGTCAAATTCCTCCTAAATCCCCAGTTTTGATACCATATGGACGTGTCCTACAAAAAACAGGGCACCCCCCAAATCCATTTCAATAGGATTATGGATACCTCCATATAAAAAAAAAGAGGTTTCTTCAGTGATGTTTGAAAATGGATATCTCATAATCCTATTAGGTATCCTAAATTCTCCATTTAATCCTCCATTTCATGTTTGAAAATCATACCCCTCTTTGTTTCCTAAATGAAAATGATGGATATCTCCACACAATTTAAGTGTCCATCGTGACCGGCCAGCGATCGGCCTCATAGGAGTCATTAAAGAGAAGCACCGCGGAGATACGGGGCCTGGCCGGAGATAGGTTACCAACATGGCTATGGGATCTATGGGTCAGCCTACCTAGTGAACCTCAAGTCGGGTCATAGCTGATAAGTAGATCTTCATCCCATTAAAATTGATAGATTGTTTCAATGGATTGGTTTTCACGGGAAAAATTACAGGAAAGCCCCATTTATTTCATGGGAAAATCTATGGTTTCCGGTTAAGATTTTCCCTTAAACCAATCCATTGATTGTTGGTTTTGAGCCAGCCCCATATCCAACCTGTTTTTTTTTTTCCACTTGACCAGAATGAGCATCACTTGCTGGCCTTCGGGATTCCCATGGATCCCATACTTGAAAACGATCAATGCCATCTTATGTCATCTTTTAAGGAGATGAACGTCCACTGGATCAATGCCATTTTTGGTTGGTGGTTGAGCCCTACCCCTCTGAAAAATATGAAAGTCAGTTTGGATGATTATTCCCAATATATGGAAAAATAAAAAATGTTCCAAACCACCAACCAGCATTTTGATATTCACTGGTGTACAAGTACCAGTGTGGGACCCATTTGATGATGACAATGTTCTGACTATTGTGATTTAGCACTTACACAGTAGGGTGCACCCCTTCCCATTTTCGGGGTATGAAAGCCACAACGTATGACTATCATTGATTATCTTACTAGTAAACAAGAGTGGAATCGTACTACATAAAATACTCATAAAGTGGTACCCAGTAAATTAACAGTTCGACCCTGGCAGTCATCGGGGTTGGAAGATTAGTTTCCTCTAAAAACATGGTGGATTTTCAGGGTCAACAAGTTAATTTACCAGAGGGTATCATGGATTAATAATGGAGTACTATATCAATGGGATTATCATGGGAAAACTCACTAGAACTCACTATAAATCAGTTTGCTATGGAAAATCACCATTTTCAATAGCTATTTTGACATAACCAGAGGGTCACTTGCCGACTTTCACCATTTCTTCGACTGGGAGATAAGCCATTCCGGCAAGCCTATCCGACTCCATCAGAGCGGAGCCGTCGACTGGGTCATTGATTTGCCATTGATCCAGTGGGAAAAAATCGTGTTTTTAGATGTCAAAAAGCACCAAAATGTCAAGTTAGTATGGGGAATATGATTCTGGGTAAATTATAATATGTCACTAACCTGAATGGTTCGGCCATTTGGGGATGATTTCCAATACTCACCATGATTTCCAGTGAGGGAGACCAGTGAGGTCGTTATAATTTACCCAGATTGATCCAGTGGGATTTATCGTGTTTTTAGATGTTTTTAGACAGGTCACACAGCGGGATTCTCGGCAACACAGTTTTTGGGCACACAACTATAAGTGGGTAGTATCTTCAATTTTCTTTCTCGGAATCGATCGTTTTGCAGCAGGCAAGCTGAGCCAAAACTCCACCGGAACAAAAGACTCCAGAGGTCATGACAACTCATTTTTCACGATTGCTCAAATGCCAAAGCGCAAATACTTGACAAACATGTGGAGCTTGGAATTGATCAGCGAAAAACATGATGATAAATCTTAGCATATTCTATATCAGCATATCATGATTCACCGATTAACCATACTAGCGAACCTTTGTGGTCGTCCTTTTGAAAAGTATACAATCTGAGTGCCATTTGGCATTGCTGGAGCCCGCGTCGCATAAAGTTTCTGTGTCCGTGACATCTACCGTCGCGTCGCATAACGGTTGGGGCCGCTGAGTGGCAAACAACAACTGATCATCATGAATCTATTGGTGGTGAATATTCAATCGTTTATCAAAATGGCAAAATGGGTTATGTACCCCTCTGCATGAATCACCCAGCCAGTGGGAATAGGACATCTCTTACCTATGATCATCTATGATCAAAACAACCCATTTGGCCAATTCCGGGAAAGAACTCTCAAGGGTTGAATAGCTGCGCATTCACCCAGTGTTAGATGTGAAGACGCCTACTGATCTGTTTGCCCATCCTTACGCAAGGAAAAAAACAACCAATGCCTGTCCTTCAGAAGAAAATGCCGACCCCGGACCAGGAAAAAACATGCTGTGTCAATAACAGGGCTACTATTGGCCAGAAGGTAATTTACGTATACCGTATTATTCTGTATATTTCAATATATTTCATGTCTGAAAGTTGGTTGTCACCTTTAAAGTGCTGCCTTATTGGGTTGCCTTATCAATGCCAACATTGCGACTTGAAGTTCCTCATGGCAAGTCCCGCTTCGAAGCTGCAAAAACCCAAGTGACCAATTTTCGGGGAATTTGAGCAGCTCACTTGCCATTGCTAAAGGGTTCAAAAAAAAAAACAAACTCAACCCAAGTGCGAGATATGAACAAGTTAAGCCGGGAATATTGACGATTTGGGTGATGATTAACATCAATAAATCGATCAACATTTCGACTTCAAAACCGATCACATTCTGATGAACAAGTAACTTATGACCAGATACCCTCTGGTTATTTGTCACATGGCCATGGAAAATCACCGTTTTTAATGGATATCTCCAAAAAATGGGCCATTTTCCATGGCTATGTTAAATAACCAGAAGATATCTCCAAAAAATGGGCCATGTTCCATCATTTTCCATGGCTATAGTGAGTTTTCCCATTAAAAAATTGTGATTTTCCATAGCAAACTGTAAACGTTTACCAGAGGATATGATATTTTGTTGACCCAATTTTCATAGTGCCACGACCTGGGATCCAACATGATCCAACCAGCTATCGCTCGTTTCTACTTCCCCTTTTGGAATCCCAAAGGTGGTGATGCATCACCAATGGCATAAATGAATCTAACACCATTTAACAGGCTATATTTGGATATATTATCAATATATATATATATATAATATATATATGGATATATATGGATATATTTGGATATATTTGGATATATATGATTATAATGTGGCTATATTTGGATATATTTACCAATAATAATGCTGGTTGGTGGTGCAATCTGGCCATCTTGAAACATGATGGACTTCGTCAATGGGGTTTGGATGACATCCCATATATGAAATGGAAAATAAACAATGATTGAAACCACCAACCAGAATGGAATATTCCAAATATATCCAAGTAATGATATTCTTTTCGGCTGGATTGAAGGCATATTTGGATATATTTGGAATATTTTGGAATAAACATCCATCAATCCAGCCGAAAAGAAAACTGCTCCCATGGCCACCAGCCGCAAGGAAGCGCTTTTGGCGATGCCAAAATAGTCTCGTCGTTTGGCGTTCGCAAAGGCCTGGCGATACCAGGAAACCCTCTCAGCATGCCGGTCCTCTGCCCAAAGTAAACTCACAACTCGGTTCAGCAACAAATATAACCCACTTATGTATAACAATCTAATTTAGCTGGGTTATCTCAACTATAACTGGCAAACCCATGTTCCAAGTCGTTATCTTAACTATAACTGGCAAACCCATGTGATAAATGGTTGGAAGTAGGGTTATAAATCAATTTCAATAAAGATTACCCCCGTTAATATAGGGGACTTTTCATAGCCCGGGTTTATGAAAACCAATCGCTAACTGGGATGTTCCTCCAAGTAGAGATGTCACACTTCGAGTTTGGCATCATTTCAGTTGGTTTCAGAGCAAACATGTTGAATTGGTTCATGTTGGTTCTCAAATATACTGTTCCTGGTTGAACCACGAATCCCGATTATACGAAAGTCACCATCATGTTTGATGGGACAGGATAAGAAAAAACACACGTGCTGAATTATCCCAAGTCGACACCAGGATACCCTCGGCACATTCTCGGCGGAATGTTCATGTTGAAAAGGAGAAGCAGCTGAATCTACCTAGATCATCAAAGTATATCATAAAAAAAAATGTTAAAAGTCCCAAAGCAATGGGTATATGAAGGTATATGTGTCCGTTTTTCATCATTTTTCTAGGTACTTGTAGGGTTGAATCTATCTACAAAGACTGTTTCCGCAGGGTTCATTGTTCCCATCGATCCCATCAGAACTCAACAGAAACTAGCTGAGCACTATTCAACACTTCTGGCTACATGTCTTGTTGCTTGATATTATTATATATCCCAACTATATTTTGATTAAGAACATTCAATATCCATTCCTGTTCATCAAGATTTAAGTATTGAATTATTTTGTGTATCCCAACTATATTTTGAAGTGGGGATCTAGAAATATTTACATAAGTGGTATTTCTATTTCAAGATCCCCACTTCTGTTGATTGATACCTGATGCTGCACCTTAAGAAGGACTCACCAGGAAGGCACTCGAACTACTGACCTGGTCAGAACTCGTCCAGCGAACACCGTGGAACCATGGCTGATCATGGCTGATCTTTAAAAACATGACTTAGTACAGCATATATCTGGGCAAATGAACATATTTCACTAACCTGAATAGTTCGGCCATAAAAGGGGATGATTTCCCTTAGTGACCATGATTCCAGTGAGGTCGCAAGGTCGCACTGAGGTCGTTATAATTTACCCATATATATATATATATATACATATTAATATATATATATTAATATATATATATTAATATATATATATATTTATTTATAATATATATATATATATCTACATCACTGATTCAAATTGTATGTTATTGAATGTCCTTTTTTAGACATATGGCCAAAGATAAAGTACTAAACCGGGAGGGTCAAAAGGAATTGAGCCAAAAACACAATGGATTTAGCCACCCACTAATTGATAATTAACAATTAACAAATTGATCATGGTTCTATATTCACTATTTAATGGTATTTAATGGTACCTCAATTAAAGCGATACCATATGATACCATGGTATATTAATTATCAATGGTGTGTTAAATAGATAATATTATATCTAACCATATAGATAGTACTAGCGACAATTAACAATCAATAAACCATAGGATCTAATAAACCGTTAATCTATTATTAAATGGATTGTTAGATTGTATATACGAATCGATCTATCTATCTATATATATATCAATGATAGTTGAGAAGAAATGATAGTGAAACATTAACTAACCATCGGATATATATCATTTATTTACATATATATAATATAGATACGGGGGTTCCTAGAATAAGGGGTATCCCAAATCAAGTCATTCGACCGTTTTCGTACTGAAACCTTTAGTTTTTGGGTACCCCCATTTAGGAAACCCCCATATAACCCACATCCCCACATCCATGTTGTTTTGCAGGAGGGTAATTATCTAGGTAATTAAATTCATAGCTGGTGAAAGTAAAAAATCGCATTGATACTAAAAGACTATATAAAGGATTTGTTTCTACACATCTAAGATTGACCTAGACTATATGTACTGGTCGGTGGTTTGAACCCCTCTGAAAAATATTAGTCAGTTTGGATTATTATTCCCAATATATATGGAAAAAAACCATGTTCCAAACCACCAACCAGATAATCATACATTAATCATTAATAATCCCATTATATACCATTAAACCAGCACTTTATATCCCATCCAGATATCCCATTAAACAGTTTTCAATAGGATTTTCCATGATTTTCCACTATAGACCAATTATTTTGGGGTCTCCAAACCACCAACCAGTGATTATTAACCATGATTAACCATCATTAACCAGTGATAATCCCATTATATACCATTAAACCAGCACTTTATATCCCATCCAGATATCCCATTATATACCAACCAGATACCCTCTGGTAAACTAACATAACTATGGAAAATCACAATTGTTAATGGGAAAAATCACTATAAATGGTGATTTTCCATAGTTATGTAACAAATTACCAGAGGGTAACCCATCCATATCCATCCCATCTGCCCAGACCTTGTCGTCCTTCGACTTCTCGTGCTGCACTTTGGCAGCTTCCGCCAGGCTGCCGTGGGTCGCCAGGCTGCCGTGCATGGCTTGCCCTTGCCCCGTGGGCGACGGCGACGACTCGGCACTGCCTAGGAAAAGTCAGGAAGTCCATGGAATCCATGGGAATTAATCCTTAGAAATTTGAGGAATTCAACAAGAATGGGAACTAAACCCTAGAATTCGAATTTTAACCTAGAAAAGTTGGATTTCGGCCTTATAATTCGGATTTAACTAAAAAAAAACGGGAATCACCAGGAAGAAAATGGGAATTAAGGCACCAAAATTGACAAGTTACCACAACAAATTTGAGAGGCATAAGATTTGAGCAAGATTCTTACCAAAGAAAATCAATGATTTATAGAAGCGAAAAACAATGGAGATTTCGCGGTGAACAATGTGAATTTAACCAAAACAACTGGGATATCATCGGCAAAGACTGGTATAACAAAAAATGGTACATAAATCATAAATCATTAAATCCATACAGGTCCATACGTATTTGATATGGATTGATATGGCTGATCCTAGATAGCCATGACATTTTGTGAATTTCGCCATCAAACTGAATCAAAACAAACCAATAATAAGGTTGATCCAAACCTGATGAAGAGTTATATAAGTGACCATGAGAGTACTCAGAATACTGCGGAACAACATCAGCTTGGGAGCTCCATGATAAAGGGTGAAGACAAGAACACATCATCCTTAACCCGTAAGTAAGAGTTCAGCAAGACTAAGTGGTGGTGCAGGTTGCAGTAGGTTAGTTACAACATGGTTTGGATGGTCCGAAAATCAGACAACACATTGAAAATCATTTTAAAAAATTGCCAGAAAAGAGAAATAAAAGAACAAAACAGATATAAAAAGAAATAAAAAGAAAAACATGAAAATACATAACAAGAAATAAGTATACGTTAAAAAAAGATAGAACTCAAATGACTTTACTTCATCCTGCTTAATCTGTTCAGGCTGAAGCCTATCAAAACTGATTTTGTTTTGACAACGCTGGCCACGCGGTGCCAAACGTCTGGCAACAACTGACAAAAAAAGGCACATCAGGACCAGGAACCAAAGTCGTTTTTGGTCACGTGTAGCAACGTACCTCATCGATCCATCAAAACAAAGTCAGCACGATTCAGCACGGGTAGGGACAAGCAATGCAAAGGCCGGACCAAACATGGACGCAAGGACAAGATTCATTCCTGCCATCATTGGGTTGACCTCTCGATGACGCTTGGCCGTACAGGCCAAAGGACCATTGGCTGAAGACGACATGGGTGAGCGCTGAAATTGAAATGAAAGCGCGCAACAACTGACCACACAAGACTCTGGGATCCAAAATGCCACCAAAACGCAAACAATCGTAGATTTTTCCACAGCACATCGCACCAGGAACACCCTTGCAGCACGTATATGATTTCCTTTAAAAAAACATGTTTTCATTATTTTTCATATTGTCATTTTGTTCGTCAAAAAAGATCAAAAAGAAACAAAAATGAAAAAAACATGACCTCAAGAAACATTTTCTCAATTGAAAACCAATTGCAGGTTACAGTATCCCACTGGCGCGAAAACCAAAAGAAAAAAAGAAAAAAAAAGAAAAAAAGGAAAAAAGAAACAAAGAAATAAAAAAGAAAAAGAAAAAAACAAAAAGAAACAAACAGAACAAAATGTCACCGTTATGCAATTTCTACCCAATCACCGCTATGCAATTCATGTTTGGAAAATGGTTCCCAGAAATCATGCTGTAGTGATCTGTACTGACATTTTTTCACATGTTTATAGTTCATGTTGCTTTCACATGTTTATGGTTCATGTTGAACGGTCTGGAGCGGTTTTGCATTTTTTTCGCTAGAGGCTAGAGGCTTCTACTCAATCACCGCTACCCGATTCATGTTTGGAATATGGTGGCCTCCAATGCTCACATATCTTTATCATTCATTGTGTGCTTTATTGTTTTCATTCATGGTTTATTTCATTTCCTGGTGCCTTTTAATTTGTTAGTTCTGTTCATTTATTTCCATGTCTTTTCATTTTTTCCATTTTTTCAATGTGTTTTCATTTATGTTCATTCCCTGAAAAACCATTACCAATCTAAACCACTTGCATGTCGACCCACGACTTAGTTCTGCTGAAGAGTGGAAGCCAGAAGCAAAGTGAGGTAACAAGAATGGCAGCTTGCTCCATGATTAGAAGGTCGTTTTCATCAACCAAGCTTTGGCAAGTGGCAGTGTGTCAAAACCTTGTACCCCTGGTGAACATCAAAATAGCTGGTAAATGGATGTTCATTCCCCTAAAAATGGTATTAATAGGTATTGATCCATACCCAAGTCAGAACACAAGCCTTGTAAATTGCCTTGGGCTGGGATGCGACCGCCGCTGTTGAAAGTTGATGCAAGTGTGAAGGAACCAGGTCGACTAAGCATACATGGGATGTCGTCAAAAAAGGTGTCATGATCGAACCTACACAAATTGGGACAACACCAAAGTCTATACTGTAGTTTTTCGTCAAAGTGATGGGGAAGCAAGGAACCACCCATACGGGGAATAGAGGATAATCTGGTGCTGCGGCTCGGGCTGAAGAAAACATCACTAGATGCTTCAAAAACCAAAAGCCTTGGAAGCCTCCAATGCTCATCATGTGGCTTTGGTGCCTGAAACAGAAAAACATCGAAAACCCATAAAAACAGATGGTTAATATGTGGTTAATAATTATTAATAATGGTTGATATATGGATATATATATATATATAGTTATGTTCATCCGTACATTTGAAACTCATCTGTTGTTGCTCCAATGAATAATTTCTTTCTGATTTCATGGTGAACTGCCAACTGGTTTGGGGTTTTACCGCCATGAAAATATAAACATGAGTTTTGGATGATTGGTCAAATCATGTTCAAACCCGAAATCTGTAGGGTCCCACATAAATTAACCATAATTAACCTGCAAAACCGACCATCAATTATATAATCTCCGGTTCTTAGATGAGGTTCCAATATCTTCATCAAAAAATCTCAAGGATTTCTCCTTTTTTCGATGTTGAAGCGCTGGGCTTTGGTGGCTGATCCCACGACTAGCGAAAAAAAAAAAACGTTGTGAAATACGTGGTTACGATCACCCTGCTTAGCCCATGGAAATCACCAAAATTCATGGTTAATAATGGTTAATATATGGATATATATATATATATACATATGGTTAATGATGGTTAATAACTATCTGGTGGGTGGTTGAGCCACCTACGTTGGGATGAGGACATTCCCAATATATATCGAAAATTAATCCATTCATGTTCCAAACCACCAACCAGTATATCATCAGTATACCAACCATGGTCCATAGATATTAATGGTGATTAATGGTGATATGAATGGTGATTATTAATGATGATGTAAAGGAGTATCCCATATATGAAATGGAAAAGAATCCATTCATGTTCCAAATCACCAACCAGATAGATTATCCCAAAATATGAAATGGAAAATTATCCCAACCAGATAGGTTCATGGATGATGACATTCCCAATATATATGGAAAGTCATAAAATTCATATTCCAAACCACCAACCAGATAGATATAAGATAGATATTGATGGTGATTAATGGTGATATGATGGTGATTATTAATGATGATGTAAAGGAGTATCCAATATACGAAATGGAAAATAATCCATTCATGTTCCAAATCACCAACCAGATAGATTATCCCAAAATATGAAATGGACAATTATCCCAACCAGATAGGTTCATGGATGATGACATTCCCAATATATATGGAAAGTCATAAAATTCATATTCCAAACCACCAACCAGATAGATATAAGATAGATATTGATGGTGATTAATGGTGATATGATGGTGATTATTAATGATGATGTAAAGGAGTATCCAATATACGAAATGGAAAATAATCCATTCATGTTCCAAATCACCAACCAGATAGATTATCCCAAAATATGAAATGGACAATTATCCCAACCAGATAGGTTCATGGATGATGACATTCCCAATATATATGGAAAGTCATAAAATTCATATTCCAAACCACCAACCAGATAGATAAAAGATAGATATTGATGGTGATTAATGGTGATATTAATGGTGATTATCCGATTATCCCAACAATATGAAATGGAAAATTATCCCAACCAGATAGATGATTATCCCATTATATCATGTTCTATGAACCCTGGTGATTAATGGTGATTAATGGTGATTATTAATGATGATGATGATTATTAATGGTGATTATAAATGATGATTATTAATGGTGATTAATTAGAACATAGAATGGGTCCCCCAACATGATTAATGGTCATTAATTAATACTTCTAAGCCACTTCTTCATTGGGTGCCCACAGGGCTCCTGGGTCCCCCGACCACCGCGGAAGCGCGGCGCCGGTGCCGACGTGGGAAGTGGATCCGTGCCGGGCATCTTGGGCTCCAAGGGACGCCTTTTTCGGAAGACCATGGGTCTTAAGCGCCGTGTTTTAAGCTTGGGATTCACCATGAACATGTGGAAGTTAACGATAGAACATGGTGATTTAACATGATTTAACATGATTTAACATGATTTAAATTTAACCATTAAGTATTGGGACTTAAGATGAGTTGCACCGACAAAGATGGTGATTTCAGATGATTTGACCCAAGAAAACTTGGATTCAACCCGGACAAAACTTGGATTTTGAATCATCGAAAACTGGGAATTTACAAATGAAACATTGAACATGTTACCTGTATCAATGGGTTTTTATTCAACATGGCGACTCAACCAGTTGGTGATTCCTGGCCGTTTCTGAGGAGGAAGATCATGACGAACAATTGTGAGTCTGAAGTACCCAATTTTCAGACAAGCCCATTTAAATAATCGTTATATTATGTAATATTCACGGGTCCTGGTATCAATCTTCCCACCTGGTATCAATCTTCCCAATACAGTATATTGTTTCTTTTGCTTTGTGTAAATAAACATTGTAAGATATTGATATATCGTAGGTATTCACAACCAAGACTTCTCCAGACTTTCTTGAACTTCTATGAGTCCAGACATTAGTATTCACAACCAAGACTTCTCCAGACTTTTTTGAACTTCTATGAGTCCAGACTAATTTGGTGCTTGTAATTAACTAGGCTTCCGAAAGATGGCACGGGGGATTAGCTCTGGCCTGTGGGATTGATCAAAATCTGTGCTGGCTCAAAATTGGGCGGCAGAAAAAATTGGTGCTTCAAATCCTGTCTCAGAGATGATAAATAGATGGCTAATTAACTAAGATATGTTTTTTATGTTTTAGACATCCCGATGGCCCAACCTTTGGCAAATGGGAGCCAACGGGAACCAATGGGTACCAATTCACCAACCTGAAGTGTTGGGCCATCGGACAGAGTTTGTCCAAAATCAGTTGAAGCCTCTGCGCAACTCCTGCAGCAACCTTCTTCGGTTGGACCATTCTCGTACGTCGACTTTCGACCAACAGATGAGGGCCCCCTTCCACAAAGGACTGCACCCCTGCCCATGCCATGTCGCAGAAGATCTCGTCAAGATGAAAAATCCTTTCCACACAGAGGATGAACTTGCGAACTTCTATTCACTTCTGGTCATGGAAAACTTCGAATCGTCCTTCTGTGGCGGTGGTAAGTCCTTCATCACCGTAGTGGCAGCATGATTCGCGTGTCTGAAGATGGTGTAATGTGGGTAAAACAATTTAAAAAACAATCCCCCAAATCACAATTTTTATAGGTGGTATGTTTACTACCATTCCCATTCATGGGTGGTTTATGGCATTGTTTTACCCACACTTTCCCACATCTGTATACCCCAAGCATTGCCATTCAATACGGCATGATGCAACCGGAACCGCTTCGGAACCGTGGAACCGAACCGGTCAGAACCGGAATAAACTAGAACCGGTCGAACCGAACCGGACAAAATTTTGGCCAGATTTAGGGCCGGAACTGGTCAGAACCGGATTTCATAAATCATAGGTCCGTCCTGAAAGCTTTTCCTTGGCCCGCCCGCCCACTTAGACATATGGAATTTAAATATACGATCTGGTATTTTAGACTACCTACAATCTGGATTTTTCCAGGTGTAAGTTGGTTTGGATATTCGACTACCTCCAAAAAAGTTTTGCGTGGTTTGCCCGGTCACTTAAACATAGGGAATCAAGGAACCCAATTTGTTTAAATATACAGTACTAACACACGGGGGCCCACTAGAAACGATTAATTAACTTGAGGCCGGGGGTGGATGACGAAAGCTAGCGGGGTAGGAGAAAGAAGGAAGAGAAGACGTAGCTTCAGTGTCAGCAGGGAAATGTCGGTGGCGTTTCCGCGTCAAACCCTAAGTGAGGATGCTGACCCTCTACCAGCCGGAAATCTCCTCTCGGGAAGGCTTGGGGGGGACCAGGGGGGGATCGAACGTGATGCCGATGCTGACGATGATGACGATGATGGTGAGGGTGATGGTGATGGTGATGATGATGATGATGATGATGATGATGATGATGATGATGATGATGATGATAACAAAGTTGATGACGATGACAATGACGCTGACGCTGACAACGACGATGACGGTTGAAAATGACAATGACGGTGACGATGACAATGACGATGACGATGACAATGGCGAAGACAATGACACTGACAATGACGACGATGATGATGATGATGATTAATGATGATGATGATGATGATGATGATGATGATGATGATGATGATGATGATGATGATGATGATGATGATGATGATGAGGATGACGATGATGATGATGGTGATGATGATGTTGATGATGATGATGATGATGGTGATGATGGTGATGATGATGTTGGTGATGATGATGATGATGATGTTGATGATGATGATGATGATGATGATGATGATGATGATGATGATGATGATGATGATGATGATGATGATGAAGCGGATGCGGCAGATGATCGGGATGATGATGAGGATGAGGATGAGGATGATGAGGATGATGAGGATGATGAGGATGATGATGATGATGATGATGATGATGATGATGGTGGTGGTGATGATGATGATGATGATGATCACGATGACGAGAACGATGCCAATGACCATGACGATGACGAAACCGATGGCGATGACGATGACGATGATGACGATGATGCTGATGATGGTGATGGTGGTGGGGTTGGGGGGGGGGCCTTTCGCGTGAAGAATCACGTGATGTCCTTGAGCAGCCCCCGGAATACTTGCTAAAGCAAGAAAACTCCAGCTAGCTGACGCTAGCTTTCGTGATATGTCCCAATCCAGGGCCACCATTCCTATGAAGTTCACGATTGAAATCCAACAAGGGGGTTCCAGCAATAACATTTCCCTAAGGGAACGCCAAAGAAAATACCACCCAAGGAATATTCTGCGGCTCGTGCCAGGAGGTCACCACCAAGGACAGACGAGGCACCAAGGGATGGAAGGCACGCAGGATGTCACCACCAAGGCCGGGCCACCACCAAGGCGGGAAGGCTGTGCATGGACATTGTCAAAGGTGGGACCACCATCCAATTCACACAATGACTACGGCGGCGCAAATTCACCACCAATTTCACCACCAAGGGGGTGTCCACCACGATGGTGGGGCTCACCATCAAGGCAGGGGTCACCACCAAGGCTGGGGGTCACCATGCAGGAGTGGGGGTCAACACCGCTTTGAAGTTACCAGCAGAGGCTCACCACTACGGCAGGGTCACCAGAGACGGGGGGTCACCACCAAGGTGGGGAGGCAAAGGCGGGGGATCACCACCAAAGGCAGGTCACCAAGTTTACCACCCAGGCGGGTGACCACCAAGGCAGGGTTAGTTATCAGCAGGACTGGGGTCACCACCAAGACCAAAGCAAAACCCCAGAGAAGTTTACAAAAAAATATCAACCCCAAATAAATGAACATATCAACAGCTACATTTAAAACCGAACCGAAACGCGAAATAAAACAATTGGAACCGTGGAACCGTAGAACCGTTTCAAAAATGAACCGAAAACCTCAGAACCGAACCGTTTCATCATGATACGGGAAATGTTAATAAACATTGATAAACCTCGATGGATTTTGATGGAATTTGCGATACTGCTAGCATATGTTCAGACAAGACCACTGGATGAAGCTAAGACCTCTTCCACCCCTTCGCTGGGCTATGCTGGGCTGCCCTGGCAGGCGTTTGGCCAACTGTCGCAAGTACCAAATGTCCTGGTGGAACTGATGGCAGGCTGCCCCCGGAAACCGAGATTCTTTGGCTGAATATGCCCAGAATCAGAAGGATCAACACTTCGATGCTGGAAAACACTGCCGTGGTCTTCAAAGAAGGTGCCATCATATCATGAATAAACATCATATATATATATATATATTAATTATGTATATATATATGATTATATATGTACAGTATATGTATACTCTTCGGGCCTTTGGTCTGCACCAATTATGGCCAAGCCTTTGGACCAGAAGAATTTGCAGAGACATGCGAGGGCCGCAGCGGATTTCGCTTCTGTGAGTCAGTGCCAAAAAATATGTATACTGTATACATATGACCACTACTACTTCGCATATCACTCCCTTTTGTTGGCGAAACACTTTATTTGTACCGTTGGAACCAAATGTTGTTGGTGGGTTGTTAAATCTATTTTAAGGTTTTGTGCTGGGTCAAACCCCTTATATAATGAACCATTTAGCTACTCAGTCATTGTTTGGATCAACTCTCATTTTTGAACCATGGGTTGAAAAGAGTCCATTCCCTGATATCAACTAGCACAAACATCTTCCAAAATCAAATGGCTTCAAAAGTCGGGGGTAGGATTCATCAACACTTACTTTCAGTTGGTCATAACATGTCATAACCCCATCATCGCAGCTTCATAGCTGAAATGCACATTTTCAGGAGCCCCCCAAAAATGGGCCCCAGTGGCTTCATAGGTGGGCTAAGTCGAATTTATGCTGGATACTTTAGCTGGTTGGTGGTTTTAACCATCTTGAAAAATATTAGTCAATGGGAACGATTATCCCATAGCCCATATATGCCATGGAAAAAAAAAACCTTTGAAACCACCAGCCAGCTAGTTTTGTTCCTTATAAACCAGTGATAAATCAACAATAACTCACCATTTGTCTTGCTTACCCTCGAATCAAACGCGGCAATTAACAATCCCCCAATTTCCCAGCTAGAACCCTCCATGTAGTTCGGGGATTTTCCAGTCACTAGAGGGTCTATTTGTTTGGTTCAATCACCGATTGAAGGTTTCCCAAAATTGTGGGCTACCCCAAATCATCCATTTCAATCGTTTGTTTTATCCATTTTCCACGGGTTTTTGATCATCAAATATCATAAATTTAATACACCAACCAAATCCATCCAGCTTTTGGGGTAGCCCTTGTGAACACCCCCCATTTACCCAGCAACTCGGCTTGGGGTCCTGCTCTAGGACGTCGTGGATACGCGTCAGTTCCCAGGGTTCCTGGGCGCGAGACTCTGGGAGATAAGCTCTTCTTGTAATAAACAATGACTAACTGGTTGGTTACTGTAATATACCTGGTTAACAATGGTTGATATATGGAAATATATATAAATATATATATATATATGGTTAATGATGGTTAATAATATCTGGTTGCTGGTTGAGCCCTACCCCTCTGTAAAATATGAAAGTCAGTTGGGATGATGATATTCCCAACTGAATGGAAAAATAAAAGCCGTGTTCCAAACCACCAACCAGTGAATACTATGGTTTATCAATGATTAATTCGTTTTAGGGAATTTCACCATTCTATGGGGATGTATTGGAGATAGATTGAAACCGATAGAATTGGTAGGAACACTTGGAGCTTGGATCATTTATTCGTCAAGAGTAAGGCGGTCTAAGATGAAATTAGCATCAAAGCCCGGGATATGATATGATGTGAACTTCAGGTTGCGCTGCACCATGATATACTGCTCACATATCATATTTCAAAAATTAAAACTGATAACCAATAAGTTGCTGAATCATTTCATATTATCATTTTCACCCAAATGCACATCCAAGTAGGGATCCACTGTTTCCTAGTGAGGATTGTATCTTAAAGCCAATAGCATGATGAGGTTGGAACTTCGGAACACTAGAACTCCATGGGCATGCATCCCACGTTTAAAGATGCTCCACCATTTGCCCAACGTTCGGGTCCCGGAATATGTAGTCTGCAACAATGAAGCTTCCTGATGTTCAAAGTGTGCAAGATCATTGACTATCCACCTGAAGTTCTGCGCTTCAGATGGATCAAAGCACTCCAATATTCAGTAAATATTGGTACAGGAGTTCACATACCCAAGTCAGCTAGCCCCCTTTATCCAAGAGCATCCATGGTCTTTGAGATATTTGCCTCGCTACATGTTTACCCAAACGATCGACAAAATGTGGACAAAACGATCGGTCTGGATGTTGGATGACATTGGAATTTCCGCCGACCCCAGACGATGGCAGGGGGAGCGCGTCCGAGGAGCACCCAGGCGATGGCAGGGCATGCGCTGGCTTCTGGTGTCGCGGCGCCCTTGCCACAGGCTGTTGCTGCATTCTGGGGGCAGTAGCCTGGCTTCAACTGCCTCGCGGCGCCTTCGCCGGAGGCTTTTGCAGCATTCTGGACGCTTTCCAAGAGCTTTTCTAGTGCCTTCAGAAAGCAACGTTAGGCAGTGGCCTGGCTTCAAATCCCTCGCAGCGCCCTTGCCAGAGTTTTGCGGCATTCTGGGGGCAGTGGCCCGCCTTGAACGTGTCCCGGCGCCCTAGGCTGCCCTTAAACCCTTCCCGGCGCCCTTAGCGGCCCAGCAGCATGTCCTTTGGCCACCTGCCGGGCGCTTTCCTGGAGATTTTCTTCTGGTTTCAGAAAGCAACGTTAGGCACTAGGCTGGCCTTAAACGTGTCCCGGCGCCCTTGGCGGCCCAGCAGCATGTCCTTTTTCCACCTGCCGGGCGCTTTCCTGGAAATTTTCTTCTGGTTTCAGAAAGTAACGTTAGGCACTAGGCTGGCCTTAAACGTGTCCCGGCGCCCTAGGCTGGCCTTAAACGTGTCCCGGCGCCCTTGGCGGCCCAGCAGCATGTCCTTTGGCCACCTGCCGGGCGCTTTCCTGGAGATTTGCTTCTGGTTTCAGAAAGCAACGTTAGGCACTAGGCTGGCCTTAAACGTGTCCCGGCGCCCTAGGCTGCCCTTAAACCCTTCCCGGCGCCCTTGGCGGCCCAGCAGCATGTCCTTCGGCCACCTGCCGAGCGCTTTCCTGGAGATTTTCTTCTAGTTTCAGAAAGCAACGTTAGGCGCTAGGCTGGCCTTAAACGTGTGCCGGGTTTGAGGCTGCCCTTAAACCCTTCCCGGCGCCCTTGGCGGCCCAGCAGCATGTCCTTTGGCCACCTGCCGGGCGCTTTCCTGGAAATTTTCTTCTGGTTTCAGAAAGCAACGTTAGGCACTAGGCTGGCCTTAAACGTGTCCCGCCGCCCTAGGCTGCCCTTAAACCCTTCCCGGCGCCCTTGGCGGCCCAGCAGCATGTCCTTCGGCCACCTGCCGGGCGCTTTCCTGGAAAATTTTCTTCTGGTTTCAGAAAGCAACGTTAGGCACTAGGCTGGCCTTAAACGTGTCCCGGCACCCTAGGCTGGCCTTAAACGTGTCCCGGCGCCCTTCGCGGCCCAGCAGCATGTCCTTTGGCCACCTGCCGGGCGCTTTCCTGGAGATTTTCTTCTAGTTTCAGAAAGCAACGTTAGGCACTAGTCAGGCTGCCCTTAAACCTTTCCCGGCGCCCTTGGCGGCCCAGCAGCATGTCCTTTGGCCACCTGCCGAGCGCTTTCCTGGAGATTTTCTTCTGGTTTCAGAAAGCAACGTTAGGCACTAGGCTGGCCTTAAAACATGACAGCAGCCATGTGCGATGTCATTTCGGGGAGGTTAGAAAGAAGATTGGCGGAAGAGAACGCACCGCGAGACCACAGAACTAACACAGAAGCAATGGCTGACCTACACAAACAAGGCCTCACTGTCCATGCAGCTAGTTCCCACGGAGCAAACAACTGCTTCATAGTCATAGATTCCATCGTCATCTCCCTCGCGGCCCTTGGCGGCCCAGCAGCATGTCCTAGCCTATGCTTCTTTCTTTTCCTCGCTCTTCCAGCTCTTCTGTGTGCACGGGCGTCCCGCTGGTGTGTTATGCTGCACGCGGATTCGCCCCGACGCGCTGGCTGACCACACGGCCGCTTGGCACCGCGGGCATGTGTGCATATGTTTTCGCGTTGCATCGCTGACTTTGCCATTCTTAACAGAACCAGCTGCCGCACACGCTGCCATGGTTGACTTGCCCGGTCATCACGTTGCTGCTCACTTTGCCATCGCAAAACGGGCACTGGTACACCATCTTCTTTGTCACGACGCATCCATCTTTGACCTGAAATCGGTTGCCGCAATGCCTGCGGTGATTTACTTGGCCAGAACGCACAATGCTGCTGACGGCAGCCTCACAAAACGGGAACGTGTAGTGGAATGTGTCGTCCGTGTTCTCTTGGGGACCGCCCGCGGGAGGCAACTCGTGCGCGGCGCCCGCGCCACTTGCCGCTCGCGCGAGCCCGTCACGACCTGCGTTTGCGGCCTTCTCCGGTAACCCCATCGCGCCAGGTGTTGCCTGCGCGCTCGTCTTTGCCCTCCGTTCGGTTATTGCCGCTATTTCGCGTCGGACGTCCTCTACAATGGATTGCTCGCGCTCCCTCTGGAGGCGGTGCCGCAAACACAGCACGCGTTGGTTCGCTCTACGAGCGACGCGACAAACCAAGGCCAATGACACGCACGTGTTGCATTGTTGCGTGCCATTCTGTGCATGCGCGCGCGTGGCCTGCCACGCAGAGAATTCAGCGCGAGGTTTTCGTTCCGCGCAGTGGCTGCACGTCCAGTGGTCGCGCATCTTGGTTGTGCATGTTCGACAACACCGTCTCTCTGCATTTCGCGCCTTCCATGCTGCTGCGCCTACAAATGTTTGCTCGACACATGCGTCAAAGAGTGAATCTGGGGTCGGCGGCAGGGGGCGTGAGCCCTTTAATTACTACCGTATTGGAACATTTCTGGTTGGTGGTTTCAAGCTACCGGTCTGAAAAATATGAGTCAGTTGGGATGATGACATTCCCAGTATATTGAAAAATAATCCAAATGTGCCAAACCACTAACCAGATTTGCGTGACCCCAACTTACCTTCCTGCAATCGACATGATGACCTTCGCCAGCTAGATTTCACTATGGCCTCTGTCTGATAATGGGTTTACACCTCTTTACCCTCAAAAACCACTTTGATAGGAAATTTGATGATAAACCAAGATAGATTTTGGAGTATCCTATTTTCAGACATTATTTCTTTTCCCTTCCAAAAACCCATGGCTTAGCCAGGCTGACATACAAACCGGTGCTGTTTGACTGTAGTGATCGTCTTCTTGGAGGGCGCTACGAAGCCATGGTCAATCTTTCGTAGTCAAAAGTTCATCTTTCGCTGGTTATGGTTAAGTTGATAGCAAACAAAAACTATCCAACCCATATGCTTCATGTATGGTATATTTACCTACATGACTGGGTGATTTTTAGGGCAAATGTTGGTAAATATTTCATACATGGAGCATATGGGCAAGGTTGGGGGTGCTTCCGCTGCCAAGTGGCAATGACTGGCAGCTGGGTGGGGTTCTTCACCTTGCGATGGGCGCTGATGGGCGCTGAGATAATGGAAGCCATCCTGCACCAGTTGGTGGTTATTGGTACCCTCTGGTAAACAAAAACCATGGAAAATCACCATTTTTAATAGGTAAACTATGGAAAGACCATGCTATGTAGCTGGGTAAATCAACTATTTCGACTGGGCCCTGTAAAAAGGCCCTGTAGATAGAGGGATAGTAATGGAATAAACCATCTACCAACTGGTGCAGGATTTCGCAACCATCCGCAGTGTCAATGATGGCTGGATTTAAGGGGAAGGCTTTACAGCAGACCATGGTTTTTATCACCATTCTAAGGGGTTTCCTGCAACTCTTCCTACAAGTCTGGGAAACATAAAAAAGCAAACATGGGCATCTAACAATCTAACCAAAGAGATTCACTGTTTTGCTATAATACATATATATACATATATATACACACACATAATATAATGTGTATATATATATATATAGTATAATTTAGAGTTTAAGCCCACTTATCGAACATAGGGAGTCAGTCGTTGCACTTTGCATTCGTTCCTACGCTGTCGCCCTAACACTCCGCTTGTTGTTTTACTGGTCCATGTGGGATGATATCCGTGGAGACACGTCGTCTAAAAACGAACCAACATTGGGATGGATCTTGGGTCAGAAGATGATGATTTTGCCATTTAAGATGATAAACAATGAGTAACTGGTTGGTAAATATATCTGGTTAATAATGGTTAATATATGGATATATATATATATATATGTGGTTCATGATGGTTAATGATATGTGGTTGGTGGTTGAGCCACCTACCCCTCTGAAAAATATGACAACTCGTCAGTTGGGATTATGAAATTGCCAATATATGGAAAATAATGAAAAATAAAGTTCATGTTCCAAACCACCAACCAGCTATGGTTTATGATACTTACAACTATAGGGAATTAAATTGTGAATGGGGTTTATAAAATTTATAAGCCAACTTTTAACTGGGGTGCCTCACATTGTGGGATTCTTTGAGTTTTGTTTTGCAGTTTTTGATGATCGAAATAGTGGCTATAGCTGCTTTGGCCTTCTTCAGCAGCCAAGGAGGCTGTGCGCACTTTGCCTTCACTGCACTTCGGCCTGTCAATTGATCTGAACTGTGTCACCGCTGCCCACATACGACTCACCCATTGAAGGAACGAGGTCTGGCGCTTCCTGCACGCGGGAAGATGCGTACCCAGCCTCCAGGCTGGCCGCGACTGTTGACCTCACGACGCAAGGCCTGTCAAGCGCGCGCGAGCTGCGCCATGGTCAAGTTTTTTTAAACTATATACAGCGTTAGTGGGGCTAATGTCATCCCACCAGCAGCTTATACAACCATGCAGCAGCGTCCAATGATGGATTGATGAAAGCTTTTCTGAGTCCCGTCCCATGCATTAAGTCAGCTGTAGAGGTCTCGAGTATCAGAGCGAGTTTTGTAGATCCCTTGCACAGCTTCGAAGTCGACTTGGCACAGCTTCAAGTCGTGGTCCTTCAGTCTGGTTCCAGTTCGAGGCCAGGAGTATCTCATCGGCTCACCCCAAGGACAGCTGTGGAGTTCCCTGGATGATTTCTATCTCTCCAGCTATTGTTAGGTAATATTAATGGTAATATCAAGTGAAATGTTTGGGAAAGATCCCATCAGTAGCTGGTTATATACTCCGATTGGCTGAAACATCTGCACCAACAAGCCGAAGCCCCAAAAAAAAATCACCGGCTGCCTCCCATGGCCAAGCAGTACTGGCTAGCAACGGATCCAAATAGTGTTGTCCAAGAATGAGGGGGTACCCCAAGTTCTGGTCATCAAATATTTGAGAAAAGTGAGGCTCAAAAGCCTGGGATTTCAAGGGAAACCACATGTGATTGTCGATTTTGAGACCACGTTCCAGCTGAACGAATATATCCAACAATTACCCTCTGGTTATTTAACATAGCCATGTTATAAATTGTCCATAGAAATGGATGTTTTACCAAACTAAATTGCATGGTGGATCTTTCCATGGCAAGCTGTTAGTCATAACCAGGCCGGGTAGATGGATATAAAAAACCATGGCATCCCCCAAGAGTTGGATAGGAATTGGCTGGCTCAATCTCGATCTCCTCATTTCAACCTCCAACCGATCGGCTTCACTTCCTCTGGTAAACGTTAACAAAAAACAATGGAAAATTACCATGTTTAATGGGTAAACCAACGAACTAAAAGGCAATGTTCAATAGCTACGTTAGTCATTACCAGATGGTATTAATCATGAATCATATCATAGTCCATTGTATATCGTTAGGTGGTCCCCCACAAGCGATAGGTTCCTTGGCAATTTCCACATAACTCGGACTTATGGCACGAGTAGATATAAGTTATAAGATAAATTAAGATAATATATGTATAATTCATGGGGTGGAAAAAAGAAAACAAAACTTACGGGAGGGCACCAGCTTTCATAAGATATCCCATTACCATCACATTCGTCCATTATACGGTTCAAATATGTTCAAGGTATGCCCAAAATGATGGTTAAACCCCCACTGAATCCCTTTATAAAAAATCTGCTAGCTGTTCATCCCAAGTCGTTCCTAGGAAATATCCCCTAAAAATGCTACCGGCCGATCATCTGAAAAATATCCCACAAGCCACTGAACTTCCACAGATCATCCCATTACTAAACTTCCACTGTGTCAAGCTATCCCTCTGGTGAACATACAAAAAATTACGGAAAATCACCATGTTTAATGGGAAAATCAACTATTTCGACTGGGGAATTTTCAATAGCTATGTAACAAATTACCGGAGGCTATCCCACAGCATCAAATCAGCCAAGGAACGCTCTTCAACATCGCCTCCAACAAGGGTCGCACCGTCGCCCAGCGTACTCGCAGGTCCTTTCCATTCAATTTTTTGACGGGCCCGAATCGTGATCCCGAATCCAATGGGTACCAAACATCATGGCCATGGAGTTAGAATACATCTATATAAAGATCTATTACTGGTTTGTGGTTGAGCCCTACCCCTCTGAAACATATGAGTGAAAGTCAGTTGGGATGATGACATTCCCAATAAAAAATGTCCCAAACCACCAACCAGATTAAGATCTATTAAGATCTATTAAGATCATCAATAATCAAAGAGATACATAAAATCCAATAATATTAATTATCAAAGGCCCAAAAAAACAAAATATCTATGAATTGAATTGGATTGATGACCATCCGCAACGGGAAAATAACCAAAAATAACCATCAAGCAAGTTTTGACCCTGATTGTCGTGGTTGGGTGTTGAATCCTTTAATGTATCCTTCCCTTCAGAAGCTTTGATCAGTTGATTTACTGGTTGGTGGTTGAGCCAACCCCTCTGAAAAATATGACTTCGTCAGTTGGGATGATGGCATTCCCAATATATATGGACAAATAAAATTCATGTTCCAAACCACCAACCAGATTTCGTATTGAATCTGTTCGTGAATCTGGGTCTCATACGTGAAGAATACAGTATTATTTCGTGTGAATATTATTAGGAGAATTATATTACTACGTATTGATTTGGCGGGCAAAAGGCGAAATAAATTTGTTTGCGGACCACAAATTCACAGGAATTATAATGACACGAGAATTATTGGATGAAACTTTCCAGGTGGTGTCCCCCCTGACCTTTTTTATTTCGCATCCATGGAAAATCACCCGTGTTCAAGGGCTGGCGCAGGGATCTGCTGGCTGCAGCAAGGTTTGAAGCAACAGGTGTATATACCTGGATCTATATGGATCTACGACATTCTACGACCCGAAATATAGGCTGGTGAGTTTCGGGCTGTTTTGAATTATGAAAGCCAAGCTGAACGTCAAGAATGAGTCCCCTCTGGGTTTTTTGAACAACATTGCTATCGAAAATGGCCCATGTATAGTTAGATGTTTTATGATGGTTTACCTATTAAAAATGGATGATGCATGATGATGCTATTGAAAATGGATGACACACAAATGAACATGGCCAACTTACATGACTTATCCTCTGGTAATTTAACATAGCTATTGAACATAGCCCATAGAAATAGTGGATTTACCCATTGATAGCATGGTGATTGTCCAGTTCGGTATGTAAACGTTTACCAGGCCGGGTAACTAATCTGTCAAACATGGTGAATGTCAATGGCTATGTAATCTTCCCATAGACAGCACCGCTGGGACGTCCTGGGAAACATACGGGTCATGGGAAACATGCTTCCAATAGGGAAACGTTGCAGAGTTTTGAAAGTGCATAGGTACATCATAACCCATAGGAACCATGTACGCTATATATGGTAACATTTGCCATCAATATACCCCGAATGTTGCCATATATACCATACATGGATCCTATGGGTAATACACAGTTGCGGAATGTATAATCCGATAGAAATAACCAGTTATGAATGACCACTTAAAATTTGCAAACGGCCAATTTCAGCAAGAGCATGAAACCCAATAACGAATCACACCAGCATAAAAACCGCACTTCGGGGCGATTTTCATCGATTTTCCAGTCCACGAATGTCCACATGACCTGTCCTCCCCACCGGTATGGATGAAGATGTGGTGATAGACCGTCTCAAACATGGTCTCCAGTCCTGAGCCGTAGCCGTGGCTGTGACTTGAGCGAGAGCCCAGTGACTGTGGCGGTTTACAACAAAAAATAAATCAATACCTAACAATCATGGTAGACTAGACTGCCCAAGTTGATTTACATTATTTTTTGGGCCAACATATAGTAGTAGTAACATTATTAAATATTATTAATAGTAGTAACATGAGTTAATAGCCATGCTAGTAAACATATTATTACTAGGCCAACTTATTACATATCATAATAGAAATTTCTTCTGCTTTGGAATCTCAAGATCCCGAAAAAACTGGCATCCAAGAAGATCAAGCTACACAAGCCATCTGGACCGTTGGACATAGCTTCTACACCCACTGTACTGGTTTATAAACCAACGAATCTTCGTTGGGTCAACCGGTGAACCGGTCAAATCTTTGAGTGAATTGCAAGGTTGCTGAAATCCTTGGTTTGTCTGAGGGTACCCAGAAAATCCAATGGCTAACCACCATTTTCCAGACTCAGAAATGAATTTGGAGTGTTTGTTTCTGTGCCGAGATGCCAGTTGCTAGTGAAGGCCGAGGTGGGAAATGACATGACAACATGGAAACTATAGATATTCTACAGTACTCTTTGCATATGAACAAGGATACATGATATATAATATGTGGATATCTCAGGTGTATTCCCAACATAACCAAAGATCAATCCATGTTCAGATCTGTTTATCTAAGTGGGGACTAAATCACCCATGTTCCCATCACTCACCAGTGCATTATTTATGGTTCAACTCCCCATTGGGTTGCTGCATCTCCCATCTGAAGCTTCTTGAATCACTACATGCTTTTCCTGGTCAACCATGGTCACTTCATCCCGCCCCGGCGGCGTGGTGCTCCTGCTCGGCTCAGTTGGATCCGATCAAACTGTCGTAGTTGTTCCAGCCTTAGGCGGCGGCCACGCCCTGGCGATCATTTTTTGGATCCGTCCGGTGAAGCTACCATTGTGAAGCATGATTAAGGGTGGATCCCAAAATTGGGGATGGTCAATCTTGGGGATGGTTAATATTGGGTTTACTAAGAAAAGAAAACATTCTGTGGTCCACTTTTTTTGAATCTGGAAAACCCATGGGATGGAGCCCAAGGATGCTGGTAATATCTGATAATTATAGAGCAATTGCTAGTATGTGGTTGGGAAACTCTTGGTAGCTCCTTAGCTCCCCATTTAATAGGGAATATGAATACCCATAGCTCCTTGGCTCCCTCCTAACCACTGGATAGATTGAGACCTTCAATATTTCCACTAGGCCCTTCTCGACTTTCAACTACGATATGCTGCTATGACATCATTCGATTGGATAACTACGTCGGATTCCGAGCTGCCAACATGCCAAACAGAGGGGCCAGATTTTGAGGAAGCAAATGGAATAAAAACAAGGTACTGTAATTATCACTTTAGCTTGTACATATAGTATTGTAGTAATACATTTCATGAGACTAAATCAATGACGATTATCTATAATTGGTATATAGTACGTACTATATTTCATGACCCGTAGGATCCACGGTGCTGCTATATATGGTGCTCCATGGATCCCATCAATATACCCCAGTCATGTTAGCATATATACCAGCACCATGGATCCTATGGGTGATACTAAATCATTGGCACAACCAATGTCCAGCACACATTGATTGACCTATACCCGGGGGCCCAGATGCACAGCTCTAAAAAAATGCAGCACTTTCAGACTCACTGCAAAAAAGTGCACAACGATGTTTGCCGTTGGCAATGGACGATTAGTAAAATTAGGTGATTAGATATCAGTTGTCAAGAAACTGTCAATGTGTGTGAGAATGTCGAGAGAGAGGCCGGACTTGAGCAGCGTCAGCAAACGGATCATCCGTGCAGCATTGCATCCTGCCATGGACGCAACCTCTACAAGATAATGTGGTTCCCAGCAAAACTCGCATTCCCGCGTGTAACAGTCACAGCAAGTATCTCTCAAAGAACTACTGAAATGTAGATACACTTTCCAATCTACAGGTGCACCGAGTCTGGCGTCGCTGTAGTACAATCCTTCAAGGTCCACCAAATCGAAGTCGAACATATCCACAGCACGGCCAGCATTATCCCAAAAGCCACTTGTTGACGTGTAGGCATCCTCATTATATTCGAAATGCCAGCCGATTCCATAGGACTGAAGGACACGCCTCCAGCGCCTCTCATGCCCGTATATCCCGTGTGCGTACGCACGGGGATGAAGGCCGCAACGACGCAACGCTGCATCCAGCAACTCAGCCTTCTCTTCGTGGCTGGTTCGATGTCGCCAGCAGCCCCAGGTCATTCGGGAGACGACTACTTTGAACTCCAAGCGCCAAAAGGGCGCTGAATGTCCAGCAAGGTGTCAGCATTAAGACCGCAGTCCTGGGCCAACTGATTTAGCTGACATGCATTCAGCCACAGCAGTTCAATGTTGGCCCTCTCAGCCGGAGGGCCGGAGGGCCTTGGATGGCATTGCACCGCAATTTGGCACTGAAGGGAACAAGGACAGACGGCTCGAACACCCAAATGGGCTTCGAAGGCACAAACTGTTCTCAAATGAGCACAAACAAGCACAAGTGAGCACAAGTGAGCACAAGTGAGCACAAGTGAGCACAAGTGAGCACAAGTGAGCACTTGGTGTTAAAAGTGCATTGTTTCCCAGTAACATCCTGAACAGTAGAGAATGTTGTTCAAAATAGAGGCTGCATCAGGTTGTGCCGAGCTGATGCGGATGCTTTGGAGGTGGATCATGAACAACACGTGCTGGTTTATGTGTCAAAAAAGGGCATTCAGGGCTGTAGGGCATGGAAAAAGGGACTTTCAGAGTTTCAATCATCAAATCTCCTGCAAAGTTTCCCTTATTTAGCGGCCTAGCACCCTGCAGTGTTTGCACACTTTTCTTGTTAAGATGTCATCAAGCATGCATTGTCATTGTTGGGTGCTTACTGAACCCAATTATTGGACTAATATATCCCACTTGTCCCAATTTCAGCCACCGCAAAAAGAAGTACGGATAGCTAGAGGAAACATCCGGTGATAATACGTTGGGCAAACATGCATCCGTACGGTTTGCAGTTCAAAGAAGTTCCCTTGTTTCATGGGCAATCTATGCCAATCTATGCCAATCTTGGATATCCAATTAGCATCCAGCACAAGCAACTACGCTTGTTGTCCCGTATATCACCATAGTTTATAGTTTATCACTATACTATAGTCATCTATAGTTTCTAGTGTCTCCCCAAATCTCCCAAGACACCCAAGCCGTTTTTGGACGCCACACGTGAGGCCCAAAACGATCAAACCTTAGCCCGGCTCCGCGACACGTGGTGTTCAGAAATAGCACCGATTTGACCAGACATGTTCTTGGGGGGGTTCCAACAAGTCATGTGGGTCCCCCAGTTCTCATCTGCTTGGTGGTATACCTATATACTGTTAATCATGGTTGATATATGGATATATATATATATAGAATATACATCTGGTTAATGATGGTTAATAACTATCTGGTTGGTGGTTGAGCCACCAACCCCTCTGAAAAATGATGGAGTGAAAGTCAGTTGGGATGATTTTCCATTCCCAACTGAATGGAAAGTCACAAAACATATGTTCCCAAAGCACCAACCAGTCATCCATTTATAGATTGTGATTTTCCACTACCATCCAGCTATTGGGTACCCCCATGACTTTAAGGACCCATTTTGCGGCGCCTCTTGGCAAATCGGCAAGTCTTGACATCCCTGGATCATCTGATCACCTATCAATACCACAAATTGCTTACTGGTGCGTTTTACGTAGGGTTGCTGGATGGGTTGCTGGGGGTTGCTGGGATTATTGATAGTTAGCCAGTGGATCATTCCCTCATTAATTCCCTACGTTTAGCACTTAAATAAGATTGGGGTGATGACACCATCAATTTACCATTTGGTTATTTAACATAGCCATGGAAAATCACCATTTTTAATAGGTAAACCATCTATAAATGGGTCATTTCCCATGGCTATGTTAAATAACCAGAGGGTACAGCTATTCTGATGTTCACCAGGGGGGCGCACGGCGCACGGTCTTGACTAAGATCCCACCATGTCTGAGTCTGCTGAGTAGGAGATCACGATTTTGCGGAGAATTTGAACTCCAAAGTGAAAAATACAAGTTTTGCAGATCGTGTTCATTGACTTTCTCAGAGAAATTGTTCTTGGTTTTTCCCTACTCACAATAAATCAAAAATGATTTGAGAGTGCACTGTTTTGTTTTAAACAAATCCCAACTACATGAGACTGGCTGGCCAAACCAATGGAAGATACAATTTTCAAAAACACCCCAAAAAGGTGTGCTTCGTTTCTGATAGGATCTACAAATGTGTATTGTGAATCTGTTTACGCCGGAAAATGTAGTCTAGTTCCCCACCTGCCAGGTGAGGGTTGTTAGATTTTATGTCAGTTGCCTCCTCCTCCTCCTGCTCCTCCTGCTCCTCCTCCTCCTCCTGCTCCTCCTCCTCCTCCGCCTCCTCCTGCCTCGTCCTCCTCCTCCTCGTCCTCCTTGTCATCCTTGTCGTCCTTGTCGTCCTCGTCGTCCTCGTCGTCCTTGCTCAACTGCGACCCGCGATCCACAGTGTTCTCTGCCGGACCTCAACCACGACCACCCACGCCCAGTGTTTCCTGCCGGACCTCAACCACGACCATCCACGCCCAGTGTTCCCTGCCGGACCTCAACCACGACCATCCACGCCCAGTGTGCCCTGCCGGACCTCAACCACGACCATCCACGCTCAGTGTTCCCTGCCGGACCTCAACCACGACCATCCCCGCCCAGTGTTCCCTGCCGGACCTCAACCACGACCATCCACGCCCAGTGTTCCCTGCCGGACCTCAACCACGGCCATCCACGCCCAGTGGTCCCTGCCGGACCTCAACCACGACCATCCACGCCCAGTGTTCCCTGCCGGACCTCAACCGCGAGTATCGATGCCAAGTGTTCCCTGCCGGACCTCATGTAGGAAGATATGGGACAAAGAATGTGCAGAAGAAAGTTAGAAAGAATGTCAGAAAGAATGTCAGAAGATATGCCAGAATATATGCCAGATAGAATGCCAAATAGAATGCCAGATAGAATGCCAGATAGAATGCCAGAAGATATGTCAGAATATATGCCAGAAGATATGCCAGATAGAATGCCAGAAAATATGCCAGAAGATATGCCAGATAGATATGCCAGAAGATATTCCAGAAGATATGCCAGATAGAATGCCAGATAGAATGCCAGATAGAATGCCAGAAGATATGTCAGAATATATGCCAGAAGATATGCCAGATAGAATGCCAGATTGAATGCCAGAAGATATGTCAGATAGAGTGCCAGAAGATATGCCAGATAGAATGCCAGAAGATTTGCCAGATAGAATGCCAGAAGATATGCCAGAAGATATGCCAGATCATTTGCCAGAAGATATGCCAGATAGAATGTCAAATAGAATGTCAGAAGATATGTCAGATAGAATGCCAGAAGATTTGCCAGTAAGAACATGTATAAATGTCATGGTGGGGATCACACGAAGTAAAGTAATTGAATGTTCATTGTTTTTCCTCAATTCCTCGCCGTATCGAAATCTGGTTCTGGCTCGAAAATGGCACATGGACCCACCAGATTTGTCATGAGCTGAGCATGTCATCCTCCGTCTGGGGATTGTTTGGTTTTTCCTATTCCATGACCTTTGGATGAAAATGGTGAAAGCAGGATCATATTTAGACTCCCCAAAAATTATCATAAAGTATAGACTCGTTTTTGGACCATCATGGTACTCGTATAGACCATCATGGTACATATATTCATATATATTCGCTGTAGACTCCAGTACTGGTGGTTTGGCAAAGCCATAGAGGAAGTTTTTGTTAAGATATATCAAGTACTTAGCAATCTGGTTGGTGGTATACCTACCCCTCTGAAAAATGTGAGTTCGTCAGCTGGGATGACTATTCCCAATATATGTAAAAATCATCCAAATGTTCCAAACCACCAACCAGCAATCATGTATAGTCCCTCACGAAAAATCTTTCCAAAGGAGTTCGACACCTAGGCACATAGGAGGCAGCAAAGCACAAAGGCTTGGATCATGAACGAATTTCCTGGCGGAAAGAAGCGGGCCCCCGTGGTTGGGTGATTATTGGGCCAATATGATTGGGGGTTATTTGGCAATTCTTACTACATTGGGGTGGTAAGAAGTGGTATTTATAATATGATTGGGGTATGGTTATACAGGGTTATTCAATATATTATAAGTGGTACCCGCTGGTGAACTAACATAGCAATGGAAAATCACCATTTTTAATGGGAAAATCCACTATAAATGGCCATTTTCAATTGCTATGTTAGTTCACCAGAGGGTACTCCTGTTAAGTGATACAGGAAAAAACCCTGTATACGTTGCTTTGACAATTAGGGAACCCTTTATATAATGTCCATGGTTTTATCATCATGTCACCCCGATTCCAACAACATCGAATATATCAATATTTTGCGGGGGATCACACATTAGACCCATTTTGGGACAGAACCATATATATATATACAATGTGAGGCCCCCTAGATAGCTAAGTTGGTTTATAACTCCAATAACTATTGTTTATGATACTTATAACATCTTATAACTATAGTTACTGGGGCTTATAAACCAACTTATAACTGGGGGGCCTCACATTGTATATATCTGTGATATAACATGCTTCTTACAGACATGTTGGCATAACCCACTTTTGTTCCATTCCGATGCGTCTCCAAGTGAGTCGGGCAAGGTGTGGATTCACTGCGTATTTTTGTAACACCAAAATCTGGTTGGTGGTTGAGCCACCTACTCCTCTGAAAAATGATGGAGTGAAAGTCAGTTGGGATGATTTTCCATTCCCAACTTTTTATGGAAAGTCATAATCCATTCCATGGTTCCAGTCACCACCAACCAGTTTTGAAACACCAAAATCTACCCTCTGGTAAACTAACATAGCTATTGAAAATGGCCTTTTATAGTGGATTTACCCATTAAAATGGTGATTTTCCATAGTTATGTTAGTTTACCAGAGGGTACTTTGGATGGGTGAAAAAACGTATGCCCCGAATTGGTCAGATCGGATGGGGTGACCTCCTAGAGGAATCGGGGCACTGCTGCATTCGTAGGATGCTTCGTATGGAGATTTCACTCAGTAAAGCCCAACGGCTCAATGGAGGGGAAGGAGGGGAAGATATTCCATGATATTCCATGATATTCCATGATATTCCATGATACGTCCATGATATTCCATGATATTCCATGATATTCCATGATATTCCATGATATTCCATGATATTCCATGATATTCCATGATATTCCATGATATTCCATGATATTCCATGATATTCCATGATATTCCATGATATTCCATGATATTCCATGATATTCCATGATATTCCATGATATTCCATGATATTCCATGATATTCCATGATAGTCCATGATAGTCCATGATATTCCATGATATTCCATGATATTCCATGATATTCCATGATATTCCATGATATTCCATGATATTCAATGATATTCCATGATATTCCATGATATTCCATGATAGTCCATGATAGTCCATGATAGTCCATGATATTCCATGATATTCCATGATAGTCCATGATAGTCCATGATAGTCCATGATATTCCATGATATTCCATGATATTCCATGATATTCCATGATATTCCATGATATTCCATGATATTCCATGATATTCCATGATATTCCATGATATTCCATATCTATCACTGGTTAACATCCTATCTGGTTGGGAATCCTATCTTTAGTGGGGAAAACGTAAAGCCTATTAAATCGCCTAGAAAAAAAAACACATTCAAACCTTTTTAGCCCTGTGGATCACACATCCCTCCAGCTCCAAACACCTTCTGAGACTGTATCTGTGGATGTTTTTTGAAGCCTATATACACACCTTCTATGATGGTATTTGGTGAACCAAACACCTCCCCAAAATTCACATAGACCCTGAATCTAGATAAACGTTCTAAAAATAGATCAACAATGATTAACTGATATAATAATATCCTAATGTTTGTGAAAACTCATCTTCTCCCGATTTGCCAGGATCTAGAGTCTATATTCATAGAATTCATTGTAATCTGCCCTTTTTCGCATCCCAAACGTTCATTCCTGGACAAGCGGCCTCCTTCTTCCGTCTGCCAACCAGAGCCCCCCATCAGCAGATCTCCGCGCCATAAGAAGGCGACCAGGAGCCAGGGCCTCGAAGAGGGTCATTTTTTTCGCTTTTCCAGTGGATTTTCCAGTATTTCCATCCATAAATCATCCATAAATCATCCATAAATCATCCATAAATCATCCATAAATCATCCATTTTGATGGGATTTCCTATGGGATTTCAACCATCGAATCCAGCCATTGGGAGGGAGAGAAACCCCTGTCTGCATCACCGGAGCTGGGAGTCCACACAGGGTCAACATGATCCCTGCACCTGGATCAGGAGTTTTGTTTGGATCTTAATTATTGGATCTTGGATCCTTAAATTTCCAGGATCTTTTGTTTCTTTGGATCTTGGATCCTTGAATTTCCATATTTTTTTTTGAAGAGAATTGTTCACTCGAGTTCACTTGCAGGGAAAAATATGTTTCATGGAGGAATCGCAAGATGTCGAAGTGGTCAATGGGAATATTTAAGCAGGAAAACTTCTTCTATATTTGACTGGAAAGTTCGAAGTGTAAATGAAACACATCTAATGGATTTTAATGGTAACTATAAAAGGATATCATTTTACACGTTGGTGGCATGTCCCATGGAACATCATGGAGAACTTCGACTCGGCCAGTGGGGATCCAAACCAATGACAGTTGGCCAGTACCCGGCCTGATAAACGTTTACAGTTTGCTATTGAACATGGCCCAGTCGAAATAGTTGATATTTACCCATTAAAAGCATGGTGGATCTTTCCAGTTCGTTTTTTGTTAACGTTTACCAGAGGGTAAGACTGTATGATGTTATATGCCCATTTTGAATTTCTTAAGTCACCATCTTTGCTGGATGATTTGCAGCAAATTCTATCAAAATCTTATACTGTATGTTCCGTTCAAGGCTGTAATAATATGTTGTTGCTTCATAGTTCCCTTGTCCCATGATTATAAATATCAATCAAACATATAATTTGTATCCATCCAGCACTGACGACTATGCCAAAATTCTCCATGGCATATTTGCCTGCGCTTATTTTTTTGTTTTGCCATTTTTGGGGCTTTCACATAACACCATGGAAGATTATATCATATTGTTGTGATTATATAAATGATCATATTCCGTCAATTATCCATTAGTAATATGTATATTTTAATACATCCGCATATATATATAATTTATATATATATATGTATATGTATATATATAGAATTATATAATATATATATATCCACATGATATCCACATGATATCTCTATAATGGGTTGGGTATCCCATTGCTTCCGGGAAAAAAAATCCATCGATTTGCTGCCTCTCCAGGCTTTGCAGATTTGCTGCTGCGCATTCTCTCGCACCTGGGTGGAACAGCCCCCGTTGTAGTTTTAGTATGTAAACATATGTAAACCCCTGAAAAGCCTTATAGTTCTAGAGTTAGAGTTCGTTTTAAAGTTGTTTTTTTTTTTAGAAATCCAGTGATAGTTTCTTGTCCAAATAGGTAAACCCTTAAAACAGCCAGATATTTTCTATCACGAGCCGTATCCTTTTGGTGAAGCCATATCATTCCATATCCAAATAGCCTTAAAATCCTATTAAAAATGGTGATGTTCCCATTAAACATGGTGATTTTCCATATGTTTTTGTATTAATATATACAGTACAATTACTTGTTGGTGGTTGAGCCACCTACCCCTCTGAAAAATGATGGACAACTCGTCAGTTGGGATCATGACATTCCCAATAGATGGAAAGTCATAATCCAGCCATGTTCCAGCCACCACCAAGCAGTACAGCATGTACTCATTTTTGGAGCCTAGTGAGTCTAGTGATCATTTCACCCTCGGATCAACGCGTCAGGCTTGACACTGTGTCATCCCCGGGCATCCCCCGGATTAAACCAGAGTCACTGATGATCCCCTGGTTGGTTAATACACCTGGTTAATATATGGTTAATATTAATGGTTATTACATGGTTAATGATCTTGAATCATATAGTTATTATATGGTTAATGGTTAATACACTGTTAATACACGGTTAATAGTTAATAATGGTTAATATATGGTTAATATTAATGGTTATTATATGGTCAATGATCTTGAATCATATGGTTATTATATGGTTAATGGTTAATACACTGTTAATACACGGTTAATAGTTAATAATGGTTAATATATGGTTAATATTAATGGTTATTATTAATGGTTAATGATCTTGAATCATATAGTTATTAGTTATTATATGGTTAATGGTTAATACACTGTTAATACACGGTTAATAGTTAATAATGGTTAATATATGGTTAATATTAATGGTTATTATTAATGGTTAATGATCTTGAATCATATAGTTATTATATGGTTAATGGTTAATACACTGTTAATACACGGTTAATAGTTAATAATGGTTAATATATGGTTAATATTAATGGTTATTATATGGTCAATGATCTTGAATCATATGGTTATTATATGGTTAATGGTTAATACACTGTTAATACACGGTTAATAGTTAATAATGGTTAATATATGGTTAATATTAATGGTTATTATATGGTCAATGATCTTGAATCATATGGTTATTATATGGTTAATGGTTAATACACTGTTAATACACGGTTAATAGTTAATAATGGTTAATATATGGTTAATATTAATGGTTATTATTAATGGTTAATGATCTTGAATCATATGGTTATTATATGGTTAATGGTTAATACACTGTTAATACACGGTTAATAGTTAATAATGGTTAATATATGGTTAATATTAATGGTTATTATTAATGGTTAATGATCTTGAATCATATAGTTATTATATGGTTAATGGTTAATACACTGTTAATACACGGTTAATAGTTAATAATGGTTAATATATGGTTAATATTAATGGTTATTATATGGTCAATGATCTTGAATCATATGGTTATTATATGGTTAATGGTTAATACACTGTTAATACACGGTTAATAGTTAATAATGGTTAATATTAATGGTTATTATTAATGGTTAATGATATACTGAATAATATGGTTTATCAATGATTACTGGTGGTTTCAACCTACCCCTCTGACAAAATCTGAGTGAAAGTCAGTGATGATGAAATTCCCAACTGAATGAAAAGTCATAATCCATTCATGTTCCAACCACCAACCAGCCAACTCTCTTGGGACGAATTCGGAGGAATCTTGCGAAATGATCATCATGATTCATCGGAATGGTTTATCTTCAACATTCTGGCCATAACAACAGCTGGTGAGCGGGTTGGTCTACTCGACTGGTTGGTCATGGGAACTATTCAGTCGAGTTATGAGTCCTTTTGGGAAAAGTATAGGAGCCGGCTTGATATGCCATCTGCATCCATTTGCTGTCATTCATATCTATATGAGCGATTGTGAAAACCCTAGGTTCACGGAAAGGACATCCACAAATTTGGGAAGGTCCCATCGCTTACCACACGTTTGTACAATAATGATATATGGTAAACTTGGGGGGTATCGCTTGCAGGAAACTGCTGCATGTATATATACGTATATATATATATATATATGTGATGAACTATGAATAATATGTGGTATTTGGGTATCGCTAATGTGGATATTAGAGACATATGATGACATAACCTTGAAAAGGGGTATCGCTAATTTGGGAAGGTTCCATCGCTTACCTCGTGTTTTTAACAATTTCCATCAATTTACATAAACCAATGTCCGTCGAATACATATTTAGTATTGCCGGGGTTTTTACGGTTGCTCATATCTATATAAGTTTATATAATACATCAATTGTACATTTGCCGTTATTTATATCTATAATCTATATACCTTATCTAAGTGCTTCAGAAGTCTCCTTTTTTGGGTTACATTCATCATTCATATCATTGCTATGTTGCTTCGTCCCAGATCCTAGGCCACCATGCCATATTGCACATCCGCGACAACATGTCGCACTGCCGCAGGCACTCCTACCATGGCCGGCAGGGCTGGGTCTCACTAAAAGTTTTGTTTGTTTTGTGGGACAAATCGTGCAAACCTATCTAAAATTCCAGAGATATATAAAGATCAAAATGTATGGCTATAATATGAGTTATAAATATGTATAAATAATATAAGTTCATTTGGAGCCAAAGCAACTTTTGCCACATTTGTTTGGTGCTATTTTGGTGCCCTCTGCTGGTGCCCACTGTTAGTGCAAAAACGGATGTCCCAAGTTGTAAACCCTCCCCAGGTGGAGGTTTACCACTAACCACAGAAAATATCTGCTGGGTAGATTAATACATTCAAGCTATTCCAATGGAAATGACCAAAAAACACCTAAACTAGAATAAGACCTATAGCCACCTTTACCATTTTGCCATCTTTGACCTACTCATTGTTGGAACCCTCTACGAATCAACCGATGGGAATTCAGAAAAATATAAGTGAAGTCTATGAATCATGACTGTTGTTGGTTGAAATGGTTGAAATGCGCTCGTCTGTGCTTGAATATCTTGAATCTTAGCTACACCATAATGTTTCTGGTATTTTACCCATCTTTGTGGATAAACAAAAAACATCCGTCGCTGGTGCATCTCCTCTGCTGTTGACTCCGGTTTGTTGATCATTTGGGTATGGGACATGTCACAGATGGCCAACCCCCCAGTAAGTTGGTAAACCCCACCATTTGTGGCTCCGCCATCAACACTAACTCTCATCTAGTTATGCTCAGCAACTTTGCTATGGGTTACCACCAAAATAGGTTGGTTGTTTTTCCCTACCCCTCTGAAAAATGATGGAGTGAATGTCAGTGATGATGAGATTTCCAACTGAATGGAAAGGCATAATCCATTCATGTTCCAAACCACCAATCAGCCTTGAATGGTCTCTGGTAATCAAAACGTGGCTGGAAAGTCCATAGTTGGAGGATTTTCCCAGCGAACGAAACCTGCATAAACCTGGGGGCTGTTCCAGCCACGTTTATTGCCAGAGGGAAAAATGTTATAGATGTTATAGATGATAGTAATAGAACATAATATTGATGGTATTCACATATGCTACAATGTTCCATAATGTTAATAGACGTGAATAGTCTATGATTCCCATGATGACCCCCACTAAACCATATAAAACCATATGAAACTACCATTAAACCTCCAAGCTTTAGCGTTGCTGGAACCTCAAGGGCTGTCACGATGTTGTCCCAATGTCTCACCTGCGTCGTCTCCACAAACCAACAGGGATGGATCTTCTGGTGGGTAGTATACCCACCCCTCTGACAAATATACCTGGTTGGTGGTTAATAATGGTTAATATTAATGGTTAATATTAATGGTTAATGATGGTTAATCATATCTGGTTGGTGGTTTGAATGCCTCTGACAAAATCTGAGTGAAAGTCAGTGATGATGAAATTCCCAACTTTTTATGGAACGTCATAATCCATTCATGTGAAAAAAAACACCAACCAGTAAAATGTGGAAATTTAACCATCAACAATTGGTTTTGATCTGTTTTCATCAAAGAATCGGAAGTCGACCAACACAAAAGCCCCAGATTTTACCAAACAAATTCGGTCATATCCCTCCAGCAAAAGAGGATATTTCTACTTTGATATAAACCATGAAAAGTTGGGTTGGTTGTGAGTAGCATGAGAGAACGGAGATATACCGGGATACCTGCCCCCAAGAAAACCATGCCATTCTGCCGCAGTTTTGGGGTCCAATTTCTACCAGGGCGGATTTCCCCAGTCATGTGATCTACAAAAAAACAACACTGAAATATCACATGTGAACTATCTCAAATCATATTAATAATCATGTTTTGCAAACCTTTAAAGTTTTTTTAGTGTTTTTTTGGCCGGATTTCACATACAGTAGACACGTTTGTTCTGGTGGAACTTGACTATGTCTATCCACTTTGGGGTTTCCGTGTTGGATTTCCGGGTTGTCCGAGTCGCCGGCTGGCTGAGGGCAGGGCTCTGGTAAACGTTTACATAACTATGGAAAATCACCATGTTTAATGGGAAAATTATGGAAAATCACCATGTTTAATGGGAAAACTATGGAAAATCACCATGTTTAATGGGAAAACTATGGAAAATCACCATGTTTAATGGGAAAACTATTGGAAAATCACCATGTTTAATGGGAAAACTATGGAAAATCACCATGTTTAATAGGAAAACTATGGAAAATCACCATGTTTAATGGGAAAACTATGGGAAAATCACCATGTTTAATGGGAAAACTATGGAAAATCACCATGTGTAATGGGAAAACTATGGAAAATCACCATGTGTAATGGGAAAACTATGGAAAATCACCATGTTTAATGGGAAAACTATGGGAAAATCACCATGTTTAATGGGAAAACTATGGAAAATCACCATGTTTAATGGGAAAACTATGGGAACATCACCATGTTTAATGGGAAAATTATGGAAAATCACCATGTTTAATGGGAAAACTATGGAAAATCACCATGTTTAATGGGAAAACTATGGAAAATCACCATGTTTAATGGGAAAACTATGGGAAAATCACCATGTTTAATGGGAAAACTATGGAAAATCACCATGTGTAATGGGAAAACTATGGAAAATCACCATGTGTAATGGGAAAACTATGGAAAATCACCATGTTAATGGGAAAACTATGGAAAATCACCATGTTTAATGGGAAAACTATGGAAAATCACCATGTTTAATGGGAAAACTATGGGAAATCACCATGTTTAATGGGAAAACTATGGAAAATCACCATGTTTAATGGGAAAACTATGGAAAATCACCATGTTTAATGGGAAAACTATGGAAAATCACCATGTTTAATGGGAAAACTATGGAAAATCACCATGTGTAATGGGAAAACTATGGAAAATCACCATGTTTAATGGGAAAACTATGGAAAATCACCATGTTTAATGGGAAAACTATGGAAAATCACCATGTTTAATGGGAAAACTATGGGAAAATCACCATGTTTAATGGGAAAACTATGGAAAATCACAATGTTTAATGGGAAAACTCACTATTTCTATGGCCATTTTCAATAGTTATGTTATTTTACCAGAGGGTACTCTCCAGTAATCAAATGCAGCTGGGAAATCCCCTAAATCAAGATTTCTAGCTGAGAAAATCATCGAACTGAAAGGTGCATTTCCCAGAAAGTCATGTTTGATTGCCAAAGGGCAACCCCATATTTAGGATCATGTCTAATAATACCTCCCCAATCCTCCCCAGATGTCTTGGCCCACATCATCATTGCTGGTAGTCTAATCACCATTTAATCATCATATTCTGAATTCTACACTGGGGGACCACCAGAAATGAGTCGAAGTTCCTTTTTATTCTACAATTGGATATACGTACTCTATCAGATTTTCAATATGTTCCTATAATGCTATCCATCTATGGATATCTCTTGTATGTTTATATTGAGCCTTTTAGAATATATCTATTTCGCTAGCGTTTACCAGTTTTACCTTTTTCGTCTCTCGACTTTTTGGCATCTGGAACTGTGGCACCTTCTAATCTGGATGAAAATCGCCAGTTTCCGCTGGACTCAGCATTTTCGGACAGATCAATGACTGGTTGGTGGTTGAGCCCTACCCCTCTGAAAAATCTTGGTCAGCTGGGATGATTATTCCCAATCTATGGAAAAATAAAAAATGTTCCAAACCACCAACCAGAACCAGATGATATCCCCATACTGTGGATGGTTACAGTAACCGAAATCCTACACCAGTTGGTAGATGGGAAAAAAATCGATCATCCCACTATTTTGAGTGGTTCATAGGAATCCCGATCGTTACCAACTGGTGCAGGATATTTTGTGCCACAGTATCTGGGCAAATCATAGTAACTTACTGACCTGAAAAGTTCGGTTTGGGAGAATTCCCCGAATCCACCATGATTCCAGGCTTCGGTCACGACAGGTCACGTCATAACCCAAACACTATACCCTCAATTGAAGAGTTTGCTATTGAAAATGCATGAACATGGCCCATTTAGTTCGTTGAATTATATAAAGATCTTGATTTTCCATAGTTTACCCATTGAAAATGCTGGATCTTTCCATAGTTTAATAGTTTACCCATTAAAAATGGGTGGATTTTCCCCATACTTTACCCAGACATTATCCCAAAAACCCACAAAAAATTCCCTGCCTTGGCTCGTAGAACTTCACGCACCACGGCATTGCGGTTGGCCGCAAAGGCCTGGCTCATCGGTCGATTTTCAAAGGTCGATTTACAAAGGGAAAATGTTTTTAATAGCTGGATCCCCCCAATCGATAATAACATCTTATACTATTTCGAATATTATTATATAGATATACTATATTTTGGATAGTGTTTTGGAAGATGCTTAAAGCTGGATCCCCCCAATCGTGTAACTGGTTGGTGGTTGAGCCCTACCCTTCTGAAAAATGATGGAGTGAAAGTCAGTTGGGATGATGACATTCCCAATATATGGAAGAATAAAAAATGTTCCAAACCACCAACCAGTGTATTTTTTGGATTTTTTTGGTATAGTGTTTTTTCAATAATAGTATACTCTGACGGTCGACTATGTTTAACATGGTCTTTGGAAAAGACTATTTCTGGCAAATTCTGTAGATCTATAGTATATCTATAATGCTGGCTTGCTGATCCCGAGCGCAAAGCTGAATTCTTAGTGGGATTAGTATGGATTAGTGGCATCTTGTGGTTTTCCGCCATCTACCCTCTGGTAATTTAACATAACTATAGAAAATAACCATTTCTAGTGGATTTTCCCATGAAACATAGTGATTTTCCATAGTTATGTTAGTTTACCAGAGGGTAATCCCATGATCAAACCGAAGTGTATTAGCAATCCATGTCAGCCATTCCCATGTGGCTATCGCCTCCAGCGGGAGCTCGTTCTCGTGGGGCGGGCGCTTCGAACCTTTTTCGACTGAGGATGACAGAATGGGACTCAAACATGGAAAAACATAGTATAAACATGGGAGGTTCATGCGGATTTTTTCGGTGATCATCCCAAAAAGTGGGAATCCTCAATATTTAAAGGGTATAGAACTCCCTATGAATGGATTGATAACCCCCAAAATGGCTATACTCCAACTCTTTGTCTTAAACAGTGGATGGATGGAAACATGATTCTGAACCATAAAGGTAGCCTATTTTCAAACTCTCAAGTTATAACTGATAAACAAAAATAGTTATGGTTATCCCACCTTGAATGGGATTCTCTATAATCAGTGTCTAAATATATATATATACTTATCTATATAGGTTTCCTGAAATGGTGGTACCCCCAAATCATCCATTTTAATAGGTTTTTCCACTATAAACCATACTTATATACAAACCACCATTCAGGTGGAGGAATATCTCCTTTGATGTTGCTACTCATCGGAAGGGGCCCTTCCTAACGGGAGGTTAGATGAGCTAGTAACTGGGCAAGGTGTGTTGGAATGGGCTACAATACCTGTTCGGTAAGGTGTGCCATCCAAAAATCAAATTAAATGGGATTCCATATAAGCTGGTAATACACATCTCCATGTGTGGATGTGTTCTTCTCCTCAAAAACGATTATGTGCTTCAATGAATGATGTTCAGAGGAGAAGTCTAGCCAGCCATGTTTTTCCGGTTACAACTCCGCGTTTTTTCAAGGGTTAAAAATCCTTTGTCTTGCAGCTCAAACCCGTTAACCTCCTATTTTTTCAATGGTTAGATCCGCATTTTTTCCGGTTCACAATTCAAGTTTTCCACAGATTCGATCGAGCCCCCAGGGCCCCAGGCCATTTCTTGGGCCGTTGCGTTCATTGTACATGGTCCAAACCATGGGAATGTCCTGTGGGATGAATGCTGCAGTCGGAGATTTCAGTGGCCAGCCATCAAAAAGTGGGATGTCACAATACAATCAATGATCAAATGGGTCCATATCTATCATTTTTGAACATGTTTTATCATTTAGAAGTGGGAATTCACAATTTTCATCATTTATCATCATTTATCATTCAGAAGTGGGATTTCACAATTATCATTTTTTATCATCATTTATCATCATTTATCATCATTTATCATTTAGAAGTGGGAATTCACAATTATCATCATTTATCATCATTTATCATTTAGAAGTGGGATTCCACAATTATCATCATTTATCATCATTTGATATCATTTGTCATTCAGAAGTGGGATTCCACAAGTATCATCATTTATCATCGTTTATCATTTGGAAGTGGGATTTCACAACTATCATTTGGGGAGTGCCTTGGCCTCTTTGTCCGCAGTGTGTGCTCGTTGTTCCTGATTACAATATGCTTACTGTGGGACCCTTTGCTATTGGGGATTGCAAGTCTTTGTGGGCCGAGCCAATAACACCATCGTAGCATCTTGGGTATCTGTATATTGTGTATCCAAATACCCATTGGTTTTGAGATCTACATAATCCAGACTTGTCATAGAGCGCCCATTCTCCACAAGTTTGCTTTCAAGCAAATTGACAGGCCCTTTTCAGACAATCCAAAAATGATTTTAGACCCTACATCAATATTATATAATTATTCAATCAATTTTTTGCGAGAATCGCATAGAATCGCACTCTCCACTGTTCATTCACACACTGAGTTCCAATCGAGTTGTTCTTCCGTCAACTCAAGTTCTAGGACCTTGTTCAACTTTAAAAGATGATCAAATTGGACAAAACTGTATTAAATCCTTGTATACAGTTGGATAAAATGATAAACTTACCATTGGATTGGTTTTCACGGGAAAAAAAAACGCAAAAACCGTAGGAAAAATCGCAATTCCATGGGTTTTCCTATGGTTTTTCCTATATAATATATATATGTCATAGGAAAAACCCATAGGAAAAACCATGGAAAAAACCGCTTAAGATTTTCCCAACTCCTTCTGTGGAATGACCTTCGACAAGGCCCATCCTGGCAGGTTTCCACAGTCATTGGGGACACCCCGAAAAATCGCTCGCTGGATGGGGATGGTTTCATGGAAAAATGAAGGGTTTACCATGGAAAAACCATGGAAAATACCATCTATAAATGGATGATATGGATGGTTTATAGTGGAAAAATCCCAAAACATGGATGATTTAGGGGTACCGGGTACCCTATTTTTTTTAAAGGAAACCTCCATATATAGCTTCAATATTCATCAAATTTTCACACAACGGATAGCACCATGTGTTTTTTAAGACTGGGATTTAATACCAGGCTGGTGGATTGTGGATTTCACCCAACAAAGTTGAACTGTTTCTTTGTATTCCTGGGGATTTAAGCCTCCCAAAGGAGCTGGTTCGTCTAAAAAACAACATAGGAATGACAGGAAACACGTCGAAAGAAGTTCCTGGATTCCATGGTTTCTGATGGCAGTCATGGTCCCATGGAGTCAGGGAGTGGGCGAATCAAGCCATTGGTTCCACGGCCATAGGATTTTGAATGATGGACCATGTTTTTTTATGGTCAGCCCATCAAAACATGATACAATAAACAACAAACATATTATTTACTCTTTATATAATAGGATTTTAAATGATGGACCATGGTCAGCATGGCCAGACTGGAAAGAAAAACACATCAGTCCTATGGCTGCATTTTGTTCGGTGTTTTTTGTGTCCTATCATTATCCAATTCAGCTTACTGTACCATTGATCTCCTACTTCTGGACCTACAGCTGTCACAGAAGCACAGCACCTCCACTGTAAAGGTGTTAAGTATCGAAGTAGTTCAATGGGAGCTTCCAGAGACATGGGGGTGCCCCAATAGCTGGATGGTTGAAAGAATGACAAAGAATATTAACATGGATGATTTAGGGGTACCAGGTACCCTATTTTTTAAAGGAATTGTACCACCTTATGATAGGGAGGGGGGTACTACCTACTTAATTACTGTGAATGGGGTTATGAACCAACTGATGATAGGGAGGGCACCACCTTGTAATTGTAACACTTATTTGTCCAATTCAACGCTGCTTCAGAATTCTGCTTCACTCCTTGCTCACCAAGACCGGCCAACACCCAAGAGACTGAAGAGAGTGTGGCAGAATCACTCTTTCAAGGCTCTGTTGGATGTTTCTGGTCACTCGTTTGAAGATCGCATTGAAGTTACTGTCAAATGTTAAGCTTTGTGGCCAGCAGTTGTTATACATGTAACCGTGCTATTTGGTTGATTGGTTTATTCATTTGCAATTGAAATACAGTATATATCCCAAAAAACAAAGCCCCAGGAACTTCACCATGAATTCACTTTCTCAATCAGTCATCCCTGTGGCCTCCGTTGTCGCACAGATTTCCCCTGACTGAAGATTTCACTGCTTTTGGCCCCTACAACGGACAAGGGGTGGAAGCCGCTGCGGCCGCGGGAGGCGCGGATCGGCTCAAATTAACAAATGTCATTCCCGATATCTTGTTGTCCCACACTTCGACTAAACCATCCGGCAGACCGTGACCTGCACCCTCGCTGTACGCACAGCTGCGCATATGCGAGAAAAATTTCGTGGCAGATCATGCTCAGTCTCTTCAAGAGACTGAGCATGATCTGCCACGAATTTCTTCTCGCAGATGCGCAGCTGTGCTGTTTGGCAGGGTCACTCGTTCCAAGCTCTGGTTGAACATGCTGCCAAATGTCAAGCTTTGAAGACTGCTTGGCAGGGTCACTCGTTCCAAGCTCTGATTGAAGTTGCTGCCAAATGTCAAGCTTTGAAGACTGCTTGGTAGGGTCACTTCGTCTAGGCTCTGTCAAGCTCTGAAGACTGCTTGGCAGGGTCACTTCGTCTGAGCTCTGGTTAAATATGCTGCCAAATGTCAAGCTTTGAAGACTGCTTGGCAGGGTCACTCGTTCCAGGCCGTGGTTAAAGCCTCCGCCAAATGTCAAGCTCTTAAGGCTGCTTGGCAGGGTCACTAGGCCATGGTTAAAGTCTCCGTCAAATGTCAAGCTCTTAAGGCTGCTTGGCAGGGTCACTCGTTCCAAGCGCAGGCTAAACATGCTGCCAAATGTCAAGCTTTGAAGACTGCTTGGTAGGGTCACTCGTTCCAAGCTCTGGTTGAACATGCTGCCAAATGTCAAGCTTTGAAGACTGCTTGGTAGGGTCACGCGTTCCAAGCTTTTGTTAAACATCCTGCCAAATGTCAAGCTCTGAAGACTGCTTGGCAAGGTCACTCGATCCAAGCTCTGGTAAAACATGCTGCCAAATGTCAAGCTTTTGAGGCTGCTTGGCAGGGTCACTCGTTCCAAGCTCTGGTTAAACATGCTGCCAAATGTCAAGCTCTGAAGACTGCTTGGCAGGGTCACTTCGTCTAAGCTCTGGTTAGAGCTGCAAAATGTCAAGGTCAGAACGGTGGTTGGCACGGTCACTTGTAACAAGCTCTGGTTGAAGTTACTGCCAAATGTCAAGCTCTGAAGATTGCTTGGTAGAATCACTCGTTCCAGGCCATGGTTAAAGTCTCTGCCAAATGTCAAGCTCTTAAGGCTGCTTGGCAGGGTCACTCGTTCCAAGCTCTGGTTAAACATGCTGCCAAATGTCAAGCTCTGAAGTCTGCTTGGCAGGGTCACTTCGTCTAAGCTCTGGTTAAACATGCTGCCAAATGTCAAGCTCTTGAGACTGCTTGGCAGGGTCACTCGTTCCAAGCTGTGGTTGAAGTTACTTCCAAATGTCAAGCTCTGAAGACTGCTTGGCAGGGTCACTTGTTCGAGACTCAGGTTAAACATGCTGCCAAATGTCAAGCTTTGAAGACTGCTTGGCAGGGTCACTCGGTCCAAGCTCTGGTTAAAGTGCCTGTCAAATGTCAAGTGTTCAAGGCTTTTTGGGAGATAGTTCAAATACTCGGTGGTTGTTGCTCCTGCTATCCGCGTGAGTCCCTCTAATGCAAGCTCTCCTTCAGAGTCCGGTAAACCTTCCACAGTACACCATGCAGCATGGAGATCTGTTGGAATGTAAGTGCAAGAGAGCGTAGCAGTGCGTAGCAGCCTTCCCCAGAATGCCTTGCTCATGCAATGCTTTGTGCAGTATCAACGGCGAGTCAAGGTGATGCAGGCTGATGCAGGGTGGGTTTTCCACCTTTCCACCTTTCTTCGCAGGAAGTTCCTTTGAAGCCATCCGGTGCACTTCCTGACTGACCGGTACAGGAACCGAAGAGCTTCAACACGCATCCTTCACCATTTAGGCATCTTACAGAAATGTCAATTGAGTCTTCCCCACAGCTTCGCACAACGGAACCACCGGCATCACCGATGGACATCAATTCTTTGTTCTTCAGGGCCTGGCCCACCGGGCTTTGCCGGCTGCACCGTCGTCGATCGGCTATCTAATTTGAGCTAAATGACCGCTGGCAGGTGAGAGACGCTTGGAGAATCATTTTGTAGCATGGAGCGGTTTTCGATTGCAAAAAATGAAAGCTGCGGATGGGTCAGACCGCACGTTAATTCATACATTGTGGGTAAAACAATAATAATCCTATTTATGGTGATTTGGGGGATGGTTCATTATTGTTTCAACATGTTTCAACCACATATAACCACATTAACTCCATCGATTTTCCTATGGGATGCCATTAAATTAAGCACGATCATCAGCATAGGGAAAAACCCAGCCAGGCCTAAGGTGCCGAAGGCGCGGGCGAAGTCCACGTTGTTGTCCAACTGGTCCACCTTGTTCAAGACCACCTACGCCATTTTTGCCACGTGAGTTCCGATCGATGGATCGATGGGAAGGGCGCAACACCAACACCATACAACCTGATGTATGATGGGAAAATGATGGGAAAATGATTATTAGATGTTACTTGATGGAACATGTTCCTTGGGGCAGCTTCCGAGTTATTCCCAGTTTCTAAGTCATAAAGATCCAAGAGTCAACTGAGTCAACAGAATCATTTATAACCTGGCATATCATGTGACTCTCTGGTGACCAGGTCGTAAAAAAAATATGATATGGATTGATATGGTGGTTTCCTAGAAAAAAGGGCTACCAGAAAAAAATCAGGCTTTTTTTTTCGGAGTTTCCATTTTATCAACCGACCATCCAGCTATTGGGGTACCCCCAATCTGTGGAAACCAGCAGATGGGGATCATCTTCTCCGTGAGAAGATAAGTATCGAGCGTAACCACGTGGCCGGACGGACGGGACATGATTCATGTCATTCATGTCTGAGACTCCAAGAAAAACAAAGTATATGGCTATGTTAATATATAGAACTATTGGATGATACCATAAGGGATATATGAATATAATAATATATATATATATGATTCATATCCAAACTATAAACTGATAATCCAATGGATTTTTTAGGGCCGTCCATGTGCGATGCTAAAGCTATAGATTCCAGGTGATGATCGATCACGGCGATGGGTCAAAGCCTACCATCTGACTGGGGGAAGCAACATTCACGAGGAAGCTATCTGCTTAGTACCGTCTAGGTACCTGGGTTTTGAGCCATCTCCTTATCATCTCGAAATTGGAAGATCAGCAGGCGATGCTCAAAACCTTTTCCTTTACTTATGTAAAAAAGGCGGAAACACATGGGACTCAGTGACTCAATGTGAATGCCTGGCAACAGTTCTTTTGGGAGAACGGGGAACCATCGAGAAATTAGATAGATGATGAAAGTAGCCAGTTGGTACTGGTAATTCCAAGACGTTGGCTTGGTGGTGGCTCATAATCCTAAAGCTTCCCAGTTGGTGATAATTACAAGGAAATCCTGGCATAAATGATTGGGCCTCAAACTGTTTTTTGTCACTGTAACTTGACATTGTGGAGGCACAAAAAGATCTGTCATGCTATGTCACACTTCTTTTTTTTTGTTGGTCATATGCAATGAGTCATGTTGGTGGTCATTTCATCACGGCACGTTGGATGACTGCAGAAAACTGTCGAAGACTCAGACTTGTTCGATGATGCAGAGAAAAAAATGATGGTGAAGTGGAGATCTGATTTTCCGAAACATCCAACTGTTCTATGGTACAACCGGACTGTATGATTTTTGGAACATCCGAAAAATCCACGAGATTAAATCCGTAGTTGTTTTTTCCGATTTTATCATGAAACATAATTTGATTTTGACTTGAAAAAACTATGTTTCAACTAAGCCCCTCTGTAATTAATGTCCAATACATTTCAGGAACAAACATTGTATAATGAGGAAATAAAGGGAAATAAGGTATAGTTAATGGCATTAATGGTGTTTCATGGTCTTTAAAGGAACCCCATCAAAGGTGTTTGATGGACTCCCATGAACTATAGATACCCTCCTGTGATCAAATTTGTCGATCTGAATTGATGGATTTTCCTTGCCGTGTTTGATTACCGGCGGGTATATCTACAATATTCCACAATAAAAACAGGCAATATTATAGACATATCCACAGTTAATGTAGATACACCCATTAATTGCAGATAGATCTACATCCATTGCAGAAACCATTTGTTTATGGTTAATGGGATGTAGATTTCGTCTGTAGTCAGTATCCAATGGTCAATTGATTGCTGGCACCAAGCTAATTATAGATACCCTCCAGCAAAAATTGACATAGACCCTGCCAGATCGGGGTTGGAAGACTAGTTTCCCTAAAAATTGGTGATCACATCAGGGTCAGACTGTTACCAGAGAGTAACTTCAGCCCCCAATCAATCCGGTTATAGTGTCCCTACTATGGGTTAGTTCCTAATCCTAACCCCCAGTAGTATAACATAATATAACATAGTATAATTCCCTATAACAACCTATAACAACCATCTCAAGAATTACTAGTTGGTTGCCAGTGGTTACCATAGTTTCCCTACTATGCGTTCCCAAAAAACAACAAAAAAAAGTAGTATGATCAACTCAATCCACCATTTCTATATTTTTGTAGTATATCTCCCTATAACAACCTATAACATCCATGGTGTATATCTTTCCCGGCAGCCCATGGGCACCAGGAATTTGTGGTCCAATCCTGCCAGGGACTTGGTCAAAACCTGCAGCGGTGACATGGGGAGTTCATGGGGACGTGATAAGGGGACTTAATAGGATTGACAAGGGATTTTGTAAGAATTATAGGGATTTAATAGGTTTTAACTGGATTTAATGGGATTTATAACTGGATTTATAGTGTTTTATGGGGATTGAATGGGGTATATAAAGCTATAGCTTTTTGCGAGCTGGGTCTTCCTGAACATGGGTCCCTTCGTTGGATTTCATCATCCAGTTTCTGGGGGTCAACAACTTAAAAAGAAACACCCACCAGTGGCATAATTCTTGGCTATAACTGACTATGAATCTAGTTTTAATATGTGTTAATGCTGAAATTGCAAACCATATCCCATGTATTTTAACTCACATATAACCCAAACACATGTCGCGCTTTTTTTTCCGGGGTTAAACCACCATAGTCTCATCTCTTGTATATAGCTTAAACCATGGAACACCAGTACAATCCTGGACAGTCCCAAGCTGGGGTGAAATCACCGTCGCCACCTACCAACACGACAATTGGAAAAAAACCCTATGAAGCCGCCATAAAAACTATGTTTATACCATATGAATACCACATCTAGCAATCTCAAAACACAATAGCTGGTTGGTGGTGCAATAAACATCTTGAAAAATGATGGAGTTCGTCAATGGGAAGGATTATCCCATATGTTATGGAAAATAAAAATGTTCCAAACCACAACCAGCAATAGTTTTTTACATCAATTTAAGCCACCATGTTGTTGGGGACCGGAGTTCACCACCTTCGATTTTTTAACTGGGGGTGTGCCACTAACTGTGCCACTCCCCTGAGATGTTTCTTTGTTTAAAACATGGGAATCCCATTAATGCGAACCATGGTGCTGGTATATATATTTACCTACAAAACTGGTTATTAAATTTCACGAGCTCCTGGGATTTTGTGATTTTTAGGGATTATTGGATATCAAGGTCAAGATGCAATATTTGGTGCAGTGTACGCGCACAAGGGTGGCACCAAAAAACTTAAGCGTCATGGTTTGCACGGGTTTGCACTGGATCAGCCTTCCATAAATGGAAGTGGTCCAATTAATCGTTCAGAAAAAATGAAACGGTCGGAAACGGTCGGAAACAGTCGGAAACGGTCGGAAACATGATCAGGCCAAAACTTGTTCAACCCGTATTTTTTTTTTTATAAGCATTTCCGCGCAACGCCGTTTTTTTTTTGAAGGTCCAAAGGTGTCCAAGGGGAAACGGTTGGAAACAGTCCAAAGGCTTAAGTTTTTTGGTGCCACCCTTGTGCGCGTACACTGCACCAAATATTGCATCTTGACCTTGATATCCAATAATCCCTAAAAATCACAAAATCCCAGGAGCTCGTGAAATTTAATAAAACTGGTTGACTTTTAGGGCAAATGTTAAATATTCCATACATGGAGCATATGGCTTTCATGATAGGGTCGCTTTAAAAACACGTTAAACACCGTATTTTAACAACTAAGTGTCCCATTTGAAGGCTTTACCCGTTATTAATCAAAACCTTAAGTGTCGTTGCCTTATTAGAGTCCCTGGAGATGTTCTGTTTTCTTCGACAATGTTTTGAGTTTACGAATAGGGGAAGCTTTGATCTGGATGATTCTAGCAATATCTTTTATGAGGCGTCGTCAAAATCAATTGTTCTGGAGTGGTACCAACATGGAAGTTGTTTTTTTCGGGTGTGAACACACAAATGCAGTGGACTTGTTTTCATCAAAAAAATCAAAAATTAGCTTCATGGATCCAGTCAATGGTAAAAATCGTTCATGGATCCATTTTTGTTGGCTACAGTCCCCCTAGAAACGAAACTCCCAACAACACTAAAAACATGCCACCGTGTTTTTTTTATTCGTTCAGTGGTAGAAGAGCCATTTGTAAAGCCACTTCCAAACTGAATGGCAACGGCAACGGAAAACACATGGCATCACGCCCTGGCTCCATGTCACCATCACCCTGAACCAGCCGTGAAGTTCACAGGTTTACAGGCCAAGTCTGCAACGGAATGTTGCAAAAATCTCCTCCAAATCTTCATAACCCCAAGTCACGGCCAGAAAGTAGGAAACCATCATAAACCATCTTTTTTTGGGCTTTGCTATAAATATAAATATATATATATATATCCCTCTGTATATATAATATAATAATGATAAATAATAAGAATAGTAATAATCAATGGGATTATACATTCCATAAATAGGGTTAGGTTAGTACTTATAACTTATACCCTCTGGTAAATTAACAGTTCGACCCTGGCAGTCATCGGGGTTGGAAGATTAGTTTCCAGTTAAACTACCCACGTGCCTCCAAGGTCTCGCCCGTGGTGCCCGGCCTCGGCAAAGATCAACAATCTGCCTATATGAAATATCACAATGTTAAGGTAGCTATCTTTATATAGACATGACATAATCATACATAATATATATATATATACAGACATATATATATATATGTGCTTCATCTTTGGGGATCATAAAATGTATCATGAAGAGTAATCAATTGTTGAAAGTATCTCTTTATTATAATCACCATTGTTATATATATTATTATCATAGAGAAGATTGCTATCATAACATTATACTAGGTTGTACTAGATCATGGTTCTCAAAAAGCATGATGGATTTCCCTAGTCCTGGCGGATGAAGTTAGGAAAATAAGTCAAATCTGGCAGATTTTTTTTTAAATGTCAGAATCCACTCAGTTCTGAACATCTCTGATTTTTTTAGCCGGGGATGACTCCCAGAATCAACTCGCCGAATCCAGATTGGGAAAGGTTTTGGAGACCTTTGGAGACCTACCCTCTGGTAATTTGTCAAAATAGCTATTGAAAATTGCCAGTTATAGTGGATTTACCCAGCTACATAGCATGGTGATGTTCCAGTTCGTTATGTTAGTACGTTTACCAGAGGGTAATCAACCAGCTGTTCTTCCCCCATGCAACAACAGGAGTGTGTTGAATGGTTCAATTGAAGCTTAAGTAGCTAAGCATGGCACATGGAGAGATCTAACCATGAAACCATGGGATGTAACAAATTTGGATTCAGTCATTCAAAATGATTCATCCAAATTATGAATGAAATCCGAGTTTCATAAATTTCATGAATTTCATGAAATCCAAATTTATAAACCCATAGGATCCATGGTGCTGGTATATTAATGCTAACATAAAGGGGGTATAAACCCATGGATCCTATGGGAAATGAATCAGTCATTGGATTTCCATTTATGAAACTCGATGATTTCACCGATATTTCACGATTGGTGATCTGAAATGGGCATCATGGGCATCGGTCCATAGAAAATTGGATTAAAACATAATAAAACACATAATCTTAAGGATCAATAAATGCGAAAGTGGTTTGTTATGTTTGTTTATCTTGTTCTCAATATCAACTTTCAAGTTTGGGAGTGGGTGAAACCACAGACCTCTCAGCATGGCCAGACATTCCTCTGTCATTGCTGGTTGGCGTATATCTGTAAATCCCCATTCCATCCTTAGCAAAAAAAAATAAACAAATACCCATCATCAGTTGCCGGTTTCCTAGCTTTGCCAGTTAAATCCACATGTTTTTCCAAAAACCAATTTCTTCGTTGCGGAAATCCATTGATTTCGCACAAAAAAACAACGAAATCTCAGGGTGAACTCTGTGACCCCACGGCTCCGGCGGCCCTCGTGGGGCGGGTGAAATCCTTCGGCCACGCGACTTGTCGGGATCGAAGAGGAGCAAGATGAGATCCGAGCGCTTGGCCCACCAGCGCCTAACAACGGAGCGCCCGTGGGAAAAGAAACGCGACCTTTAGGGGGGATTTTCCAATATATTGGTGGATAGAAATCGTTGATTTACCCATGAAAAATGGTGATTTTCCATAGTTTTCCTATTAAAAATGGTGATGTTCCCATTAAAAATGGTGATTTTCCATATGTTTCTGTATTAATATATACAGTACAATTACTGGTTGGTGGTTGAGCCAACCCCTCTGAAAAATATGACGAATCGTCAGTTGGGATGATGACATTCCCAATATATGGAAAAATAAACAATGTTCCAAACTACCAACCAGATATACATATATATAATTATATGTATATATGTATGTATACGAATATCAACTACTTTAATATCTACTATTATATAAATCTATATGAATTCGACTTTAAAAAAATCCAACTAATATCAACAAATCCCTGGTTAAACAGAGGGATTAACACATACTAACACACGAATGGGATTCATCTGTTGAGTTGTTCTTAGGGGGAAGGTTCAAGGGATTAAACATAAACTAATCCCTTCTGCCCAATGTGAAACCCCACTCAAAAACCGTCGTTTACTACCTTTGGGACCATGCAATGGAGGTGTTAAATCATAGGGAGATGGAATTAACAATAATTTGTTCCATGTTTATTGGATTACCCATTACCAACAACAGGGGTATTGAACAAAACATAAAATAACCATAAACAACAATAAGGATACAATGGGGATATACTTTGTTCAGCAACGCTAAATGGACCCCAACATGACGCTTATTGCAATGTCTTCGGATTGTGTGTCCACGATAGCCTCACCAAGTCTCTCAGTGCTTGCCATAAGTGCTTAGGATTTTAGCCCTGGTCCCTAAGCAGTTAACATAACTATGGAAAATCACCATGCTATTAATGGGAAAACTCCCTATAAATTGCCATTTTCAATAACAATTTTGACACAACCAGAGGGTATGATAGTGAATTAATGTTAATTATGACATTCATGATTATGTGATATGTTTTGATTACCGAGTCGCCATCAATGCCAGGAAAGCCAGTGGACTGGATGCTGGAAGTCCCATGTCCAAGCTTAGATTTTGCTGGGCATCAAAAAGATTCAAAAAGAAAGGCGAAACAGTAAAATCAAATGTCCTAAGCCTGTTGATTCCATGGGACATCTTGGTTTTTTCTCGGATGAAATGGGATAGAATGAACTCTAAAGAGATAGCTGATGGGATGTTTGTTGACGTTTTCTAACCAACTGAAGATGATTTGGGCCGAAAAAGTAGCAAAAAACCCAGCCGAGGTGCTCCTGATATCTCTGGAGTCCCAATCCAAATCAGTTTCGAAGAAAAGTTCAGCTGGCCACATATGGTAATGACTAACATAACGAACTGGAAAATCACCATAGAAATAGTGAATTGTCCCATTAAAAATGGTGATTTTCCATAGTTATCTTAGTTTACCAGAGGGTAGTTGATGTGCATCAATGGCACGAGCCAGATGAGAATGCTAACGCTGATGATTCTCCATGGTGATAAGACTGGATTTTTTTTTCATGTTTTTTCCCAATTGTCCAAGTTTTCAAAGAAATTCATGTAGGAACATATCCATACATATCCGTTCTCCACGAAATCACCGTATACTTCCCGGGAAATCGGCAAACCCACCATCTTACCCATCGCAAAACCCATGGGCTTTCACAAGGTGGTGCCCCCCCAGTTATAAGTTGGTTTATAATCCCCAGTAACTATAGATATGACCCCCTAATCACCCCTAGTTATTGGACTTATAAACCAACTTAGCTAACGAACTGGGGCACCACCTTGCAACTGGTCACGGCCGGGGCTCCCAACACCACCTCAACGAAGTTGTAGCCGCGCGCCTTGGACGAAGTTTGATTGTTGCCCGGCCTCATGGCGTCCGTGGCGTCGCCAGCGGCCACGGGGCCCCGGAGCCAAGCTGTTGAAATGTCAGTTGAAAGGGGCCAACTTCATATTTGGGATTGATAAAAATTGATATATTTATATATATATATACTCTTGATGGCAGGAAACATATATATATATTACTATAGGTAAGATATATACAAGCGGGGCCCATGGCTGGGAAGCTGGACCGCAGCTCCAAAAATGGGCTCATTTTTTGTCCCTGTAAATTCCACAGTGCGTGGCAGCGGCCGCCGGCTCCTGAATTGGAGCAAATCTCATTGGTTTGGACATCCCCGTGCAGGAGCATCACCCATGTTCCAAAAAGTTTTGGTGCCATGAACGCTAAACCTGCCAACCAAGGTGTGTCAATCTTAGCCTCAAATTTTTGGAAGGTGGCAAGCTTTAAAGGCCAATGCAGATGACATGTGAGTGTGTAAAGACACCCACCAATCCCCCACCAACAGAATCACCGTCCAAACAGATTTCTGCTATGCAAACCCACCAAGCAATCAACACATATCACAGTTGTAGCCCAAACATTGTTGGATTGCGATAAGCCACACACCAGACCCTTGCCAATAATATCTGAATGGGGAAAGGCCCTCTGAAACAGAGTTCCTCACAGCGCGTTTTTCATCCAAGAGCTATTCCCCAGCGTTCATTCCCCGAAGAAGTCGGGGGAAGCTTCCATCATGTCATTGAGCTCTTCCTCGTCAAGCTGAGCAACTGAATCAATGTCTGGAGCCGGAGTAGAAAGCAGCGTTGTGTTGGGCTCTGCAACCTTGCTGTCACCCAAGGCCAAACCCGCTTTGAAACCTGGAGCTGCAACTGTAGCCTGCGCATGCAAGCAGATGGACCACTTTTTCCAGTATGCATATCAATGATGGAGTGGAGTTTGCAGGATAGGATAGGGTACTACGTCCTGAAGATGCGGCTAAAAATCTTGGATCAGGCTATTTGTTCAAGGGAGTTTGAAGCAGAAACCACCTCTAATATGCAACCATTCAGAGCAAAACCACGATTCAAAAACAAAACGTTGGGTAAGTCCATTCAAGGGAGGCACACAACCGTTCCAGGCAAAAAAAACAGCACTCAACGACAAAACATCGGGTAAGGCCATTCAAGGGAGACACCCTAAATACTGGATGACTGCACTGGATCGTCGGCCTCCCTAAATACTGGATGACTGCACTGGATCGTTGGCCTCTCGGCCTCCCCTGAATGGGCTTTTGCAACGTTATGTTTTACTCCCTATCACCCGGCACCTGGTGCTTCGTCTCGAAGACTTTGTCAGGGATGTGCAACCAGAGCGTGCGACGATCTAGTGCTTGTTGATGGTTCACATCGAAATACTCTGGAGGCCAAAATTGACCTATGTGATGATTTGTTGTGAATATCCTCGGCACAGCACTGGGAATGTGACCGTCTTGATTCCTAGCTCGAACGTCTCGAGGGTGGGCAATGTCGGTCCAAGCTTTCGCGTCGTCGATGTCAATGTTGCGGAAGGTGCATTCATCAACCAGTAGTCCTTGTCCACCATTGATGGTGATCTTCCTGATTTGGTCCAATTTTGACAGGAAATGTACCCCAGCAGGGCACAAGCTCAAGAGGATGCTGAGGGCCATTTCTGTTTTCCCGGTTCCGGGCGGGCCTTGCAAAATCAAAGCAACTTTGGAGTAACCGGTTTGCATCCACTCTTGCACAGGCGGTGGCAAAACAAATTGGGTCAACGCAAATGTGGGTGTGGACACCAGAGTTGTAGCGCCCAACGTTTCTGGACGGTGCCACGCACCCAAGATCTTCTGCAACTCTGCGTTGGCATCTCGCAAGGACCCCAAATGGTTCCAAATCAATGGATTGCCGGCCTTTTTCTCCTCTTTGGCTTCCTGGCTGCAGGATGGGGTGCCAAAAAATAGAAACTTCGATATTTTGTGAAACTTTGGGCCAGAATGAAACAAGTGTCAGCCGATTACAGCAATGGCAAGGTTAGGCTGCTTTTATTGCAGAAAGTAGTCCTTGCATGATACAGAGAATCCAAAATCCGTGATAAAGACACTTGAGTGCCGCAAATCCAGCCTGCCAAAGTGCGCCCACAGCACGGATACCGCGCTCAACGACAAAGTCCGTCAGCTCACTGAAAGTCATCTGTTTGCGGCGCTTGGGCTCAGGTTCTTTGCGCTGCTGCACGCCATCATTTTGGCGTCGACCTGACATCTGCAAAGACATCTGACCAAGCTCAGCTTCGGCTCTTTGCCATGTGTATGCTGCGGGGTAAAAAACCATTTGACGATCCAAGTCCTGGGCCGGCTTCTTTGCACTCTCGCTCATCAAATAATCCAAGTAGGCCACCCAGCCCGCTCGGTGAAAGGTAAAAAACCCGTGGGCGCCAAATTGCTCACCCAACATCTTGCAGACACTAGCATGTACGAAAGGTTGTCGAAACAAGAAAATCAAATGTTTGTGCCTTTCTCTTGCGTTCCCATCTGCTTGGTAATGCTTGTGCGGCTCGTCTGCCACTGCTGCCTTAACGAGGTTGTGGAGATAGCCCTTGCGACGTAGCACAGTTTTGAAAGTTTCCAAGAAGTCTTCTCGAGAAACATCAGCAGGCTTGAGGACTCTCGCGGATTGGCGCTCTGACAACTCTGCATGAAAATGGCGTGGACACGGCCATGTGAACATCCCTGCCCGTGCCCGAGCTTTCGCTGAGGCGACTTCAGCTTCGGAGGATGTCTCAGAGTTCTCCAGGGTCACACATGGTTTATCCTCTTCAGAGGAACCAGAGCTGCCAGAGCCGGAGTTAGAAGAGCTTGACATGGCCCCAAAAAGCGGCGAGGTTGATGCCACATGTCCATTGTAAAATCACCTAGCACTCTCCCTCCTGCATGTGAAACCTAAGAATCACCAAATACTGCGCCTGCCACAAAAAACTGAACTAGAGGTTCACTAAATACTGCGCTTGCCACGAAAAATCGAACTACAGGTTCTCCAAATACTGCGCCTGCCACAAAAAATCGAACTAGAGGTTCACCAAATACTGCGCCTGCCACGAAAAATGGAACCCACTTGCAACACCTCCTAAGCGAAAACGCAAATCATAACGTTGGAATCCAACGTTACGATCCGTTTTCGGCGAGAGTTCCACGAAAAACATAAAATCATAACGTTGGAACGCGTTTCAAAGAGAATTAACAATATTTCCTTTTTTGCCGCGATCCAACGTTACGATTTTAGGTTTTTTGCGAAGCTGTCGCCAGAAATTGAAGGTAACGTTGGAATCCAACGTTACGATTTAGCGTTTCCCCACACGTTTGGCAACCTGGAGCTTCAGATTCCTAGCGCCCACCACAAAACATGGACCTAGAAGTTCACCAAATACTGCGCCTGCCACAAAAAATGGAACTTGAGGTTGTCCAAATATCACGCCTGCCACGAAAAAATGAACTAGAGGTTCACCAAATATTGCCCTTGCCACGAACAATCGAACTAGAGGCTCACCAAATATTGCGCCTGCCACGAAAAATCGAACTAGAGGTTCACCAAATACTGTGGCTGCCACGAAAAATGGAACTAGAGGTTCCCCAACTACTGCGCCTGCCACGAAAAATCGAAATAGAAGTTCACCAAATACTGCAACTGCCACGAAAAATCGAAGTAGAAGTTCACCAAAGACTGCTCCTGCCACGTAAAATGGAACTAGAGGTTCATCAAATATTGCGCCTGCCATGTAAAGCATATGAGAGAGTTGACTGCCACGAAAAAATAAGACAAACAAACAAAAGCCAAAGGCAGCGTCACGCACTGCCCCTCCCACGCAAAATGACACCACAAAAGCGCCAAGTAGTCCTCCTACCAGAGAGTTGTCAAGTACTCTGCATGTTATACAAAAAATGAGATTGGGATGGCCACGAAAATATCCCAGCTCCATGGTGGGCTCATCCAATATATCATGGTTGATTTAACTGACGGCCTTGAGAGATGGCGCTCAATGCTTGTGGTTTTCAGTAGCACTGCCTCTCACCGCCGGATCTATGTCCGGCATTTGAACCAGCAACTGCCTCCGGCTTTCCCAAGGTTGTTTCTGAGGAGATATGTCATACGTACCGATATCTGCACCAAATCATTTAATGTTGTTCATCATGGTGATGGTATGAAGGTTAATGTCTAACAAAGCACCCCTAGCTTTCATGACGTTTGGTTGTAATGTCAACCCCGGATTAATAAACCTTGGTTGATTAATTGTGGTGGTTCCCCCAAATAGTAATAAATCGCTACTGAAATGGTACCCCCCCAATTAAACAGCCTAGGGTTTATTAATCCGGGGTTGACATTAAGGATCTTGCGACATTGCGTCGCCGGATCACAGCCAACCCAATGTTAAACTTGAATGCAACCACCAAGGTTCCTCTGGGGAGATGATCGAGAGAACCCAACTATTATATGATGACACATGGATACCCATGCGCCGTGTCCTGTCTGCACAGCCGCTGCAGCCGCGCGCAAAGCACCAAATGAAGCTGGCCACTCAAAGCAGCGCCGCTGCAGCTTTCAGGGGCATGAATCAACACCTCAACATCAAAGGAGCGCGATCTCCAATGCAAACACCCAGAACTTCTTGGGGAAATCCGACATATACCCAAATTTTGCAAAACAGATTTTTGGTTCTTCACATTGTTGATTTCCTTCGGTAACATATAGGCCATTGCATGTTGGGGTACGACCCACTATTCCTAAGTCATTTCACCTAAGTATAATGATTTCTGTTGCGAGGACCGTGCACCAACAGATCTCAACCAACCCCACGCAGGATGTCCACCCCAAACACCATGGAGAGATGATAAAGGTACCTTACTGCCTTACTGCTGGTTCTTGAGGGTATGATCGGGCATCTTGGCCAAGTCTCTTGCTTTTCAAGTATGTGTCCGTGATGTTGGCGCTCCAGCATGACAGAGAGCCATGGACTGTCCCACGAGACAACCTGCCGGATCTAGGGGGGCTTTGTATACAAAACAGTGTTGGTTTTGTGCCCGAATGTATATATCCAGATCAATATACTTTATTATTTGCATATATCATAAGTATATATTCCATATATACGCTATATACGATATGTATTCTACGCATTATCGAAGGAAGTTTAGAAGTCAAACTTCTGACAATATGGAGAGATGGAAAAGCAGAGGTGGGAAGCAGAGAGGAGAAGATAAGAGATGGAGAAGATCAAAGAGGGAGAAAGTCAGAAGAGAGAAGATGTTTTACTCCCTATCACCCGGCACCTGGTGCTTCGTCTCGAAGACTTTGTCAGGGATGTGCAACCAGAGCGTTCGACGATCTAGTGCTTTTTGATGGTTCACATCGAAATACTCTGGAGGTCCAAGTCAAAAGTGTAAAAAACTGAGAGTTCGGACCACTTTTTGACGTTCAGAAGTCGAAAAAGTGGACACTGACTAACTTAACTAACTTAACTCACTTAACTACTTTAACTAATTATACCACACTACACCCCACTACACCACACTACACTACACTACACTACGCTACACTACACTACACTACAGTACATGACACTTCATTACACTACATTACACCACACTACACTACACTTCACTACACGGCAATTTAACTGCAAATGCGCTACACTAATTACACTACACCACAACTACAACTCCACTACGTTACAGCTACAGCTGCACTACACCACACACTACATCCTGCAGTTGTGGGTGAGGTGACCACTGCAACCATTGCAACCACTCCAACAATCACAACTCCAACCACCTTTCGGTCAATCAGTGGATTCGCTCTGCCATCCGTGATTCACAACAACCAACCTCTCCTATAGGTTTCCTATTCTGAAACTTCCGCCACCGCCTTGTGCGGTACTACTGGATATATATATATATATATTAAATATAATATAGTATAAAACCCAATCAATATATATATATATATATTCATATTCATATTCAAGCAGCGAGCTGGACGATCCATACACATGTTTCACAACCCGGAATTAGCGACCTAGAAAACACACACAGGTTTACATTTAATGTTGCTCATGACATTGCATTATCAAGATCTTTGATGCGATGGGGACCTTGCAAAGTTATTCATGCAGGATACCTGCTAAAACCTCCAAGCAACTAATCATTAATCTTTTTCTCAACCAACCCCTGGCCCAGCATGTCCTGGAATCCAAGCGCATGCCGCTGCAGCTCCCGCATTCATTGAAGAGCAGAGTTCGGCATACCATGGAAAAAGCGTTCAAAGCAATGATGGTCTAAAATTGATTTGAGCGCAGTGCCACGCCAGCACAACACATGAAGGCTCCCAAGCAAGTTCAGAAAGACACTTCCCCAGCAAAACTGATGTGACAAGCAAGTCTCCAGTTGGAGACATATCAGTTGTCGCACTGATAAGAACAGATACTCAGAGTGCCACAAAGCACGCTACACTCTGATGGTACACACACAAATTTTGTCATATGATGCTTTCACCCAATGTTATGCCTTCCAGTAGCGGGACAGCGGTGTTTTTCGAACAACAACCCACAGCTGCACACACGTTGCCTGCAGCGATTAAACGAGCTGGCAAGTGTGAAATGGTTTCAGGTCTGCCATGTCGGTCGACACAGCTCATCCAAGTCAGTCATTGCACGCACCCACCTTAAGCGGGTTTCTGTCAACATGCAAAAAACTTCAAGTTCTCATTGCACAACCCGACGGGCCAAAAGCCAGGTCAAATCAGCTGCTGAAAGCTTCCCGGCTCTCCTCATCAAATTTTTGCGACGGCGCTCCTTCACAGTGGCTCAAATTAACGAACTCTGATTCTCGCAAACTAACGAACTTAAAAAGCAAGAAGATACAGGAACAGGAATGATTGTCTAGAGCAACCCTAGGGTGTAACTCTAGGGGCCCAGTCCGGAGGGGCCTAGTTGTACAAGGTTCAAAGTACCAACATTTTGCTAAGACCTTCTGCAAACCAAGAAAAGGTTCTTAGAGTCTAAGATCCATAAGAAGAAATTCTTAGAACACCAAAGCAAGTTCTGTGACTCCAATCGCCTCTGCGAACCTCATTGGGTTCTAAGTGGTTCTTACTGATCTTACTGTCCTCTAGACCACACCCTGCTTTAAAAGTGGTTCCCGAAAGTGGCTCCTCAAACCCTGGGCCTGCCTCGTTCCTTATCTGCTTCGTAGCGACTTTGAGCTGGTGCTTCAGCGTCTGCCTCTCAGCGCGCAATTGTGGAAGTGGATCCGGTGGGGCTGCCGCAACAGGCGTCCTACCCCCACCAGCTGCAGCAGCGTCATCTGCACCATGGCTTCGCCGTTCGGTATCATCACTTGCTGCATCAGACATGCTCAATGTGCTGTGTGGTGCACAACAGTCTCCGCAAGCTGAATCCAAAAAGGCTGCGACACGGTGACTCAAATTGTTCCTCTCTGTCTCGCAACAAGAACAACAACATCATAGGAAAGAATCACATTGTCCGCCATGTGTTAAGGCAGGTTTCTGCGCCCTTAAAATGAAGGCATTCGATGCTTCAAGTTGGTGGGCCCTTATAGTGCCATACTTGCCGCAGCTTTTTTCTTGCATAAGCGGCACGGATTGTGACACGCCTTGGGCGTTTTCAGAAGAGATAGGCAGCAGCATAACTCATTTTGCGCCTTTTAGGCCAAATGAGAGCAAGTTCTGCATCTGTCGGTTTGGCAGGAAGCGGAAAGGACACTGGATTCCCCATGAAATTTTTCAGTGAGGAATGTAGCTGTGAAACATCTCCCCCGCACCCGACACCTGCAAAGGCGTGGGCCCATTTCCTTTTTCCAAAAAAATCTTGACCTGCTTGGCCCAGCTGCCAAACCCAAGCAAGCAGGTCAGGGTGACCATCCAGCGCTGTTCTTCTGTGCTCTTGGTATTTACGCCGTAGATAAATTTTGAATGCTGCAAAAGCAAAAATGTCTAAGGGTTGCAACAAGCTAGTGCCACAGGATGGCACAAAGAGAAGCTGCAGCCCTTTCTTCTGTGCAAAAGACAGCACTTTTTTCGGCAAGTGGGGGCAGGCGCAATCCAAAAGCAAGATAGGCTTCACAGCAGGGAGCCAAGGTTGCAAGGCTTTTTGCAATTCAGTCAGAATTGTCACAAAGGTCTCGGCCGTCACCCACGAAGACTTACCACGAAGCAGTTGCAATCTGGATGGCGGCAATGCCTTGAAGGCTCTGGCAACAAGCTTGGGCATCCGGCTTTCACTGCAAACCAAGAAATGGGGCAAGGCTGCTTGAATACAAGGACGGCTAGCGATCATGGCCACATAAGTGAACGTCTTCCTGGATGTGTCTTTCTTCACCCTCATATGAGCATTGGCAGGGGGAGTCTTCCAGCAATGGGCACCCACCACACATCCTGTTGGACATGCCGGCGAGCAAGTAACGCATGTCTCATCCACATTGATCCAAACAATGTCCTGGTGGGAGAATTTGTTGGCCAAGTAGGAAGCTGATCTCCAGAAAGATGCCACCTGCCAAGTTTTGGTATAATTTCTGGGTCCAAAAAAGAGCCCGTTTTCCGGGCCCGAAAATGGATCCGCCAAACAAAAACGCCTCATTTCTAAGCCCAGAAAAGGGTCACAAAAACAAGCCTTGCAAACGGAATAATAGCACCGCCTTCTGGCGAAGAAGGTCGGGATCCACAGCATCAGTTGCCCGCAGGCGCCCTCTCCGCACAGCCCATCTAGCCCGAAACCGGGCCACAAATTTGTTGACGGTGCGTTTTCTAGGTTGCCCACATGGCGTGCATCCAAACAACTTGCTCTCATGAAAATCATACACTTCCGCGGCCGATGGAGCCACACCTTGGGAAAGGTTCAGATGCTTTATCCATCTGAACATATCATGTTCGCGAAGGAACTGAGAAGCAAACTTCCGCGCAGGTACCCAAAGTGCATGGCCATCATCAAATACCTGCAGCAAATCGTCCAGGTCATGCTCTGTGAAGAGTGTCCGCACAGACTCTGACGTGGGAAATCTTGCATCAGATGTAGCCAAAGAGGATAGCCGCTGTGCTGCCTGCACTGCCAAACCCAAATCCCATTCTGATACAGCATATACTGCAAGAACTCGCCTCACGGCAGCGCAAGATAGGCCACCCTGGAGCAAAGACTTTGCCTGTCGGCGGGCTTGCTGTTGGCAACTTCGGATTTTGGCTTGGTTCTGCGCCAGAGTTGCCTTGACTTCAGCCGCTTTGTTCTGCGCCAGAGTGACGGTGGCCAGGGACATGAAACAAGTTAAAGCTCGGCTGTTCTGATGGCATGTGCCTAGGTGCATTGTTGTCATATATTATATATACCTTATAATTCAAAGAACCATGTCTTCTGCTCAGTATTCTACATAACAAAGCTTTTTATAGCCACTTGGCTGTTCATCGGGCCGCTTGCAGTACTGAAGCCAAGGAAATTACACGGTACCTGCTGGAAACCCAGGCTTTGACTGAGGATACTTACTCTGCAGGCTAGCGGGTTCTTACACATCTGCGAAACCATTTAAGTTTGGGCGCAAATGCACCTCTTATTGTATCACATCACATTGCTGAATGCATACTTATATACCCTACACACACACAAGCGGGGCCCATGGCTGGGAAGCTGGACCGCAGCTCCAAAAATGGGCTCATTTTTTGTCCCTGTAAATTCCACAGTGCGTGGCAGCGGCCGCCGGCTCCTGAATTGGAGCAAATCTCATTGGTTTGGACATCCCCGTGCAGGAGCATCACCCATGTTCCAAAAAGTTTTGGTGCCATGAACGCTAAACCTGCCAACCAAGGTGTGTCAATCTTAGCCTCAAATTTTTGGAAGGTGGCAAGCTTTAAAGGCCAATGCAGATGACATGTGAGTGTGTAAAGACACCCACCAATCCCCCACCAACAGAATCACCGTCCAAACAGATTTCTGCTATGCAAACCCACCAAGCAATCAACACATATCACAGTTGTAGCCCAAACATTGTTGGATTGCGATAAGCCACACACCAGACCCTTGCCAATAATATCTGAATGGGGAAAGGCCCTCTGAAACAGAGTTCCTCACAGCGCGTTTTTCATCCAAGAGCTATTCCCCAGCGTTCATTCCCCGAAGAAGTCTTTGGAAGCTTCCATCATGTCATTGAGCTCTTCCTCGTCAAGCTGAGCAACTGAATCAATGTCTGGAGCCGGAGTAGAAAGCAGCGTTGTGTTGGGCTCTGCAACCTTGCTGTCACCCAAGGCCAAACCCGCTTTGAAACCTGGAGCTGCAACTGTAGCCTGCGCATGCAAGCAGATGGACCACTTTTTCCAGTATGCATATCAATGATGGAGTGGAGTTTGCAGGATAGGATAGGGTACTACGTCCTGAAGATGCGGCTAAAAATCTTGGATCAGGCTATTTGTTCAAGGGAGTTTGAAGCAGAAACCACCTCTAATATGCAACCATTCAGAGCAAAACCACGATTCAAAAACAAAACGTTGGGTAAGTCCATTCAAGGGAGGCACACAACCGTTCCAGGCAAAAAAAACAGCACTCAACGACAAAACATCGGGTAAGGCCATTCAAGGGAGACACCCTAAATACTGGATGACTGCACTGGATCGTCGGCCTCCCTAAATACTGGATGACTGCACTGGATCGTTGGCCTCTCGGCCTCCCCTGAATGGGCTTTTGCAACGTTATGTTTTACTCCCTATCACCCGGCACCTGGTGCTTCGTCTCGAAGACTTTGTCAGGGATGTGCAACCAGAGCGTGCGACGATCTAGTGCTTGTTGATGGTTCACATCGAAATACTCTGGAGGCCAAAATTGACCTATGTGATGATTTGTTGTGAATATCCTCGGCACAGCACTGGGAATGTGACCGTCTTGATTCCTAGCTCGAACGTCTCGAGGGTGGGCAATGTCGGTCCAAGCTTTCGCGTCGTCGATGTCAATGTTGCGGAAGGTGCATTCATCAACCAGTAGTCCTTGTCCACCATTGATGGTGATCTTCCTGATTTGGTCCAATTTTGACAGGAAATGTACCCCAGCAGGGCACAAGCTCAAGAGGATGCTGAGGGCCATTTCTGTTTTCCCGGTTCCGGGCGGGCCTTGCAAAATCAAAGCAACTTTGGAGTAACCGGTTTGCATCCACTCTTGCACAGGCGGTGGCAAAACAAATTGGGTCAACGCAAATGTGGGTGTGGACACCAGAGTTGTAGCGCCCAACGTTTCTGGACGGTGCCACGCACCCAAGATCTTCTGCAACTCTGCGTTGGCATCTCGCAAGGACCCCAAATGGTTCCAAATCAATGGATTGCCGGCCTTTTTCTCCTCTTTGGCTTCCTGGCTGCAGGATGGGGTGCCAAAAAATAGAAACTTCGATATTTTGTGAAACTTTGGGCCAGAATGAAACAAGTGTCAGCCGATTACAGCAATGGCAAGGTTAGGCTGCTTTTATTGCAGAAAGTAGTCCTTGCATGATACAGAGAATCCAAAATCCGTGATAAAGACACTTGAGTGCCGCAAATCCAGCCTGCCAAAGTGCGCCCACAGCACGGATACCGCGCTCAACGACAAAGTCCGTCAGCTCACTGAAAGTCATCTGTTTGCGGCGCTTGGGCTCAGGTTCTTTGCGCTGCTGCACGCCATCATTTTGGCGTCGACCTGACATCTGCAAAGACATCTGACCAAGCTCAGCTTCGGCTCTTTGCCATGTGTATGCTGCGGGGTAAAAAACCATTTGACGATCCAAGTCCTGGGCCGGCTTCTTTGCACTCTCGCTCATCAAATAATCCAAGTAGGCCACCCAGCCCGCTCGGTGAAAGGTAAAAAACCCGTGGGCGCCAAATTGCTCACCCAACATCTTGCAGACACTAGCATGTACGAAAGGTTGTCGAAACAAGAAAATCAAATGTTTGTGCCTTTCTCTTGCGTTCCCATCTGCTTGGTAATGCTTGTGCGGCTCGTCTGCCACTGCTGCCTTAACGAGGTTGTGGAGATAGCCCTTGCGACGTAGCACAGTTTTGAAAGTTTCCAAGAAGTCTTCTCGAGAAACATCAGCAGGCTTGAGGACTCTCGCGGATTGGCGCTCTGACAACTCTGCATGAAAATGGCGTGGACACGGCCATGTGAACATCCCTGCCCGTGCCCGAGCTTTCGCTGAGGCGACTTCAGCTTCGGAGGATGTCTCAGAGTTCTCCAGGGTCACACATGGTTTATCCTCTTCAGAGGAACCAGAGCTGCCAGAGCCGGAGTTAGAAGAGCTTGACATGGCCCCAAAAAGCGGCGAGGTTGATGCCACATGTCCATTGTAAAATCACCTAGCACTCTCCCTCCTGCATGTGAAACCTAAGAATCACCAAATACAGCGCCTGCCACAAAAAACTGAACTAGAGGTTCACTAAATACTGCGCTTGCCACGAAAAATCGAACTACAGGTTCTCCAAATACTGCGCCTGCCACAAAAAATCGAACTAGAGGTTCACCAAATACTGCGCCTGCCACGAAAAATGGAACCCACTTGCAACACCTCCTAAGCGAAAACGCAAATCATAACGTTGGAATCCAACGTTACGATCCGTTTTCGGCGAGAGTTCCACGAAAAACATAAAATCATAACGTTGGAACGCGTTTCAAAGAGAATTAACAATATTTCCTTTTTTGCCGCGATCCAACGTTACGATTTTAGGTTTTTTGCGAAGCTGTCGCCAGAAATTGAAGGTAACGTTGGAATCCAACGTTACGATTTAGCGTTTCCCCACACGTTTGGCAACCTGGAGCTTCAGATTCCTTGCGCCCACCACAAAACATGGACCTAGAAGTTCACCAAATACTGCGCCTGCCACAAAAAATGGAACTTGAGGTTGTCCAAATATCACGCCTGCCACGAAAAAATGAACTAGAGGTTCACCAAATATTGCCCTTGCCACGAACAATCGAACTAGAGGCTCACCAAATATTGCGCCTGCCACGAAAAATCGAACTAGAGGTTCACCAAATACTGTGGCTGCCACGAAAAATGGAACTAGAGGTTCCCCAACTACTGCGCCTGCCACGAAAAATCGAAATAGAAGTTCACCAAATACTGCAACTGCCACGAAAAATCGAAGTAGAAGTTCACCAAAGACTGCTCCTGCCACGTAAAATGGAACTAGAGGTTCATCAAATATTGCGCCTGCCATGTAAAGCATATGAGAGAGTTGACTGCCACGAAAAAATAAGACAAACAAACAAAAGCCAAAGGCAGCGTCACGCACTGCCCCTCCCACGCAAAATGACACCACAAAAGCGCCAAGTAGTCCTCCTACCAGAGAGTTGTCAAGTACTCTGCATGTTATACAAAAAATGAGATTGGGATGGCCACGAAAATATCCCAGCTCCATGGTGGGCTCATCCAATATATCATGGTTGATTTAACTGACGGCCTTGAGAGATGGCGCTCAATGCTTGTGGTTTTCAGTAGCACTGCCTCTCACCGCCGGATCTATGTCCGGCATTTGAACCAGCAACTGCCTCCGGCTTTCCCAAGGTTGTTTCTGAGGAGATATGTCATACGTACCGATATCTGCACCAAATCATTTAATGTTGTTCATCATGGTGATGGTATGAAGGTTAATGTCTAACAAAGCACCCCTAGCTTTCATGACGTTTGGTTGTAATGTCAACCCCGGATTAATAAACCTTGGTTGATTAATTGTGGTGGTTCCCCCAAATAGTAATAAATCGCTACTGAAATGGTACCCCCCCAATTAAACAGCCTAGGGTTTATTAATCCGGGGTTGACATTAAGGATCTTGCGACATTGCGTCGCCGGATCACAGCCAACCCAATGTTAAACTTGAATGCAACCACCAAGGTTCCTCTGGGGAGATGATCGAGAGAACCCAACTATTATATGATGACACATGGATACCCATGCGCCGTGTCCTGTCTGCACAGCCGCTGCAGCCGCGCGCAAAGCACCAAATGAAGCTGGCCACTCAAAGCAGCGCCGCTGCAGCTTTCAGGGGCATGAATCAACACCTCAACATCAAAGGAGCGCGATCTCCAATGCAAACACCCAGAACTTCTTGGGGAAATCCGACATATACCCAAATTTTGCAAAACAGATTTTTGGTTCTTCACATTGTTGATTTCCTTCGGTAACATATAGGCCATTGCATGTTGGGGTACGACCCACTATTCCTAAGTCATTTCACCTAAGTATAATGATTTCTGTTGCGAGGACCGTGCACCAACAGATCTCAACCAACCCCACGCAGGATGTCCACCCCAAACACCATGGAGAGATGATAAAGGTACCTTACTGCCTTACTGCTGGTTCTTGAGGGTATGATCGGGCATCTTGGCCAAGTCTCTTGCTTTTCAAGTATGTGTCCGTGATGTTGGCGCTCCAGCATGACAGAGAGCCATGGACTGTCCCACGAGACAACCTGCCGGATCTAGGGGGGCTTTGTATACAAAACAGTGTTGGTTTTGTGCCCGAATGTATATATCCAGATCAATATACTTTATTATTTGCATATATCATAAGTATATATTCCATATATACGCTATATACGATATGTATTCTACGCATTATCGAAGGAAGTTTAGAAGTCAAACTTCCGACAATATGGAGAGATGGAAAAGCAGAGGTGGGAAGAGTCAGAGAGGAGAAGATAAGAGATGGAGAAGATCAAAGAGGGAGAAAGTCAGAAGAGAGAAGATGTTTTACTCCCTATCACCCGGCACCTGGTGCTTCGTCTCGAAGACTTTGTCAGGGATGTGCAACCAGAGCGTTCGACGATCTAGTGCTTTTTGATGGTTCACATCGAAATACTCTGGAGGTCCAAGTCAAAAGTGTAAAAAACTGAGAGTTCGGACCACTTTTTGACGTTCAGAAGTCGAAAAAGTGGACACTGACTAACTTAACTAACTTAACTCACTTAACTACCTTAACTAATTATACCACACTACACCCCACTACACCACACTACACTACACTACACTACGCTACGCTACACTACACTACAGTACATGACACTTCATTACACTACATTACACCACACTACACTACACTTCACTACACTGCAATTTAACTGCAAATGCACTACACTAATTACACTACACCACAACTACAACTCCACTACGTTACAGCTACAGCTGCACTACACCACACACTACATCCTGCAGTTGTGGGTGAGGTGACCACTGCAACCATTGCAACCACTCCAACAATCACAACTCCAACCACCTTTCGGTCAATCAGTGGATTCGCTCTGCCATCCGTGATTCACAACAACCAACCTCTCCTATAGGTTTCCTATTCTGAAACTTCCGCCACCGCCTTGTGCGGTACTACTGGTATATATAGATATATATATATATTAAATATAATATAGTATAAAACCAATCATATATATATATATATTCATATTCATATTCAAGCAGCGAGCTGGACGATCCATACACATGTTTCACAACCCGGAATTAGCGACCTAGAAAACACACACAGGTTTACATTTAATGTTGCTCATGACATTGCATTATCAAGATCTTTGATGCGATGGGGACCTTGCAAAGTTATTCATGCAGGATACCTGCTAAAACCTCCAAGCAACTAAGCTTTTTCTCAACCAACCCCTGGCCCAGCATGTCCTGGAATCCAAGCGCATGCCGCTGCAGCTCCCGCATTCATTGAAGAGCAGAGTTCGGCATACCATGGAAAAAGCGTTCAAAGCAATGATGGTCTAAAATTGATTTGAGCGCAGTGCCACGCCAGCACAACACATGAAGGCTCCCAAGCAAGTTCAGAAAGACACTTCCCCAGCAAAACTGATGTGACAAGCAAGTCTCCAGTTGGAGACATATCAGTTGTCGCACTGATAAGAACAGATACTCAGAGTGCCACAAAGCACGCTACACTCTGATGGTACACACACAAATTTTGTCATATGATGCTTTCACCCAATGTTATGCCTTCCAGTAGCGGGACAGCGGTGTTTTTCGAACAACAACCCACAGCTGCACACACGTTGCCTGCAGCGATTAAACGAGCTGGCAAGTGTGAAATGGTTTCAGGTCTGCCATGTCGGTCGACACAGCTCATCCAAGTCAGTCATTGCACGCACCCACCTTAAGCGGGTTTCTGTCAACATGCAAAAAACTTCAAGTTCTCATTGCACAACCCGACGGGCCAAAAGCCAGGTCAAATCAGCTGCTGAAAGCTTCCCGGCTCTCCTCATCAAATTTTTGCGACGGCGCTCCTTCACAGTGGCTCAAACTAACGAACTCTGATTCTCCCAAACTAACGAACTTAAAAAGCAAGAAGATACAGGAACAGGAATGATTGTCTAGAGCAACCCTAGGGTGTAACTCTAGGGGCCCAGTCCGGAGGGGCCTAGTTGTACAAGGTTCAAAGTACCAACATTTTGCTAAGACCTTCTGCAAACCAAGAAAAGGTTCTTAGAGTCTAAGATCCATAAGAAGAAATTCTTAGAACACCAAAGCAAGTTCTGTGACTCCAATCGCCTCTGCGAACCTCATTGGGTTCTAAGTGGTTCTTACTGATCTTACTGTCCTCTAGACCACACCCTGCTTTAAAAGTGGTTCCCGAAAGTGGCTCCTCAAACCCTGGGCCTGCCTCGTTCCTTATCTGCTTCGTAGCGACTTTGAGCTGGTGCTTCAGCGTCTGCCTCTCAGCGCGCAATTGTGGAAGTGGATCCGGTGGGGCTGCCGCAACAGGCGTCCTACCCCCACCAGCTGCAGCAGCGTCATCTGCACCATGGCTTCGCCGTTCGGTATCATCACTTGCTGCATCAGACATGCTCAATGTGCTGTGTGGTGCACAACAGTCTCCGCAAGCTGAATCCAAAAAGGCTGCGACACGGTGACTCAAATTGTTCCTCTCTGTCTCGCAACAAGAACAACAACATCATAGGAAAGAATCACATTGTCCGCCATGTGTTAAGGCAGGTTTCTGCGCCCTTAAAATGAAGGCATTCGATGCTTCAAGTTGGTGGGCCCTTATAGTATATATATATTATATTTATATTATATGTTTTTAATTAGGTAAGAGGGCAGAAACACTGTCAACTCGGGATGAACATTCTATAACCATGGTCGATGTCAACTAAATTGGTCACCACCAATTAAACAACCCATACGTTTATTCATCAATCTGAGGTTGACATGAATTTACGCTAAACCTATGCGATATGATAAATACTGCAATCATCTCATGTTGTTGTTGGAACGGGATGTAGGCTTGCGAATCAAATGTCAAGGAAAGAAATCCTTGAGCCACCCCCAGTGAACCAATGGCTCATCATCCCTCCTGGGGGTGAACAGATGACACAACCAATCACTTCTGGCTGAATACAAATAACAGTATGGAATAATGCAAAAAATAATATATAATAACAATAGTAGTAATAACAACAATAATACCAATAATAATAGTAGTAATAATAACTCATCAAGCTGAGTTATGCAACCATTTTAAGCTGTGTTGCAACAGAACTAACCCTTTATTCACGTCGATCCGTCGATCCAAACAGCTCGCAAGATCACAGGATTTCCATGGGCTGCTGTATCCCCATTTTTCACATAGCGCTGGTGAATGTTGGATGGTAAACCTTCCATTCACCAGCTATGGGCTATGTTATAATATAGCTATAGCCAAATGGGTTATGTTTGTATCCCTATTATAACATAGCCATAGCCATAGCTGGCTTTGTCTGAAAATAGGGTTCCCCGATCTAAATCCACTCGTTAGTCACTAGTTACCATCTGGTTATGACTAACAGTTTGCCATGGAAAGATCCACCCATTTTGTAGCTAGGTAAACCATCTATTTCGACTAGAGCCATCGAAATCCCATGGCTATGTAACAAATAACCAGAGGGTAATCATGTCATTGCCGGATCAAATTCCCTTCTGAATGAGGCGAAGTGAGAGTAAATGCCAACTTGTGTTGGTTGAATTTATCTTTTTTTCAGAAAATATATGGCAAACCAAATGAATGTATATAATATATATATATATTGTATATATTATTAATAAAAAAAACTGTGTTTTTCTATTTTGTAGACATTTATCATCCAAAATTATATGGACCATAATTATATATGCAGTATTTAAACCCATGGTGACTTGGGGATCCCCCATGGCTTAAGAAACCTCCTAATATATCCTCCAGTTTAACATGGCTACGGAAAATCACCATGTTTAACTAATTGGTGGTATACATACCCCCCCGAAAAATATGAGTTCGTCAGATTGGAGAAAATCATCCCAACTATTGGGGAACATAAAATTCATGTTCCAAACCACCAGTTTTAGTAGAATGGGGAGATATTTTCGGATCACACACTCTATGTATTTACCATTGGGATATGGAAAAACCCATGGAAAAACCCATTGTTAATAGCTAAATCACAACCAGCGGCCATTTTCCAGTTCGCTATGTCTGTTCAATTGGATGGTAAATTTCCAAGAAATTCCATTAAATCCCCGTGAAATTCCATCAAATCCCCACCAAAACCCCATGAAATCCCATGAAATCCCCATCAAATCCCTATTAAATCCCCATTCAGACCCCATTAAATCCCATTAAATCCCTATTAAATCCCCATTAGAAACCCGTTAAAAACCCCTTCGAAACCCGTGGAAACCAGGGGTTCTCTGGGCGCCCCAAGCAGGTCGATCATCCCGGGCGTGTCCACCAACTGCAGGCCGTAAGGCAATTCGGCATCCTGGGCAGCAGAAAAACCATAGGGGGGTTGTATGTTGTTTTTTCCCCATTAAATCCCATTAGTAGCACGGTGATTATCCCAACTTATGGGGGTTTCCAAACCTAAAATGGAGGTAAATATAGAGTCAATGGGAAATCCAGGATCCTAAAATGGAGGTACGTAAACGTACCATATTTCCGGCCATATGAATTGTGGGGATATTCCCTGAAATTTAGGCCTGAAAAATAGGCCTTATATATGGTAGGCACCTCCAATCTAGGATCCTGAAATGGTCATTGACCATAGGGGGTTGGATGGTTTTCAGTTTGGAAATTGGGTCAAAAGCATTTTTCCCCACCTGCCAGGTGAGGGTTGTTAGGTTTTATCAGAGCTGTTCTCTTCCTCCTCGACTAGCTCTCCTCTTCCTCTTCTCCTCCTCCTCCTCCACCTCCTCCTCCAGTTTCTCCTCGACCATGTCTGCATCAACTTCCACCTCAACTTCCGCCTTGCCAACTCTTCGCCAAGCTCTTCGCCAACTTCCCAGCTCAGTGCGCACTGCTGGACCTCATCCTGGGACCTTCCCAGCTCAATGTGCACCGCTGGACCTCAACCTGGGACCTTCCCAGCTCAGTGTGCACCGCTGGACCTCAACCTGGGCCCTTCCCAGCTCAGTGTGTACCGCTGGACCTCAACGGCCAGATAGAATGACAGAAGATATGCCAGATAGAATGTCAGATAGAATGCCAGAAGATATGCCAGATAGAATGCCAGAAGATATGCCAGATAGAATGCCAGAAGATATGCCAGATAGAATGCCAGAAGATATGCCAGATAAAATGCCAGAAGATATGCCAGATATAATGCCAGAAGGTATGCCAGATAGAATGTCAGATAAAATGCCAGTAGGTATGCCAGATAAAGGGCCAGAATGTTTGCCAGATAGAATGCCAGAAGATTTGCCAGATAGAATGTCAGATAGAATGTCAGAAGATATGCCAGAAGATATGCCAGATAGAGTGCCAGAAGGTATGCCAGAACAGATTGCAGAAGATATGCCAGCTAGAATGCCAGAAGATATGCCAGATAGAATGCCAGAAGATATGCCAGATAAAATGCCAGAAGGTATGTCAGATAGAATGCCAGAAGATTTGCCAGTAACAAAATGTATAAGTCCAATGGTGAGGATAACTCGAAGTAAAGTAATTTTTGTATCTGGTAAACTAACATAACTATTGAAAATGGTGATTTATAGATGTTTTTTTTCATCATACCCTCTGGTATATGAATACTTGGTCTTTATAATGTGTTAACCCATACTAACCCGTAATAATAGGAGTTGACATATATATATATACTGGTTGGTGGTTGGGCCTACCCCTCTGAAAAATATGAGTTCGTCAGTTGGGATGCTGACATTCCCAGTATATGAAAATGTTTTTCCCCACCTGCCAGGTGAGGGTTGTCAGATTTTATCAGCGTTGTTCTTCTCCTTCTCCTTCTTCTCCTCCTCCTCCTTCTCCTCCACCTCCTCCTCGTCCTCCTCCTTCTCCTCCACCACCTCTGCCTCCACTTCCATGTTCACTTCCGCCTTGCCAACTCTTCGCCAAGCTCTTCGCCAACTTCCGCACGCAGTGGGCACTGCTGGACCTCAACTGCAAGGGTCTGAGCGGACTGGGCACCGCTGGACCTCAACCTGGGACCTTCCGAGCTCAGTGAGCACCACTGGACCTCAACCTGGGACCGTCCGAGCTCAGTGAGCACCGCTGGACCTCGACCTCAACCTGGGACCCTCCGAGCTCAGTGAGCACCGCTGGCCCTCAACGGCCAGATAGAATGCCAGAAGATATGCCAGATAGAACGCCAGATAGAATGTCAGAAAGAATGCCAGAAGATATGCCAGTTAAAATGCCAGAATGTTTGCCGGATAGAATGCCAGAAGATATGCCAGATAGAATGCCAGAAGGTATGCCAGAAGGTATGCCAGATAGAATGTCAGATAGAATGTTAGAAGGTATGCCAGATAAAGTGCCAGAAGATTTGCCAGATAGAATGCCAGATAGAATGTCAGAAGATATGCCAGAAGATATGCCAGATAGAGTGCTAGAAGATTTGCCAGAACATATGCCAGAAGATATGCCAGGTAGAATGCCAGAAGATATGCCAGATAGAATGCCAGAAGATATGCCAGATAGAACGCCAGATAGACTGTCAGAAAGAATGCCAGAAGATATGCCAGTTAAAATGCCAGAATGTTTGCCGGATAGAATGTCAGAAGATATGCCAGATAGAATGCCAGAAGGTATGCCAGATAGAATGTCAGATAGAATGCCAGAAGGTATGCCAGATAAAGTGCCAGAAGATTTGCCAGATAGAATGCCAGATAGAATGTCAGAAGATATGCCAGAAGATATGCCAGATAGAGTGCCAGAAGATTTGCCAGAACATATGCCAGAAGATATGCCAGGTAGAATGCCAGAAGATATGCCAGATAGAATGCCAGAAGATATGCCAGATAAAATGCCAGAAGATATGCCAGATAGAATGCCAGAAGATATGCCAGATAGAATGTCAGATAGAATGCCAGAAGGTATGCCAGATAAAGTGCCAGAATGTTTGCCAGAACATATGCCAGAAGATTTGCCAGATAGAATGCCAGATAGAATGTCAGAAGATATGCCAGAAGATATGCCAGAAGATATGCCAGATAGTGCCAGAAAGTATGCCAGAACAGATTGCAGAAGATATGCCAGCTAGAATGCCGGAAGATATGCCAGATAGAATGCCAGAAGATATGCCAGATAAAATGCCAGAAGGTATGTCAGATAGAATGCCAGAAGATTTGCCAGTAACAAAATGTATAAATGCCATGGTGGGGATAACTCGAAGTAAAGTATTTTTTTCATCATAGCATGGGAAAATATAGAAAGTCCACCATAAATAAGGGAAAACCATGGGAAGTACCCTCTGGTAAACGTTTATATAGCGAACTGGAAAACCACCATTTGGAATAGGTAAATCATCTGTTCATGAGCCATGGGTGGGAGATCCAGCTCGGGATGGCTATGGAAGTTTTTTTTGGAACTGAGAATAGGTTCAGGTGATTAATATGGTGATATTTGGAAATATGTGGGAAATATAAGATTACTATATTAGGGGGGGTCCATAGTCATGGGGGTACCCCAATAGCTGAATGGTTTATGAATAGCTTATTTCATGGATGATTTTGGGGTACCACCATTTTAGGAAACCTCCATATGGGGAAGTTACAGGAACTGATTTTGATAATAGCGGGATAATTAATAGTGGGAGAATAGTGAGATAGTGGGAAAATGGCCATTGTAAGGCATTCTGACTCTTGGTGACCATTAAAGAGCCTGGTCTGAGATACCCTCTGGTAATGACTGTTACAGTTTGCGAACTCGAAAATGGACCTTTGTTTGTTCGTTGATTTACCGAACTTAAAGATGGTGATGTTCCATAGTTTTCCCATAAAAAATGGTGATGTTCCCATAGTTTCCCCATTAATAAATGGTGATTTTCCCATAGTTTACCCATAAAAAATGGTGATTTTCCCATAGTTTACCCATAAAAAAATGTGAATTTTCCCATAGTTTACCCATAAAAAATTGTGATTTTCCCATAGTTTACCAATAAAAAATTGTGATTTTCCCATAGTTTACCTATAAAAAATGGTGATGTTCCCATAGTTTTCCCATTAAAAATGGTGATGTTCCCATAGTTTTCCCATTAAAAATGGTGATGTTCCCATAGTTTGGCTATAAAAAATGGTGATGTTCCATAGTTTTTTGTTGGTTTACCAGAGGGTAACCATCCAAAAATACGGATGTTCATCCCGCCCGGACTTGGTCTGGAACCACGAGCAGTGACTGCAATTTTTCTGTGGCTACAGATTTAGGGACTAAGAGGGTTCAAATTATACGATCTGGTTATTTAACATAGCCATGGAAAGATCCACCATGTTCAATAGGTAAGCCATCTATAAATAGGCTATGTTAAATAACCAGAGGGTAATCCAAACATGAACAGAACCCATGTTCCAAGCAACAAAATGTGTTCTATCTCCATGTTCCTAGCCATAGTCATCCCGAGCTGGATCTCCCACGAGCAATAAAAATCCTTTGGTACTCAAACATGGCTGGGAAATCCCCCCGAAAATGGCTGTTTCAATGGGATATTTCGGAAAACCTCTGTTTGATATGTGGAAGCTGGTCCAAAAAAACCGGATTGATTCCCAGAGGGAAGCAGCACCATGGATTATACTATCCCAAAAAATGTCCCATTATCCTTTTTTTGATTCATAAACCATTCTATATCCAATTTTATCCCATGAATTGACCGTTATTATCCCATGAATTAACCGTTATATCTATCCCATTCATTAACCGTAGTTATATCCCATTAATTAACAATGTTATATCCCATTATATCCCATTATCCCCTTATGTAGCCATGATTCATTTCACCGTTACAATCCCCACCTTGGGCAGCACCATTTTTTTCCGTCGACAATGCCCCAGGAAGGAGCGGCCAAAACGCTGAAGCTCCTGGACCAGCGCGTATGAAATGGTCATCCTTTGGCTATGTTAGTTACCCTCTGGTAAACTGTCCCGTAACATCCCGTAACTATGGAAAAATCACCAATTTTAAATGTGTAATTCCGCAATTCCACTATTTCTATGGCCATGTTCAATAGCTATGTAAACGTTTACCAGAGAATAATGTCAGTCTGTTAGGTGGTTGGTTCTGTTACTTCAACACTATGGATCCAAAGTATTCCAAGGTTACTTTCTGAGAAGGTACAGCTGACATCCTAATTCATACCCCAACAACTTCCTAGGAAGGTACGGCTGGATCCATAGGGAATGTTAGTTTCCGTTGGGGATGAAACATTCTGATGTTCTACGTGATGTTCTATGATTGGATTCAGTGGATTTGTTATACCTCAAATGTTGGATGTTTGTCGGAACCATTGAAAATTTCAGTGGGTCTAAAGATTAGATGGTGATTTCTTTGAAAACACAGGGATTTAGGTGGTTTTGGATTGTTTAATAATCAGAAATGTGGATTTTGTTGCGCAAATTGGTTCCAGAAAAAGGAACAGTATTGGACAAATGATAAAGTTAACCCCCTTGTGGCTGTAATCTACCTATAATGGGTTGGAGTAGCAACTCTGAAACACGTCGTGAGACTGGTGTTTTAGCCTAGAAAGTAAAATTTAAGTATATGGACTGTCCTTCGAAACATTGAATTGAACAAACATGGGGAGTGCGTTTGTGTTTTCAAGAAAAGTACCCCGTGGGCCTACATCCAAAATGTCCAAACATGATCCAACCTTTGGACGTGACCTAAGATGTACTCTGTGCGGCGTTTGAAAATTAATGTACCAATGGACCCAAGGCAAACAAGAAATGTGGTTCGAAATGAGGCTGGTGAATACTCATGTTTTCAATAGCAATCAACACCAGCTCCCACCTCCCAACTTCATCTCCAAGGCAGCATGGCCAGTGCCAGTCAGTCAGTTAACATCAGCTCAGTAACAGTACAGTCCAGTCCAGTCCAGTCGAGTCCAGTATGCTCATGAACACGGATATGGACTAGTCGACAAGCCCAGGCGCAACAGTCATAGTGTCATCAATCTCGGTGATGAGTTTGGAAGTTTCTGGTGAATCGCTGTACAGAGGCAGCATCCATTCCAAGGTGTGTCATCAATCTCGGTGATGAGTTTGGAAGTTTCTGGTGAATCGCTGTACAGAGGCAGCATCCATTCCAAGGTTTTGAAGAAAGCACGGGCACCAGGTGAACGAACATCGGCCACAGCTTTGGTCACAGAGTCGTCATGTCGCCCCAGAAGAGTAAGACCAAATCGACTCTTTGATTTTCAGGCTATACCATCTCCCCAAGTAACATGACATATACCCTGTCAAACATTTTGGAAGCGATTCCTCCAGCATTTAACATGGCATCAATTTGTCTCATTTGTGTCGTTGGGTGGATTGAAAAAAACACAAACGAGAAAACAAACATGGAAACACCAACGAGAAAACTTATTCAAACAAACGGATGGTTTCCCCATATGGTGGATTTTCATGGATTTTCGAGCGGGCAAAGCCAAAAAACTTCAGTGGGCAGTGGTTAAGCCCAAACAATTTGGGTTTGAACAAATAATTTCCATCATTGAAAGTGGGCATCTGTGGGTCCCACTTGTGATTTTGTCCACCCCACAATCCATTTCTTTGTTATTCCCTCTGAATGATATGATAGGTAACAAAATGTCCCAATTGCATTCGTCATTATTACCCACAACGTTTTGCTCAGACCCACAACATGTTGCGTTGCAAAAATAAAGTGTTTCATTGGATGCTTTCATCATATGTTCTCAGAAATTCGTGATATTTCACAAATGTAGATACAGCTATTTGGGATAGTTACCCCTTACTAAATATAATTGTCATTCGAGCAACATCCCAGTGAGGTCGTTATACCTTAGAGTCTTAGAGATAATGTAACCACTTTAGGGCTGCATATGGGCCACGGTCGAAATTTATTGTTTACGTTAAGTGCGTCATCAAGTTAGTGCGTCCCCTATCGTTTTACCAGCTTTCCTGTTTTTACATATTTTGACAATTATTTGCCTCTGTTTAAGCATAGTTTTGAAGCGCGTCCACTTGGATCCTCATCCCTGCCGATCTTTGTTTGCGCGCGTTGGCGCGCACTTGTGCTTTTGCCCGTGCCTGTCTGGTCCTCCTTCGCGCTGCTTGGACGGTCTCTTCAAACAGCAGATCTTTTGGAAAGAAAATGGGTTTCGGCATGCTTTGGCCACTCACAGCTGCTAACCTCAAAATTTATCCAGCCGGGCCACGAAACTTTAGTCCATCACTACAACATACTACCAACATCCACCACCTGTTCCGCCTCTTTTGTGACCAGTCGGTCACCCGGGGCGCTTTTGGAAAGATTTTAGTATCGTTTGGGTATCGTTTTGGGTATCGTTCTGCGCGGGCTCTATCTTTGCAAGTCACATGCGTGCGAGACTGAATGAATAGCTCGCCGCGGTCTACCAAAGCTAGGCCAGGCAGCAAAACGAGATACTGCATGGAGTTGGCCACTCCAGCATGCCTACACTGCCTGCGAATAGATGCATGGTTTCAGTAATCTGAGCTACTCGGTGCCGAGTCTAAGCAGCCCACCTAGGTGGCTAAAGTAATGTAAAGTCATGTAAAGTCAACCCACCGCATGGGCACGCCCATTCATGGTGAAGTGGATCCAACCGTGAAAAAACAACCCTGCCTAAGCAAACACTATGCCCACACCACAAATCGCGCAAGCATGCGCAATCAAAAAACATATCGTTTTTTTGTGAGTCCCCTATCGTTTTAGCAGGTTTCATGCAACAGCCAACATCCGATGCACACTCCAGTACATACTTAATCAACGCAAATTTTGGCGGAATCTCATATGTTAACCCAGGACAGCTTTCACATGCCCTGCGCATACCCAAACAAACCACAAAAAATACCTATATCCCATGCCATCAAAGGGGATGCTTCATTGCTTCATGTAAGTATTTGCACCAATAAATATCATTCGCAACCCACTGCAACGGAGACTTGCCACTTACAAACCAGGATGAATTCATATATTTTGTTCAGTTTTGGCCGTTCATCAATTATAAGTGGTTATAATGCTCATAAATGGGATTATACATTCCATAAATGGGGGTTGTTAGTACTTATCACTGGCACGAGTAAAAGGCCATAAACTGACAATCAATTCAGGGAAAACCTACCCTGTGAGAAGAACTGTATATGAAGATCCGAAAACTCATCTAACCATAACTGGTTGGTGTACGTTTTCAACACCTCTGAAAAATATGGGTTCGTCAGTTGGGATGATGACATTCCCAAGACATGGAAAGTCATAAAATTCATGTTCCAAACCACCAACCAGATAAACTGTTGTTAACCAACCATGTTCAAATCACCAAAAACATCCAAAAACGGCCACCGTTTGCCATCCACAAACGGCACCCGAAACGCTTTGTTCTCGGCGCAGCCAGTGATGGTCGGCCCGTCCTGACCCGCAGTGTGGTGGAAAAGCAGTCATGAATATTAGACCCCAAAGAACCTTAAAACCACAATAATCCTTTCCCCCTATTACTAAACATACCCCAAATACTAAAAGTTAGGCTCCATCTCCAGTTTTGGAAAATTTCAGATTGGCCAATTTGGGAAGGGATTAACCCTAGAATTCATGATCATCACTGGCACACCCTGGTTTATATCTAACGTTAAAATATAGTCATGAATATTAGACCACAATATACCCTTAAATCAAGCACGAAGAACTCCTAAACACACCTTAAACAAACCCTAAATGAATCAACCTTAAATCGTTGAACTAGCAATAAAGTAATTGAATCCCTTTTGTGGGCTAGGAAAAAAATCGGGAAACTTCATGTGTCGTGTAGAAATTTTACCAAATCTCTTGACTCCCAAATACTTTTACTGAGTTCGGAAAATTGGGAGCAGAAGGACGGAGGAGGTGGAGTTGAAAAGGCAATGCTAGAGTAAATCTGACACATTACATTGCAGCAGCCTGCTTCCATGGCATCCTGCAAAATCGAGGTGTGTTGCCTCCTTCTGCCGCAAAGTTCGAAGGATGTCCATCACCGCTGGAAAGGCTTGGCTTAGCTGTCAGCGGAGCGACACTGAGTGCTGCCCTTCGCATCCTTCTGTAGCACGGACAGTGTCCTTCCTAGGGAGACCTCGTTTCTGATTCTCGCGATATGGTTTTCTTTCTCATATACACATACATATACATTGACTTACATCGAAATTCATTGACTTACATTCCCATACATCGACATACATTGAAATACAATTTGACATACATGCATGCATGCATGCATGGAATGCATACATTACATGACATTACGTTAGGCTATGTTAAGGTACATTACATTACATTGCATATACACCAATGCATTAATTACATACATGAAGACATGAATTACATACACAGATGCATATCATTACATTACATTTAATTACATTACATTAAATGACATTACATTACGTTACGTTACGTTACATTACATTACATACGTACAAGCATTCATACAAACATTCATACAAACATTAATACGAACATTAATTCAAAAATTAATACAAACATTAATGCTAACAGTACAATACATACACACACATACATATATACATATTTGCTTTATTAGTCAAATCAGGATAAATCCAAGTCAGCATGTTTGTCAAATTTTCGCGGCCGTGAAAAAAAAAACACATATTTCTACCCATTTTGAAACACTAACATGCGCACATATTTGTACGTTATCGAAGGAAGTTTAGAAGTCAAACAGATGAAAAAGCAGAGGTGGGAAGAGTCAGAGAATTCTTCAGAAGAGAAGCGAAGAGAAGAGAGAAGATCAGAGAAGAGAAAGAGTCAGAAGCAAGAAGATGAAGGTGTGCGAAAAGGTAGGAAAGTCGCGAAACACGATGTTTTTCCAATGATTTGGCTCCGGAGGGTCGAAAAGTAGGCTCGCTAAAGCGGCAAGTGCGGAGCCATCTGGGGAGGTGAGAAATGAAAAATTGCACGCCGTTGTGGCGCGCAGCACATTTCCAAGTCAAAATGTACAAAGCACCTCATGCTCGGACCACAAGTTGAGATGTTCAAAAAGTGCACGCCGTCGCGGCGCGAAGCAAATTTCAAAGTCAAAATGTACAAAACACTTTGGCGTCAGACCGCTTTTGGAAGTTGACATGTCGAAAAAGTGCACGCCGTTGTGGTGCGAAGCACATTTCCAAGTCAAAATGTGCAAAGCACACCATGCTCGGACCACCTTTGGAAGTTGAGATGTTCAAAAAGTGTACGCCATTGTGGCGCGAAGACCATTTCGAAGTCAAAAGTGTTAAAACTGACGGTCTCGGAGCACTTTTGGACGTTCAGATGTCGTTTCGCGTGGCAGGCGCAAGGGATTGTGGACCTTATCAAAAGTGAGCAAAACGTGAGGATTTTGTGGCATTTCCAAAAACGATGGCAGGCGTGGGACATCTGAAGAGGATCTGCAAAGATGCATTTTCCGTGGCAGGCGCAATACAAGAGACATCTTCATCAGAGCTGTTAGGAGGTCCGGGCGCTAATTTCCTGAGAGGGGTTCCATTTTGGAGCCTCAGATCTTCAGGTTTGCTGAGATGATTTTGCGTGACAGGAGCACTTCGTATGACCTGGCCTCAATTTTGTGCTTTAGACAGACGGAGTGGAAAAATCGCAAACGCATTGGTACGAGGCCAGCAGCGCAGCACTCAACATTCCATTTTTGAAGGAAGCCTCGCAGGTTTGCTTCGTTTTTGATGCTGTCAACCTTCGAAATTTGAGGAAGTCTCGCAGAATTTCTTCGTTAAAAATTAAGGAAGTCTCGCAGAATTGCTGCGCTTCTGATATTGTCAAGTCCAAAAAATTGAGGAAGTCTCGCAGAATAGCTTCGTTTTCAATCTTGCAGTTAGACAGATACATAGATAAATCGATAAATAGAGGACAGATAGATAGATAGATAGATAGATAGATAGATAGATAGATAGACAGATAGATAGATAGATAGGTAGGTAGGATAGGGTAGGGTAGGATACGGTAGGAAGGGGTAGGATAGATTACATTAGATTAGATAGATAGATAGATAAATCGATAGATAGATCGATCGATAGACAATTACAACTACAGCTGCAACTACGCTACCACTACCACTACGAATACATATACATATACACACAAATCACACTACAAAACACTAATTACGCTACACTAGCTGTTACACTACGCTAGACTAATTACACTACAATACACTAATTACAGCACACTACACTAATTACACTACACTAATTACACTTAATTACACTACACTAACTACACTGCACTAATTACACTACACTAATTACACTAATTACACTTATTACACTAGTTACACTAATTACACTAATTACACTAATTACACTAATTACACTAATTACACTACAACGACAACAACAACAACAACCACAACCAAGAACCAAGAACCAAGAACCAAGAACCAAGAACCAAGAACCAACAACCAACATACCGACAACCGACAACCAACAACCAACATAACAACATAACAACAACAAGTGCAACAACAACAACAACGACAACAACTACTACTACTGCTGCTACTACTACTACTGCTGCTGTTGCTGCTACTACTACTACTACGACTATTACGACTACGATTATTATTACTACGACTATTACTACTATTACTACTACTACTACTACTACAACGACGACGAGGACGAGGACGAGGACGAGGACGACGACGACGACGACGACTACTACTTCGACGGCTGCAACTGAAACTGCAACTACAACTACATTCCACTACACGACGCTAATTCCACTATATTACACTACGCTGCGCTACACTACACTACTACAACGACAGCTAACAACTACAGCTACACTACGCTAGGCTACACTACACTACACTACATTACATTACACTACACTCATTACACCACACCACAACTACAACTGCAACTACAACTACTCTACATTAATTACATTACACTACAACTACAACTCCACCACACTACAACTACAACTACAGCTGGACAACAGCACACTACATCCAGCAGTTGTGGGTGAGGTGACCACTGCAACCATTGCAGCCACTCCAAAAAACACAACTCCAATCACCTTTCGGTCCATCAGTGGATTCGCTCTGCCATCCATGCATCACAACAACTCACCTCTCCTATAGTGTCCTATCTGTGAAACTTCTGCCACGGCCTTGCCCGGTACTACTGGTATAAATATGTCACGCGATATGTTTTTCAAAAAGTTTGATCGTATACATTTCACTTATCATCGGGTGGTTTTGGGACATGGAAGGTGACAGCCATGTCCTGGCAAGATGGAAACATATCCCCAAGTCTTGTCTATTCTCAGCGACGAAAGAACCACCAACCTCATTAATTTTCATGAACTTCCACGCACCCCCCCGTATACCCCTACACCATATTTAAGGATTTGCCTGGACCATCCTCATTAGTATGCTAATAATGCAATATTTGCATACTAATCAGGGAAAAAAAGCATTTTTGTACAAAGCCCTTACATGTAGCTTATTAGGCTACTAATAAACTACTATTAGTAGCTTAAATACAAGGCGCTATTAGGGTCTTAAATATGATTCCGCCAATTTTGTATCCCCATTCATATTAGGCAACTAATCCGGGGCATCATCAAAATAAAGCCCAATTTGGTCAATTTTGTGCCAAAAACATCCCTACCCCTATAGAGGGGGAGGGCGGGGGGGACAAAACCAACCTGTCGAATTCCACCTTTTTTATCTTTGCAACCCTGTGATAGTAATCCAACCCCTCAAATGGAATTGTAAAGGAGCTAAGCGCAAGTATGATGACGGCAGCGCAAGTTTTGGAGGGATGCCACCCCTACACACGTGCTGCTTCAAGAATTTAGCTCCTCCGGAGCTAAGGGCAAGTATTTAATTTTCATCTGCTTGCCAATGACATGGAATGACGAGGAATATTGATCATTGAGAAAACATGATTGCAAAAATGGAACCTTAAAATGAAATTTCAGTAGGACTCTCCCCCCCTCAAATTCCATTTTTAAGAGGGTAGGGATCCAAAAACAACAAAAGCCAACCTTATTAGGCACCTAATCCCCTCCATGTTGTATACAACTCCAATTTCGGGATTATAGTATAGCCTAATCAGAAACTGGTGACTTGTTGCATTGTATACAAACCGACTTTCTTAATGTGTATCTAAGTTATCTAAGTCTCTTGTAGGGGTGTACGTGGGCGGAAGGGTGCCTTGAAGTTCATGAATTTTAGCGTCCTTGCGCTAATGTTTTCAAACGCCAAACGTGCAAGCAAGTGAAATTTGTCTTTGAATTACAAAACTTGCCAAACATCTTGAAATCGTCAAGTCTTCATGCGTGTTGGAATTCGAAAGCAAGTCCTCAGCCCAACAGGTTCCCTCACAGGCTTGATTTTTCAAGGGTGAGGGATCAAAAAAAAAATATATATATATAAGGCTTAATTTAAGCCTTGTTTTCTATGGCCCTTGCAACGGTTTGGAGGCAAAACCGAGCATTTCTGTGGTATTTGCATTGTTTTGGAAGTGGAGCCTCTCCCCCTCAAGGTTTTGCAGGACATTGGATCTAGAAATCGAGCATTCGCAGGGCCCGACGCTGTCGTTTCGACAGCACCTGCAACACTTTGGAGTTCGAATTTTCGATTTTCCATGGTTGCTTTGAAACTTACGTTGGTTTAAAGTTTGTTCATGTTTGGTTTAGGATTGATTTAGGCATGGTTTGATGCCTATTACGTTGACTTTGGTTGGTTTAGGGTTAGTTTAGGGTTGGCCTATGGTTCACTAGGTGTCTATTCAGGGTTGTTAAAAGGTTTATTTAAGTTTCGTTCAGATATTGTTTAAAGTTATTTGAAGTTTTTTGGTGTTTATGTAGGGTTGGTTTAGGGTTATTTTGATTTTGTTCAAGACTTTGTGGTTTAGGTTTAGTTTGGGATCTACCGAGGGATTGGTTGTTTGTTTATTTAGGGTTGGTTTAAGATTTGTTTAGGGTATATTGAGGGTTGGTTCTAGGCTTTGTTTAGGGTTGGTATTAAGATTTGTGTAGGTGCTGCTCAAAGTTTATTTAAAGTTGATTCAGGATGTGTATGGTTCGTGGTTGGTTTAGGTGTTATTTAGGGTTGGTTCAGGGTTTCTTTAAGGTTGGCTTAGGGGTTATTTTGGGTAGGTTTAAAATCTATGTAGGTCTTGTTACCGGTGTCTTTAAGGTTGGTTTAATGATTTATTTCTGGTTGGTTCAGGGTTGGTTTAGGATTTATGTAGGGTTGGTTTGTTGTTGTTTTTTTTCTGGGTTTGCTTAGGATTTATTTAGGGTTGGTTCGTGTTTGTTTAATAAGTGTTCTTTAGGGTTTATTTACGGTTGGTTTATGGTTTTTTGGGGTGGCTTAGGCTTTATTTGGGGTTGGTTTAGGGATTATTTGCGATTGGTTTAAAGTTGATTTTGGTTTCGCTTACAACTTATTTAGGGTTCGTTTACGGTGGGTTTCGTTTAGGGTTTATGTAAGATTTGTTTAGGGTTTGTTTAGGGTTAGTTTAGGGCTGATGCAGGGTTTGTTTAGGAGTCGTTTAAGACTTACTTTGGCTTGGGGGGTAGTTTAGGTGCTATTGAGGCCGATTTTTTTTTACAGCTGGTTGAATTAAGGATTATCTTCAAAATGTTGTAAGTTGTAAGGCACCAGAGCCACCAAAGGACGGAAGGACCAAGGGACCAGAAGACCAGAGGACCAAGGGACCCGAGGACCAAGGGACCAGAGGACGAAGGGACCAAGGGACCAAAGGACCAAGGGACCAAGGGACCAGGGGACCAAGGGAGAGGCCTGAAGGACCGGGAGATTCAATGACCACAAGATTTGATAATTGCATAAAAGGGCCAAAACATTGCACCAGCGCAGGAAAAATGAATATGTTTTCTTTGATCCCTCAATTTTTTGAATTGATGCCTTGAATATTTGTTTTTTTGATGCCTCATTTTTTTAACCTCATGCCATTTTTCAAACATCTGGCATTAAGATTTCCACTTGCAGACATATGGCCAAATTGTCTTTTTGTCTAATTGGTTGAACGCAAGTGGGTTTTGACAAGAATAACGCATGAAAAACAGCCTGCTTATGACCAGTGCAACAACCAACCTGGCCAAAGCAAGAAGCTTAACATTCCAGTACACCGTCGGGAAACCAAGGGGTCCTCAAACTGTTCGAACTCTTCGCTTCTTTCCAAGATGGTGAAGCCATCATCCGTCGGAGCCACACCGGTCCTGAAAGGTTCTTGGCAAACGGCCAACCAGCAAAACATTAATATTTTCGAAGTCTTTGCACCGAAGAGCAGCACATGCCTCAAAGTCATGGTCATGGCTTGCAACCAAAGACTGTCAAACTTTGTGGCCAAGTTTGCTCCCCAAGTCCGGGCCCATCCCATGGTGAAAAAGCTACCGTAGCATGAGGCAGATAAGCCAAGCATGATGCGCCAGCTTCATGGTCCCCGCAGAACAGCTGTTTTCTTGGCTCCCTTGCTCTTGCACTTGGACGCCCATCATGCGGTTGATAAAGGTCGACCTGGCTATCGCGCTGCCTTTACTGAGGGAGGGTCACATTGACAGGTTGGATGTGTGCTGTGCGACTCAAGCTTCCGACGTAACTCTGTTGAGTCGGGGTACGGCTAGGAATAGCTTACCGCCCCTGCTCTGCCCCTGACAAAACCCTCGGCGCCCGCTTTCATGATTTCCATGGCCCGTGCCATGTGAAGATCCGACCAAGCGCCCGTTTGCTTTAAGGTCCCTGGTTTCTTCACGCATGTTGCGGTGTTGGCGCATCTGCGGATGCAGTGAACACGCATGCTTGCAGATATTCTTTGAATGAAACCAACGTGGTCCACCTACACTCTCCAAACTTCTGTCGCAATAACGGCAATGCTGTGAAGCATTGTAATGAACTCTTGATTGGACTACACCCATACAAATAAGATGTAACATAGAATTTAAACAACGTATAGAATATACATTGTGCATGTGTAACGGGATTCATCCATGAATTGTTACTTTCGGGTTTGGGGATGGGATGTATGGGTGTATCCCATATTTTTGAGGGTGGAGTTGTGAATAGATGGCAAGAATGGACCACAACTGTGTTGTTGTTTCGCTGAACCAATTCTTCTGGTTGAAGAGTTCTTCCCAGTCATCCAATCTCTAGCGACTGATTCCTTTTCTGCGGGTCCGGCATGTCCTTTTAACATTGTCTGGGTCTTATCTCTGTGGACACAGTTTGTTCATTTTTGCTGTTCAACATGTGAAAACCATTGTTTCTTCATATTTTTATCATATTCTCAGCTTTTTATGTCCATGGCTTCAATGTCCGTGGTTTCAATGTTTCAATGTCCATGGTTTCTTCATTGTGTCTTCCCATGTTCCTGTCACTTGCCGCACCCGCTTCAAGATCATCCTTGTCCTCTGTCTTGATTTGTTTTTATGCGGTGGTAGTAAACCAACAAAAAAACATAGCATGTGGGGATGGTAGTCACCACCCATTTCGAAGAAAGTTTAGGTAGGAAACTTCCAAATTACGAATGGACGTCCATGCTTAGTTTTATACTTGTGTCATCATGTCAAACACAGTTAAAGCAATAGTAAACCATCCCCATCCGTAAATCATGGGCTAAACCATCAAAGTATGGCTGGCCGACCCCGGGTGAGGTGCCGAGCCGCTGTTCGGATGTGGTAGCCATGTCCACCAATCCGTTAAGGGGTTGCTGAAGAAATCGTCGAAGCCAGGAAACCAAAGGGAACCAATAATAGCAAAGGTCAGAGGTCTGCCATGGTTGCCAAAGTTTTAAGTGTATATGGGTATGGATCAATACCTATTAATACCATTTTTAGGGGGATGAACATCCATAAATCCCAGCTATTTTGATGTGAACTACAGGGGTACAAGGTTTTGACACACTGCCATATGATTGTATATGTTGTTTGTGTCGCTTAGCGTCTTCCGGAGAAGACTGGTAGAAAGGGTGCCAATGAAGAGATGAAAACCAGGTAACAGAAAAAAGGAACCGCTGAAAAACTGCGCTCACAAAGCTACCTTCAAATATATAAAGTATCATTATGTTTTTGGCATGGAACATAAAACAGATTCGACACTTATGAACCAGTCATGGCCCGATCAGAAAACGAAGCCTCCTGACAATCGATCTGACTTTCACCACCTTACCGCGCCACCTGAAAAGTTTAAAAAACAAAACATATACAAATGTGGAATAGGATGTCTACCATCCGCGGAGCAAGTGAGAACAGATGACCCACAGGTACCAGTGCAAGTCCCCTTTCAGACTCACGTGGCAGTAGAACAACAGAATATAGGTAGATGTATACAAAATTATACAAAAACTGCTTCTCGATTTGTTGATGGTTAATTTCTCATGAGAACATCAACAAATCGACACTGACTTGAATATATTCGAATCTATACAGGGGTTGGTAAATGTCCAAATGAACATCAGTCAACTATTGGGGATATTTTATCTCCAGATATTTGAAGATGTCCAAAGTCCCTAATATCAGGGATATCGTCCTCTATTTTCGCTTCATGACCATCACTTGATCCATGGTTTTTCTGGGGGCCTCTGGAGCGATGCCTAGTCACTGCTGGGTGTCCCCAAAGAATAGCATGGCAGGGCTGCTAAAAGCAGTGTCAGAATAGTATGGTTTATTTGCAGCCAAATATATGTCATAATGGCCATTTCCTTAAATAAGAATCCAAAATCTATACTTATAAAACATTGCCAACTCCAGATACCCTGCAAAAAGAAACATGAGTTCAGCGTGTGAATATATGTGGAGGCTTCCATAAATATCATAAATGGGGGTATCCCTAAATCATCCATGTTATTTTTGCATTTTCATATATGTCCATTATTTCAACCAGCTATTGGGGTACCCCCCATGACTATGGAAAGCCCCATCTAGATTCAGATGATCATGTCCAGCCGAAAAAACCTCAATTCGCAAGGAGGCCAAGATGAAATATCACAAACATATTCCCACAATTTTACACATGGAAAATAGCAATGTTTACATAGAAGGTACTGTAAATCATCTACAAATTGGATCAAATCGGCATAACTATGAGTGTTAAATTACCAGAAGGTATCCCCCTGAGAAAAACTCGTCAGAAGTCTGAGGCATGATCCGAACAAGGTCGGGGTATGGCGATTCTTCGATACTCCCACGGTTTAAAGAATCATCGGCGGAAACTTTGATAAGTAAGACCCTAAACACGATACGGATACCCATTTTTAACCATGCGGATGGGTCAAAACCTCTGATTTCCCCTAACCTGGCTTTGTCTAAGCATGGTTTATACATGTCATGTTTATGTTAGTTCCCGCATCCCTATATCTATGCAGGGAACGTGATTCTTCCAAAACGGGGATGGGTCAACAATTCCGCTAAGTTTCGTAAAACAGCTCAACTCCTGGGTTTAGGATATATCAATCTACTTTCACTGGTTTTGTTGGGAAATTTCTTCGGTTTTTCCAACAAAAAAAATGTGTTTCCCAACAAAAAAATGGGGAATCCCTGGTTTTTCCCAACAAAAAAAATGCGTTTCCCAACAAAAAAATGGGGAAACCCTAGTTTTTCCCAACAAAAAAAATTGGTTTTTCCGGTGAAGATGTTCCCGTGAGATCTGCGGAGGTCACTTGCCGGAGGAATGGTTGCCGATCATGAGGACGGTGGGCTTGCAGGGGAAGATGGCCAAATCAAACCTGCACTGGAAATCTCGCTGGGAATTGGATTTATAGTTATATATATATACATATATATATACATATATACATATATATATATATACATATAATTATATATATATAATAATATATAATATATACGTATATATATATATACATATATATATATATATATGTATATATATATACTATACATATAAATTAGAATTAAAAACCGCAGATTTTGTTGGATATGGCCCCACATCATTACATTATCCCATTTTGAAACACAGCCAAAACACCACGCCATATTCCACTGCCGATAGATTCCTACAGAGGGATCTATGAAGCACCAAGAGTGGGGAGTCAACTGTTAATAGTCAGGATGTATATAAATGAGATCTTTGACTATTTATATAAATATATATATAAGGATGTATGTTAGTATTAATGTTTAATATATTAATTATTATTAATCTTTGACTATTTAATATTAATCTTCGTTTCTAGAATTGGCTTTTTGGCCTTATAAATTTATAACCATTGAACCATTATAACCATTGGATCGAGGTGATCGTCTCAGGGTACCTGAGACAGAACTATTTGATACTATTTGTAGATATACAACCTGGTTACAACCTTGACTCCCTGAATTATCAAGGGCTACCCTCCGGCAATCAGCTACAGAGCAAGGAAAAAACACCAGTTTTCCCAGAAACCTCTGTTGAGTTCAGGGATTTCCCAGCGTGTGATTACTCAAAGGGTACCCTCTGGTAAACTAACATAGCTATTGAAAATGGCCATTTATAGTGGATTTTCCCATTAAAAATTGTGATTTTCCATAGCTATGTTAGTTTACCAGAGGGTAAACAATGGCAAAGCACGGGGAGTTTTTTCTTTTTTCGTTTAACAGGGTGGTTTTGTTTAACAGGTGACCATCCACAGTCCGAGTCATAGGAATGAATCCCACTGGCCCATGATGGCAATGGTAAGTTACCCGGCCTGGTAAACTGTCCCGTAACGAACTGGAAAGATCCACCATGCTATTAATGGGAGAATCCACCATTTCTATGGCCATGTTCAATAGCTATGTAAACGTTTACAAAAGGGTCTGTATATAATGCTAGCCATATTGTAATTCCAAATATCTGGGCAAATGAACATATGTCCACCAGCCTGAAATCCGCAAATCCATTGGTTAATCATTAATCATTGTCCATGTATCATATGTTACGATGGTCATGCGGTCATGCGGAACCAAGCCTTACAATCTGATTGAAGCATATATAACCATATGTTTCATGCTGGACTCATGGTGGGAAGAATCAACCCCTGATGTGAAACACTTTTCAACATATTTAAGTTGATGCATTTTTCTTCAATCTTTTTCATATTTAATCCACTAAATCCATCCAAATCCACTGATCATCATTTTCCCCATACATCCCTATTTTCACTGGATTGGTTTAAGGGAAAATCTTAACCGGAAACCATGGGTTTTTACCATCAAATATGATGGGCTTTCCGGTTAAAATTTTCCCATCATCCAATTCTATGAATATAGAAAATATATGAAGATATAACTAATTTACCCAGATACATCCCTATTTACATAGAAATCCCAGTCATAGGCGACCACCAAACACCAAACACCCGGTGAATGGCCACGGGGCTCAAAGGGTCGGCCCGGCAAGCGTCGGTCGATGGGCAGCAGCACCGTCTCCTACAGTAACTGGGAATTTTGTGCCCGGAAAATCGTGGCATTTATTAACTGGAAAATACCATTTATAAATGGGATATTATTGGAATAATCCAGTTATTTTGTTCTCCTAACTTATGGTGATATATATATATATACCAGTTATGTTACCCTCTGGTAAACTAACATAACTATGGAAAGATCCACCATGCTATTAATGGGAAAACTCACTATTTCTATGGCCATTTTCAATAGCTATGTAACAAATTACCAGAGGGTAACTGGAAAATACAATCTATAAATGGATGATATGGATGCTTAATCTGGTGGAACATACCATTAAAATATGGATGATGACTGGGAAATACTGGTGGTTTTTCGCCTACCCCTCTGAAAAATATGAGTCAGTTGGGATTATGAAATTTCCAATATATGGAAAAATAAAAGCTATGTTCCAAACCACCAACCAGTTAATTAGCGGGGGTATCCCCCCAATAGTCATGATGTGATACTTAAATGGTACCTTCCCAATTAAACAGCCATTTGGGAATTATCAATCCAGGGTTGACATGACTTGGCAGATGCAAACGGCATCAAAATAGGCCATGTTATTAGGGAAACATGATGAACATATAAACGAACATGGTTGAACTAATATGGCATAATAGTAGACTAACATAACGAACTGGAAAGATCCACCATGCTAATGGGAAAATCAACACTATTTAACTATGGGCCATTTTCAAGGGTCGCTTTTTGTTAGTCATTACCAGAGGGTAAATCCCAGCATCATCCCATGATTCACCATTGTGAACCATGAATTCACCATAAAAATAGTGGTTCAATCACCATAGCTATTGAAAATGTCATTACCAGAGGCTATGGCAACCATATCCATAGATTATCCATAGATTATCCATAGATTGTCCATAGATTGTCCATAGATTGTCCATAGATTATCCATATATTTCGCCATTTAAACTTCACTGCTTCAATGGTTCAGTCCATAGGGAAAAATAATGATCCATTGAAAAATCATAGGACTCCTGGAGCCACAGGATGGCCGTTTCCAGCTGTTTCTGCAAGGAAGCCAAGTCCGCATCCTGAAACCGGGAAAGACGCGGACTTGGGAAGCAAGAATTTCTATGTCATTGGATTGTTGTTAAGGGACATTTTACAGGAAACCTCGGTATTTGATGGCAAAAAATTGGCTGTCCGGTAGATGTTCCATGATTTTTTGAACCAATCCAATGATTATGGGAAGTATATCCTGCTGGAGATATGATATTAGTACTTATATATAGACCCTCCATATAGACCCTCCAAAGACCCCCAAAACATGGCAAAAGTATTATAGATTACTATAGAATTATGGTGTAAAACACCATATTGATGGGTACTTGCTTGGAGGGTCTAGGCATTACATATATTACAGTAGTATAGAGTATATAGCTGCGATTGATGGAACTATATAAACATGCTACCTTGAACTCCTGGAAGATATACCAGCCACCAGCCTATCATGGCAATCGACTCGTACTGGTAGTGCTGCAAATGCTACAAGATGGACTCCAACAAACGAGGTAACAAAAAAAAACGGGATAAATGTATGGGTAAGTCTACACATGAGGTAGACCCCAAAATTATGGCCATTCAGGGTACCCTATTTTCAAACAAAACCACAAATAGACAATGATATAGACCATCAAATTTTTGTTCGTTGCATTTCCATGAAAATCCCAACATTTCTGGACATGCCCTACTGCACCCACTCATTGCTGTAAAATTTTGATCTCCCGGACCATCCCATAGTTAGGAAACCACAAACCTACTGGGGTCAGTATGCGAATAGTTCAGTCCACAAGTGGTAAGTTCAGTCACAAATCAGTTTGCTATTGTCAAAAAATGCGAATAAATCACTGGGTCAGATCATTCAGATCTGGTCATAACTATGTTCGTGGGCCTGAAAAAAAAATATTTGGGTTTCGCGTCAAAACAGGATGACCCGAATATTACCCAACATCACTGGAGTTTTATGGATTAAAAATAATTATAGGTATACTCATTTGAAATAAAATATAGCCAAAATATGTCATAATATTCAACATCATTCAACTCTTATAAATTCACATGGCTTTGGTTCAAGTCCCAAATGACCAACCTTGGTGGTCCACCTAATCCACATCGCACCTGTACTGCGCATTCGCCAGCAATGAGAACAGGATTTCCAGTTCATGGTATCAAACCCTATTGCATAAAGGGTAGGTTAATAACCACCAAAAAAAATTGAAACCGCATGAAGCAACCTCTTATTAATCGAATTTCCATTTTGATGGTTGAAACTTAAAACCCTTTAAATCACCATAAATCCTTAGATAATCCCAAGAAGATCCCCCCAAATAAAAATCCTCAGCCAGGTGTGTCTTGCCATGATTTCCCACACCTTCAGGGACGACAGATCCTCAGTCAACCTTGGCCGATGGCTGGCAGCTGCTGACTGGATATGCGAATGGCTGGGAAATCGCAATAAAAAATGGAACGGTTACTGCACCATCTTTTTCCACAATGAAATGCCTTGATAAAAATCATTTTATATGTTGTGCATTTGTTTTTAAAACATGGCTTAAGTATATATATAATATATATATATAATATATATATATAATATATATAATATTTATATAATATATATATATATAGAAATGGTGGTAATTTGTATAGGTCATGGTAAAGTTATAATAGATAGGGAAATAACACATCAGATAGCAGATACATCAAACAAAATACAAAAAATAACAAAAATAATTGTTTTTTGGCCTTTAAACGGATGTTTTGTATGGCAGGACAACTTTCTGCTCAAGTGGAGCACAATTTCACGGGAAGCATGGCTGCAGCTGAAATGTGATACAGTAGCACAGAGAACGACGCTGCAGGACTTCAAATTTTGGCGTTTCCAGCTGTTAAAGAGAAGATGAGAGAAGGTTGGCGTGGAACGCGCATGTGTTTCCTCTTGTTTAGGGAAGAAAACAAGGAAACGCGCATGTGTTTCTAGATCTGACACTTCCAGAACAAGTCAATACGTATGTGTTTCCACACAGAGACACCAAAAGTGATTGTAAACGCGTATGTGTAAAAGATGCGTTTCCACATCTATACACATGGGTGCTCAAAAATCTCGACATTCGGGATGTGCTTCCACAAAAAAAACATGGGAGCGCGCATGTGCATCTTCATGAAAATATCTAAATGGCAAGGGAACGCGCATGTCCTCAAAATACCTCTCGTCACCATCGTGCTTGGGCACGCGTATGTGAGTGTTTAACGCGTGCTTTTTTTGTGTTTCCTCAAGACTGAAATCCGTAGCTGTTTTTCTCGCTGAAGTAACAAAAACATGTAAAACAAAAACATGCAAAGGCTGTGACAACACAACATGCAAAGGCAGCGACACAAACGTTCAGTGCAACCTTTGTCTTGAGGGCTCTTATTCTGTCAAGGTTTGGCAACAAGTACTTTTACTTGAGGTGCAAGGGCTTTCACAAATGCCAATGTTTGGCACCAAGCGCAATGCCACCAAGCGCAATGCCCAGGCTGCCCCTTTGTGGCACCAAGCGCAATGCCACCCCGTCACGCCTGAGATGAATGGAACTTTTGCAGGAGCTGCAAAATGGCCTCCTGAAATCGCCGGGTCGGGTCGGGGCGTCAGGGCTGCGCAGCCAAGCGCAATGCCCAGGCTGCCCCTTTGTGGCACCAAGCGCAATGCCACCAAGCGCAATGCCATTCCAAGAGCCAAAGCTGCTCAAATGGCTCAGCACTCAAATGACCACTCTCCGGTCACCTCGCGGTGCTCCACCACCGTCACATCCCGGTGCTCCTCCGTACATGACATAAGATGATACACCACATACTGACATACCATATGATAAATTGCCATACACAATAGCATGGGCTCAGTGCGTTTTCCATCCAAATAAACCTTTTTGATAACAACAAACCCTAATCTAATCGTATCCTTGGGACCCGGAAAACTCACCGAACCCATATGGCTATGGATCAATACCTATTAATACCATTTTTAGTGGGATGAACATCCATTTGCCAGCTATTTTGATGTTCACCAGGGGTACAAGGTTTTGACACACTGCCATTTGGATTTGTCTGAAGTACCCAGTACCTTATATATAAATCCTCTGGTTGATCATCATATTCTTCAGCTTACGCATTTGATGCGTATCCCGTATCTCCCATGTTCTGTCACAGACCCGTTCATCATATTCAGTTGGTTATAACATGTTGTAAGTAGGTATAACTCCATAAACCTCCCATTAAAATCCATTGAATCCCCCTAATTTCCGATTTTTTTCCATTGAATCCAAATGCAGCAAATCCCATTGAGTCGCCCAATCCTAGCCATTGAGTCGCCATGGCGAGGCATCCCTGAGTTCGCCGACTGATAGGGCCTTCTCAGACGTCTGGAGGCCTGAAAAATCACTGATGGGATGCTCTTTTTGGGTCAAATTGGTCATAAATTCATGGAGGTTTCGCCCAAAATTTTCCCAGTCGTCAAATTGGTCAAATTGGGGATGACTGGGAATTTCTTCGGAACCATCTTAGGAGGTTTCCGAAGTCAGGGGGTACCACAAATCATCCATCTTTGTTGGCATCAATTTTTAGTATTGAAACCCAATTTGTGACTTGGGGTACCCTCTGGTGAACTAACATAGCAATGGAAAATCACCATTTTTCATGGGAAAATCCACTATAAATGGCCATTTTCCATTGCTATGTTAGTTCACCAGAGGGTCCATCCATTTTAGGAAACCTCCAGTTGGCAACTCAAGGTACTGATCCAAAGTTGGATTATGCCGATGCCGATTTTTGTGTCATCAATTCATTTTCGTACGGAATTGTTGGGACTGGGACTTCCCCATGGTAGTGGGATGACCAGGTGGCCCATTGATCCATATTTATCCCATGCAACTTCACCGGCACCTGAAGTGACATGTACTATGTGCTTTGTTGGGGGCTAATTTGGGAGACGTCGAAAATTCGAACCTGTATTATCAACCACAATCGTGTTCTTTACTAATCAGTACAACTGGTTGGTGGTATAGCTACCCCTCTGAAAAATATGACTTCGTCAGTTGGGATGATGAAATTCCCAACTGAATGGAAAGTCATAAAAGCCATGTTCCAGTCACCACCAACCAGCTATGGCTTTTTATACCTCCCTTTTTGTGGGGTAAAAATCTCAATTTCCTGTGACCTGATCGTTGTTTGGGCGTGGCTGCTTAGCTAGATAGGGGATAAACCATTGGGTATAGCTTGAAGATACTCAATGGTCACCCAGTGCTATACCCAATGGTTTATCATAGTTTATAACAGTTTATAAACAAAAACACGGATAAACTATGATAAACCCTTGGGTATAGCATGGGTATAGCTTGGATTAGCTTGGCCCAACTGGGACCTTGCAGGAAAATCTTGGAACCGATTTTATTTAGATCATCAGTTTGTCATGGGTTTTTCACTCCATCAAGTCAATGGACCAGCTTGGCATCGTTTTTTCTTGGTGATTCGTTGATCCCCTGCGAACAAAAAAACACAACTCTTAGTGGATTGTGCAGTAAAATATGCATTAACCCCAAAAGCACTAACACTCTAAGAATCTATCGCTGCTCAGTCTTGGTATCCCAATCCCCTGCCGTGCTTGGCGTGCCCGGAAGAAAGCCGTTCCTCCAGAAGTGCCCCTGGTGTCCTTTCTCCAAGGATCTACAACCATCGAAACACTGTAGAAACCGATCAAATGCCCTCGAGCACTTTAGTATGGTATAGATGGCCCATGTTTAAAGATAGATCATTTGCTTTAGTGGAAGAAAAACATCATGTTGCATCGCAAACTCTAGCAAATTACCAGACCGTTGGATTTGAAGTGTATCGGGCTGTTCTTACCAGGAGATGTTCGGTCCATAGGGCAGATCAAACGTCATTAAAAAACGATAAACGTACATCCTATGTGAGTCATTCTGTTCTGCAAATGAGGGATGTTCAGCCCGGTTGAAGGCGGGTTTTGGTTCAGCCTCACCAGGCCAACCCAACAGTCATGGCCTGCACTGAGCGATGTCTGCACCAGGACAAGAGCAAGACGACCTCAAAATCGACAGTTTTTGGGTGTTCTCCACAGATCACTTCAGGGATCGGAAAAATTTTTGCGAGGGTTCACTTCAAGGCTACTCCGTTCCATGCCCAATTTTTGATGCCAAACAAAGGTTTGGGTGGTGAAGATATATCCCCAGTTCCAGCAGTCAAAAAAGTCCTGAACTCGTCCAAGATGTACTAGCTGTGTGAGATAACCTTGAACAAAAACTGTTTAGTAATATGATGTAATATGTATGTATATATATATTATCCCATATTATCCCTATCTATTCCAAGAGATTGTTTGGAATCAAAGTATCTATCCAGTTGGTTTTCAGCTTTGGACGAGAAAGGGGTGCATTTCTTAAGTGAATTGTTTTGGAGAAAATCGATCTTCGTGTTGGCATAGATCCTCGAATTGCTTGTCAAACTTGGTATTTTTTCATTGGGTTGTTGTTCATGCCGCATCTCATTCTACCCCCACTTTAGCTGACTAAAATGCCAATGTTTTGCTGCAATTCGAGTGATTGCACTTGCATATTTGTTACCAGGTTCTAGCTTCATGTTTGCTGAAGAATCCACATAAGTCATCCTAGATCCTATATTAATCCAAGAAAACACCCCATTACAAATCCACATAACTCCAATATAACTCCATACAAAACCTGTGCCGTTGTAGATGGTATATTTTCATGTCAAGTACAGTCACATCATATTCCCATTATATGTCCCATTCATATCCAATGAAATCCCATTTAAGTCCCATACAAATCCCATTAAATCCTACAAAGAAATCCCATACAAAATCCTATTATATAAGTCCCATAAAATCCCATAGAAATCCCCCTAAGTCCTTTCTAAAAATCCTTTAAAAAATCCCATTTAAGTCCCAAAAAAAATCCCATAAAAAGATCCATTGAGTCCATCGTGTCCTGTTTCAATCCCCCAGTTTTTTTTCCGAAACCAAGGAACCGCGATGCCCAGGGCGGCTAAAACCTGGAGGAAAACGATGGACGAATCGTCACTTGGGATTTTTTGACATGTCCAAATATATATGGAAAGTCCTAATCCATTCATGGAAACCAAACCACCAAGCAAATATGAGTTCGTCACTTGGGATTATTATTCCAAATATATGGAGAGTCATAATCCATTCATGTTCCAAACCAACCAATTATGGTGTCTATATATATATTCCAATTATATATTAGGCAGTTGCATAACCTATATATAGAAAATAGTTGTGTCGGCATAGTGATCCAACTAATGATGATCAACTGGTGCGAGTCAGTCACTTGGGATTTATGTCGTCAAAACATAGGGATTTTCCGTGGGGTGTTCATGGGACTTAATGGATGGACTTAATGGGACTTAATGGGAGAAAACAAGAGTGGGATGTAACGTGGTAAACCCAATCATAAACTATCACCTTTATTAAGGTTCATTATTGGGACCCCTGTCTGGGATGGTGTTTGTAGGATTTTGTAGGATTCTACTTGCTGTCTATTTTTTGTTGGCGGGTGCTACATTGCTACATGTTGTTCCACATGAATCTGGGATAATCTGGGTATAGCGAGTATAGCTGAATAAATTTCGGATATCACCAATAAGGGGCGGTTCAACCAACAATGACTGGTGATTTGTCATGACCCAATGGTTGACCCTACAAACTCACCTAGTTATACAAAAAAATCAAGAGGGTTGAATAGGTCCCAATTCAAGCTATAGTGAAACAAACAAGCTAGGGAACAAAAAAAGAACAATAATGAAGAATAGAGTCAACTATACATCCCCAGCTAGGTGAAGTTCTGAAGGTCCTCAACCTCCTAATAAAACGAACCAAGATGGAAAATCCAGCAATTTTCGAATACCCTCCGGTCATTTAATACAGCTATTGAAGCCATGGCCGCTAGAAATAGTTGATTTACCGAAATTAAAGATGGTGATGTTCCAGTTCGCAAACTGTCAACGTCTACCAGAGGGTACGGTACATCCTTTCCGAGCCTTTATAGCAGGACTTCTTATTACAGGATTACCATCTGGTTATTTAACATAGCCATGGAAAATCACCATTTTTAATAGGTAAACCCAGGTAAACCATCTATAAATGGGCCATTTTCCATGGCTATGTTAAATAACCATAGGGTATATTCCAATAGAAAAACACGACTTTCCCACCCGTGGTTTTCAGCCATTCCCACCAGCTGCTGCTCCTGAGGCTCCTTGAGCAATGACCAAATCATGTGCTCCACTTCCACCACCACCGGTGGAATCTCTTCCGGAGCTTCCAAGGGCTCCTGACAACGGACTGAGCACCGAAAAGCCTTTTTTTTTTAGGAGTTAGTGGGACTTAAGGGGACTCAATGGGATTTAATGCTTCTTCATGGGATTTAATGGGATTTATAACCAACTGAATATGATGTGGGTGCGTCTGAAAATGGGGTATAACCCCCATTTTAGGCTTTTTGGTACTCGGGAAAATGATGATTAATCGGTGGATTTTGGAATACCTTATTTGCCATAGAGATTCGAAAAAAAAAAACTATCAAACAGCCTCACAATTCATGAAAGAATAACTGATCTTTGTCATTCTGTTCTAGCGGCATGTTCTCATGAATTGTCATTATACACGGTAATGGTTTTATCGCCAATTACCATTTGAAACATGATTTATAATATACATTATGAATTACCATCTGGTTATTTAACATAGCCATGGAAAATCCCTTATCAATGGAGGTTTTAATGGGAAAATCATCTATAAATGGGCCATTTCCCATGGCTATGTCAAATAACCAGAGGGTACTTGAGAATTCATGATCAATCGTGATTTCTGATCCATATCTATCTTTACAGTGGTCTGGAGATAACTTGACCTGCACCTTCGTATAGAATTTTGCCCATTGCTGTCGGTGAAACCATGATTGATTATGCTGAAACATCCGACCATGTTGGTGAAATCCACATGTGTCTGATGTAATCCACACCATTGGAACTAGCTAGATCATGTCACATTGGCCCTTCAACAGTATCATTGTTGAACCTCTACCTTTTTTGTCGATTCTCAACTAGTGACTTCGGAACTGCAGTCAAAATTCGATCATAAGTGGAAAAAACCGCTTAGGGCAGCATGCTAGCTATATTCAACAGCTAGCCACGCTTCTGCTTCTGTGATCTGAGAGCTTGCTGGCAAAGGCTGGGAAAACCCCATTGGGCATCTTCTCCAGAGCTTCTTTTTCCAGACTCGCAAGTTTCTTCATCAATGAGCGCTGAAGCTTCGATGGTCGTCCAAGTAGACTAGGCTCAAATGGGCTTGTCCCATGGTTTTGCAGGACAATTTCCCCAGTGTTTGGTCACTCCCATATCAGGCTGTTGGTTACGCTGGCTATATATTTCCAGATATCTCTACTATGTTCCATTAAGATGCATCAAATGTTTCAGCAATATGTGGGAAAAAAACAACGATTTGGATATTCCATTGATAGTCCCATCTCCCACTACCCCCTGGTAAACGGTTATATAATTATGGAAACTCACCATGTTGAAAAGGTCAATCATATATATATATATGCATATGATTATATAATTATATAATTATATCAGTATATATGGCCATTTTAAATAGATATATTAAACTACCAGATGATTTTTTTTGGCCATATATAGCCTCCATAAAAATCCATGGTTCAACTCCCTATGGCTTGAGACCGTGTCGCCTTGGGCTTCTTCCGAAAGGCCTGGGACAAACCCTGTGGCCAGTTGCGGATCAATCCATAAAAAGAACCAACAGGTGTCTTGGAGCATTGGTGTTGCAACAAACCTTTTTGGTGATCATAACATGATCTACCCTCTGGTAAACTAACATAGCTATTGAAAATGGCCATTTATAGTGAGTTTTCCCATGAAAAATTGTGATTTTCTATAGCTATGTTAAATTACCAGATGGTATCCTCCACTATATACACTACATTACATCCTAAGAAATGGCTGGTCTTGATCCCCATTGTATATAGTATATACCCTCTGGTAAACGTTTACATAACTATAGGAAAATCACCATTTTTTTTAATGGGAAAATCGCTAGGTTAGTCATTACCAGAGGGTAGATCCTCCAAATACCCTCGCAGGCGAGGGTGTAAATCGACCCCCGAAACCTCAGAAGGTGTCTCGAGGCATACCCAATGAGTCAGTGCGACAAGTACTACAGTCCTGTACGGTATTTACCCTCTGGTAAACGTTTACATAACTATGGAAAATCACCATTTTAATGGGTAAAGTAAATCAGCTATAAATGGCCATGTTCAATAGTCATGTTAAATTACCAGAGGGTATGGCCAAACAAAAGTGCTATTGATCTACAAGATAGCCCCCATATACGGTATCATTTGGTATGTTTTTGCCCATCCAACTATAGACAGATCCACTGTAAATCCAATAATACGTTAGTTCTTTACAAGACTAAAAACCTCCTTTGGTAATGACTAACATAGCCAATCACCATTTATTAAAAGGTAAACCATCTATTTCTATGGGCCATTTTCCAGTTCGCTATGTTAGTCATTACCATTTGGGGTATACATCTACACTTTGGGTGCCCCTTTTCGTGCCCACCAGATCAGCAATCCATTGAAGCCCCAGAAAATGGATCCCTTCATCCTTTGGCATCCCCACAAAGTTCGTAGCCTCAGCGTGGGATTCAGCCAACCAAAAGGGCATGGATGTGTAACTCTAACTTTCTGGCAGGAAACGTCTAATATAGTGGAAACAAAAAGGGATGCGTAATATTTTTAGAGACCAAGTCTTCAGTGGAATAATTCTCTAGTCTGGATATGCAATGATATAATGATATACGATACATTCAATAATCACCAAGCTGATTTTTTCAACTGTGTGTCATGGGTGTGGGTCAAAGCAAACCCCTTGAGATGAGACGAGATAGCTTTAGCGAGACCCAGGCTGGGGTATCCCCGAAAAGCAACTGGGCAACTCACCAATAATCTAATAATCATCAATAATATGGTGACTGATCACTTACTAACATTTACTAACTAGAGTTTGTTATCATGGGAAAAAAATCCTGCAGAACTCTCTTGGTTGTGTACTTTGTGTAAATGAAAAAACTCTGCTGTTGTAGCTTCAGATCCCCATGTTTGAGGGTCTACTTGCCAGTTCACATTCCTATCATGAACATCCCCAGCCATTCCGATCTTGAAGTTCCAATCCGATCCATTTGAGCAATGAAAAATACCCCTAATACCTCTATCCCATCCCATTGAAAATTCATCGGTTATCCCGGTATCCCCATTATGAATAATCATAAGTCTGACATACTCTGACTAAATGACGTAGTATAGGCCCTTTTTTTAATAACTCATCAACATGGTATGTTGAATTGCGCATCTGGCTGGACAAAATGCATGCTCATCCCCCCATTTGGATGATCTTTTGAGGACTCTTGATGTTTGGCACAAAGAAATCAGGGTTGTAGCCCCTGGTTAAAAAACCTAGCTGGGAAGAAAACAAGTTTTATGTTTGATTCGTTGAAAAATTTGGTTGTGGATCACTTGGAAAACAACCGGCAAATGGATGCTAATCACACCCAAAAGGTTGGTGGTATACCTACCCCTCTGAAAAATATAAGTTCGTCAATTGGGATGATGACATTCCCAATATATGGAAAAAATATCCAAATGTTCCAAACCACCAACCAGAACAGGTTGGTAAACATGGTATCTTCGCGTTTTGAACCATCCAATACCATCCCCAAAAGGGAAACGTTCCGCCTCAATGACTCCAAGTGGCACTGACGAACAGACAGGAGGCACCACAGAGCCTGAAGATGGCAGTAACCACTGTCCGACAGTCCGTTGTCATGGCTATGGGGCTCATCATAAACCCCGGTTGATCTATGTGTAAAAAAAAACAGCCTATCCAGGGGGCTTCCCAACAATAATATTTGCAGCCAAACATATGGAGATCTCGGATTTGAAAGTGGGAACATCGGTAATCAAAACAATCGACCTTTCAAAGCCTGAAAAAGATCCGACAGATTTCAGGTTCTGAAGCTTTCTTCAACAACACATGTGTAAATGCATCAAAACGGTACCCCAAAATTGCAATTTAATGGGGAATACCACGAAATTTCGATTCCAAGTTGAGACAACCCCAGATGGATCCAGATCGGGGCTTCCCTAAAATGGAGAACCCCCAGAGCATCCAACATGTGGACAATTTTGGTAGGTAAACCAAGGGTGTTGGGGTATCCCAAGTTGGAGAAACAAGTCAACCCAGAATGTTTGTTGCACATGTTTGTTGGGGCTTCACATTGAAGCACTCTACCCCAACATTTGCACGGTTCAACCATCTTCAAACCAACCATCCACGCGAAGGGCTTCAGAGTTTCTTCACATCCAAGCGGCCATACGCCCCACCGACGTCGATGCCGCAAGCGCCCTGAGGCAGTGCGGGGACAAAATCCAAAACCAATCTGAAAAATGGATTGGTTGAAGGAACAAATAATGAATACAAAACGATAGAAAACAAAATGGTTTGTTCACATCACGTTTACGAAAACTAATGTGTAATATAATCCTACTGTGGATGGAAGAAATCCTACACCAGTTGATAGGTGGTTTATCCCATTATTTATAGGGTTTCAACCATCCAAGGTGGTGCAGGATTTCTTCCATCAACAGTAATGTTTCCCTTCAAGCAATTAGCGCGGTCCAACGGGAACCCCTGCGTCTGAAAGGCTCGAGCCGCTCGACATGTGCTGCATGGATGTTAAGATTTCTATACGTTTCTATACCTGGTTGGTGGTATACCTACCCCTCTGAAAATCATGAAACTCAGTTGGGATGATTATTCCCAATATATGGAAAAAAAAATGTTCCAAACCACCAACCAGTATACCCTCTGGTAAACACATGGCAATGGAAGACGAACAAGTTTTTACATATACGAGTAGATATATAAACATAAAACAACATCTTTGCCTCATTAGGTACTGATAGTATTTGAATCGCATCATCTTGAATCATTCATCGATTTAGAGCATTTACAAATGCTTGTTAGAAACATCGATAAAGCCGTGGCAAGCAGTTTATGCCAATTTTCCCCTCATCAAGCCTTGATTTTTGAGAAAGCACCTCAGTGGTCAGCATAATTTTTGGGAAATGGCTATGGGTCCAAACCCAGGCACTCTATGTATCCTAAAATAGGTTACCCTCTGGTGAACATACAAAAAGTTATTGAAAATGGCCAGAGAAATAGTGGATTTTCCCATAAAAAAATGGTGATTTTCCATTGCTATGTTAGTTCACCAGAGGGTATATAATGGATGGTTCTTCCCTCAAACATGATAGTCCTATAGAGTAATATCTACGACTTGGATATTCTAACTGGTTGGTGGTTGAGCCCTACCCATCTGAAAAATATGAGTTCGCCAGTTGGGATGATTCTTCCCAATAGATTGGAAAAAAAATGTTCCAAACCACCAACCAGCTAAGTTTTGTTGCCCATACTGTATGAGTATCTTGGGGATCAACTTCTGGATGAGTTTGTCATGCCAACATCTTCCGAGCTTAAATACGAGTATTATAGAAAAGCGATGTATCACATAATCGTTGGGATTTTACTATTCTATCTTTTTGTATGTTATATAACATATGTTACACAGCATCAAGTGCTACCTATTTATCGTTTAGATTGCGAATTGTGGAGCCCAGCCCAGTGTCCGGTGCCTTGAAACTCCATGATGCGCAGCACAAGCAGCGGATAGAGAAATCACCAAAACGATCACTTGGGAAATGATGATAAAATATGATAAATAATGTGGGTTTGTCTGAAGATAGGGTATATGGCCCAGTAACTCAGTACCTTCAAATCAATGAAAGTAAATCACGTACGTTTCCCTGACGTCCATATGCATAGCTCCTTGGCTTTCCATATGATAGAAACATGTCTGGTTGGTGGTATACCTACCCCTCTGAAAAATATGAGTTCGTCAGTTGGGATGATAAAAATCCCAATATTAATGGAAAGTCACAATCCATTCGTGTTCCAAACCACCAACCAGATGTAGATGTATAGACCTGCAAAGTCTTTAACACCAGCTTCATTCTCACCACCGGAGTTGTCAAATTTGTCAAGGCTCCGAAATGGTCCGAAGAGCCAAACCCCCCAAAATGTAGGAAAATGTGGTCCGAAGATGTGGTATTTGGTGTGCTGTTGATGAATTGGATGTTTTGGAAATGGTGTGTTTATGGTGTGTTTATGGTGTGTTTCCTGGAAATCTATGGACATCTCACAATCTCAATCCTCTTTTTACATTCCCAACTGAATGGAAAAGTCATAAAATTCCATGGTTCCAGTCACCACCAACCAGTCTACTTTGGATGTTCTGTTTGATGACAAATTGCTGTTGTCTCAACCGCCCAAATGCTGTGTGTCCAAGTTCTGTCATCCCAAATCTGTCCTGGGGTGTCTTGGGCTCCGCAATCAGCTTGAGTTGCTGTGAAAAAACTGCAGTGACCGCTTGGGTGTTGCCGGGTGAAAACATGGTGAAAACTACAGTTGGATGGTCAAGCTACTACTGGAATGATTACCGCTTCATCCATCCCATCACGGATGAAATCCCTATGATCACTGGGTTGGTTTTCACGGGAAAATTTACACCGGAACCCCCCATATTTAATGGTAAAAACCATGGTTTCCGGTTAAGATTTTCCCAAGAACACCAACCCAAATCCCAACGGGAAATCCTGAGATGTCATGGCTACTCCTTGACTTGATGGGATGACCATCCCCTCAGGATGACCTGCGGTGACTGCTTGGTGGTGCCACCAAAGCATCTTGAAAAATGATGGAGTTCGTCAATGGGGTTTGGATGACATCCCATATAATTAAATATATGACAATGGGTTTTGGATTATATATCCCATATAATTATTATGGAAAATAAAACATGTATAAAAATGTTTGAAACCACCAACCAGAATGCCAAAGTCATAAACCTTGCAACAGCCAGCCTGTGAAAACTGTGGCACCCCGGCGATTGGCACAGCCCTTTCCAGGTGCCAGATTTTCGACGGTCAGGGGTTCCCCATCCCAGAGCTACGGCACAGGGACTGCATGAAAGGGTCAGTCAGGGCAGATTCTGGTCGATTCCCGGTGCCAGGTCTGACCGCTTCTTCTATTGAATTATATTCAACTGTAGCGTTCTCCAGATCAATGAAACACTTTTTCAGCAGTCACGGTACCCTTTTGGTGGTCTGAAATTGTGAAAGCAGAAAAAACGGTGAGTGGAAACCTTCAAATAGACATTTGCCACTATGGCTATGGTAATCCTACTGATAATATCTGATAATATCTGATAATTCCAGATATGGGTTCATATACCCCATACTCACCAATCAATAGGCTCACATGGGATAAACCTATATGACCTTTGTGTTTCCAGGACATGTCTATCACCGCTGCTGACCAGGCTGACCCCTTCACACCCTGTGTCCCTCCGACACCATGGTGTGTTTCGCACGTTCCGAGACTTGTTTTGCAGGTCCCCAAGGGAAACGATGGTTGAATGGGCAACGTTACCAGAAAAAAAATGAAATCCATGGTACATTGCATGTCAATAATACGATTGATCCAAAACTCATATGGTGACCCGGTACCAACGGAAGCATTGAGTCAGCTGACGCTTCGACGGTTCTCAGTATAACACACCGTCCACCTTTGGGGGTCAAGAACTTTGAGCTGTCCTGGGGTCGTGTGAAATACCCCCAAGAGATTGGATTTAACTCTCTATATCTATCTGATTTATTCATGTTTAGGTATTCCCCACAGATTCTAAGCGCTTTAATGGCGCTTTAAGATACTTTAAGATACTTTAAGTATTTCCCGAGAAAATCCGAAAACCTTGATGCAATGGCACGTGACACACCATCAGCGTTTCCGGCTTTTCGCAAAAAGCCGCTTGACCACCGCCCGCTGCGAGATTTCCCGCAGATTTGACATGAACGAGGCTCGAAGTTGAATTTCATGTTGATCAAAAGCCGTGGAAAATAGTTGGTATAGTACTTGATAATACTTGATAAATCAAAAACCCATGTTACCCTGTTTAACAGAAAAATAGCTGGGATCGATGCCGATGTTCATCCCCTTTTTGAATCTTTTTGACACATCCATACATCCCAAAATAAGACATTGATGATTCCAAGACATCTGGTTGGTGGTTTCAACCATCTTGAAAATATGAGTTCGTCAGATTGGATCATCATCCCAAGTGTTGGGGAAAAAAATCTTCCAAACCACCAACCAGTTGTTGTTCACTACCCAGGCGGACCCAACAAGTTAGCTGCCAAAGTCCTGGCGCAAGAAATCCCCCCGGAGTTGGAACCCCCCGACGGAAGGCCGTTGTTGGCAAAGGACTTGCCTACTTTTCCAGAAACATAATTGCATTTCTGGTTGGTGGTTGAGCCCTACCCCTCTGAAAAATGATGGAGTTCGTCAGTTGGGATCATTATTCCCCATAGATGGAAAAATAAAAAATGTTCCAAACCACCAACCAGGGGCATTAAGTGGAAGATTCGAATAGTTGTTGGCTGCGGACTAGATGTTGGCCATCCATGGCTTCCCTGATGTGCCTCATCCCAATCATAGTCGAACCTCCTGCTACCTTGATTTCGAGTGCATGTTCAGCATCTTTGCTTTTATTCATGTTATTCCATGTTATTCCCCCAAATAAAAAATCACATGTGATCATATGACCTGAAGATGGCAGGATACATCTGCCCTTTAAATGAGTTGGACCTATAGACCAAACAGGATCCTAATGGAATGTTGCGCTTGGATTTGCCATAACCTCAATGAAACAAAATTAACCTTCCCTAATCTATTCCCTATCGATTCCCCAAATGGTAGGTTAACCGGTTAACCAATGGAAAATCATGAGCAGTCGAGGAAAACCACCATTTTTGGTACTATCCAGTGGATTCTCAGGCCAAACCACCTTTCAACACGTGTTGCTTTTCACTGAAAAAAGGCCTGTGCGTCGGAGCTGATCTTGAACTGCAGAACTGGAAAACCACCAGAGTCTGCAAAGCCCCAAGTAACCACTGATCCGTCGGCCAAGACGGCTGCAAATGCGGCATATGTAGACACAACATACTGCACGTTCTGGAGCTGATCTTGAACAGCGGAGCTGTCACCGCCATGCCCCAGGTCACAACAGATCCATCGGCTAAGAAAACGCAGCAAACGCAGCCTCTGTGGCCTGAACTTTCCGCACATATGTCTGCGCTGATCTTGGACTGCAGAGCTATCGCCACCAGGATAGCTGGATTGCCCCAGCAACTCACTGATCCAGCTCCCGAGATGGCAAATGCCAAAGAGGTGTGGCTTGAATTTGCTGCACGTTCTGGAGCTGATGTTGAACAGCGGAGCTGTCACCACCATAGTATTCACTGCCCCAGGCAACGATTGAACCATTAGCCAAGATAGCGGCAAATGCCAACTGTGTGAATTGTTGCACGTTCCTGAGCTGATCTTGTACAATCCCCGCCAGAGTTTTGCTTTCCCCAGGTCACCATCCCATCTGCACAGCACCACATTGCGAAGGCATTGGTTGTGCTCCTTGAACTTTAGCTGGTTGTGCAACGGTTAGATGATCTCCATCCTGGGATCCTGAATCCCAGCAATCTGCAAAGAGTCCATTGGGACTTCTGGGCCATCTTCAAGTCCCCAACTGTCGAGTCTTGAAGCGACTCGCTGTCTTACTGCCACTCGGAAACGACACAGTCACTTGAAGCATTGTTGAATAAAGCTTCTTCCACTGAAACCATCTACATCTTGAGGATTTTGAGCCATTTCAGCCGGTTTGCAATCCATCAAATCAGTCTGATTGGGCAACCAAACTAGTCTAGGCTTCAGTCCAAGCAGTCCAAGCACAATGAAAGAAGGACCAGTTGAAAAAGTCATCAAAACAGGACGCTGGAAAAACCTCTGCACTTGGCCTTCCTCTTTGCAACCTATGCCCGATGGTCCTGATATCTTTTAGTTCCGGTTTCAGTGTTGTGAAATACCTCTGAGAAAATATGATATGATGCGAGTTCGACACTTGTCTTTCATAGTCATACCTGACAAAACTGTCACACGTCTTAAAGCAATAGAATTCCCTCTGTCTTCCCATATTCTTCATATCTGGTATACTCCCCCAAATTTGGATTCTTTTCAGGATGTTCAAGGTACATGTTGGTTCTGGGCCCTACAATCCTATGGTTTATCATTGATCATTGACCAGCATGTTCCTGATCAAAATTGCCAAGAGTGGGTTACCGATTGCCACAGTTTCAGATATGGCTTCGGAAAATTGCCCAAAAAGTGCCAGCTGTTCCCACTTCCCAATATTACCATCTGGTTATGACTAACATAGCCATGGAAAATATCCATGCTATTTAGTTTGGTAAACCATCTATTTCATCTATTTCGATTAGGGCCAGCTATACCATGGCTATGTTAGTCATAACCAGAGGGTAGATTTCCATAGATTTACCAGCTTGCCATGGCTGGAGGACACCGGAACCCGCCTCGATTCGCACCTCACGAGGATTTTGAAGATTGACCTGATACGGGATCTTGGGGGGGTGAAAAAGAAGCGCAAAAACATGGGTCAATGTGGATCATGGGGTCAAATATATGATGTAAAATTATCCTAATCACAATATATGATTGCTAACAATAATGTCCTTTTGGTAAAAATAGGTTGGGGCCGGTGACTGGTTAATCCCATCTATCATCATAGAAACCTGTTGTTATTTCGGGGTTTCTTCAAACCCCTCTTTTTTCATCAACCAACCAATGGGCAAAGGACATCTATGGATCATGGTGTAGCTGAACTGCTGGTTATTGGATGGAAAGATGCTATGTAGTTGTCAGGTAATCCTGTGGTACCCTTCGGCAAAAAAACTGGGACAAAAGGGACTGGAACTGGATGACCGCCCAAGTATGCTATAGTTTCCGATCCCTCTTCAAATGCACGCTTTTTGTGGACCAAGATGAAAGATTTGCTTTATAAAACCCTGAAAAACACCATGAACTATACCTAGAAATACCTAGAACACCAACTCCATGAACTCTGGGTCAATGCTTAATATGCTTATGAAAGAACTGCACCCCGAAGTACTGGTCAGAAACAGGAAGCACTGGATCAACATTTGGAACTATTGTGTTCCAAGCCTTGTCGCCCCAGGAATATGATGGCGGCCAATTCCTGTATCCTGCTCCCTCGAGACGAACAAATGACAGTAGCCAAATAACATGTCAACAAACTACACTGGTTGGTGGGTTCAACCCCCCTGAAAAATATGGAAGTCACATTGGATCATCCCAACTATTGGGGAATCACCATTTTTAATAGGTAAACCATCTATAAATGGGCCATTTCCCGTGGCTATGTTAGTCATAACCAGAGGGTATCTTCAGCATGTTCAGCACAGCTGTGTAAAAATCGAACCACGATCTGCTGGCACAAGGGTGATTTTTCAGATGGAAACGCTGGCACTTCCTGCTGGCCAGCTGAATAAAAATACCTGGTTGTTTCTTAGAAAATCTTTGTTTCTATACCCCGAGTACTGCTTATCTTTTCATGGCCCCCGATGATTGGATGACCGATTGGGATGATTGGATCCCATCATCCCAGCCTCGTTTTTTCAATTCGTAAGCCAACATTTGGAAGATTATCATTATCATAGTAAGTCAATCTTCCAACATTGCTGGTTGGTGGTTTCAACCCCTCTGAAAAATATTAGTCAATTGGGATGATTATTCCCAATATATGGAAAAATAAAAAATGTTCCAAACCACCAACCAGATTGGTCTTCCAATAGTAATCCAAATAGTAATCCAATAGTATTAATGTTGGAAGATTGGAAGTAGTATTGACCAAATAGTCTTCCAATCTTCCAACATTCATAGTCTCCCACTAGTTTTGACTTTTGACTATTAATTATCATAGTCTTCCAACATTATTGTTCTACCATGAACCCAAATATAGTAATTCACTATTCCATCATCTTCCAATGGTTCATCGGAAAATTCTGCCCCAAATTCCCAGTTGCTAAGCGGTGCATTACCCGTATAACTCATGATGTATCTGACCCAAAAAAGCACGTACTTTCCCACAAAAAAAAGGAACTAGTGTGGATGCCAAATTAGAAGAACATATTTATATTAGTATTGCTATTCCGATTACCCATACTCTTAATGCATATTTCCCCATAAAAAAAGGAACTAGGGTGGATCCCAAATTGGAACCATATGTACATACTATTCTGTACATATTTTCACATATAAAGGAATCATCAGTTATATCCAATCTTTCTAACTAATTGATCCCATAGACTGCATAGATATCATTCATCGAACTGGGTAAGAAAACAGATTGGAGAATTTGGGTCATATAACAAGTAGATACAAGTAGTGGATCCGCATATTAATATAAGATATCTAGCATTATTTACCCTAAGATAGTTAATCAGCATTGCAATGTTATCCTAACCTAATACAATATGTTGATATGTCGTCTAACATTATGTAACATTAATATGATAATATGATATAATATGGGTAAAACAATGTCATGTTTACCATCCCCCAGTCACCATTTTTATAGATTATTATCACCATTCCCAGTCATGGGTGTAGCATCGAGCGGCGAGAACCACTGCATGATGCTTCGCAAAGGCTGGGACACAAATGCACCTAGGTGGCGTCAACCGACCGACGTGCAACGGGTGTTTTTCAAAAAAAGGCTCGATCCAGAGAATTTAGGGTTTTTGCGATATTTATGGGTGACCTATGTGGATGTACAGTTTGTTTGCTTCTTTGTTTGCTGCTTGTTTTGATTTGATTTGCATTTTTTTTCGTGGGGATAATAATGCGATTTCTGACAAGCAACATGATATGAATGGGATTGTCTGAATGGAATACCCGCGAATTGCTACAGTATGGGTCCAGCTCACAAATATCACAAATAGTGGTGGATTTTGCGTGTATGTTCATGTATATTGATCCATCTCCATGACAATCTCAGGGTTACGCACTAGTTTTAGGTTCATGCGTGGGAGTTTATGATTCAGGGATTACCCAGATCAGGTCTTTTGCCTCGGTCAGGCGGGTTGGCTCAACAAAAAACAATCCCAAAAAGCATCCGTTGTTTTTGATGGGGATGGTCCATGATCCATGTGGTTTCATCGAATAAACATGGCTGGTAAAAACCATAATTACATATAATTACCAAAAATAGGGGTTCATTCTGTTGATTGTTCATTCAAGTTTTCCCGGTAATCCTTGACCAACAGCGGATTTGAACAGTATACAAACACATGTTAAAAGGATCAAGATGAGAATCTGATAGGCAATGTAGTGATTCTTTGATCCGCATGGCAAAGGGAACCATATATATATATAATGCATATTTGTATAATATATATATCTACTTGCTAAAATAGTGATAAATGACCTTCTATCTTTTTGAGGGTTACTCAAAAAAACTCAAGATCAAGTGCTGAGTCTTGGGCTGTGTTCCTCTTTGCTCACCAGCATCACACCACTTCGTTTCCTCGGCGGTACCCAGATGTAAGTTGGTTGACGTGATCATCTGAAATGCTACTGATAAATCCCATAAAGAATAAGTTTATATATATAAAATGGGGGACCCCAAGACCATGGGCGTTAACACTATTTTGCAGTTGAATTTTGGATGATTTGGGCTTATCAAAATTTTGAGGAACACCCATCTAGCAAGACGTAGCAAGAAAATATCCCTGGCCAAAACTAACATTGATCTGGGTAATTTATACTATTTCACTAACCTGAATTAAGGCCATTTGGGGATGATTTCCCTTATTAACAATGATTCCAGGCTTCGGTCGCAGTGAGGTCGTTATAATTTGCCCAGATTGATGGTTTACCATCATTAACTGGAGATTTCCCAATTTTAGGATTATGTTTCAATTCAAGACAGTCATTTTCCAGCCGGCCATCTCTGTCTAGGTTAACGATATCTCTGCCCAAATGCTCCACGTTGCTGCTTATATACCCAAACAATCAATGGTCATTTCAGAAACCTAAAATGGAGGTACTGTACCATACAAGGCCATATTTTGTGGTGATATTCACTTACATAGGCCTAAAAAACAGGCCTTATATATGGTAAGTACCTCCATTTTAGGATCCTGAAATATACCCAAACAATGGAGCAGTCATGTAGGTATAGGATACATGGCGCCCCAATGGGCGAGTCACATCAACCCAGCAATGTCCAGCTGCGAAATGGGTCAGGAAATTCAAAGTGGGACGTTGATAATTTGTGAGGAACTCATCGAATCTACAAATGGATATCATTGGATGTCTAAATGTGGTTGATTTTCTATTGCCAAGTTAAGTTGCCAACGGTTTCCTTAGCCCAAGAATTATTCTTCGTACCTACCAATCTATCACGTGGTTGATAATTACTTAATTAGTGGTGGGCATCATGATAGTAAAAAATAAATACACCAACAACAAACTGGACTACAACATTGATTCTCTGAAACTCTAGCTCCTTCTCTCCCTGTTAGAATAGGGAATATAAGGATACAATAGCTCTTAAGCGCTCCCTCCATTCACCACTGGATAGTACAGTAACAATGAGACAAAACATGTTTCCAACCAACTTGTCGCTAGGAAAAAACCACAACTGTTGCTATTTCCCTATGACAATCGATCGTCCAATTCTCCCGAAACCTGGTTCTCTCCACACAAAAAACGGTGCTGTCCTGTGTCTGGGTCGTTGAAAAAAAGCATCGTCTTTGGCAAGTTCTACCACAATGAAAATCAGTGTATTGGATCGATAAGCTACAGCACTTGTTCATCCAAAAGACTCCAGGGATGTTTGATCGGAAGAAGTGTCATTTTCACTATAGGACATGTTCCATTTCAGCACGTTTTTTGCCTGAAAATGCCTAAAAAATCCTAAATCTGAGTTGGCATGGCCAAACACACCATGGGATGATACCAACCAGTTTTCTGTCAATCCTTCAACGATTTTACTCAGTTGCTGTGGGGTTGAAATGATCACTTTGCCAAAGGATCCAATAACTTATGGATGATAACTTCTGGTCCCCGATGATGATTGTTTTCCCACTTCTTATCCAAGTTGCTGATGTATGTGTTTAAAGTCATCCAAGTGATGTTACGATCTGACACTGTACTTCCACATCATATATCTGGCGTCAAAGTCGTCCAAGTCCCCTTGCAGAAAAAACACCAAAATAGCTGGGATCGAGGCCGTTCTTCATCCGATCAACATATCCCAACTATTTGTTTAACAATACCCGGCCTGGTAAACGTTTACATAGCGAACTGGAAAATCATCATGCTATTAATGGGTAAATCAACTATAAATGTTAAATTACCAGTGGGTATATTCCATTGTATCCCCAATTGTGTCCCATTACATCCCATTAAGGTTTGCCTGGTGCGTTGTTGTCATTTGCGCTACCTGCTGCCGACGGGTACTGTAGCGCATCTGGGGGCCTTTAATAGAGCACATCCAGACGTTTTGAAGCCACTTTTGGGGTCATGAATCAGGATAAATTACCCTCTGGTTATTTAACATAGCCATGGCAAATGGCCCATTTATAGATGGTTTACCTATTAAAAATTGTGATTTTCCATGGCTATGTTAAATAACCAGATGGTATTTAGTTTTGACTCATCCCCTATGTCCTTATGTGTGTCCCGTTGCATCCGTATTAATGTACCATATGGTCTTATTTATTGTCCCACTCTCTCCGGGTATATCCCCATTGTATCCCCATTGATGGTTAATTCCCTGTAATTTCCCATCTTAATTCTAGTTCTTCCCTATAGCTATTATCTAAATTATCCAGCCAATTATGTAGATACAATAGATAATGATACAAGTATAGTACAACTATTACCATCTGGTTATTTAACATAGCCATGGTATAGCTGGCCCATTTATAGATGGTTTACCCATTAAAACTGGTTATTTTCAATGGCTATATTAAATAACCAGAGGGTAAATCCCATCATATCCCCTAAAAATCCCCATAAATCACATTAAATCCCAATTAAATCCCAAGCATATTACAAGTATATTACAACTATTACCATCTGGTTATTTAACATAGCCATGGTATAGCTGGCCCATTTATAGATGGTTTACCTGGGTTTACCCATTAAAAATGGTGATTGTCCATAGCTATGCTATAGCTACTTCTGTTGAAAAACCCCTGTTGCTCAATGAAAATTCCCATACGCCGCTGCCTATGACAAAAACAAACATCATCCAAAGAGGGTCCGCTTTGCTGTGGCCACCGGAGAAAAGGAGGTGTGGCACCTGCCCAGCGCTTGGGATCCAAAAAAGGATTATCATATGACAAGCCAGATAGGAATATCATGGATTCCATGGATTGCTTGGTGGTTTTCATTTATGGATTCCATGGATTGGATTTAAACTAAAAATTCATCCAAATTCTAACCAACCATATGGATGATGTACCATGTGTAACCAAGATTTGTCATATCGGATTTTTTTTTCGCCTTTCGGGGATGATCGAAATGCTATCAACAAGAAGTAGGTTTAAGGTATCTCAACAATACTGGTTGGTGGTATACCTACCCCTCCGAAAAATATGAAAATCAGTTGGGATGATGACATTCCCAATATATGGAAAGTCACAAAATTCATGTTCCAAGCCACTAAGAAGAATACCATCAATTTCAACCGATGGAGGTTAAATAGAAACGAAACGACAAGAAGTAGGTATCAAGGGTGTATCGAGGCTACAATATGATTCTTGGCAAGAGTAACAGAAGTAGGAATCAAACAACAAGAACAATGGCCTAATTAATCCCAATTCTATAAGAGTACTCTGGATTTTTTAAATAACCATCAATAGCCATCAATAACCATTAATAACCATCAATAACCATTAATAACCATTATCAAATGAATAACAAATTGGACCCTGTTTTCTCGCCCAACAAATCGTGTCGCTCTAAGCAGAAAGGGGTTCAAAAAGGTTCAGCTCACAATCCACACGCTGAAAATTCAACCAACGCTCACAACATATGGAGTACCCGGCCTGGTAAACGTTAACAAAAACTATGGAAAAAACCACCATTTTTATTGGGAAAACTCACTATTTCAATGGCCATTTTCAATAGCTATGTAACAAATTACCAGAGGGTAGCATTTGAAAACAAAATTGACAAGCCTAGTCTGGTGACTTGCGATCACCAAAGTAGTATCCAATCCCAAACTAAACAACATGGGACCCTACTGGACAACAAATGAGCTATATTTCTATCCACAGCGGTGTAAGAGTTGAATCGGTCCATCATAGATCCCATGGTTCCAGTGATCACTGGTCGACCCTAGGGCGGCCCCGCACCGCGTCCATCACGAAGGGATCCGATTCTTCGAAGGGTTGCGTTGGCAGCCTGGGATTTCATCAAAATACGGGGACAAACTTTGAGGAAACACATGGTGCATTTTTAAGCCAGGCCGGGACAGTGAAGCCTACAAAGACGGGCGACAGTTCTTCCAGAGTCTCGCTTTTAGAGGGCTGGATTGTTATGGATTCGTTAGCTGGGAGGCCTCTGCTCGGATGATAAGCTTGATTTTATTGGTGTGACAACATTGTGCCCATATCACACTTGGTAGAAACAATGACACCAAAAGCTGACACTCAATTTGACCCCAGTTGGGTCATGTCCGAAAAATTCATCAGCCAAAGTTGAGGGCATTTGCCGGCTACCCCGGGGCCCCAGCGTGTCGGGAGCCGTGGGAGCCAAGTGCCGGGCCTCCGTCCAGAATGTTTGCAGTCTACTTTCCTGTCTGTTTAACGATGTTATAAATAGCCTCTGGTAATGACTAACAGTTCGCCATGGTATAGCTGGCCCATTTAAAGATGGTTTACCTATTAAAAATGGTGGCTCTTTCCATGGCTATGTTCAATAACCAGATGGTAATTGAACAGGAAAGTAGACATTGTCAATCGATTATGTATGTTAAACAATCCGTATATTAACAATGTTTAAAATCAATGGCAAGATGGTGTTTTCCCTTTCAAGTGAAATGTCAAACAGTCTTATGTATGTTTAAAACAATGTCCATGCTTAATGAAATCGACACCGTTGACACCTGTTTCCTACAGATTTTCTGATACTTTGTCTTCATAACCGGGGTTTCCTCGGCAGTAGACACATTAATGGAAAGAAACATAAGTCTTGTTTCTGCGATTGTCCCTTTCAATTCTGGGAAAAGGAGAGTGGTAGTTATGCACCAACAAGATAATCCTAATATGTATTGTAGGCAACCCAGTTTTAAAGTCAAATAAGTCCAAAAACACCGTAAAAGATATATATATATACCATTATATACCCTGCGGTAATCAAACATGGATGGCTGAAAATCCCGAATTTGATTGGTTCGATGATGTTCCCAGCTTTAAACCTGCATATACAATTGGTGGATTTTCCGCCTGCCACGTTTGATTGCAACAAAATAAACCCATCAATACTATAAACATTCTATGATTATGGATAATTTCATGGATAATTTCATGGATAATTTCATGGACATATCACTCCTAGTAAATCCCAATCAACAACCGCTACATAAACCATATTAAACCTCCAAAAAATCTATGGATATTTCTCAATTATCCCTATTACACCTCCAAAAGTGCAACCGTTCAGCCTGGTAAAGACCATGTTCAAACTCATCATCCGGAAAAAATCCTTTGCTGATCATCGCTGGTATAGATCAATGATGATCAATGGGTACTTTCATGGAATCATTCCCCATCAACAACACTCAAGCCATGTTAAATTTCCTGGGAATCTATGGATATCGGATCATCACCGAATAGACCATTTCATGGATATATCAATCAAATCCTTAGCTCCCTATAAGCAATAGATAAATGGATAAGGGGACTCTGGTGTACCTCCCACTACCGTACTACAGAATTCCGCCACGGTCTCACCATACACCACCTCCATGGCATTCAATACTCCAACCTGGTTTTCATACCGTATCCCCGTGGTGTATAGGAGTCCATTCAAGACCTGCACTTGGATTGGAGTTGGCTCGACGAAGTCCACTGCGTCGTCACCCTCGGAGACCACCAGTACATCCTTAGGTATATTCGACACAGTTTCCAATCCCATCTTCCTTCCCAACAACCTCCTCGTTTGCCTCCAACCACTTTTCCGCATCAATTGATTGGCGGCATTGTTGAACAGGCCATTTCCCCTATCACCCGAAGCATGTGTTTCTTTTATCTGCAGCAGTCCCCCGTGCTTCCATGTCGTCTTCGATGGCAACCGGTCCCATCCTTCTACCACATCCCAATCGCCATCAACCGTATAACGCAGCCACTCGTCAACCATATTAAACCTCCAAAAGTCTATGGATGTCTGACTGGTTTAGCCCCCTATAACCTATAAGCGATAGATAAATGGATAAGTTCATGGTGCAGTTTGGCGAAAAGGACATTGGCAAGCTGCTTGATCTCTTCCAAGGGTCTGCAGAAAAAAATCGGATCCTGCCGATCGCGCCAAGTCTAGCGGGCGCATTCAATATTTATTTTCATACCAAAGATCCTCCTCAGCTACTTCCATTAACTTTTTGCTGGTAGTTGCTGCTTTCTTCTTGTCCTTGGCCTGCAAATCGACACCGCTGACACCTGTTTCCTACAGATTTTCTGATATTTTGTCTTCATAACCGGGGTTTCCTCGGCAATAGACACATCAATGGAAAGAAAACATAAGTCGTGTTTCTGCGAATGTCACTTTCAATTCTGGAAAATGAAAGTTGCAATTATGTACCAACCAGATCATCCTAATACGTATTGTATATAGACGACTCAGTTTTTTAAAAGTGAAATAAGTCAAAAAAACAGGGGAAATACATATATATATACATATATATATATATGTACCCAGCGGGAATCAAACATGGATTGCTGGTAGTGGTTAAGCCCCACCAGGTTCTCCACCACCAAGCTTCCCACGTCGTCGTCCATGAAGTTTCGCAGCAGCTGATTTTCGCCAGAAGCTTGAGTAAAAGTACAAAAAGGAGCATTGAAACATGTATGGGCGAATGCAACGGCAATGTCTAAACTGCCAGCACTCTCCCTTTGAAGCATCGAAAGGTGCTTACATCCAAATCCAAATCAACTTGTTACAGCCCAGCTCAAGCTACTTACGTATATTCCAAGCATGCAGTGCAACGTGAAAAACTATTGGCTCCCTCAGCATGAACGCACATGATGTCGGTGTGGAAGTCAATGCGCCATCCAACCATCAGCACAGCAGCACCATGCCCAGGAATTATTCCAGTCTGGGCTCACGCACTGGTTGAGCCACTCGGCGTTCCAATCTTTGCCATTTTTCTTGTTGAATTTCTGCAGGAGCTTCCACGGGATGCTTGATGCGATCCAGCGGACTGAGGCTAACACGCCGCTTGTACCATTGTTCGGAGGCGTCAATCAAGGCCTTCCACCATTCAGCAGCTGACAACGACAGGTCGGCAACTATTGGTTCGACCAACAGCAGCCAGTCTCCAAGAATCAGCGGCCCTTGTTGAGGCTCCCAAGCAGCAAGGAGTGGAAGATCAGGTGAGCCAGAGCGGATCGTTTCCACACCTCGTACAACTCCTGTTTCTTCTTTTCCTTCATTCATTCTTTTCTGCATTTCTTTCATAAATTCCATCATCAAGGCCATGAACTCCATGGATTTTTCAGTGAAGCTTGAATCACCACCGCCTTTGGGTCTTTGTCCAGGGGGGTCTGCGGCCTCCTTGGTGGTCTCAGCCTGTCCTGGGTTCTGCGGTGGAGGTCTGACGCCTCCTTGGCGGTCTCAGCTTCACCTGGGTTCTGCGGTGGAGGTCTAGCAGCCTCCTTGGTGGTCTCAGCCTTACCTGGGTTCTGCGGTGGAGGTGTAGCAGCCTCCTTAAGTGGTTCAATCTCCTTGTTGATGGGATCTGGGGTTGGAACTTTGGCTCATCCTCTTGACGAAGTCTTTCTAAAGCGTCCAAAGGGTCTTTCAACTTTTGATTCTCTTCCATCATCATTTCTAACTTTCTTCTAAGCTCTGCATTTTCATGAAAACCAGGTGATTGAACATATGGATTCAAAATTGGTGGTTGTTCCCCACCGCTTCTTTGACCCTGCAGCCTATGCTCTTCATGCTCCAGAAACAAAGGACGTGCTAATGGAGGTTGCATCGGCAGCTGGGGCATCATCAGCTGTCCACCTGGGTATAGCCAAGGAGCTTGGCTAAAAAGGTTCATGAAAACGCCGTACTTGTTGTTCATCAAACAAAGGTGTATTCGGAGAGATCGCAGCACTGGTTGGTGCCGGAGTTGCAGAAGAGGGATCACCACGATGTTGAGGTAAATTGCAAACACCCTGCACATTCTGTTCCACCATTGGGACAACCTGCGCATTCTGTTCCACCTTCGGCGCATTCACGTCCATCACGGCTGGAACAACTGCCCCATGAGATTCAGAAGGCGTCCCAAGAGCAGGTGCTGGTGTCTTCGGATCTGATTTCACCTGAGCAGGAGATGCGCTTGGTGTCACCTTAGTCTCTGCTGGCTTGACCTGAGGTGCATCCTGGACAGGTAACGGAGGTGCAAAGGACTTCGGGGAACCTGCATGCTTTTCCTCACTTCCCTCAGCTTCTTTCACCCATTGGGAGGCTTTGGGGGACTCAAAGCTATCAGTTCCTTCAGGCTCTTTGACATCCTCTATTGGTTTTTCATCCCTTGTTGCAGTTTCTTCAACTAAAGGCTTCTGGGCAGCTGACATCTCACGTTCACCTTGAGCAAGTTCTTCAGGCGTTGCTCTCCTTCGGCTAAACATGGACATAGTTGCGCTTCAAGGGCCACACTTTGGGCTCATAACCTAGTGGTTAGGCCCCACCAGTCGTCCACGAAGTTCCGCAGCAGCTGATTTTCGCCAGAAGCTTGAGTAAAAGCAGCTACAGCTACAGTAGCAGCTGGGAATTGAAGGCTGAATTGAAACATGTATGGGTGAATGCAACGGCAATGTCTAAACTGCCAGCAGCTGGAAACTCCCTCATTTAATTAGTTCGATGATGTTACAGTACCAGCTATAAACATGCATATACAATTGGTGGATTTTCCGTCAGCCACAATTGATTTGCAGGAAAATAAACCCATTATTATAATTATCTCACAATTATCCTATTACACCTCCAAAAGTGCAACCGTTCAGGGTGGTAAGGACCTATATCCTCAAATTCATCATTCTCAAGTCCTCAGCTCCCCCTATATATATATAACCGATATAGAGCAATGGATAATTTCATGGATAATTTCATGGACATATCACTCCTACTAAATCCCAATCAACAACCATTACACCATATTAAACCTCCAAAAAATCTATGGATATATCAAATCCATTGCTCCCTATAAGCAATAGACACATGAGTAAGTTCATGGATATATGGAGGTTTCCATTTCGTCATGGGGGTACCCATTTTCCTCATCCACTTATAGATTGGGATTTTCCATAAACCAACCAGCTATTGGGATACCTCATTATTTTCCCTGAGATGGGGATACCCCAACCACTTTTAGTAAGATGTTCCATGAAATAAACCAACCAGCTGTGGAAACCGGTTAAACCCCCATACCAAGCGACCAGAGTGTGTATCCCATGAAAACATCTCATTGAATCATTATAAAATCCTATTGAATCACTATAAATCCCATTGAATCACTATAAATCCCATTGAATCATTATAAAATCCTATTGAATCATTATAAAATCCTATTGAATCACTATAAATCCTATTACTTATAAAATCCTATGAAATCACTATAAAATCCCATTGAATCACTATAATCCCACTATAAATCCCATTGAATCATTATAAAATCCTCTTGAATCACTATAAAATCCCATTGAATCACTATAAATCCTACTATAAATCCCATTGAATCATTATAAAATCCTCTTGAATCACTATAAAATCCCATTGAATACCAGAAATCCACCCCATCAAGTCCTGGCTGGTTCCGTGCCTTGAGACACATCTCCAAGGCCTCCATGGGCTCCAGTTGGGCGCATCGGAGGAGATCCTGGCGAGCTCCGTTGGGATCACTCTAAGAATGGACTGGACTAAGAATGGACTACAAAAACCATGTTAGTGTATGAGCATCAAACATGGATTATTATCAACACTATTAAACTCCAAAAGTGGTATATAGTAATAGTGTTTTATTTATTTTTGAGCATCAAAAATGGATATACCATCTGGTTATGACTAACAGTTCGCCATGGTATAGCTGACCCATTTATAGAATAGATGGTTTATCTATTAAAAATGGTGGATCTTTCCACGGCTATGTTAAATAACCGGATGGTAGCTGAGGAGATGAAAAATGGATGTTCGAATGATTTTCAGATTTGATGATCCATAAAATGGGCATAGTCCTATCAAATCCCAATGAAATCCCCGGATAATGGTTAGTTGTGTCCCCATTCTAAACCATTTTGATGCTTTAACCAAGCTGGCCCACCCAAGTTATGTTTGTTGGCCACCCCAGTAACTAGTACGTTGTTTTACTATCATAAGTCCTAGTGGCGTATAAACCAACTTACCTACCATGGGGGCCCCACGTTGTAGTGGATTCATGAGGGTATAGTTGATAAATGATGGTTGATGAAATCATTTTGTTGGGTTAATAAACCCGCTTCGATATCATGGGGGCACCACCTTGGATATATAATGACATATCATTGAGCATGACTTAGATGTAGGGAGCACCACCTTGAAGGTAAGGGGTGTACTCCAAATAATGTGAAATTCTCATGACTTGAATTACTCATTATCATTATGATCATTACCCTCTGGTAAATTAACATAGACCCTGCCAAATAGGGGTTGGAAGATTGGTGTCCATTAAAATTGTGCTATGTTCAGGGTCTATCTTAATTTCCATAGGGAAAAATATTATTACTTAGTTATGTTAGTTCTATTCTATCACATATGTTTTATTACAATCGTTTTTATCTGCAGGAAGAGAGGGGTATGTATAGATATGATGACAGGATTATAAGTTGACCATTTGATTCCACAATTCTTGTGAGGAGATTCGCATTTGATTTCTGTGATCCAATTTGCCAATGTATGCCATGTGTTAGACATTTAAGAAGTTGAGATACCCACTTCTTGATTTCTTGGGCAATTTGATGGTCCCATTCAAGTTTTGATTGTAACTTTGGTTGTAACCATACAGGACCATTCCTGGAACTAGATGAAGTACAGGAACACCTTTTTGAATCAGTGATTAAGACCAAACATGGATTTCCAGCAGATCTCCCTTTGACATCAAACCAACACACAGTGAAGAATTTGAATTTGTTTTTGTTTCGTAAATCGCCATTTGATGCACCCAGATGTATGGGTGTGATCAACAAATGTCGGGTTAGCTTCCCAAAAAACCAACCCAGGAAATCAAGATTTGGTGATTTGGTTAAAAAAAAGAAACATGCAGGCAAGACCTCAAAAATCAGAAAAAGGTATACCCGGTATGAATCACTTGAATTACTTAAAAACCATTCATACCAATTTCCAAAAGTAGTCTTCCAACCCCCTGTTTGCATCTATCTTAGTTGAGGGGTGCTATCCTCATTTTAGATTTTAGAGAACTTGCTGAATCCATGGAAATACGCCATCATAACTGGCTTCATGTTGAACCCCCCCCACTGATCAGGTTTTTTTTTTGTTTAGTTGCTATTAAAGTCGAAGTAGTCCCCAAAGTCTTTTTTGTAAGTCCCAAACAGGTGCCGAACAGTGATTCATCACTACTTCACTAGATGTTGACCAAAAGGGAAACAGATGTTTATAGTTTTCACAACAGTGTGTTCGCAAAATTTACCACAGTGATTCATCATGCCAAACATCCATTAAAAAAACAGTTATAAATTATAACCAACTTCTATCTTTTTGGGTTTTGGGCGATAGGATCACACCTGGAATTTCTGAAAAAGATTCCACTGGATCCCTCTTCGGCTGCCTTCACGGGCTGCCCGGAGTGCCCCAAGATGTCCATGGGGCCCAGCTTGAAGCCACAGGGATTGCCTATCGAACATCGCTCCAAACGTGGCGATAGGCAATCCCAAGGACCGAACAGTTTTTTCAACCGGAAATGAGAAAAAACAATCATACCATATCCCATATGCTCCATGTATGGTATATTTACCTACATCTGGGTGATTTCTAAATATTTCTAAGGCAAATGTTGGTAAGTATTCTATACATGGAGCATATGGGTATCATACCATCCTGCAAATTTGCAAAAAGTCGGCGTCTTTTTGGGGCTTACCAAAAACAGAACCACCAAGATCATATACATATACAAAGACAATTATGTACCTACAAAAGGAAGGATGCAACGATTATTTAACCAACAGAAAAAAGGCATCAAAAAAAAACGCAACACAAGGAGCTTTTCCGAAAAACTTCAGCATCTCCTACTTCGACATGTCGTACTGAACGTTCTGCATGTTTTTCAAGGTATGACTTCTGCACAACGGCTATGGATCAAGGTGGATCGATGGTATCAGTGGTATCGAGAATTGGTCATCCATCCCATGGGAATTCCATGACTTGATGACCACCCGACCAACCCCCCAGACAGGTACTTAGGCCAACTCTTGATCATTCCCCTAAGAATCCTAACATTGACTACATTCCTACTTCTGGTGTGACAAAAAAACACAACCATAATCACCCGTCATACAAAAAGAGTCAGGCCCTAATAATTAGAATATCATATCATAATATATCATAATATATTATATCATATCATATCCATCTAGATCCCCCCATATGTTTCATGATTAAAACGTTTTTATACCCCTTAAAAGCAGCCCTTAAGTCAATCATGGATTTGCGATGAAAACCCGACGCCTACCCTTTTGAAGTTCGAAGATTGGAACTGGAAAAGCGAGCTGTGGAACCTGCGCGAGATGTGACACCGCTGCTCAGCGCTCGCGATTTTTGTGACACCCATGATGTGTCTAGTACCAGTGTGTGTAATACATATTGGATTTGGAAATAATTGTGTGTCATTTAAGACTGTCATATAAACCAATATGTTTATATACACATTGCTCATACTCGTTTATATATACGTATAAAAATACAAGGCTGTGTCATGCAATGTTATGTAATATCATGTGATGTTACATTCTGTAGTGGTGGTTGTCAAGTAAGGCTATGTATTTACTCTAAATGATACATGATTATGAATGTGTATAATGTATTATAATGTGTCTACATCAAACTACTGTATTTTAGGTGATAACCATGGAAAATCGTAACAAACCTGGAATGGTCAGATCTGCATTCGGAGCTAGCACTTTTTGTCATGTCTTGGGGAAACCTCCACTGATGATCCTTTGAGTTCTTCATACTTTTCCCTTTTGATGTGCATCTCACTTTCATAACCCAGCTACACATGTCAGAACTCGGAGATTTACCATGGGCTCTTAGGCAAACTTCGCCAAACTCCCACGACGGTCAATGGAGCACTGGCTTGTTTCTGGCGCAGTGCTCCGGCGGACTCCAGGGCTTCCCTGGATCTAAAAGAAACGAAACAAGGGAAAGACACAGAAAAATCTTAGACTTCGGGCTCAGCTTGTCAAAATCATAGCAAAACATATAATTTTTCTTCACATACCCGACAGTTGCTTAACCTCGGTATATTGCTTAAATCCCCGTGGCCAAGGAGGACCGGCTGAATGGTCCCAAAATATCCCAAACATAAATCAAGGCACTGCAGTTGCGGCAGGCAGGCATTGCTGGGCTCGCCAAAGCCGGGCATCACCTGAATCCAACGATTCGGCGGATATTGAGGGATCGATGAATTCTTGGAGTTACCCGGCCTGGTAAACATACAAAAAACTGTGGAAAATCACCATTTTTAATGGGTAAATCAACGAACTAAATGACCATTGTTTACCAGAAGGTATATAGTTGATACATGTTGATATTTGGATCTTCAGTTAGCGTTCAGTTGGTGAACATAACTCCAATAACTCACGAACTGGCAACTCATTATGGTAGATATATATATATATACATATAATTCGACTATTCCTATCCCACTTATGGTTTATAAACCATTATCATTATCATCCTGGGGATAACCATCGCGAACAGAGATTGTCCATGTGGATACAATGGGGATACAATGGGGATGTAATAAGATAAAATGAAATCAAACAGGATATGTATATTACATGGATTAAAATGAGATATGTGACATTATGTGAGCCATCATATTATCCAACCATATCCCCGTTCAGTAAATTAAAGAAAAACAACAAAAATTGGCCAAGATGCCAAAGCATGGATGACAAGAAACTGTGGCGAGGAAGATACCCGTGTCTGGAAAAAATCTTTGAAATCGACTGATTTGTCAAGGTTGGTTACCGAAACACAACTGGGATGGCAGCAGTCAACAATATTCAACCAGCATTCAGTAGGATTTTTTGGAGCCAATGTACATCGAGAAACTGACGCGTTCTTCACCTGCTTTCTTCCAAGAATTGATCCACTGTCGAAACACCGTTGTAGGTTTCCAGTTCAGGGGTGCCTTTTAACCACGATGGACTGATCAAAATATGGCCCATGGCCAAGATTTCAAATGAGCTGCCTGAGCTGCCCTACGAAGCCCAATCCGGGATGGTTTCTTGGGACCATTGACCATACCATCAGAGATACCATCTGGTAATGACTAACAGTTTGCCATGGAAAAGATCCACCATGCTATTAATAGGTAAACCATCTATTTCGATTAGGGCCATCTATACCATGGCAAACTGTTAAATAACCAGAGGGTACCTTTTTTTGGTATGTGTTTGCAACTTTGAAAACCATTCCCAACCCACTTCGACGCAAAGTATCCTTTGGCATAGCAACATGGCTATGGAAACACAATTTCAATAGGTAAATCAACTATAACTGGGCCATCTATATCAGAAGCCAGTTTTTTCCGTATACCCATGAATTTTCATGGTATTTCCGATGATGTCCCAATTCTTCATTCATTCCGACTCTACCCTAAACCAGCACAAACATCCCAGGAAATTTGCCAAGAAAAATCCCATCTTTCATGGTGAAATCACTGGAAGTTTTTCCCAATCACTGGGTGCCACCCTCCAATCAAACATGGCAATGGATTGCCCCCACCATGGAAAATAAAAAAACATGATTTTCCCATGATAAAAAACACCATTTCTAGATGATTTCCAGTTGCCATGTTTAAAAAAAACCTAGCTGCCAGGAGATAAAAACCATTCATATCCTATTCTCTTCTATTATCCGTTATGGTCCCATAGGTCTCCTATATTGTTATCCCTTCAGAGGATAACAACTGAAAAAAACCGCGATGATATCTGAAAAATTGATGAAATTCCATCGTTTTCATTGAGTTTTCATGGTACATCCCCTGGGATTCCCCCAGTAAATCCCCATCCTACTCATCCTACCGTCCAGCTGCCTGCACCACAATGCTTTCGCACAAGGGCGGCAGTTCCACGTTGATCTCCCGCAGGGCAGCCTTCGAGGAAAGCGATAAAGCCCATCCAAGCGATAAAGCCATGGGGATGGGGACTTGTTTCACCTGCAGTATTAGATCATTGGTTTCTATATTTTAATAGTAATAATAGTAATAGTATAACAATAATAATAGTAATAATAGTTAATAATAGTTAATAATAGTTAATAATAGTTAATAATAGTTAATAATAGTTAATAATAGTTAATAATAGTTAATAATAGTTAATATATATATATATAAACTAACAGTATATAATATATGATAGCAATAATAGTAATATATGTATGATAATATCAGTATTAGTATATATTCTGTATTATATATATATACATATATGATAACAATAATAATGATGATGATAATAATTATTGATAATGATAGTAGCAATAAGAATAAACATAAAAAAATAAAATAAACTCATTAAACAATAATATATAATAATACTATCACAATAGATTAATAGATAATATACTATACAATACAGCATAGGTCACAATAATAATACTATACAATAGGTCACTCTCAATTTCAGCATCGGAATCTCAATTCGTAGATCCTTGGTTCCCGATGCAACATAGGGAATATGGACATCAATACCTCTTAGCTCCCTCTATTCACCACCAGACTAAACACAATGTATCAATTATATTCCGTTGTATAATATCCCATTACATCCTACTACATCATTAACTTACATCATATCCCGTTGGGATATAATATACCCCAAGCATATGTTTTTCTTGTTATTGTTACTGTTGTTATTACTACAGTATATCTTGATTAAAAACAAGTATCAAACATTGTATTGTTATGGTTGGTTATACTCCATTTTATCTGGCTGAATTATCACAACGGCAGGGATGATTCCCCTGAGAGATCCAGAGAGTATCCCATGAGGCTATCCCATTTTAGCCCATCAAATTTAGATAAAAATGCATATAGATACATCATGATACATGGAATCTTGCACGAAAAAACATCCAATAATATCCAATCACACAATATGTTCTCAAAAAATACGGGTGTATTGATATGTTTTATCCCATCAATTCAAATACATCTGCCTGTATCCAGGTGCTGGCACCTTGATACGATCCCCATCCCCATTCGCAGGCAGCAATCCTGCACCTGAGAACAAGGTGGAGAACCCAGCAAAAAGGTGGGTTTGAGATGCTTTCAATAGGGTTTTAGTGGTATATAATGGTAAATAACATGGTAAATAACATGGAGTAAAATGGCATTTAAATATTCGTGTATTTGAATGTATTATACTTGATGTATTCTAGTGTGGAAATGTGTGGAATTCATTTTTTTTTGGCAAGTCGATGATAACCATGGCATTGCCAAGTTATGTATGGGTTGTACCCCAGAACATCTGTTGCTAACAAAAATCACTTACGAATGAACTGGGAGGAACCCTGAATCGGGACGAACAATGCTTAGGACCCAGGCGATGCACGGTACCCCGGCAACAAAAGGAAGAAACTATAGATTCCCCATTCCACCAGATAGATTTCCCAATGAAGGTTAACAAAAAACCATCTCCGCAAACCCGAGTCAAGGGGAGCATGGATACATCCTCGCTGGGGTCTGGGGTTAGCTCAACGAATGGACTCAACCAACAAATGCTGTAAGGACGTGTGAGATGAGGATGGTGATGACTCGCCAGAAATCGACTTCAAACGTCTTCCCTAAAGATGTTCAACATTTGACCACTTATCCATTCACTTTGGTTTCGTTGTTTAAGAATTCCATGGAATTTAGTCCGCTCTCGGTTCCTTGCAAAGCAGTCCCGCAGCACCCAGTCCTATCTTGTGATTTGTCTGACATCTTGACCATCCATATGGTCAGAGAACTTATATAGGGCCGTGATGGTGGTGATGATGATGATGATGATGCTGATGCTGATGATGATACCCTCCGGTAATTTGTTACGCAGTTATGGGATATAATGCTGTTTGATACTTAAATCATCAAACTCAATGGGCATTTTTCCTAGCTGCGTTAGATTACCATGGATCCGGATGGTAGATTTGCCATGGCGTTCCGGAAGGTCTTGCGACGTCCTCAGATTCTTGTCATCCCAAAAAAGCCCCATTCGGATGTCCCCGATGTGAATGTGATAAAGTTCCAAAAACCGCATGGCTCCAGTTGTTTTCCCATGAAATTCTCAATAAAATTCTCCATAAATGAACCGTTTATACCACTCCAATGTCTGTTTCTGCATGGTGGAAGAAATTTCAAGGCGAGGTGAGCTCCTGATGGTTCCACTGTTGACCAGGTGGCAAGGTGGCAAACAGAGGCTACTCCCTGTAGTGCTGATGTTTCAAGATGTTCAACCATGGCTCACATCAAACCATGATATTCCCATCAGTTTCCCAAAGATCATAGGGGATTTTATCAAAGAAATGGTGCCGTTCTCTCACCCAGCAAGCTGCACCGGCCAGGCGGATCCAGGTCGCCGGACAAATCACGAGTTGCTGGACGGAATGGGCCTAGTGCCAGGGAAATTCACTGATGGGATCTTTCATGGGATTTTAGATATTTAAACCCATAGGATCCATGTATGGTATATATGCCAACATTGGTGTATATTGATGGTAAATGTTACCATGTATAGCATACATGGATCCTATGGGAAATGAATCCTATTTTTGATGACATTTTTATCGGACTATTTAGTGGACCAAATGGGATTTTTAGGTGTAAAGAAGACAGATTAACACGACTTGATGGGATTGGTTTCATGGGATTTCATGGGATTTCATGGGATTTTTAACCAGCGCCCCATATGATACGTCCCAAAAAGTTGGTCGCTGCTGAATCCCAGGATAGTTCCAGCCAAGCTTTCCAGCCAGTTGATAGCGAATTATGTAGGGTTTACCCTCTGGTAAACTAACATAACTATGGAAAATCACCATTTTTCATGGGAAAATCCACTATTTCTATGGTCATTTTCCATAGTTACGTTAAATTACCAGAGGCTATACATGGTATATTTCATCCCAATACCTGGGGTATATCACCCCACAGGAAAGCCATGATCCCATGGTTCCCTTTCCCTCCAGCCCTGCCGGGCCCTGCCGCGCCTTCAGAAACTCGAAGGCCTTGCCGCGCGCGGAGGCAGCCGTGCTGTCGGAACCGAAGTCCAAGCCCGACATCAGCGCCAGGTAGGGCCTGGAACTTCGCAGCTGAAGCGCGGTGATTTTTTTTGACTTTACCCTATTGAACATGGCCATTGATGGTTGATTTACCCTAGTAAAAATGGTGATTTTCCAAATAGTTGACCAGAGGGTAGACTTTAGACCCGTCGGTAGCCATGATTTCATGAGATTTCATGGCTGATTTTTCCAAACATCATGGATATCTTACCTCATTTTTGGAGGTATTTGGAAGGTCGCTATCCACAAACATTGTCGCGAAACTATAGGAAACAATCCAAGACTTGCTCCCCTGGAGTTAGGATTGATGGTGATGACGATCAACTTTGGATTATACCCTGTGGTAATCAAACCTGACATCCTGAGAAATCTTCCCATGTTTCAGTGGGGAAATAAAAAATAGGAACATTTTCCATAGTTGGATGCTTGTTCATTACAAAGTGAAGCTTGATCCATCCTTGCCAAGATATGTTCAGCCATGATTTGGCCATAAACAATAAGGGACCGTTGTTCCAGAGCCCAAAAAGTCCATGTTGATAGCCAGATAGCCATTCTTGGCCCTATTGTTCCACTCCACTTGTGCTTCGAATCGACTGACCATTGATAGTATAATTGTATGCTATATACTATGTAACCTATGTACTATGTAACCAACTTATGGTACTCCTGAACACCATGCTACGAATAGCAGTAGCCTCTGTTGATTTATTGGATGTAGACCTCCATGAAAGTCCGCTGGATGAATATTAGAATCCCATTGGGTTGTAAATGGAAGGTATTAAAAAAAATGAATCTAGTATTTCATGGACGATTAAAGTAATGGTTTAATGGACCTTCATTTACTGGATTTGGGGATTTAGAATCCCGTGGAACACCTATTTTCATGGTATACCCATTGTAGTTTACCCTCTATATTCTATGTGTCCCTATCATACCTAATGTGGTTAAAACAAGAATAAAGAACACATGTGGGAATGGTAACCATACCATCTATTTTTGGTCATGTGAGGGATTGTGTTTTATTGTTTTACCAACATTAGATGTTTTTTCTATTACCCTCTGGTAAACTAACATAGCTATGGAAAATCACCATTTTTCGTGGGAAAATCCACTATAAATCACCATTTTCAATAGCTATGTTAAATTACCAGAGTGTTAACACCTCCATTTATAGTGGGATAAACCACCTGTCAACTGGTGCAGAATTTCGCAACTATCCACCGTATCAATCCGTATCACAGATTTTATATTTCCCTACAGGATGGGGCCCCCAAGATAGCTAAGTTGGTTTATAAGTGGCTTAACAATGGTTTTATGGTAGATATAACGAACTAGTGAATGGGGATTACAAGGGTTTATAAACCAACTTATAACTGTGGGGCCCCATCCTGTGTTAATTTACCTATGTTAATTTACCTATGTTAATCATACCTATGTTAATCATACCTATGTCAATCATACCTATGTCAATCATACCTATGTTAATCATACCTATGTTAATCATACCTATGTTAATTTACCAATCGCAGTGGCATTGAGCACGTTGAGCCCATGATTTTTCCGAGCCGCCCATCTTTCTTCGGCGCAGCCAAGGGAGCTGGCAGTGGCATCCTGGTAGTTAACATGGCGCTCTTCACCCGTCAAACAGAGGGATTTGTATGGTTTTATGGGTACAAATCATACTATATTATATGTGCTATATATAGATTATACATGCACTATATATATACACTGTATGTATGTATATATATATATATACTATATATATACACACTGTATATATATACACATATATTATAATATATATCAGTGCAAAATTATGGAGGTACTATATTAGTACTTTAGTCAAGTATAGGTACATGTTTTTTTCCAACATGCCAGTCATGTTTTGTCGAAAAAGGGATTTACCGGGAAATGCTATACACTTTCAACGGAATAACCTACAAATCATGAAGCGCTTGGGGCTTTAATCCAATAGCTATGATGATTTGTCTATGGGTGAAAACGCCGTCATCCAGCCACGGATAAAAAAAGCCTGTCCTTGGGAAACAGAAGTCGCTCATGGTGAAAGTTCCAGCCTGGTGGTGGGAGGAACTGTGAGAAAAGGTGGTTTTCTAACGGTTAAGCCATGTTAAGCCTTAACTCCAAGGCTTTTCCTTAGTACCAAATGCCCTCTGCTAAATTCATACAGATATGGAAATTGATTAAATTTATGGGTTTCCCCACGGATATGATCGGCAAATAGTGGGCTTTGCGCCTATATATGGAAATTCACTGGAGATAATCCAAACCTGTTGATTATAGATCTAACTAATTATAATATTACAGATTATTACAGATTAATAATCTGTAATATTACACCATATAGATCCAAACCTGTATATACATATAAATATATATATATATTAGTCTACAGATTATTACAGATTGATCTAAATGTGGGATTAATTGGAATCCTATCGACCAACGTTACCGTGTTACCTAATCAGACCTGTGGACCTGTTTGTCTCAAAATAGGGTACCGTTTACAAAATCCACTGTTTATAAAATCACAATTTTAAACGCTTATATTCCATGTTCTGCAAGTTTATCCCTGATATTCCATTTTTGTGGCCAGATATCCATCCTACCACATGGAATCCGTTCTGAATGATGCTTTAGGTTGAAAAATCAATCAGATTGGGTTTCGCCAGACGGAATGGTTGAGCACATTTCACACAGACACTCTTGGCTATACCGCGGTGTAACTATTAGATATAGTTAATGATTGAGTAACACCAACTAGTCAAATGAAATAGTTACACCAATTTTGACTATATCTAATAGTTACTGTTTGAAACAGTTACAGATTTCCTCATTTTGGTTGGAAATCTGAAACCACCAACTAGTCAAATGGACGAGATCTGCGGCTAATTCTCCCAACTCTTCGGGTGCCCATAGCTCCTGGCGACTAAAGAGGTCAGCAGGTTATAGGATTAGCCACCTCAAGTCTATGTCAAGTGCTTCACCAAAGGAATAACTGGAGGGCCCTTCATCCGCTTTCCGGGTGAATTGACAAAAAAAACTGCAGTCGTTTGTGGCGTTGCAACGGCAAAACATTTGGGGCGCAGTAACATCAACATTCAGAAAGCACAAGTTTGCACAGAAACATCGCCAAATTTTGCCTTTTTTGATGCCAATAGCACAACACATTCGTCGGCCTAGTAACATCGGAATTTTGCTCAGTAACATCCCTGAATCGGCCTGAAAAAAATGCTAGGTACCCTCTGGTCAACGTTTACTGAAAATACCCATACAAATAGTTGATTTTCCCATGAAAAATTGTGATTTTCCATAGTTTATCCATTAAAAGTGGTGATTTTCCCATAGTTTACCCATTAAAAATGGTGATTTCCCATAGTTTACCCATTAAAAGTGGTGATTTTCCCATAGTTTACCCATTAAAAATGGTGATTTTCCATCGTTTTGTGTATGTTTACCAGGCCGGGTAAGTCCAATTTTCATCGCTCGGCCATTGATCCCACCCCAACAACGTCGTCCAGCACCTGTGTAGCGGTTCCCTTCAGTGCTACAACGAAGCCGGTGGCCAGGCGAGCCTCGGATCACACCCCATGGTATTCATGGATTAAGAACGAATATATGGGATTAATATGGGATTAATATGGGATTAATATGGGATTAATATGGGATTAATATGGTTTAATATGGATGATTCTACTGTTATTCATACATCATCATTGATATACATGTATATATATATATATATCACTAACATTCACTAGCACTCTTTGTATATATATAATGATGATAATGTAGTATCATATACGTATGTTTCTCGACATACTACAGTTTACTTAAGCATGTTTAATCACTAGTCGTATGGCTGCTGTGATGAAACTGTGATAGGTATAACTATTCTGATTGTAATGCGCACAGCCCTTAGGGTGCATGCATCATGCCACCAGAGGTAGACTGAAAGTGACTATGCCACCAGTGGTATGGGCAGAGTTTCATGATGCAGAAAAGTAACATCCCATGAAAATGCATGAAATCATGCTTTGTTTACATGTTTTTACATTCACCATTTAAATCCCATATAAATCCCATATAAATCCCATCAATCCCACATTAATCCATATCAATCCATATATATATATAAATCCCATGAATCATCCATATTATATAATCCATAATATTTCTATCCCATATTAATCCCATATTAATCCCATGACATCCATGAACATCAATAGCGTCCTTTTGGTAAAAACAGAAGGGCCGCTGACCGCTTTGCTGTAGAGAATTTCCCCATGATATTTTCCCCATGGACGCTGAGACGCCAGATGCTCCTTGGACACTTCCAACTCCACTCGCATCACTGCGTCCTGGCAAGGTATGTCACCATGGGGTAACTTATAATATTTCACTAACCTGAATAGTTCGGCCATTTGGGGATGATTTCCCTTACTAACCATGATTTCCAGTGAGGTCGTAATGAGGTCGTTATAATGTGCCCAATGGATCAATGAAACATGGGAATACCATGTGAGTTTACCAGGGGATGTTTCGGGATGTTTCCCCAGAGTTCAATATAATGGGATTTCATGGGATTTATGGGATTTACCCTCCGGTAAACTAAGAGTTGGCTATTGCAAATAGCCCATTCATAGTTGATTTAGCCATGAAAGGGGGTGATTTTCCATAGTTATGTTTATATTAGTTTACCAGAGGGTAGTCCCTATCATGTTAGTGGGAATATTCATAAACTATGGGCAAATGCGGCAAATATATTAGTTCATGCCATAAAGATAGACAATCTAATTTTACCATCAATGGTAGTCTAGTCCCTATAATGTTAGTAGGGAAATGATAATCCATCCATGCTGGTCGGTGATTGAGCCTACCCCTCTGAAAAATATGAGTCAGTTAGGATGATGACATTCCCAATATATGGAAAAAACATGTTCCAAACCACCAAGCAGCATATTTTAATTGTCTATACCACCCATTCATGGTAAAATTGCGGGTGGTTTACTATTGCTAACATTAGATTCTCCATGTTTTCTGGATTTCCCCTTTGGGACAATTAAAACACACGTCAGCAAATCAAGGTTGCCCCATGATCATTTCCATTACATGAGCCAGTAAAAAATACCCCGTTTCCCATCTCGTGAAATACTATAGTTGGTCGATATGTTTCCCGTTCATGATGGGTTAGTTCATGATCAACAAGTGTAACCAACAAGCTAACAATCAAACTATATTAGCTATTGTTCATATCAGCAAAATATTAGCTAATATAAGTCCCAACAAGCTAACCAATCAACCAGGGTCTTTGTTTAATGGCTCACATGGGAATTTCACCAGGAAATTCCCAAGGGTATCATGGATCATGGTCACCGGGCCTGGAAATGACTAACATAGCTATAGAAAATCACAATTGTAAATAGGTAAGCTATCATAACTATGGAAAATCACCATTTTTTTATAGGTAAATCAACTATAAATGGACCATTTTCCATAGCTATCTTAGTTTACCAGGCCGGGTATGTATATTTGATCCAAAAAACAGCCATAAATGGTCCTATAATAGGGATAGGCTGGGGGGGTTGGTTATCTATGTTGGGTCTATCATTCGCGGTTCTTTTGCTTCGCGTTGTTCATTGTTGTTCATGTGGGTAACTTTTCCCGCGGCCAATCTCAAATATCCTGCAAATGTTAATTAAATGCGGAGGATAGATGGATATTTGAGATGTTGAACTCCACCATTTACAGAATTTTAGTGAGGCTGAAGTGGGGTCTACCACTCATCAAGGGTTTATTAAATGGTAGGGGTAACTACAGTATGGGATCTTGCCTCTGCTCTTTGTAGAATTAACTCGCTCGCCGATCCAGAAAGAAAAGTGGCATCAGGCATTTTTTTAAAGAGCCCAGGGGAGATGTGTGTGCATGTTCACTTATGTCAACTTAATCATATATAGTATATGCACATCAACTTATTTGGTTGTTTGTTTCATTTATAGACTAGGGTCTTCCATTCAGCACACCTGCCGTGGCCCACAGAAATAGATGATAAACATTATGAATTATATACCAGCTATAAAATGATGATGATCCAGTCCTCTCCGTTGAATAACAAGAGTAACCTGAGGGTAACCATCATATATCTCATCATATCCCATCATATATCCCTTAAGCAATAAGAAAAAACACATAAACAAATTCCTGTTGTTGAATTACCAGATGGTAAACTAACATAACTATGGAAAATCACCATTCTTTATAGGTAAATCAACTATAAATGGGCCATTTTCAATAGCTATGTTAGTTTACCAGATGGTATAAACCACCATAAAATCCATTGAGTCCTCCAGCCACAGAGTATCCTTCTCTGTGTAGAGGCACGAGGAATCTTCCTCACCGGCAGATGTGCCGGACCGAGACAGGCATGTTTTTTTTCGTGCTTTACACATGGGAAAGATCCATGATATAGCCTATAGCCTCTATACTATAATTAGAGCTAGAACAAATTCACATATATATATAATGGATGGATATATCTATATATAGTTTATACATGCTCATATATGTTGATACATGTTGATACATGTTGATACCATATCTACCAGTATCTATCCCATTGATGGCCAAGAAAACAAAAAACATATCCACGACCCAACCATCTTCACGCTCCTTCCATTGGTTCAGCAACGCTTTGCTTCCCTTGTACCTGGGCAGGACGGGCAAGCGGGGTACCATTCACAAGATTTTATAAGGGGAAACATTATCTGGTTGGTGGTATACCTACCCCTCTGAAAAATATGAGTTCGTCAGTTAGGATGATGGCATTCCCAATATATGGAAAAGTAAAAAAATGTTCCAAACCACCAACCAGCTATACGATTGGAGTTGGAACCCTCCCATATGAATAAATGATGATAAATGTCTGGGTTATTCATCCGGGGTAAACATTACTAATAACAACTGAATTATATCCCCTTACAACTACCAATTTGCTATTGAAGTCACACAGGAAGAGGGCCTCCAAGTTAATAAGTTGTTTTCCAGCTTTATAACCTCTTCCAAATATTGATATATCATGATATAAGCAGCGAAATAGACCGATTTGTTAGCCTACATGGATGTGCATCGACTTAGTGAGTGGCTCATGACAATCGTAAACCCACATTATATGGTATATCCCAGTTATATATTCAATCTATATAATTATGTAGTTGTATTCGAGTATAATATGATAATTATATAGTAATACAAGTAATATCTATACAGATCAGCTATCACCCACTACTACATGGGACCAAAAAAAATCAGTGCCAGTCAGTGCCGTCAGCGAAACCGAAACCCCCCATGGTTCCGCCGCCAAGTGACTCCTCAATGACGTTAGGTCTACCTTTCAAGTCCTGGTGAAGGTCAGCTCCCCAGAGATGCCGAAAACATGGGGACGCGGCCAGGGATTTCATGGGATATGTTGTGGGATATTGTTTGATTAATTAATGGGATATAACGGTTAATTAATGGGATCTAGTGGAATTGAATGGGATTTCATGGAATTTCATGGGATTTACTGGGATTAAAATGATTAAATGGTGGTTTGTAACCAACTGAATATGATTTGGCTGTGTTTGAAAATTGGGTTTAGCCCCAAATAAGCATTCTAATAGGGAAAATGATTGTCACCCATCAAATGTGGTGGTACCAGATTCTCAGACCATATGAAAATATGGAAGTTACCAGCTATCTTTTGGGAGGCTTGATACAAACTAATGAGCTGCAAACTAACTAACTAACTAACTAACTACTAGCTAACTAGCTAACTAGCTAGCTAACTAGCTAACTAGCTAACTAGCTAACTAGCTAACTAGCTAACTAGCTAACTAGCTAACTAGCTAACTAGCTAACTAGCTAACTAGCTAACTAGCTAACTAACTAACTAGCTAGCTAGCTAGCTAACTAGCTAGCTAGCTAACTAGCCAACCATCAACCATCAACCATCAACCAACCAACTAACTAGAAATCTAAGTGTACTTGTCCTTGTTTGAACTCGGACTTTTACCAACTTCTATTTTTCTTGGGGGGGTGCTATACCCTAGGCGGCTCCTGTAGAGAAGCCCTGACATCAGGTCAGATCCCTCCATATCATCCGGTAAACATTGCCCTGACATAGCGAAACTGGTAAAATAGCTGGCCCATCAGAGATTTACTATGGAAAATCACCATTTTCAATGGGAAAACTCACTATTTCTATGGCCATTTTCAATAGCTATGTTAAATTACCAGAGATTTACTCAAAGTGTGATTCTCCATCGCATTTTCTTAGGTTTACCTACTAGGCTACTGCAAAAAAACAGCATTTTCTCGCAGAAAACGGTGACCAATGTTCACTTGGTGCTACCCACTTGATCACTTCACTGGTGCCCATCTGCCCCCATCAAACATGCTTTAAAAAAAAAGAACAACAAACATCCAGTTGAGTGATCCTGGTCCTTGTTCTGGATTATAATCTTGTAGTTCACTAGACACTAGACTGAAACAAGGTAATTTTGGGATAGTTGCCCCTCTCTCCAGTCCTTGAAGAGCACTCCCACTACAACGACCTCGCGATTTGAGAAGCTCATGAAGCCCGTCAGGTCCGTCAGGAAACCTCGGGAAAAAAAAAAAACGGTTCCGAACAAAGGCGTTGATGAAGCGATTTATATTCCATTCAGTACATGCCATGTATTAAGCATGATTAATGGATCATGAGCCATATATTTTCATTAGTCAATATATGTTTCTCATTTATAGTCATCCTGGAGTAGAATATGAACACTTCAAAATGAAAATAACACTGACAAAACATTGGAATATCTTTGTTTGATTGCCACATTCACCATATTCTCCAGATTCTATGTCCAGATTCTATACATTCCTTCATCATGTCGCCAGATCAGTCACTCGCCGTGAATCATCGCGTCCCGATCCAGGTGGGATGATCTTATTGCTCTCTGCGTTTTGATCCATGGATGTGAGAAACCACTGAACAGTGAGAACACACGGTTCAAAACATTGCTAAATCATCAACACAGTGAGAACATCACTAAAAAAGGTAGTTAAACAATGTTTTTTTAAAAGGTGGAATATATAGTCAGATATGGTCAACGGATAGCAACAAAAGCCCCACATCGAGGTGTGGGTAGCAAAAAAGGTAGGTCGATGGCCAGGTCTCTTCATAAGAAGGCAACAGATACCCTCTGGTAATTTAACGTAGCCATGGAAAATCACCATTTTTAATAGGTAAACCATCTATAAATGGGCCATTTTCCATGGCTATGTTAAATAACCAGATGGTAACACTTAATCATCTACAATAGGTTTTTGACCATAGATAGATGCAAAAAATAGATCTTAATAGATTTTAATAGTTGATAATCTACAATCAGTTGATCATCTCAATAATCGCCACATGTGACTTCAAACCTCAATGCCAAGATAGGACCTGCCCCCCTCGTATCACTTGGTTTCAATCAACAAATTGTCTGTGACCAAGTATTGGTTCTTGAACCATGAACCAATCACACATCAAGTGGTTTCAACTACGAACCTTCTTACAGCGAATCTTAAATAGCCTGCCAATGATTGGATAGTGGGATAGTTGGCCATATATGGTTTGCCAATCATCCAAGGTTAACCCAGGAATAACCCATAAATTGGACAAAATTTTGGTTGAAATCAGATTTTAGTGTGGTTTAAACTCACCAATCAACCATCCTCTATCAACATCTATCAACTATAGATCCATATTTCTATAGCCATACATTTTGCTGCTTAAATCACCATGTTTGCCGGTTAAATCACCAAACAATTTGGCAAAACCCCATGAGTCATCATACAACATCACTATCCAACCCTGTACTTGATGATTATAAATCAGTTTTTAAAAGAACACATAAGACCCCTACATCAATCAAATAATGTGGTTGAAACAATAGTAAACCACCCCCAAGTCATCACCATGTTTATAGGTGGTATGGTTACCATTCCCAAATGGGTAGTTTATGACATTGCTTTAACCACATGATATTTAAATCAGTTCTAGTTGTTGATTAAATCCCGATATTTGCGACTGGTTGGTGGTTTCAAGCCCTCTGAAAAATCATGGAGTTCGTCAGTTGGATGATGACATTCCCAATATATGGAAGAATAATCCATTCATGTTCCAAACCACCCAGCAGGCGAATGTTATTGGGTCGGTTAAAAAATCTGAAAAAAAAAAACGGAAAATCAACAGCCAAGATGCTGCTCTTGGGCATGCTCCATCGCCGCGAGGCTTCCTCTCTTGCAGCGCCTACGGAGGCGCATGGAAAATTCTGTGTCCATTGGAAAATGATGTTTGAAAACCAGGTGAATAAGTAAACCATGGACTAAGCAAAACCTTGGAAAAACATGGAAAATTACATGAAGCAAACCCAGGATGAAGTGTTCATATTGTTTGAAAAGGCGTTCTGGCTAGCTTTTAGAGGCATTTTGTATGTGTTGATTTCAGTGTTCGAATTTTAACATTAACAAAACACGAAGTATCGTAACTTTAGATGCCCTGCAAAGGAATAAATATCAACGTATTCTTTAGATACCATTCAAAAGTGTGAAACCCTGCATCATATTCTTCTTTCAATCCCTTGCAAAAGTATCTGAGCACTGAATAAACACCAAGCAAACCTCAGGTTTTACACCCACTAAAACAAGCAAAACTGAGGATAGATCTATCCCAATCATAGGGTGACTCAACAGTTTCAACCTACCAAACTTGTGGGTAGAAGTACAGTATGTCATACTATTCCTGTGTCTTTTTGTTGAGTGTTCTGAGTGATCTGAGAGGTCGTCCAATATGTTCCAGCTGTTTAGAGCAAGGGATCATGAAAATCCCATCTTTTTTGTTTCGTTTTTTTGATGATCCAGGCAGGGGCAACCTATTATGATGTTTGATGTGCAAGGCTAACAAGTCATACAGGAAACTTGGGACAAAGGCTGAGGCCCAACTGCTGGGTGGTGCACTTGGGGGGTCGTTTTAGCGATATGATTTTACCACCAAAATTGGGATAAATATAACTATAATTAGTTCATATATAAGTATAAATGGAGCTACAATATATATATATATATGATTTACATATGTATATATATTACAATATGTATAATTGATTACCATATGTATATATTATAATATGAGTGTAGCTATAATCCCTATAACTTATGAATAATAGCTATAATTAGTTAAGATATGTTCCTGTAAAGTGACAGTATATAATATATCATGATACATCCACTTACAACTAGAAATGCACCCCTAACTACTCTGATTGAAACTTACCCACTTCCGTCGCCGTTTGAAGCGGGGTAACCAACGAAGGTGTCCTAGGCCTAGGTCATGGGGGGTACCCCCAAGTCATCCAGTCGTGATGACCATACCTTAGTGTTGAAACCTATGGTGACGACTGGGGGTCCAAACCGTTTAAAAAAAAAAATACAAAAAAACTGGCAATTCGAAGTTCCACGAATGGAGATCCCCAGCAATGAAGGCTCGCCTTCAAGTTGCTTCAGCCGCAATTTGTAGAGGCCATTGTACCTCTTGGTGTTCAAAAAAAAACCAGGTGGATGATCAACATAGCCATGTTGGCCATGTTGGCCATGTTGGAATGGGGCATACCGGCATACCACATTTTTGAAGCAACCCAATTCCTGGTTAGATCAATCCCCAGATTTTGGTGGTTGAAATGGTTGAAATGCCCCTTTGTTCGAATATCTTTCTGGGGGAAAGAGTTTCATGGCAGCTTCCTTTCCCATCGAAGCACCCGGCACCCCAGGTCACTGTTGCCAGCTACTTTGTTTCACACCTGGAAAATGCTGGAGGCGGAGCTCTGGAGCCAGGAACTGTGGCCAAATTTCGTGAACGTGCAAGACATCATTGAACATACCCGGCCTGGTAAACGTTCACATAACGAACTGGAAAATCACCATGTTTAATGGGAAAAATCACTATAAATGGCCATGTTCAATAGCTTTGTTAGCTTACAAGAGGGTATAGAGCTTTCCCAAGTCCTGGAGGTACCCCGAAATTTATCAACCAGCAATTGGGGATCCATTTATGGACACCCCCATATATATTTGAAGATTCCACATTTACTGAGGAAAGTAAGCATACCTGCAATATCCTACAATATCCGTTATTGATCATGAGATTTTTCCGGGATGCTAAGCCATCACCGTTTTTTTTTGTTTTTTCCAGGGTTTCAACTGCCTTCTCGTCAGCTAACTCCCAGCCCAGAAGGGCAGAAAGTCCCCTGATTTGTTTGTAGGGCAACATCCAAAGAGAGTTGGTGGTTGCTGACGACTTCATCCACCACAGCTGGTGGGGAAATCTATAGTCGATTTAAACATGTCAGTGGTCCCAACCCCCAGAAAACTTGCAGTTTGGCGGCTGGTCAGGTCACTGCCTTTTTCCCCATGAAAAAGGGCGAACAAGTGAACAAGCATTTCAAGTAAGCCACATTCACTTGCCACCAGCTAGTTCGATGCGAAACTTACCCTCCATTTATACTATAAGTTCCCAGCGAACGAAACCCAAACGTATTGATTTCCGAGGTTTTCCAGCCAGAAACGTTTGAATAACCAAAGGGTATAGGTAATGGGGTTCCATTAATCACATTACACAGCATTTAGCACCATTATCTATAACTAGTGCAGACTTATTTGCTTACATTTACACCATTAGACACCATTGAACACCATTAAACACTATAATATTCCATATCTAGGTGACATTTACTATATCATCTAGATATATATCATCCAAATCTGGAAATTTCCCAAGTCATAGGGCTACCCTATTTTTCTTCATTGGATCAGATGCTTCCCCGTTGGACACGCCTTGAAAGCCATGGAACTTGCCTGTGCTCATGGGAGTGGCAGGTCCTCGTCGGCCCACAGGACTTGGCCTTGGCCGAGAAAACTCGAAAACTCAGAGCAGGGATTCAACAGACCGTCACTAGGGATATAGATGGGTATATATATAATATATCATATCTATGTGTGAATATACATGGATATAGATTCTTAATAGATGGATATAGATCGATATAGATCGATATAGATCGATATAGATGGATATACTAAGCATAAGGGACAAGATTCGATCAACAATCCCTTTTTTTGTTCAACTTGTCATGGGGAATTTGATGAAAAACTCATGGATCTTGGTGGGTATACCACGTTTCTTGGGAAATGCCCCTTAGATAGGGGTTAATGCTTGAAAGTGCTTCGTGTTAGATTTGCCTCCCTAAAAAGTTGAAAGTCAGCAATTGAGCAAAATCATCATAATCATTCTGTTGGGCAAAATCACCATAGAAAATCACAGAAAATCTTGATGTTTTGCCTAAAATGATGATGAACGAGAAGGAGCGGCATCTTGTTTTCAAGATGAACGTAGTCGGACTCCAGTGCAAGCTTGGATAAAATCGATCCGGGGGGCCAAGCAGAACATCCCGCATGGTGCGGAAAAAGACACACCGACTTGGGATCATTCCCCAATCATACCCTTCGGTACAACAACTATCGACATGGAGCATGAAATTTTCTTTCTAGATCTGCCTAAAGATAAAAAAAACAGTAGCAACCCCGGTCAGATTTCTTGCCGAACAGTACAGAACAGGAACTGCCTGAGCCACTTATCATCCAACAATCCCATCTTTTTTGGCCCTTGGCGAGTCAAAACTCGACCCATCCGGTAGCCGGATGAATAGCGTTTTTCGCGTTTTTGAGCGGAAGTTATTCATGTAAAAAAGCTGGCTAAAAGGTGGATGTTTTTCTCCCATTCATGGTATAGTCAATGGATTGGTGTTCACGGGAAAATTTACACCGGAAAGCCCCATGATCTTCATGGGAAAATCAATGGTTTCCGGTTAAGATTTTCCCGTGAAAACCAATCAAAATTTACATGAAAGCCCCATGATCTTCATGGGAAAATCAATGGTTTCCTGTAGATTTTAAACCAATTAAACCAATCCATTGATATAGCAATTCCATAGGTAACAAACGACGGCCATCGAGGCGGCCCGATAAAAGGTGCCCGGACTTTTCAGGCGTGATACCTCGGTCACAAAAAAGGGAGCCATGTCGGTACACGCTGCTGCCCCGATTTTGTCACTTTGGTTTATAAAAGCCATGAAAACTATAGATTTATATCTGTATATATATATATATATACAATATATATATATATATATAAATCATATATCATATATACATATATATATATATGCACATGTATATATATATATATCATATATGCATATATATAATATATGATATACCATGTCCTAGCTTGGTATAGCTTGGTATAATTGTCTCATAAGTGATGTTTTTTTTTCACAACCTAGCTAACGAACTGGCGTACCACCTCCTAACTCATTGAAGGATGCAGTAGCATCAAAGCTAGGTGACTAGGTGGGCTATGAAAGGATGCAATCGATTTCCTTGTCATTGGATTAGATAGCCTGCAATAGTGACACTTTCGCCGGATCTTCCATTTTCCTCCAATGTTCACCTTCGAAAAAGCCATGGCCAAAAAGTCCACCCTATAATTTCAGGAGTTGCTTTATCCGATTACCCTCTGGTAAACGTTAACAAAAAGCTATTGAAAATGGCCATTTGTAGTGGATTTACCCATTAAAAATGGTGATTTTCCATAGTTATGTTAGTTTACCAGGGGGTACTTGGTTTGTCCAACTTTTTGCTAGTTGCAGTGGCCACATCCCTATAAAAATCTAGAGCTGATATCACTGATTTCCCCAATGACAGTATTCCCATGTCATAAGATAAGGGCCCCATTTATCCCCACGTGTCAATGCCTAAAACCCTTGGGAAATAATGGGTAGGATAATCATCAACTATCATGTATGAGTTATATCCACATTATTCCATATTTATCCCCATATGTTCATGGTTTAAACATGTTTACCCTCTGGTTATTTAACATAGCCATGGAAGCCATGGCCCATAGAAATAGATTATTTTCCCAGCTAGAAACCTCCATTTATGGTTGGGATTTTCCATGGCTATGTTAAATAACCAGATGGTATGTTTATTGGTTTGTAAACCATAGGAATAGTATAGATATATCAATGGGCCATTTATCCATGGCTATGTTAAATAACCAGATGGTAACCCTTACTACATGATGAACTCATCATCAACGGTTGATCGCAGCCACTGCGCAACCCGACGCGCTGCCACTTCCTTCACCTCCACTTTGGTCGGTGTCGTGGTCGCTTCAGCAGGGCCTGCCATGGACACGGCTCGAAAGCACGGTGGGTGCCGCAGGTCCTTTTCTAAGCTGGTTTACATGTCGGTTAACTAGGATTTGCAGTAGATCTCTCTATATATATATATTACATATATATATATAATACATATATATATATATATATTATACATATATCACATATTATATATTGTATATTGTGTATATACACACATATATATAATTATATATATGAAGATGATTATGATAATGGGCTTTATAAACCAACAAAAAAGTCGATTGCAACCTGCATTACCTGCATGGCCCCGTGAACCTCCAGGCAATCATCCAACCCACCATGGTTTCGTTTCGCGGGGGAAGGGATTACCGGATCCACTTGACATTGGACCAACACTCGAACACCTCATCCCGACATCGTCGCAGACCAACCGGATTACCGTGCCATTCAGAAAAGTGTTGAATTTCCCCATTCATCGCAAAAAAAACACAAAAAAAAAATGTCTGACAAAGCGAAATCCATCACCAGGATGAACTCATCAAGCTCTTCATCCAGGTTTTTGCGCAAATTTGGAACCAATTTACATCAATTTGAACACATCATTCTCGAAATTCTGGAGTTTAGAACAATGCTTTGGAGTTTAGATATGCTTTGCAGTTGATGATTTGGACATGTTTGGAACATCATTCTCGAAATGTTCCAATGATTATAATGATTCTAATGGCCTGAACCTATCGTGAAAGCACATAAATTCCCCAGAATATTGAATCAGAAGTCCGGGTGTGTTAAATGTGTCTACGCCCGGGACAAAAAAATGGAAAAAAACTTGAAATGGCAGGAAATTGCCATGATTCCACATTTATTCTTTTTGGTTGTTGGATGCGATTGGCCAACTTTTTTTGAATGGTGAAGCCTCAACGATGCTTCTCTGAAAAAGCATCAAGAAAATGTGAATAATAACCGAAAATAAATCAGTAAAATCATGTGAAAAAAAACTTCAAAAATAACATCAATAAGAAAACATGAATCAACGAGTCAAGATTCGTATCCCCAATTTTTGGGTTCTTAAACTTCCATGGTCGCACCTGGTGCACCGGATGCTGTTGGGCTGGGGCTGCCTGCCCAGGTCACCGATCCATTGGTGAAATACTATGAGTGCACTTGATGACGTGATATCAGAATGAACATGTATGATACAACATTATATGCATATATAAATATACTATGACACAATATGATACAATGAATATATATATATATATACTATGAATGATATAATAGATATGATACAACATTATATGCATATATAAATATACTATGACACAATATGATACAATGAATATATATATACTATGAATGATATAATAGATATGATACAACATTATATGCATATATAAATATACTATGACACAATATGATACAATGAATATATATATACTATGAATGAATAATAATAGATATGATACAACATTATATGCATATATAAATATATCTATAGACACAATATGATACAAATGAATATATATATACTATGAAGATATAATAGATATGATCCAACATTATATGCATATATAAATATACTATGACACAATATGATACAATGAATATATATATATATACTATGAATGATATAATAGATATGATACAACATTATATGCATATATAAATATACTATGACACAATATGATACAATGAATATATATATATACTATGAATGATATAATAGATATGATACAACATTATATGCATATATAAATATACTATGACACAATATGATACAATGAATATATATATACTATGAATGATATAATAGATATGATACAACATTATATGCATATATAAATATACTATGACACAATATGATACAATGAATATATATATACTATGAATGATATAATAGATATGATACAACATTATATGCATATATAAATATACTATGACACAATATGATACAATGAATATATATATACTATGAATGATATAATAGATATGATACAACATTATATGCATATATAAATATACTATGACACAATATGATACAATGAATATATATATACTATGAATGATATAATAGATATGGTCCAGCATTATATGCATATATAAATATACTATGACACAATATGATACAATGAATATATATATATATACTATGAATGATATAATAGATCTGATACAACATTATATGCATATATAAATATACTATGACACAATATGATACAATGAATATATATATATACTATGAATGATATAATAGATATGATCCAGCATTATATGCATATATAAATATACTATGACACAATATGATACAATGAATATATATATACTATGAATGATATAATAGATATGGTCCAGCATTATATGCATATATAAATATACTATGACACAATATGATACAATGAATATATATATACTATGAATGATATAATAGATATGATACATATATAAACATACTATGACACAATATGATACAATGAATATATATATATTATGAATGATATAATAGATATGATACAACATTATATGCATATATAAATATACTATGACACAATATGATACAATGAATATATATATACTATGAATGATATAATAGATGTGATACAACATTATATGCATATATAAATATACTATGACACAATATGATACAATGAATATATATATACTATGAATGATATAGTATATGTGATACAATATTATATGCATATATAAATATACTATGACACAATATGATACAATGAATATATATATACTATGAATGATACAGTATATGTGATACAACATTATATGCATATATAAATATACTATGACACAATATGATACAATGAATACATATATATATACTATGAATGATATAATAGATCTGATACAACATTATATGCATATATAAATATACTATGACACAATATGATACAATGAATATATATATACTATGAATGATATAGTATATATGATACAATATTATATGCATATATAAATATACTATGACACAATATGATACAATGAATATATATATATATACTATGAATGATATAGTATATATGATACAACATTATATGCATATATAAATATACTATGACACAACATGATACAATGAATATATATATACTATGAATGATATAATAGATATGATACAACATTATATGCATATATAAATATACTATGACACAACATGATACAATGAATATATATATATACTATGAATGATATAATAGATATGATACAACATTATATGCATATATAAATATACTATGACACAACATGATACAATGATTTATAATTATATAACACTATGAATGATATAGTATATATGACACAATATTATATTGCATATTAAAATATACGGCACAAATTTTGATACAATTTGAATATATATATATATATATACTATGAATGATATAATAGATGTGATACAACATTATATGCATATATAAATATACTATGACACAATATGATACAATGAATATATATATACTATGAATGATATAGTATATGTGATACAATATTATATGCATATATAAATATACTATGACACAATATGATACAATGAATATATATATACTATGAATGATACAGTATATGTGATACAACATTATATGCATATATAAATATACTATGACACAATATGATACAATGAATACATATATATATACTATGAATGATATAATAGATCTGATACAACATTATATGCATATATAAATATACTATGACACAATATGATACAATGAATATATATATACTATGAATGATATAATATATATGATACAACATTATATGCATATATAAATATACTATGACACAATATGATACAATGAATATATATATACTATGAATGATATAATAGATATGATACAATATTATATGCATATATAAATATACTATGACACAATATGATGAATATATATATATACTATGAATGATATAGTATATATGATACAATATTATATGCATATATAAATATACTATGACACAATATGATACAATGAATATATATATACTATGAATGATATAGTATATATGATACAATATTATATGCATATATAAATATACTATGACACAATATGATACAATGAATATATATATACTATGAATGATATAGTATATATGATACAATATTATATGCATATATAAATATACTATGACACAATATGATACAATGAATATATATATATACTATGAATGATATAGTATATATGATACAATATTATATGCATATATAAATATACTATGACACAATATGATACAATGAATATATATACTATGAATGATATAATAGATATGATACAATATTATATGCATATATAAATATACTATGACACAATATGATACAATGAATATATATATATACTATGAATGATATAGTATATATGATACAATATTATATGCATATATAAATATACTATGACACAATATGATACAATATATATATTTGTATATACTATGAATGATATAGTATATATGATACAATATTATATGCATATATAAATATACTATGACACAATATGATACAATGAATATATATACTATGAATGATATAATAGATATGATACAATATTATATGCATATGTAAATATACTATGGCAC